CGGCTGAGACTACTACTGGAATAAGACGATCGCAATTTCCTTCCACAAATTCCTTTGTCGTCATTCAACCATATCAGTGCCCAAGCAGCGTGACAATGCCGATATTTTAGCCTCACTGTCTCAGCTCCTTGAGAGGGGTTGGCACTTTGTGTACAATCAAATTTCAAGGCTTGATATTGTGGATCGGTCGCCCTGCCGGCTTGCCGCATTTCGCCCTTCTGGTCAGACGGATCTTACAGGTCTTACGGGGAGGCTCCGTGTTGCAGGAAGGGAGGGGGAGCTTAAAGTACTCGAATTAGGATTTTTCTTGTTTTATGCGGCTAACCGGCTTGCGCCCTTGCATTGTGCACTGACAATACCGAAAGGTGGGCCGGTCTCTCTCTATGCTTCAAGTGTGTGGTGATGCAGAAAATGGGCTTTATGTCAACAACTGCAGAGGCCCCGGAACCTTCGTGTTGTCCGTCGGCCGTCTCCCGGATCTGCTGTGGGACTCGGCCGCCTGCTGTCCGCCTCACCGGAGCGACAGCTGGTTGGTGGGACGGAATAAGCAAGTACATGAGGCCGAGACATTGACAAACCTTAAATTGGGCGCCTTTCAACCGGTATGGCCTCTCTTGCATACATAGACATGTATAATTACACAATGCGGGCATGATTGCGAAGGAGCCCGCGCTCCGTTTGCTTTTCTGTGAAGCAGCAATTGCACAAGATGCGGAGAACTCTTGCAAACCTCATCCATGTCTGAGACTTACTGCTAAGTTGGAAAACATGCAGTGGCCCGAAACGCTTGAGATGCAGTGCTTCGGCCAGTTGCGCAATCGTCTTGTGCGTTGCCTTCCGGCTTCCTGCAGCGGTAGAATGTTCGATGAGCAGCACATCGACGCATAATAGTCAGCGACTGGTTTCACAAACGGTAGAACCTTCTGGGAAAGGCCTTAAATTTGAGGCGCACGAATTGCTTTGTTTTAGTTTGGTTCTCCATTTTCATTTGCCTTCTCTGGCATGCTGATTTTAGATTGAGGAGACGGCGGTTAAATGACAGATGAGTGTTGGCTTACTGGCATGTCACCCGTGCTTTGTACCTGCATTCTTCGGCCGCTCTTGGTTGCTAAAGCTTGTTCCTGGAGGTTTTTCAGACAGCTCTGATTTTGACGTCGCCTGATTGACGCGAAATCACTGCTACATATCTAGAGAAATAAATACTCATCGTCAATTGTGGTACAAGTATGACATGCTGTTGTGTGATACAAGAACTAGGTTAGCTGGTGGTCTGATCATCTGACCATAGATAGATAGCATAGAATGATTGTCGTGATTCCAAAGATCAGAGATCGGAACACCGCGTGTAGAGGTGCAATTGGCCTATAGTGACTCATCAAATCCATGTGGTGCGAGTTATTGGCAAGCAAAACGTGCAACTTAGGTAGAACGTCCAGGCGGGTGACTACTCTCTACGTGCTGAACTTCCAAAAGGTATGGCTGGGTAGAGACTGTGCTTGGACTAAATAAATAGTAACGGTAGGGTTGCAGTAAATGGTCGAAAACGGTGTAGTTGAGATATTTTAGTGGATAATATCTATACCTAATATACCGGCAACATTTTACCTATTCAAGCACATATAACTACAGCTCTGAGGAATTCGGCATCCTAGTGAGGTTGAGACCCCTGAGCAGCACACTCGCTGCTTTTCAGCTGCGAGCTGTCGTATTGGGCACCTCTCATACCGGACATACGACAAGTCTTGGTCGTCCATTGTTAGCCATGCTACAGTCGTCCTTTCAATATTGTACAATGTCCCGCGTAGTCACCGCGGCTCCATGTCCTCTTACATTTTTTCTGGCAGCTCTCGCTCTCTTCGCGTTAATATGCTTCCATCTGCCCTTTCCAATAGCCCGAGAAAGGGTGGCCAGCAGCCGCCATCCTCCGACTTCTATATCCATCATCTTATGCGCATCGTGTTTCGCCCTCAAAAGAACGCTTTAGCGTAGTTACAGACAGCTTCCGTGACATAAGAAGACCTTGAGGAGGAGTGGTATAAGGGGTATGACAAAATTGCAGCACAACAATCATTTACCAATGAATCGGCGGTCATAGAGAACGCTTAGTGGCATCGAGAACAAGTTTTGGCTCAATTGACAGCATACATTTAAGTACTCAGAAGATGTTACAACTACATTTACATTTGAGTTCTATCCGAGATTCACTACAAATTCTGTCGATGACAACCTCACTGTCTGATAGTACACTGAATAGTATATTAATAAATAATGAAGCACTGCGAAAAGCATACTATTCAATGAGTCGAAGTACCAGTGGCTATGAAGAATTTACGAAATATGCCAAGAGACCGTTGTAATTGAGAAATAGCTATACCTGCTTGATCTTCATACAAAGTATATGTGGGCATCTGGAAAGCGTGACGTATCCACGAAATTGAAAACTGAAGGTATCGATGTATGAGGAATATGAGTGACGGATATAATTAATGAATAGTTTTTCAAATCCTACCAGTATTAGAATGACTCAAGTCGCTCCCACTCTTTAGTATCACAACTGCTACTATTCGCCCATGATCAGAATCGTCATTCTTCCCAGAACAATGAACTGTGCTAGAGGTCTACTGGTGTTTATTTATTTAAGGGATTATAAGGTATATAAGTGAGTATCCAGGGAATAACTAGTTGATAGGATAAGGGGTATTGGACATTGGACCCCGTCAGTGATATACACCAGTGTGATGATGCAGATCTGATATGTTGCAAAAAGACAAACCAAAAATCATAAGATATTTATAGAGCTACCTACGATGCCAAAGACATCCAGCTGTCACTCACCCATGCAAAAGCGTTTTAATATCCATGGGATCAGTGTAACATCTCCGAAAGGATTGAGAAGTTTTGACAAAGACTGCTTGCTTCCATTGGTTCTAAGACAAAACTCATAGTATGGAAATTCCAGAGGGCTATTGAATAGCATCATTACGAACAGCTATAGAGCACCGAAAGGGCAATTGAGTCATCGTATAATTGTGAAATTATTGTGTTAGCCTGTAGATCACGAAGATCATGGGCTTTGTGTGTAAAGAGAGTGAATTGGAATTGAAGCCCAATTAACAGATCTCTGGTGGAGAGGTCTATTGCCTAGGCGTATAGGTCGTACCTAAATGACTGAGGGAATAGCAGGTCAGCGTTGAACTTTCTGTCAAAAAAGAGAATCAACTGAATGTAATTCCGGTGTTCTCACTCTATTAAACTACTAGGAGCGGCAGGACAGAGTTTTGCCACCCAGGCGCTCTTATGAGAACACCCATCAGCTCCTATGTAGCACGACAATTATTGAACGGTTGTGAACCCTTAAGTGGTCTTATTTGCTCCAAATTACTTTTGCCATCTCTTTGTCACTTGAATCTCGGGCCCTGGCTGCGATTCCAGCTCCTTTGCAACCGCGATTGCGCAGAACTTGCAGCTATTTAGAAGGAAATTGTAGTCTCCCATCCTCTGTGCGAGCTGAACGCCTATGTTGGATCCGTATTAGCACATAATATTAGTGTAACACAGACATGTAAAAGGATATATATTACTTTTGGCAGCAACTAATTCCTTTACCAGGTCTGTGTAGCCCATAAAATTTGCCCAATAATCTTCGGCAAGACCCTTGCATGGCCACGGCTTCTGTACCTTGAGCACTCAATGCTCTTCTTGGGGCCAGTAATGTCACTCATTGCATCATATGTCCAGTCTTTAATTTTCCGTGTGAGTTCTCAGACTCAGGTATGATCCCAAACAGGAATGCAGACTAGACGGACGTGGTGGTACGGCTGAGCTGCCGACTCTAATGAGGTACGGGGCTGACACTCGATGAACACAGAAAATCCAGTATATCTAGACATGGTGATAGACTCGTCAGGTATGGTGATCAATAGTAGTCTATTGATATGCAGTGTGATGTAACCGTGAGGAACGGAGTTATCATCTGTTCCGCTGAAGACTACCTAAAGTGGTTGCCCTAGGTGTATACCTGAGGCATCCATTACATGGTGGGCAAGCAGTGAAATATGATAATTGAAGATAAAACAAATGCCTTTCGAAAATTGACTCGGACTGAAAGGCGCGAGATACAGATGTGTAGAAGGACAATACACGGCAAATGGCAGATGCTAGCAAATCCGTCCCCATGGGCCCATCCAGCTCGTACAGCTACTAATATCTGATCATGTAAGCACTGGCAAGATAGGTAGTCCATTCGTCTTGGTATTCAATTGGATATGACTTTGCGTAGCCTCCGTGGCCCTTAGTATATATTTGTAAGTGTAGATTGGGGCGGTTCTTGCCACTCAACTTTAGTCAGCTACCACCAGTGGCTGCTGATGTATCTAATCTTAGCTAGGTATTATGGCATTCTTGCTTCCTGACGGCTATTGGCCGGTTTTATCGGGCTCAATGCTCTATCGGGAACATATAACCCTCCAGACTCTGATAGACGCCCTAACGACTATAAGCACTACCAGCGTGCTCCCTAGATAGTCACTATATCTCAACCTTTAATTTCAGAGTCAATCACAGTCATTAGTTCCATGATCGTCTGGAAAAAAATTTTAACTTTTTTTTTTTTTAAACTTCTTTTCTTTTTAACTTTTTTTTCTTTTTAAACTTTTTAAACTTTTTTGAATTGGTTTTTTTTGTTTGAATTGGGTCCTACTCACTGTGACACTATCATTGTAATTAGTAGGAAAGCTCTCTCTTAGTTGGTTTCCATATACTAAATTCAGTCTGCTCTGAAGTCTATGAGTTTAGCTGTCTATAAATAGAAGTTATCTCATCATATCAGCCTACTACTAGAGATTATGTTATTGTGGCTGCTGATGGCATCGTGGTATTCAGCAGCGTAACTTCACGGCTTCCCCGAGTGATCAGTCAATGACTAAGCGCCATTGCACTGATTCGATCGCTTAAGTTTGTGATGGCCATCAAACTCCAAATAGACATATTTCAAGCTGACAACCAGCTGCTTGTGATAAGATTTTTGTAACGGCGTTGCCTGACGCCACATACCGCGAGATTTGTTATGCATTATCACAATTCAGACGTTTATGACTAAGGAACCGTAAGGCTGACATATTCATGCTTGCGATCATGGCGGAGTGAGGAGCTTTGGTGGACCGAGATCGAGTTGTGAGATCTGAGCCATGTGATGGGTATTGGGCTGAATAGTAGGCCCATAATCACGAGCCATTCCAATTCCCGCAACTACAAAACCGGAGCACAAGACGAACCATCATAGATTTGTATTAAGCTTTCATACTTGCATTGCGTCTCTGTTTCAGCCAATTCACCAAAATGCCTTCTTCAATTCCCTATGATCCATCGCTCGTACTAGCCAACATCGTGAGCAGCGATGCGCTCAAACTAGTTGAGCAGATCTCGGGGCTCCAGGCTCCCGTTGATGCCGCCCAAGAACAGCTCAATACTCTCTTAGCAGCCAAGCGCAGTCTTCAAATGACTAAAACTGAGCTTCTCAACATTGGCATCAAGACGGACAAGGTCAACAAGTCCATCCAGGCGTTGGATCGCAAGATTGAGGAAGCCGCAGCAGACTACGCTGAGGAGAAAATTGAGGCCGAAGAGAAGATCCAGCCTCTACGTGCTACAATCAGGAGCGTCCATGTGGAGATGGAGAGCCCAGTGGACTACGTCAAAACACAAATCAAATCAATGCCACTTGCTTCCGACTCTATCAATATGGATGTACAATACTTTTCTAACGACACTAATAAAGAAGAGGCTTCGTCCTTGGCTGGCAATGTTGCATCGTATGTGTCAACCGCAATGAGCTGGCTGGGCGAGAGCACGTCTGGCCAGATGACTCGGGCCGCTGCGACCCAGGTTAGCGATCAAGTCAAGAAGCACAACATTTCGGGCACCCTGGTCATTTCTGTATCATGTACTCACAAGAATGCATCGGTTCTGGCACCCTTTGTCATTAATGTCGACAAGGGCATCAAGGTGTGGAACCATCTTTTCAAAGAGGATAAAATCATCCCCACGAACACAGCGAACATGTTGGGGATAGCCAAGGAAGAGGCTGAAGGCAAAGATGACAAAAGATTCAGCATCATCTCTGGCATGACTTTCGGGTCCAGCTTTGTGGGCATGGTCCACATTTTGAACAGCAGCAATACAAGCGTGAGCGAGAAGATGAACACTGTCGTTGAAACTTTCCAGACGCAGGCCAAAGGGCAGTTGGAAATACTTGCAGCTTACGCAAATCTTTCTGGTGGATTCGGCGTCAACGAGTCTATGGCAAATAGCGTCAAAAGCCTACTCAGCTCGCAGGACATCAACTGTCATGCCACATTGATCTGCATGGGCGTGATTCCTTCCATTGTGGCGAGTGAGGTTCAGATTGGTGTTGACAAGTTTGCCAACTTTGATCCGAAGTCAAGCCTCGAGGCGCTTGCGACGATTCAAAATGCGACTGTTGCTGAACAAGATTCAGTGAAGCAGGCGGCGGATGCGGCGCGAACTGGCGCCCAAATGCTGTCTATGAAGAATGCCGAGATGAAGGCTGCCCTATCGGCATTGGCGGAAATTGATGATGGCAAAAACAAGGTTATCGACGTCAATTCTATGATGACCGCACTTGAAGATTACCTCAAAAAGGCAGCAGACGGTAATTCTGGCGTCCCCATCAACTACTACCTGAAGGATATTAGCAAGAGTATGCTGGCGGAGATGTGGGTAGCCAAATACTACCCTGGCAAGTACCTGTCGATTTCTCACGACGATGCAGGACCAAGTGGTCCGCCAAGTGCCCAGCCAAGTGGTTCATCAAGTGATCAGCCAAGTGGAAGTGCCGGTGCGCCTGAGTCTTAGATACTGGTTGCGAATAGGGTTTATATTTCAAGGCATTTGGCTGGTGTTAAGTAGACTATTATTCTATAATTAAATTTTGCTCTATTTTTAAACATGTGCCTTGATAAATGTAAACTTAACTTGCTTTCATTGAACGTTCAAGCGGTAATGCGAATATGGATTGTCTTGTTATAGGCTATCGTAACCATTATTGCCGGCGAGTCTATAACAAAGTCAGGCAAGCTGGAAACGATTAGTGTTGAGAGATTTTAGTAAATAGGAATCATTCGACACACAATAAGCTAGAATGCCTGGGGTGAATGAATTTCGAAGGGTCAGAGGCACTTCGGCCTTTGAGAAATTGGAAACTGACAAGACACAGAGTCTAGTAATTATTAGCAATAGAAGACGCCTAGACAGCTATTACAGCTGCCTCCCCAACAGTGAGCGAGCGACGCCTCAATCGTTTGCGTCAGTGCCCAGTATCAAATTGAATACAAAAGATATCAGGCGAATTGATCTGAGGGGCATTGGCCAGAGCGATGTTATCGTTGCTGACAATATATCCGGTCAGATAATTTGGTACGAGTCTTTGTGGAGTGAGGGTTTTGGTCCGGAGACTAGTTTCCAGCACCTGTCGGCACTGAATTTCCTAATTTTCTTACCAATGATGGCGGGCGAGCTATCGACCGAATCTACATGAGTGAAGGCAGTCTTTTAGGCATTATGCAAGTTATCAACGGTTATATTTCATATTGACTGAATATTGGCTGTGGTCATTTTGGCAATGATACCATGATTCCCTGCTTTTCGCATATCATAATCTTATCGATATCTCTGTCGCAGATATCCTGAGTAACGGAACCAGCTGTCTCTATTGTAAGTGTCAAAATTGTAGGCTGGCGTTGCCAATTGTACCTGATGTGTGTGGCCGCATAGAGCAACGGCCACTCAGCATCACAATCCCTCGGTTATTGTAACTTCATGGCATGGATTGAGTGGTATGGTTTCAATACTTTACTTGGATAATGATAATGGCGTAGACTGTCTAGGAAGCGATCTATACACTAATTAGACGTATTTTCCGTGCGAAAGTTACAGTGGTGAGTAGATAACCTATTATTACAGACACTAAAGAAGGAGGGCTGGTCTAGAATCCTTGTTACATAACATGATGTGGAGCGGAATAATTAAGGGTATGAAGAATGTTGCAGGTGTATCATAACATTTTGTGTCAATTCAGTATGATGAACAGTCGTTGTGACAACCTTGCCCTTCCTAAGCGAGAGCTGATTGCAATGTCAACTACGCAGATTAAACTGTGAGATATAAAACACAGGAATGCAGAAAACCAACATCCTTAGTACAATGACAGGCCCTGAACAACGGATATCGGAAATTTAAAACAATGTACCCGTAGTAACAGTATCGAAATTGAGTTTATGATAGTAGTATTAATTGCATTTGTCTCAGACATAACGCCTCGATACAGTAAGGTCTTTCCTCTCGCAATACTGCTGTTTGGTAGATGTCAACCTTTGTTTTGCTCCATGGACATTTGGTTTCTTCGTGAGTTCAGGTGCTTGAGGCGGCCCGCTGTAAGTACTTCTAACCTCGCTGTAACGGGGTAGGGGGAGTTGCAAAACACGATGAATCTGATTATATTTACGACAACCCCAACAAGCGCAAAAGTATACTACAGTATGTTTCTCTCCTAGACTAAGCAGGGGTCGGCGTGCTCATCCTTACCCTTAGCTACCAAAACTCCACCCACGATCATCAGAAGTACAGATACAGGATGGTACCATCCCACGATGCTGCCTGCAGTGAATGACTCGCTTCTTTTGTGAAGGATGCATTGAGAGAGGCACAACAAGGCGCACTCCACTGTCAGATCCGTATGCCTGGGTTTCTGTCAGATCACAAGGGCCGCCGATTTCTCCGCATTGCGCCATGTTTCAATATGCATGGTTCTTCGGAACCGAATTGCATTTGTCTGAACATACCGCAACTGGCAGCTGGCGCCGTGAACTCGCATCCTGTTTGACCCGACCGAAACACTGCATAGCCCGTCCTGCCATTTGTGGAGCCTCTGCAATTCGCTAGAGATAGCTGCCTGATTGACTGCGGTATTTATATGCCCGATGACGATGACTGATGCACTGGCGATGATAGCTCAAATCCATGTATCGTGACCAAACAGTGCGATCATGTGATGACTGGCTTGAGTGTTCCAGCAACGTGGCACGCCTATAGTCCAATTCGACTGAAACGCTGCTAGCCCTAGTTGCATAGCTTATGAACGGGAATTTCGGCTTCTACCGCACCATCTGATCACGATGATACATGCCACAATGATGATTGTAATACCTTCATTGATATAGCCACGTGTACTTAATGAACCTTGGAGGCTAGTATATTCTAGTCATTAGTGTCATGCCAAAGTAATCACACTTTTGAAACACAGATATCTAATGCCAGTACGTAAGCTGAGACGATGTTATCTATGTAGAAATTGAATGCGCGGTACATAAGAAATCAATGGGGACAAGCGTGGGATACGAGATCGCAGACCAACCATGTGGCCTGTGGCCTAACATCTGATCATCGCCAAGTCACTTTATGTACTTTATGTTATGCTTGTAAAACTCTCATCAACTTGAGCAAGTACTGGTAGAGAAAGTACAGTTTAAAACATGAAAACGGGCTTTTCGAGTGGTTTCCACCGTGTCATGTTGTCGGTGTCTGAGTGTCATTGTGTTTTCATGCTTACTTAATCGAAAGATAGACTTTTGGGGGCCATAGAGGGCTCAGCTTGTGCGACTATTGTCCCATGTAACCCGAGCATTTATACCCCCTCCCCCCCTGTTATTATACCTAGTGCTGTGAGACGTTGAGATCGATGGAATGACATTACTTTTAGGGTCACCACATGACAGGATATATGTTTTAAAGTCGGGGATGTGCACGCGACCGGCTAGGATCATGAATTTTGTCGTTGAGAACGGCGGCGAAACCCGGCATGGACAGCCCGATCTCAGGATAAATCGAGCATTTATCATTACCTCGTCTGCGGCCTTTGGAGCCCGAAGAGGTACATGAGCCGATTGTTGCCATTTGGGAGAAAGGTGCAGTTCGCAGATTTTGATAAAAGAGATTCGTAATGTGGCTGCCTACTTTCTCCTCTGGAGCCTGCAGAGCCCGGTCTCCTGTATAGTTAAGAGATTCATTTAGCGATGAGATCTACGCCGTCAAAGGATTCAACTTCAAAATGTAGTCTGGTATGTAAGGTATCATCGAATAAACGGATCATGTAGAATATTACTGGTAGCATACTATTGGCAGGACCAGACTGTTTCGATCGCAATCTCTGGAAAGCACCCTCCAATAGTGATATATAGGCTACACAATAGAGTGCATCATTGGTATCTATCAGAGGCAGTCGAATTGTAGGGATGCCTGGCTTTAAGTTTGTCTATTGAGACGGTTGGTTTGTGAGAAACCAACTACCTCCAAGCTACATGCAAATATTGTTGTACAGTCTCACTCGACCAGCTTCGCTGGATCCGTTGTTGGCTTTGAGCGCGGCTTGTGCTTCCTGTTGTGGTCCATTCGACATCGTACTAACTAGGTTAACCTAGTCTAGTATAGCTTCGTCGCGGCAGACCAATCCAAGACAATCAAACTTGAAGCTATAGCAGACAATGGTGATAGGAGTGAGTATTCGCATCGGGAGGGCCTGCTCTTTGGAAAAGGAACCCCGGGTTCGTATTTGGGAATTCGCTCAGACGGCGTAAACACGCTCCCGCAGGAGCTCCCGTAGTTGATGTTAGCGTGCCGATAGCGGCTAGCGCGTGCTCTGCCACTGAGCCGCTTCGGTGGTGACGGAATCACTATCCTAGACTAGAATTTCAGAAGCTTTGAACCTCTGAGGAACTAAACTTACCTCAAGAGTCTGACAACTATTGTCTCATCAGCCAACCAGTTTCGCCAAAGACAATGCGATCGCGTACGACGAGCTTCGCCGATACCCGAATGACTTTCCGCCCGCGATAAGAGCCCCCCAAAATGGTCTCGGGGACAGTGCGACGCGCGCTGCTCCCTCCGAGCGGCGCGAATATCGGCCTGTGCAAGCAGCTTTCGGGGCTTCTTGGCCAGCCTGGGGCAATTGCGAGCCAAGGATTCAGTGCCAAAGCTCTCAAAGCCGTACCCAGTCAATTTCCGTCACAAACCTACCGTCAAATAATAACCAGAGGCTTCGCACGGCCGGCAAACCAGCCCGTCTTGTACCAGATTCGAGGACAGACGCCAACGTGGAACTCCCCCATAGCTGTCCTGCGCCAGTTCTCCACGACCAGGGCAGTCCACGACCAAAGGAGCAATGCTCATCAAGCCTCGGCCGCTCAGTCGAACCCTGTGCCCGTGTCTGGTACTGAGAACGGCGAAGCACAGGCGCCCCTGCCAACCAGGTTTGAGCAGAGCGAAAGAGCAAAGCAAGCCGCCCAGGTCAACTACCGAGCTCGTCTGTCCAAAGAAAAGGATGCTAAGAATAAGAGCGTAAAATCCGGCGAGGTCGTGCGGTTGCTGAAGCTTGCGCGTCCGGAGCTGAAGTACCTCGGTCTGGCCTTGGTCCTTCTTCTTCTATCCAGCATGGTCACCATGTCCATTCCCAAGGTGGTCGGCAGTGTCATGGATGCAGCTAGCAAACAGGCGCTGGACGATGCAAAAGTCTTCGGCTTCTCGTTGTACCAGTTCTTTGGTGTGTTTGCTTGTGTTCTCACACTTGGTGCATCCGCTAACTTTGGCCGTATCATTGTACTCCGGCTGATTGGAGAGCGAGTGGTTGCTCGTCTGCGATCCTCATTATACAAGCGGACATACCTCCAGGATGCCGAGTTTTTCGACGCTAACAGGACTGGTGACTTGATTTCGCGACTGAGCGCTGACTCCATTATTGTCGGTAAAAGCATTACCCAGAATGTGTCTGATGGTCTGAGATCACTCATCAGCGGCGCTGCCGGAATAACAGCCATGGCACTGATAAGTCCTGGGTTGACGAGCATCATACTTTTTGCCGCACCTTTCATTGGCGTTCTCACCTTTGGATATGCTCGCTTTATCAGGCGGATCAGCAGAGACATCCAGAAGAACGTCGGCACACTTACCAAGATCGCTGAGGAACGTTTGAGCAATGTCAAGACGAGCCAGGCTTTCAACGGAGAACGCCAAGAGCTGCATCGGTACAATGGACAGATTCGCAGGATTTTCAACCTCGGCATGAAAGACGCCATGTATACTGCTTCTTTCTTCGGCGCAACTGGCTGGATGGGAAACATGACCATTCTGGCCATGTTGTGGTTTGGTGGTGGTTATGTATCGAGCGGCGCACTTTCCCTCGGTGACTTGACTTCCTTTATGATGTACGCTGCATTCGCAGGTTCCAGTATGAGTGGACTGAGCGGCTTCTTTACCGAATTGATGAAGGGCGTCGGCGCTGCCACGCGACTTTTCGAATTACAAGATAGGGAGCCTAGCATACCGCCCACGAAGGGCGTCAAAGTCAAATCTGCCCAGGGGCCCGTGGTCTTTGACAAGGTCTCCTTTGCTTATCCCACTCGCCCAGCCGTTCCGATCTTCAAAGGGCTGGATTTCACCATTCAGGCTGGCAGCAACGTCTGTATAGTCGGCCCGTCGGGAGGCGGCAAGAGCACCGTAGCTTCCTTGATCTTGAGATTCTACAACCCAACTGCTGGTACCATTTACGTCAACGGAGTCGACATTACGACCATGAATGTCAAGTCACTTCGACGTCGCATTGGTGTCGTCTCTCAAGAGCCGGTTCTGTTCTCTGGCTCTGTCAAGGACAACATTGCCTATGGACGTCCTGAAGCCTCGGAAAGTGAAGTGTTCAAGGCAGCTCAAGAGGCCAATTGCCAGTTCATCAAGGACTTCCCCGAGGGTATGGACACGCAGGTCGGCCCCCGAGGTGCCCAGCTGTCCGGAGGACAAAAGCAGCGTATCGCCATCGCAAGAGCCTTGCTTCTGAACCCGGATATCCTCATTCTTGACGAAGCGACCTCGGCACTTGACGCCGAATCCGAAACACTCGTCAATAGCGCATTGGCAAAGCTGCTTCGAGGACATAGTACAACCATTTCTATTGCGCATCGACTTTCGACAATCAAGCGTTCTGATCAGATCATCGTCCTGTCTAACGAAGGCACTGTAGCCGAGATGGGATCGTACACCAGTCTGAGCTCAGATCCCAACAGCGCTTTTAGCAAGCTGATGGAATGGCAAATGAGCGGTGGTGACGTGCCACAAGTGCACACCCCAAGACATATTCCGATCGACGAGGCTCCAGCTATAGACGAGGAGCTGCCCGAGGAGGATGGGGAGGAGATAGAGGAGATTACGGACGAGGCCTTGAAGAACGAGAAATCGTAAACGAATGATTCTACTTATCACTTGTTTCGCATCAGTCAGACAACATCGAGTATTTACTGCGATGTGGACTTGATAAGGTACATGGTCCTTCGTCACGTCGTGGCAGTCGTCAGATGATTTGAAGACTAACACTTTCTGTATTGGGCGAAGGCGACTCCGAACTGATAAAAGAGGCCATATAATGCTGTCTTGTGTAGAATATTTCCCACCTCTCCACTCAATGATACCTCCAGACATTCTTGGGTTTCTGCGGAAACCCTCTGAGGCATTGATGGAGAAATTTGCATGAATACATAAATTCAATAACGAACAAAACCGCGTGTCATGTCAACATCTTGATTGGCTGTCTTTTAATTCGTCTCTTTAAGGTCAGACTAATGGAATGTTGATCTGCCAGTTAGGGTGTCCAAGCTGAGCCGCTCGCTGTTGACAGGTCCAATCGTCCCCGCCACATGTGAACCTCGGCGAACGGACCTTGCGGGTTGTACTAAGTATGGCTTTATCAGAACCTAGCATCACTTTAACGTATTACTACTTCCCCGTTTTAGCTAAAAAGAACTCGCAGAGAACACTGATTGTATACATATTTCACGCTGAAGCGTTTCCACTTTTGTCTTTTTGATACCCTTGTTTTGCTCCAAAGCCCAGGATATTGCCTGGCATTGCTGACAGTTCACATAAGCCACTACGTGTGGAATTCGTCGGACACAAGCTGCAAGAGCATCAAGACCGTCCCTTTTTCTTCGTTCATTTTCAGGACTTTCTCGGTCCGACTCAGCAAGGACCATGGTTCAAGAAGTCGAAGGCACGTTCCAGATTGGAGATGCCAGCCTCTACACCAAATCATGGCTTGTAAGGACCCGCTCGCATTAATATATACTGAGCATGGGCTAACATGCTCTCGCAGCCTGACAACGCGCCAAGAGCTAAAATGATAATGGTCCATGGCTTCTCGGACCATATGGGCCGCTATTACGAACTGTTTCCCACGCTTGCGGAAGCGGGCATTGCGGTTTATGGCCTGGACCAGCGAGGCTGGGGTCGCTCCGTCACCAAGCCAGCCCAGCGCGGCCTCACGGGACCAACATCCCAAGTGACGGCGGACATTGCAGCATTCATCGAGTCCCAGCTACCGTCCGACGTCCCGGTCTTCGTCCTCGGTCACTCCATGGGCGGCGGGCAAGTCCTCACGCTGGCCAGCGACCCCAAGTACGAGGACCTCATCAAGCAGGTACGCGGCTGGATCCTGGAGTCGCCCTTCATCGGGTTCACGGCGGAGGAGGAGCCAAACTTCCTGACCATCTTCTCGGGGCGCCTGGCGGGCAAGCTCATGCCGCACTTCCACCTGCACCGGCCCATCGCGGCGGACAAGATCAGTCGGGACCCGGAGGTCGTGGAGTCGATCAAGCAGGACAAGCTGATGCACGACACGGGCACACTGGAAGGACTTGCGGGGCTACTGGACCGCACGGCTGCGCTTGGCAAGGGCGACGCGAAGCTCAGCAGGAATGTGAAGAGCCTGGTGCTCATGCATGGCGATGCGGACCGGGTGTGCAGTTTTGCGAAGGCCAAGGAGTGGTTCGAGAGGCAGAATATCGAAGACGGGGAGTTCAGGGTGTATGAAGGGTTCTACCATCAGCTGCACTCGGATCCTGGACGGGAGAGGTTCTATGGTGAGGTTAGGGACTGGATTCTGGAAAGAGTTCAGGGTGGTCGGAAAGCAGGCACAGAGGTTACGAAGACCAAGAGCTCGGTTGAGGGGGGACGGGCCGAAGCGAAGTTGTGAGAAGTGTTTGATATGTGTGTGTGTTTGAAACGGAATGTCCTGTTACCAGATAGCTTCATTTCCCGAAGGACGCTTTCTGAAGTGTTCTAAGGTGTCTCAGGATACTGGACAGTACCAACAGTACCCCTAAGCTTTACATCGAGGTAGTTTGATTTGAGCTATCATATCTTTTTGTATTTGTATATAAATTTATTTATTTATTTAAAAATTAGCCCCCCAATTTAAATATAAAAAACCTCTAATTTTACACACTCAGTTGGATTCTCTGCGATACTGGCATGATGTCTCCCTGCAGATCAACCACAACTGCGAAGGCACAAGCCAAGAAAGCTCGTGTTCAAGGTACCACCATTAGCCTCAGTAGCATAAATCCGATCGTGCAACATCTGTGATGAAAAGGTTGGCACTGTGAGTAAATCTGGGTGCCTTGCCTTTTACTTTACTTTTAATGACAGACAGCCCACCTGCACCTGCACCTGCAGCTGCACTTGCAATTGGGGACAGCACGTTCTCTCCCCCCCTACTGAATGCGGTTTAGACCGATTGACTAAGGTTAGAGGCGGGCCACTCCCCGTCCCTCGTCCTTGTCCTCTGATGCCAGCTGTGAGACTTGGTAGCATCAAGGGGAGAGAGAGACAAGACCAGACAGGCAACGCAACTGCCTCGACGACAAACCCATTCTCCCAGAGCACACTCAGAACGGGATTCGCCAACTGCTGCCTTTTCCGCCCTCCTCTGCATTGGCCATCGATCATAGCTGGCCCTCGAGGGCCCTGTCCCAGCCGCCAAGATGAGTTCCTGTAAGCAGAGTAGCTCTGAGACGGTGCTCCTTACGTACCATCCACCGCATCTTGGGCTAACGCAACCCGTCTTCGTGTAGTAAAGCAGTTCATCCGCAATGTACGAGCGGCCAAGACCATCGCCGACGAGCGCGCTGTCATTCAGAAGGAGAGCGCAGCCATCAGAGCTAGTTTCCGCGAGGAAAGCCACGACCACAACATAAGGTGCGCATATCATGAATCCAGAATGCATGCTCCTCGCCCTTGCCAAACGTGGACATGGCAGAGCGTGGCTTGACTGACACCGCAAGTCTAGGCGCAACAATGTCGCCAAGCTTCTCTATCTGTTCACCCTGGGAGAGAGAACACATTTCGGCCAGATCGAGTGTATCAAACTGCTGGCATCACCTCGCTTTGCGGACAAGCGTTTAGGACATCTGGCCACGAGCTTGTTGCTGGACGAGAATCAGGAGGTCTTGACACTGGTCACCAACTCTATTCAGAAGTGCGTTTCTTCCAATTGCATCCCGCCTTCCCCCCTCGTCCTTACTGACAGTGCGTCCGTCTAGCGACCTCGGCCACTCCAACCAATACGTGGTCGGTCTCGCGCTCTGCACCCTGGGAAACATTGCCTCGCAGGAAATGTCGAGAGACCTCTTCGCCGATATCGAGAAGCTCGTATCGACCAACAACCCCTACATTCGCCGGAAAGCAGCACTATGCGCCATGAGAATATGCCGGAAAGTGCCAGATCTGCAGGAACACTTCATCGAAAAGGCTGCTGCTCTGCTCTCCGACCGAAACCACGGCGTCCTGCTTTGCGGTCTCACCTTGGTCACCAGCTTGTGCGAAGCCGACGAGGAGGAAGGCGGTGAGGAGGGAACTGTCGACAAGTTCAAGCAGTTCATACCCGTCTTGGTCAGGACACTGAAAGGTCTGGCCACATCCGGATACGCTCCCGAACACGACGTCACTGGAATTACAGATCCCTTTTTGCAAGTCAAGATTTTGCACCTCCTACGGGTCCTGGTCCGCGGGGATTCCGAGGGGACCGAGCAGATCAACGACATCCTGGCGCAGGTTGCCACCAACACGGACTCCACCAAGAACGTCGGCAACTCTATCCTCTACGAAGCCGTTCGCACCATTCTGGACATCGATGCCGACTCCGGTCTCCGAGTGCTCGGTGTCAACATTCTTGGCAAGTTCCTTACCAACCGCGACAACAACATTCGATATGTTGCCCTGAATACCCTTATCAGGGTCGTTGCAGTCGAGCCCAACGCCGTTCAAAGGCACCGGAACACAATCCTCGAGTGCCTGAGAGATCCAGACATCAGTATCAGGCGGAGAGCGTTGGATCTGAGCTTCACGCTCATCAACGAAAGTAATGTCCGAATACTCATTAGGGAACTCTTGGCATTCTTGGAAGTGGCCGACAATGAGTTCAAGCCGACCATGACTAGCCAAATTGGCATCGCCGCCGACCGATATGCTCCCAACAAGCGATGGCACTTCGACACCATGCTGCGGGTACTCAGTCTTGCCGGAAACTTTGTCAGGGAACAAATCATGTCCTCGTTCATCCGTCTCATTGCCACTACCCCTGAGCTCCAGACTTACGCTGTGCAAAAACTCTACATCAATCTGAAGAAGGACATCACCCAAGAGAGTCTGACGCAGGCTGGATCCTGGTGTATCGGAGAATATGCCGAGTCGTTGCTCCAAGGAGGGCAGTATGAAGAGGAAGAGCTTGTTCAGGAGGTCAAGGAGAACGAAGTCATCGATCTCTTTTCCACGATACTTAACAGCAACTATGCCACCCAGGTTACTACCGAGTATATTATCACAGCACTGGTCAAACTCAGCACAAGGTTGTCCGACCCGTCTCAAACTGAAAGGGTACGGCGTCTGATTCAGCATCACCAAACGAGTTTGGATGTCGAAGTTCAACAGAGAGCTGTCGAATACAGCAATCTCTTCTCCTACGATGAGATACGCAGAGGAGTACTGGAGAAGATGCCCCCGCCGCAGATCAGGGAATCGTCACGCGTGCTGGGCGAGGCCACCACCAAGACGAAAAAGGCTGCCAACCGCAAGTCGAAACTTGTTGCCAAGCCTTCCACCGATCAAGACCTGTTAGACCTAATGGGCGATGTCACTGGCAGCCCAGCCGTGACTTCGCCTACAAACGGCGGTCCTAGCAATACCGATCTTCTGGCCGATATTCTTGGAGGCACCACAAGCCCACCACCCCAAGGTGCTGGTTCACCGCCGCCCCAACAACCCCACGTCTCTTCCATCATGGACCTTTTCTCTCAAGGCGGTACATCCTCGCCTGCTCCAGCTACGGCTCCGGCCAGCTCCGGCCTAGACATACTGGGCGGCATGGGCACACCTCCACCACAATCACAAGCACCCCCGGCAGCTGCTGGCTTACCCTGCTATGATGCAAACGGTGTGAATGTCACACTACAAGTACAGCGCAACGCAGAAGGTATGGTGCAGGTTACTGGACGGTTCCGTAACTCCTCAGGCGGTCAGATTTCCAACGCCGGTCTTCAAGCCGCTGTGCCTAAGACTCAAAAGTTGCAGTTGCTCAGCATATCGAACACGGATATTCCATCTGGCGGCGAGGCAACGCAGCTTATGAGAATCATGGGTGTAAAAGGAGTAAGTCACCTCTCTAAATGCCTCTATTCATCTAGCTCATCATACGTTAACACTTTTCATAGCCTCTCCGATTGCGGCTGAGAATTGGTTACGCACACCCATCAGCAGGGCAGGTAGTGGACCAAGTCAACTGGACGGAGCCATCATGAGCTGGATAGACGTGTATACCAATAAAATTAGCTCCAGGGAGCTAATAAAATAGGTTTCTCATTTGAGATTCCAGGTGGTCCTGTCGAGTAATGCTAGTTTGAGCCAATCTTAGGATCCCCAACTTCAAGCTCCTTATCTGTGCATGCAGTATGACATATAATCGATGTCTAGTTATCCAGCAAGTTTTATACATTGTTCACAGCAGGAAGAAAGCTACACCGCGCAGAATGAATCTGTTTCAAAATGAGACGGCCTCCTTGGCATTTGCCACATCATTCAGTCAACTCAAGACTTTCACTGCAACATAGTATCATCGAATCAAACGGATTCTGATTTTTTTTTGTACTCATCACTCAATTTTCAATGCAAACGAAATCGCCTCGTTCATGCCAGGTATCCACGAGCCTACAACCTCGAGCACAAAGGTCCCACAAATCTTACTTGTCGCAACACTTCGCTTCTCATTGTGATCAGACAAGATCAAGTGGTTTTCACAAAATAACAACTTGGCTGGAATTACTCGATGTTGCCCTATTCATGCAGTTGACTCTAATTGTAGAAGTAGAACCTTACGACTAACACATCGTCTCAATCTCTTCTAGGCATAATACTACTCTTGGAGATAAGGGGGGGAAAAAAGGATCTCCATGGAATAGAAATGTCAAGCAGGTAGTCAAGACGGCATCTCCAAATTTCAGCTAACATTGGTTCTGATTATGTATCATGGCTGTCCATCTGGCAGCCTTACATCCAAGCTGCGCCAAGCAGATTAATCCAGAATAACTTGAGCATAGCGCGAATGGGCTCTGGCCAACTTTGTTCTAATAACGCATGCTAAATAGGCTCTTGTCTCCATTGTTAGCGTTACCTCTCACTGTTACTTATCACTTTTATTTGCCAAGATGTTGAACTTCTAATATATGTGGATGATATCGTAGTATAGGCTCATAGTTTATTATATGACATTACCAACATTATGCCATAGCCGTGATTACATCTCTAGCATTATCGTCCAAACAACAAAGTAGCCTCTGCCCTTTCATTTTACTATATACGTATAGTGTGAATTGGATGAATCGTATTCTTATTTGAAATGTCGTTGGGAGACTGGATAATTAACAAAGTCCAGGTAGGGGCGCATATGATGACATGGATTCAATTTAGCAATCCATATTAGTCTTGTCTGTTGTTCATGAAATATGAGAAGATCTATGATCAACACGCATTTTCTCTCCAGTCATATTGCTCATGTCATCTAGTCTGGTAGCCATTTTTGGATCCCTTATGCGATAATTTCTACATGCGTCTTAGTTAAGGCGACTTCTATCATTGGTTTATATGAAATCACCGATTTCCTAATGGCACAGGCAATCTCCTTCCATTCTTGAGCAGTTCTTAATTATAGGTATTCTTACTTAGACATATTTTTTTTATTTGGCTGAGCCGCCCTCTGCCTCTGTTGTTGGTTTCTTTTTTTCACGGTAGGCTATAAGCTTCATGGCTTTTTGGCAAGGCTTCGAAATCATTTCGTTCGGGTTGTAGTTGAATTCGAAGGTCGTGGAGAAAGAGCAAGCGCTGAGCAAGCAACATGAGGAGGCAGGTTAGAAAGAATCTAAGAGAGCCCTCGGGCTGATGAATGCTAAGTACTCTAATATAGAATAAATCACAAAGATAGATAGTTCCGTGTGTAATAATGGGAATAGTAAGACTCTTCTTCTATAAAGATTGAAATCCATCGGCTATCTATAATAAATAAGTAAATAAAACCCCTAACAAGTAAATACGTAACATAAAGCAAAATTGGCAAGAATGTTATCACCAAGAGATGGGCATAATGGTTTATTGTGATAGAATTTGGTCAACAATTAATGACCGTCGTTTCGCAGTTCAAGTCCTACCGTAAGAAAACTAATAACAAGAAAACCTTCAACTTAAGAAAGAAAGAAACAAAGAAAGAAAGAAACAAAGAAAGAAAGAAAGAAAGAAAGAAAAAAATGTTACGAACCCGGAAGTCCATGCTGCATCACACCTCCCAACGGGCAGGTGCCCTCCAATGGCTCGGCCTGCCGTGCCGCGTATGATACAACATGGCAGACGAAACGAACGAGGACAAACCACACCAACACCATTGCTTTCGATGTGTGGGAGTGGCTGGTCCACCTCGCAACAATTAACACCTCTAGTGAGCAGGCATTGAATCAGTACTATACGTCGAAACCACCGTGTGAGTAGCTCCCCATACCCCAGCGAACCACTTCCCTGTGTAATAGAAACCATTCCTATTTCTCCCTCCTCCTCTTCTTCTTCTTCTTCTTCTTCTTCTTCTTCTTCTTCTTCTTCTTCTTCTTCTCTTCATTCACTGGTGCACAGTGAGAAACGTCTAGAATATATCAAGCGTGTGTCTAACATGCCGTTACTCTACGTCGTCTTGTTCATAGAGTCCTACCACCATTTCTCACACAGCACCATACGGGACGCCATTCCCAGGCCATCCTTGTCCGTTAGGTCTTTCACGAATCCGTCGGTCATCGTTGGCACACCACAGACATATGCGACTGCGAACCGTCTGTCTGACACAGAGCCAACAGCCTCTTCTAGGTCGCGTTTATCTATCCTCCTTCCAACAAAATTTACCTCGCCATCGCCACATTTCAACGACCCGCTCTCTTCTGCGCCGCCTGTCAGATACAGTTGCAACCTCCCCCTCAGCTTGCCACCTCCAAAGATATCCTGTAGCCTCTCCAGGAACAGCATCTGCGTGGCATCTCTCTTTCCCCCGCCGGGATCCCTCATCGAGTACAAGAACCTCGCCTCGAACCCCGCACCTCCCTTCTCCGCGATATCGCTCAGCATGCTGACCAGCGGATTGACACCGACGCCCCCGGCGACGAACACCACCCGCCTGAGCGCGCCGACATCGATGCCCGGGGGTGGCCAGACGAAGGACCCGCCCACACGGACGCGGAGCTCTCTGCCGAGGATAGGGGAGGGAGGGTCCCGCCACAGCCAAGCCGCGGGCGGGTTGTCGGGGGATTTCTGTATCGCCAGCTCGACGTACCCCGGTCTTGATTCCGGGTCCACGCTCGCACCTGTGCCGACGCCGGGCCGAGCCCTGGAGGGTGGCGAGGTGATGGTGAAGCCGCCGGGCTTGGGGATACCGGGGACGAAAACGTCGAGCCATTGGCCGGCTAGGAACTATTGCGTCCGTACTAGGATTAGCAGTCCACGGCCTGAAATCTCCTGGGAAGATGGGGGGAGGGGTGACTCGATGGGGGAGCGACTTGCGTGAACAGGAGGGCCCGGAGTTGGGACCTCGAGACGAAAGAGCCGTATCGCGTCGTTTACTTGATCTATCCTCCTTATCGTGACTGTGTTGAGAGACTATAAATTCATTGCATCAGTCATTATAGATCGTACAACGGACGTATACGTCGTGTAACATACCCTGTCGCGCGGCTCTGCTGCTGTCCGCTCGAGATGACTGGTCTTGGTGGAGGTAGACAACATTTTAGCTAGTAAGCGTTGGCAATTGGGGTGCGCTATCTGTCTAGTTATATATTGCAGATGCATGAGTTCACCTCGAGTTACTGGATTATTTGGACATAGATTGTCGTCGTACGGTCAACTGCAATGAGCGTAAGATACACTCAGTGAGTTGAGGTCATGCATCCTATCAATAGAGCTTGGGTGGGTCCACTTCACTCAGTGTTGCATCGACACGACGACACTAGAGAAGCACCACTATGCAACATCTATAGTGGCTACTATTGCGGTTCAAATCTCGAGCCCGGACACATGCAAACAAGGGTGCGTGTTCATCACGAAGTCTCGGACAAATGGGAGGCACTACCAGAAATAGGACCTATTGCTATGGATGCAAGTACTAATAGCCTATGACAAATGCGTTCGCACATGTATACATATTATGGTGTTTCTGCAGTCGCTAGCCATCGATTTTTCCCCATTCTCATGAACCATTTCCGTCTGTGGTACGCTGGTGGCATAGTCTCGAATGATGGCATAATTAAACAACGACAAAACCAACTTGGCGACTTCTGCCCTAGTTGTATAACTCAAATCCAATTGCCGATCGGTTTCTCAATCGCTTCAACCTCGTCACGGCCCTCGGAGTTGACTTCACCACGAACATGATCCGGAAATTGAGCGGCACGTGGTGTAATTGCGTCGTCAGAAGCGTCTTGAGCAAGGAATGCAGTAGTTTTGATAGTTGGAGAATGACCCGGTTCTCGTCCTACACCACCCAAGCTTTCGTTCGAGGGGTAAGGGCCAATGTCGCTGTAACGGCTTCTGCGCCTGTGGTCCTGCGAAACCAAGTTGCCAAGCTTTTTCCCTAATCTAGGACTCCAAAGTCGGCTGAAGGGCTTTCGTTGTACCGGCGATGGTGTTCGTCTCATCCACTCCGACTCACTCAGGCTGAGCGTCCCTGGCGATGATAGCGCACCTCCACCGAAAAGAGTCATCTCCGATACTGAAGTTGGGATTCGAGAGCGTATCCTGCGTGGAGAAGGCTGCAGAATGGGCGGAGAGGTGAACTGTGCAATTTGGTGCTCAAGAACACTTCCAGTAGTAGACAGATATCTTTCTGGTGACGGAAGATATTGTGATAGCGACGTAACTGATGAAGGAGGCGAACGCTCATAATCTGAAAAAGAGTTACCTTCTCCCACATCTGAAACTCGACAGGGCAATTCCACCATGGACGGTACAGAACACAAGACAGTATGAGCCGTGCCAATTTTGATGTCCTCATCTCCCAATTCTCCATTCTCGACATAATTAACAAGAGAAGGGGTGAGAGATGGGCAAGTGGAACGCACAGAAGACTGAGACGTATGCCGTGATCTCGGTCGCGGTGGCTCAGGTAGTGGACGATGGAGGATCTTCTGTGGTGTTGGATCTTTGGAAATCTTAGCCGGCTGGTGCATGTGCTGATCAGCTGCAATAGAAGGGAAGGGTTCCAATGAACTATCCATGAAGTACCTCTCCTCTTCTCTGTGCTCGAAAGTCCCACCCAGGCCTCGGTCTCTGGAATCATGGCAGATGTTTGCAAGCAAAGGTTTAACTTCGAAGGAGAAGTTTGGAGTCACTGGAGACCTTGAGTTAGATGTCTTGTTAGCACTGACAGGTGTTACTTGGTCGATGGCGTACTTGGCATCCGTTTTCGGGAGTTGCGGCCTCGATTCGGACTGGGGAACTAGGTTGAGTTGCAGTAGATGTTTCATGGACCTGTAGTGAAAGCGAAAGGAAGCGAATGGGGCGTCCTTTGGATCAATGAGGAGCCAGTCGTAGAATGTTGCATCTTGAGGATCTTCCACTAGGCCTCCGGTTGGGGACCTGTACTAGTCAGTGAGGATGCTGACGTTCCAGCGAAAGGACATATATACTCACGCTATTCCGTATTTCTCCTGGCTGCGAAACCCGAACATCTTAGGCGCACGTCGTCTGCGTCCTTGAGACCGGAAAACTAGTATCTCGATGAGTCCTCCATCTTCAGCGACGGATTTCTTGTCCGAGCCAGGCATGAAGTGGAAGTGTCTCATCTCGATACCAACCGACCTTCCCTCCACATCTGTGCTCATATGATGCCAAATTTCGCCTGGTTCGTACAAAGCTCTGACGACGGTGCCGCCAGTGGAACGTTGGGCTCGGTCGTTTTTCTCCGCGTGTACAGGCAAGCCCCACGAGGTGATGGCCGCTCCGTTCATGTACATTTTGAAGTAGAGATGTGTTGCTAGAGGTGGAGTTCGAATGATGTCGTACCGTAACCAGAATTGCTCACCTGGAATGTTGCTTAGCCCAAGTGAAGGCGTGCTAGGCAGTGACCATGAGCCTACCTGGCAGTGAAGGAATGTAAACTGAGATACGCGGATGGACCTTTTTCTGGCGCGTTGGATCTCCATCAGATACGACAGAAGCATCTTCCGAACGCCGCGGGCTCAGTGCATCTTGACAGCGCAGAGTGTCTGGCGATACAAGGCGTACTGACGACCCATCTGGATGAGGATACTCGGGAAGGTTCTTGGCCCCAGTGCTGGCAACAACGGACACCTCTATACCGCGAAAGATGGGCATCTCGGACAAGACAATGTGGGTCGGCTCAGAAATGTTGCGAATGAAAGACAGTTTGATAGTTGCTCAGACAATTCTTCTTGACTGAAGCAAATTTTGTAATTTCATATGAAAGGAAGATTTGACACTCATGTCGCTGATGTGGAATAAACACAGAAGAACTAACAACAATCGTACGAGAATTCCGTCACGCTGAGAGGATGCGATTATATTGAGGAAGGAACGAAGGTGTTGGCCGCTTCTGGGTCATGAGCTCACGCAACGCGCCGTTGCCCAGCTTCAAAATTAGCACAATTGCATCTTGATTACCCTCCAAGAAGACTGGATTGCGAATTGGTAGCTGAAGCAATGAAAGCGCTCCAAGTCACCAGCCGTGAGTTGTGCTTCGTGTACCGAATCATTTGTTAAGAACGCAGGGTGGATATTTACCGAGTTCGTTGGAGCTTCAATTCCATGCATTGCCTGAGCTAAGTTGGTTCTATAACGACGCCTCTCGCATGGGGTTTGAGCGCTTGACAGCCGATCAGAGTCATACTTGCACCTATGCGCCAATAGACTCGATCGGGTTCCACTGGTATAGGAGTGCTGGATCACTTTAGAGTGGCTGTAAGATCTGACGCTCACAGCAGTTCTCAAAGACGGGTTCTGAATCGTCCATGTCATCCTTTACAGCGGACTGGTTTTTGCTGAAAGATTTCTATTGCCTACACCCCGTCGCGTCATATGTACACAACCCTCGAAAGGTCGAACGAACTGGTCTCGCCATGAACGCAATCACTTCTCCAAGACCTTCTTGGTGTCGTCGTCCTTGTCCAAAAGCCCGAGATTCCGTATTTGGCCCGCTGTCGGTGCATTCTCTCGCCCTGCTGAAGACTCGGCTTTCCGGAAGGCGGCTTGCAGCGCTCTCGTTCTCGCAGCCTGGCATTTACGTTAGTTTTCCCAAAGTGTACTTCACCAGGTTGTCGGCTGCTGACCTCCTTCTTGTGGTGTAGACACTCGTAGTAGTCCTCTAGGATGGGTTGGCACTTCTTCTTTCCAGAATCATCGTCGGCAGATGTGTTGACGACGTAGCAGGACAGAACTTCTTGCCAGAAAGGGAAGCATCGGCCAGGGCCTGGGAAAGATATGTGGGTTAGTTGTGGGAGCGATTGAGAGCCGATGCGGGGACTGACCTCCGTGCAAGCCATATCCAGAAGCCATGATGAGTTGTGAGGGACGGGTAGACCTGCTGACGCTATGCAAGCTTCAATTGAACGCCAGACTGGTGGTTTCGTGATTGACGCTCGACGTTGTGACGGGATCGCGGATCGCGGAGCTTGGTAACTTGAATTGGGAGTGTGGCAATTGGTGGAGCTCGGGCCACGGTCGGGCACCCCTGCTGTGGCGCAGGAAAGCTCCTCCCCCTGCTCCCTTGTCTTTTGTCCTTGCCTATGTCTTGGGTCTGTGTCCAGGTATGCAATTGCTTGCTTGGCCTTACAGTACTGACGTACGTTGACGTCCTTTGGTACAAGTACTCCGTAAAGAGAAGAGACCAGCTTTCGCGACCCGCGCATGTGTATGCCTTCCCGAGTCTTAACCCACCCATTTGTGTTGTAAGCGCACACGTCAAGTGGGAAAATGTGCGCGTCTAGTCCAACATGACATCTCTTCTCTCACCCCCCAAAGTTGTCCTTCTGGCGGCGCACTTTGCTATCAAATCCGATGTCGACAGCTTGACCATACTCGCCCTACGATATGACAAGGTCTTACAGAAGGAGCTCCTCCTGCGCATACTCTTGACTTGTCTACCCGAAACTACTGAGCCAGCCCGATACGTCGAGTTGCTCCAGAGACTAGAATCAGACGAATTTGAAAAAGACGATGCATCCCGCGAGATTGATGCCTCGTCGGTGGAACACTTCACCGATGTTGAAGTCGCAAAGAAGGTCCGAAAGCTACGACTACTTCCCTTGACCTCGTCCGTCGCGCCTAGGCATGCAACAGAAGACTTGCTCAGTCAATTCTTGCTTGCCCGTGCCCACCGGATCGACGAAGAGGCTGGTCTGCTCACGCAAATTCCTGATTTAATTGTCCCTTTTCTAGACCATGCTCCCTGCATCCGAACATGGATGATATCCGCCTTGTTACCTCTGCTGAGACGAAACTACGAATATTACCCGCATAGCCCAATACAACACACTCTATCAGAATTCGAGCAGCTCAACGACCGGGCTGCCGTAGCCCTGCTTCTCGAACAGACTGGTGTGAGCGACGACAGTCTTTCTCACATTGGCCGAGACTTGCGCGGTCTTATAGGTCCGTGGTTATATAATGATGCCAGATGGAAATATGACGATACTCTCATCGGAGAAGATGGGCAACCAGTATCACAAAACAAGACGTGCCCAGGCTGGGAGCAAATGCTGGAATGGCTTACGGAACAAGCATCCAGGTCGTGGATCGTCGCCGTGAAAGCAATCGAGCAGTGGGATGGACCCAATGATGTCGACTTGAGCGGCTATGGATCTATGTGGATGGAGGACGAGGACCAAGGCTATCTCGAATCGAGATACGCTCGTGCTGCATTAGCGGCAGCATATCTAGTGACAGAAGCGTCCGTTGAAGCCTTGGTTGGGGTGAATACTATCATTACCAGAGTAAATGCTCTACTTGGGGAAGACCCCATGCCCACCCTTCAGGTTGCTTCCTCGTTGCTGCCACCGCTTAACGAGCTCAACAATGAGTCGATCATAGTTGCCAAGAACGCGACGCATATGCGCAACGACCTGCTGGAAGAGTCGAATATCCTTACAGCTCCTACGAAGCAATCCACACATATTCTGCATGCATTGACTTTAAGTGCTTTCATACTTACGAAAGCTGGTGCTCCCTGCTGCATTCGCAGAGCCGGTGAACTGGCCTTCCTCCAAGACCAGCGAGAACAGAAGAGTGAGGCTCTCAAGTTTATCAACACATTGCGCAACAATACAGCGAAGACGGATGATAAATATTGGGTACGCGCACGAAATGAGCTTTTATGGCTACGGGATTGGGGTGCTGAAGAAACTGCAAGTGACGCCTCGACAAGGTTGCAGGGTGTTTTCGGTCGGCTCGACAGGGCATTCCTCGAAATTGAGTGCCTCAAAGCATTCCTTGCCAGTGGACGTAAGTCATTAGACCTTTTGTTGTCTAACTTGAACTGATTTTGAGCCAGGATACTCTCTTGCAAGATCCATATACGAAGACTCACACGAGAAGATTCTCTCTGAAAAAGTCCTCGAGGACACTATCGTTGCAGCAGCTATGAATGCATATGACAACGCCTCGAATCCAAACCGTACTCGGGGCGGCTTACTCAAATGCGATGATATGTAGGTTTTTATTTGGACTGTTGGATTGATAGTCCGCTAATCGCTTGCTAGTGTACATGCGTTCCCCAAGACATTGCCTACAGACGGGGCTGCTGCGAAGAAAATTGAAGCTCTTCTGAGAGCAACCCATGGCTTAAGCTCTTATCGTCTAGCACTCAAACAAGGAGAGCCGTTCACGCCAGTGGTTCTGCGTGTTCATTCCGATCCCGTGTCTATTGTTGGGAAAGTATTGCAACAAAATCCACACAGCTACACCAGACTGCAGGCTTTCCTTGAAATAGGATCCAACATGGTTGAGGCAGGACTACCCGTGCAGAAAAAGTCAAATAGGCCTTTGGCAGTCCTCGATGAACTCGAACAACATGCGTTGGTCGAGAAGCGCGTGACTTCTATGTGTATAGATGCAGCTTTGACGGAAGATGACTTCGAAACTGCATACTCTTACGTCGTGAACAGACTGGCGTCTGGGAGGACTGTACTGACATCGGCCGATGAATACTCCTGGCGAGCCGCTTTGGAGGCGGGTAAGTACCGCCGCACGGCGCGTACGATTCGCCCGACACATATTGGCACATCTAGCGGCAATCTCGATGTTCGACACCTGGAGCAACGAATTGAGTGTCTTTCAACTGCACTAAGGATCGCGCCAACAGATACACTGCAGGAAATATTGAAGGTTTTCCGCAAATGTGAAGAAGAGCTTGGTGCAGCTGTGAAGGCGGACGAGGAACAAGAATCCGCCTGGGACGACCAGGGTGACGTCCAAGCCATGCCTGGAGGATTCAGTAGCGAAGTGCCTGCTGGCGTCGTCAGGAGCAACACCACAAGGTCTGCCAAGCAGCAGGAGGAAGCGCCAATGTCATTGTTCGATCTTTCAAGGGCGACCATGGCACGCGCACAGTTCAACCTTCCTGCGCTTTCGAGTTTGCAACGCGGCGAGCAACAGGCTAAGCAAAGTACACCCGAGGAACACGATGATCAGAACCGAGTCAGAAAGAGAGATCAGCTGAGAGAAGCTGCGGTAGGGACACTGGCATCGGGTGTCGGCTGGCTCATTGGAGCTCAGCCTGCACGACCACAGTCGCGGGCTTCTGAATAGCCTGGCTGGATGGGATATAGTAATGCTTAATGACTGACGATAGCGAAGAGTTGTACAATTCAAAGACCATTATCTAGCTACGCCGCTCGCTTATATCATTATATCAGATGTGTCGCGTATTTACCTACATGTGTGGTCTACGTTCTAACCTGTCCTCTAGAATCATGCAGGCTCCCTTCTCGGCGATTGCATAGACTGTGGCTTGTAGGTGGGCACTTATCTGTAAGGGCATGATACTCGCATCCACAACCCTGAGTCTCCCGACACCATAGACTCTCAGCCTCTCATCCACAACACCCTGTTCAGCACCTGCAAATCCCCCCATGGCACAGGTCCCCACGGGATGGTAGTCCGTAATCGTGTTCTCGACGGTCCAGCCACGCAGGTCCTCGTCACGCGTGGCCGAAGCCGGCGGCGAGGCACGAGCACCGACGATGCGGGCGAGCGGCGCCGTCCGACAGATGCGGTCGGCGAAACGCGCACAGAGGACCATGGCCTCGAGGTCCATCTGGCCCCCCGGCCCGGAATAGTACGCCGGGTCGATGATGGGCTTGTCTGCGGCGTCTGAGGAACGAATATGGATGGACCCTCGCGAGAACGGGTACTGCAGTATCTGCAGCATGGTCCCGTACTTTTTGCCGGCGGCCGGCTCGAAATAGGGGTTCCAGTTTCCGAGGTCGAAGATGTATTCGATCTGGCCTAGGCTTTTCTGGCTGTCGAAACGTTGTGCGAGAATCTTTCGCTTGTTCTGTGCGATGTTGTTCAGATCTGCTGTTCTGGATTGGAGAGATGAGAGGATGTCCTCCGGCACGAAATGTGAGAGTGGCAAGTAACATATGGAGCAGGGAAGTACGGTCAGTGGTCCTGACTGCGATTGTGTGTACTGTCTCATTGCTGCGGCTTTGGCGTTGTCGTTGGTTTTCAAGTCATCGGGGTTTGCGAGGCTTGAGTTCACCTCGAATATCATGGCTGTCACTGTTATTGTGTCAAAATCGATAGCATGGTAGGCCTCAAGGGAGAATAGATAAGTTAAGAAAACATCAATATATAATTGAGTGCGCTCGCTCTCATGCAAGCTTATCAGAGGGGTAGATAAAACTTACTGATATGGTCCTGAAGGTTTTCTCCTACATTTGCATTCGAGACTTTGGTTTCGATCCCAGCGCTCCCGAGTATTTCCGGATTACCGATGCCTGATAACTCTAGTAGCTGAGGCGACTGTACGCTGCCCGCAGACAGGACGACTTCGCGCAGCGCTTGTACTGCGTATTGTTTTCCGTCGTGGGCGAAGCGCACACCATGGGCAACCCAATCGCCATGTTGTTGCTTCAGTAGTATCTCGTTTACCAGGACACCGGTGAGAACATGGAGGTTTGGTCGTTGTGAGTACGGTAGGTAGTATGCTGTGCTGGAATCTTTGGCAAATAAATCAGCGATGTTTGACAGGAGAAGCCACGTCAACAATGAAAAGAGCGGATCACCCACAGGACCTTTCGTACGAACGCGGATTAACTGAGTTGATGTTAGTCCATACGCCAACGTTTGAACCTGCCATGTGGCGTCTGTTCGTATCTACGCCGAGGTTGTTCAAGGTCTGGTGCCAAACTTGGTGCGAGTCTGAATAAGCCTTTGAGTAGGAGATATGAACGGGGCCGTTCATTCCAAACGCCTCGTCATCATAGTATTCCTTATTCGTGTGCTGCATTTCTGGTCCTGGAGGGTGGAAGGCCTCCGATCTCTTGAGGAACGGTCTTTACACAGCCGTTAGCGTTTATGGAATGAAGAGTTTTAGCGGTCAATATCAAGTGCTGAAACTTACAGCAGATCATCCCACCCCCAGCCATTGTTGCCCAGCTGTACCCAGTCATCGTAATCGTCCCGGCTCGCGCGGTTCCAGGTCATGAAGTTCAGCGCGCTCGTCCCGCCAAGCATCTTGCCCCTAGGCCACGGGAGTGTTCGCCCACCAAGCCCCTCCTGCGAAGTGGTCTCGAACTGCCAATCGAGATCCGTGCCTATAGCCTGTCCATACAAGCCGGGTATGTCTACGTTCTCCAGCTTGTCGATGACTGGCCCTGACTCCAGTACTCCTATAGTAAGATTCGCATCTTCCGACAAACGTGCCGCGACTACGAGGCCAGCCGTCCCCCCACCGATTATAAGGTAGTCGAACCGCTGCCGAAGGAAAGCTTCAACGTTTGCTGCCGGACCTGCCATTATTTCCCAGGTTTAATGACGTGACCATGTGACTGATTATAGGAGCGAGCTGTCTTCACATTTCTGGAGCCTAGCATGAGGTCTCGAAACGCATTTTGTTGGCTCATGACCCTTGTTAGGGAAGGCTGTGCTTATTGGGCCATTCTCGTGCTATCAAGGGAACCTATCACGGGGGCGGCTATTCGGCACCAATGGCAGGGGTATCACACGGTTACAGTAGTTCACTAAGCATAATGAATCTAGTCAACATATGGCCGATCTGACACGGTCCAAAATTCCAAACCCTGAAATGGTAACAGTACCCAATATGCCGATGTTGGCTAACAGCCACGTACATTCCGCTTCACATAAAGAGAGGGAATGATAACAGCTGTGGTTCTACGGGTGCAGCATCATATTTCTCGACGATTCCGAGAACACGTGCTGCCAGGCCCTTCACATTTACCGCCGCCATACCTCTCTGCCTGAGAGACTCAACAAATATGATCTGACATTGCTTACACAACAGGGAATACAATACATATTGCACAGTTCCCATTCGTACTAGAGCGCAGAAGGTGATCATCTCAAGCATCACTCACCCCTTCAAGTAGGAAGTAACGGAAACGTATAATTGCATTCAAGTATGGTTCTGTTACAACGATGAAATATTCACCAAGAACTCCTGACTAAATTCAAATCAGTCAACAAAGGAAAACCAACATTTCATGCAACAAAACCTTATCTCGACTCTTTCATTAATCCTGGGCTCTTCCATGTTCGTGCCCCATGGAGTCGTCAAAACTCATGGTTTTAGGGGTCCTGCGCGTCGACGGTTGGCTCGGCGTCGGTGGGCGTCGACCATTGACGCTATTGACAGCTCGCTCAACATTGTCAAGTACACTTTGAGACAGGCCTGTACGGCGACTCCTTTTTTCTATAGAAGACTCAGCGATTGTCCAAGCGAATGGTATTGCGTGTTTATCTAGGACGTGTTTAATCCACTAATGTACACCATGTCTCTTTCAAAGCGGGTATTTATGCTTACCAGCTGATTGCGCGGCCACTTCTGACTGTTGTACTTTGTCATTTAGAACATCCAGCCGTCTTAGCAAGGAATAAAGGTGCAGTTTAGTCTTTGAAAAGGTGCTGTAAGGCCCTTCGTCGTCCGCAGTATGCTGACGCCGCTCATTGAAACGACTGGTGAAGTCTCTACCTCGGTCCACCAAGATATCCGTTTCCTTCGAAGTCAATGCACTGACGCCGTAATCGACTTCCCACTCGAGACGCGGAAGTCCGTCTGTCATGGCCTTGATTCCTTTGTCAATCTTGGCAAGATCGACGCCCTTTAAGAAATCTATAGTCATGAGCATCCTCTTGAGCCAGTTCGTAAGCTCTGTTCTCGTCAAGCCCCTGAGCTTCTCGCGTATATCCTTCACATCTTCACCGTCATTGATTTGCTCCCAGGCCTGTTTTCGGAACTCGAAATCTGCCTCTTCTTCGTGTTCTATCTGATCAGGAACGCCGTTTTTGAGGTATTGCGTCGTGATTCTTCGGTACCTTTCTTCAAAGACATATGCCGGTTCACTCGCACCCGATGTCCCCTGGAAATACTTCCACTTGGGAAGATGTGGTCTATGGGTGTTCCAAGCGTGCTCCCTGGCATGATACTCATCCTCGGGATCTCTCGTTGCCTTCCCAGCTGTGAAGAAGACGCGTGTGGGGCTATCATCTTCTAATCGTTCGGGGAGATTAGACACCCTATAACTTTCCTCCTTTTCCGGAAGCACTGCCTTCGAGGCGTCTGAGGTCTGCACTGGGTACGTGAGTTTGGATATAGCGTGGTTCTCAGCAGGTTCGGGAGATAGACGCGCTTTACTGGGTGATTTTGGAGAAATGGTCGATGTGCTAGAAGGTCGTTTTCCGTTCGAATTAGTCGACTGCCCAGATGCTGTGTAAGACCAGCTATCTGCACTTGGAGCCTCAAATGAATTTCTAGTTCTTTTTGGGGAACTGGGAATGTATGTCTCAAGCTTGCTCGGTGGGTTTGCAAGAGTCGCTTTCTTTCCTCTCTTCGATGAGCCCTGCGACTCTAGTTCAGGATTCTTAGCTGGCAGATTGGCCTTCGGTGTTCCCCATAAGTCTTTGCGATGGTCGACGTTGATCTGTAAATCCTTGATTGACTTGAGTGGCTCACCAAAAGAGCTACCTGTGGCCTGCTTTCCGAACGCGCTACTTGGAGGGCCGACTTGTTGTCCAAGCTGTTTCCCCCTTTCTACCCAATTGAGTACAGGACTTTGAGGCCTAGAGTTACCCTTTCGTTTCGGTGTTTCTTCCTGTGCGAACGGAAAATTCTCGACCTCTCCTTCGGATACAGAACCCTTTCCACCAGTTCTGTTTGTAGAAGAGTCGCCGGTACTCTTGTTCGATCTATCATCAGGTGTAGGGTTTCCGAAGATTGGCGCCTGGGGACTCGTGGCGGCGATTTCAGTTGGGTTGACGGTGCCGCTTTTGGAAGGTTTCGGAGAGGTGACCCCAGCAGATAGTGCCGGGGTTCTCCTCGGAGGTGTTTTCGGCGAGGATGTCTGCACCGGCTCTGATGATTGTCCGTTACCATTATGTGGCTGTGGCACCAGAGGTCCAGTTAGTCCCGACAGTATAGTTCCAAAGTCACGAAGGTCATGGAGAATATGATCATGTCCCATGGGGGGCTCTGGCACAACGCCTTCAGGTCTAGTGCAAGTCCTTTCCATCTCCCCGGCCCGTTTATGAGCTTCGATCTCTCTTGAACGATTTATTTCGTCCATCTGCTCCTGATCCTTACGGGCAGCCACCTTTGCAGTCTTCTCCTTCTCTTCTTCCTCACTCGCAAGCTTTGCAAGGCTAGCTTCCGCTTCTTTGGCAGCTGTTTCTGCCTTCAATCTTCTCGCCTCAGTTGCTGCTTGTTCCGCCCTCTGCTTGGCTGTCAGACTTTTATTACTTTGGAGATCAATCTTGCTACTCAGATTGAGAGGAGTCGGCTTTGGGCATGGCTGCTTGACTGGTGTACCAAAATCCTGAACTTGAATAGTTGATATCGGAATGTTGCCGCGGTCGCCATACTCATTGTAACCATGGAGACCACTAAGGAACGTTTGTGGTGGGCGAGGACCGCCGCCACCGTCGCCGTTGATAGGAGGATCAGATGGGGGTGTTGGTATTGGTATCTTAGTACCGTCGTACGCGTCGTTCCTTCCATCAATTTCAACCGGCACACGAGTGAAATATCCGGCTTCGCCGTCGTATTGTACCGGCCAAGTACGGCTTATGATATGGGTGTCTTGAGGATCAATGCTCATTGGATCCCAGTCCGGAGCATCTTGTGTGATTTGCTCATGTAGGATGTCATCATTGTAATCTCGGAAGTCGTGTTTTCGGTCAAAGTCCATAAGCTGAGGCTGTTGCATCTTCCCATTGGCATAGAGGCAGTGCCTATCCCAAGCAAAGTCCCGCTCGCGTTCATCGGCCTCACTTACAATGCCGCAGGTATCCTTAGTGAGTTCCTCGTTCATTTGATTGATGAGATATCGGTCTTGATCGGGATACAATGTAGGCCATGCCTGCGGGTGCGTTTGTCTAATTTTGGGGGTTTGCGATACAAAACTGCGTCCGGACTTATTGGAGCCAGATGGGCTACCATGAGGACGATCGGGTTGTGGGCTTTGCTCTCCTTGAACTGGAACGGGATTGGGCTGTAACTGGATGGCCTCGATAGCAGCTTCAAAGAACCGCTGTGCCCAGTTTGAACCCAGTCTTCTACGAAGCCCCTTCTCTCTATCTGAAGCCACAACACCGTCGGTGAGCTCACCCAGCAGCGTCTTTATGGCGTCTTGCCTCGCCTCTTGGATAAGCTTCTCAGCCGATCTCTTGCTCAGCAGGACAGCCCCACTATTGTTCGGGACTGACTGGTCGTTGTCCCTGCTTGACTCTATGCTTTGAGAACCACCAGGTTCAATATTTACGGAGTAGTTGCTATCAGAATAGCTGTCGGCTTCATCGCTTTCAGACTGAGTGCATGGTGTGGTATTCTCTGTCCCACGACCATGGTCAGAGCTCAAGTCAGACGAGCTAAAAGAGTAGGGCGCGTCATCATCATTGTCGTCCCATATCTCCAGTCTCCCGGGGATAGTAACGCCTGGTCGGAAGCCCCGAGGGTTTGAACTGGGTGCTGGAGGTGGCGGTGGCGACGGCAATGGTGGGGCTGTTCGCGCTCCTCGTCCTCGTCCTCGCCCTCGACGACCGCGACCTCCCCGACTTCCTCTGCCTCGAAATCCACGCCCTCTGCCCGAGCCACCCGTAGAGAAGCTTGACTTTCTGGAGAATAGCGAAGGTTGACCTATAACAACCAAAAGCGCCTCATCGAATGAAGGTCCGAACTCCTTCCTGAAAGGCTTTAGACTGATCGGTATTGGCTTCTTACTGACCTTGTCGCCCTCGAGAAACATCCTAATGGCCCACTCCTGCTTGATATTTGCTGTGACCTGGTTGTATAGGAGCTCAAGATCCTCATCGGAGACAGCATTACCTTCCTTTATAATAAACCGGGCCTTCGCATCCGCAAAGATTTCAACAGCTATCTCTTGGAGCGTTTTGTTAAGCCATTCTACCGAAAAGATATCATCAAGCTCGGCGTCAACTTGCTCATCAAACTTTTCATATTTCTCGTCATTAGAGTTGAGGTTGGAATCATCAGTAAAATACTCTTGACACTCTTCGGATGTTGCAGAACCGCTGAACTCAGTATTGCTGAGCTTAGACTCATCTTTGTCGACCTTCATGTCGTCCAAATAGTCCATGGTTTCTGCCTCGATACATTCGACGACCTTTTCAGTATCGACTTCCTCGTCAAAATGACTCGAGAGACCTCTGAGAAGTCCAGCGGGGTCATCATTCTCATCAATGAAGGGCGCGACGTCCGCAGCCAGAGCAAACGGGGAGGGATTGGCCAGGTCAAATGCAGAATTGATACGCTTGATAGTAATCCTGCCATCGAAATGACTTCGATCGCCACTGCTTCCGCCCAATGCCTTCATGATGTCTGATATGGCCGGCGCACCTGGGCCAGATCCAGTAGTAGCCGAGCTTCCAACAATGGTCGCAGAACCGCCATCACCATCCTTCTGCCATCTCCACATGGCCTTCTTCTGTGTCCTGACATGTGCTTTGCGATCACGTTTCAACTGCTCCTGAAGTTGCTCATCATCCCTGGCTACCATACGCCCGACCATGCGGTCAATTCGATCCGTCACCCGTTCCTCAGGGCGGAACTTCTTCTGTCTCCACGACCAATCGTAGTCTGTAGCAATTGCCTGGCCGGCACGGCTCGTAAGTGTCTTTTCCTTGAAAGCATGGAGGCCACCAGAGCCGATCACTTGTTCTAGAACACCCCGCTTCGTGCGGCCCTTAAGCTTGTCTGAGAGAGCCCTCCGTGCGTTTTTACGCTCATTGATGTCGGATACAGTTGGGAAGAGAAGCACTGGCAGGCCACGCTTGATGCGATCCTGGCGCTTCTGCCGAATCTTGTCCTTGCGGGCAGCTTTGCGCTCTCTAGCTCTTCTCTTCTGCTCAGCTCTTTTCCTATGCCACGGCACATTCCGAGCAGCTACAGTTTGTTAGCTACGCGTTGGATGAAAGGCGAAGAGATGCTCGCAGGAAAGGTCGTGAGGTTTCTCACCATGGTGATCTTCTTCAAGTTTAGCTTGCATGTCGGCAATTGCTTTTGTTCGCACAGCCCCAATGTAAAACTGAGCATAATACTCTGCTTCTGCAGCACTGCGTGGCAGATATGGCCGAGGTTGTGACGCAATGTTCACTTTGCGCTACGTGTGATATGGCTATATGGATTTGAGTTGTATCAACATGACTTATCTCGGGATATAAAATAGCACACCAGAGTTTAGTATTTGCAGTCGTAGAATTGATTATCGTATACCATATATATCTCCTGAATAAAGGAGACAAAATATACCGCCCCTTGTAAAATCGTTACCTATTTCGGCGCATATTCAGAGTCTTCACATGCCGTTTTCGGTTTGTCGTTCTTTGTCCCGGATGATTTTCAGCTACTTCATCCGCAGCTGTCCAGTATAGACTACTTAGCTTCCGACGAAATGAACAAGACAAAGGTCGGTGAGAGCGAACATACCAATGGATAGGCTTCATGAAATGGCTGCTTGCGAATGTCATCAACAAAAGAGCCCATAAGGCCTTTTGCAAAGTAATACTAACAGACGCTTGAACCGCAAAACATACTACTTTTCACATCTTCCACAACCCAAATCTTAATCTAGACGTAGACACAAAATAAACAAGAAACTGATGAATGATTTATATGTAGAAAGGGCTCACGCATCTGTTTTTGTAAGGGGGGCCTCGAGGTTGGCTACTTGGAGAAAAATGCTTGATAATGTCTCAGTGTTCTGCTGAAGCCCAAAATGGTGTAGCAGTAAAACATAGCCGCTTTGAGGTAGCGGGTAAGGTAAAATATCTTGGAGATTTCCCATACGTTGGGTTGAATCCCCCAAGCTTGGCCTTTTGCTTTTTATAACTTTTTTCTTTCTTTTTCTTTTACAATTGTTACAAATGCCCCCGTCGTTTGAAATTTTCCTGGCACGGGTTTCACACCTAGCCAACTGAGAGATTTAATGACAATCCCATTCAGTTCACCTTTCATCCTTTGCTATATAGGTTGAAACTGTAGCATTAGTTCGACGGCAAATGAGGTGAGCAGATGCGGTTACACAACCGCTGGATGGCACGATTTGCAGGATAACTGACAAGCACGGCCGGTCTTTGTCTCTGGCGGCACGCCACATGCCAGTGAATGCCCTAGATACACGCACCGCAGCACAGTGCAATTAGTAAACGACTTGTTTTCGAGGGAATTTTTACCTGTCTCGTCAAAGGAAAAGCTGCATGCCCAACGCGTTTCGTGGCGACAAATCGAAAAGAAGCTGTTCGTCGCACGAGGGCACGATAAGACGCAAGCATTGACAAAGAGTCGAGACGTGCAAGAGGTTGAATACAGTTGAGATTGGTCGCCAATGCGTTCACAAAGAAATGGCGGTTGTTTGATGCTGCTGTTACAGCCGCGAAGGTGCGAAGCGGCATTCATGGCGATCATCAAGGCAATTTACGGTAAGTCGAGTCGAATCAATTGTTGCACCATTAGGGAATTTGCGATCAATTATGTGTTGCAATTTGCTGGCCATTTGCTGTTCTGTGCCGGCAAATCGCTGCTGATGACTTGCAGTCGCCAAAGCTTCGTCATATCTCGAAAAACCCCCCGGTTCTGACTGAAATAATGATACAAGTGACAGGCCGATTGTGATGCGACAGTGGTACCCGCAGAAATGGGGATGCTGCTGGGGGTCCAATATGAAAGAGCCGAAGGGGAAAAAAAGCCCGGCGACGACAAACGTCGATCAGATGAGCCCTTCACTCACCATCCGCAATTTAGAAAATTAGAGCAAGTCGTAAACTGAGCGCATGCTGGTTGTCATCTGGTTGAGACCATTCCGAGATTGGTTTGCGACAAAAAGAAAATATGGTGGAAATGCCTTTTCCTTCCTGCCTGCCGTGAAAAACTCCTTTGTGTCAAACTTTTCTGGTGTCCGCCGATATCAGGGTGTCCTTCGACAACAAAACAAGGTGCGAGGGAAATGATGAGTCAAACCGATGAGAGTGCAGACGCAGACGAGCGCAGGATGCCAAATCCTTTATCTCCCTGGACAATGCATTAGCTGCTGGCGCCGGAATACTGAGGTGTTTTGCTGTATTTAGGGCGCACCTGCGTAGGCGTCACGACCTTCAGGCCGGGATGCGGATTCGCTATAACCGGAAGCAGCAGGCTCACGAGTTCGTGGGCCGTCTCTGTCGCCACGGTCGTAACCGCGGTCTGATCGTTCGTACCCGGGGGCACGACGATCATCACCGCCACGACCGCCAGCATAGCGAGCTTCACGGTCATCGCCACCACGACCACCATAACCGCGGCTATAGTCATCGCCGCCAGCGCCGGCACCGCCGCTACCACCACCACCACCACCGCCGGCACCACGCTCGCGTCTTTCGTAACCTGCACCACGGTCATAGTCACGCCCGCCGTAACCGGTACCACGGTCGTCACGGTAGCTGCGGTCGCGATCATAGTCTCGGCCATAACCGCCACGGTCATCACGGTAGCTGCGATCACGATCGCCACCGCGGTCGTCTCTGAAGCCACCGCCGCCACCACCACCTCCGCGATAACGGTAAGGATCATCACGTCCACCGCCGTAACCACCACCGTAACGTCCACCACCACCGCCGCCGCCTCTACGGTCGTTGAAACGATCACCTTCTTATCGTGTCGGTTAGTTCAAAGCCATTCAGAGTCTAGTGGGTAGACGACACTTACCGCGTTTAGGTGGGCCAAAGTACTTGCCAGGAGTGGGAGTACGGGGACGGGCACGTCTGGCCTTCTCGATGCTCAATGTGCGGCCTTCGATGACCTCACCTTGGAGACCATCCTTAGCGGCGTCAGCCTGGTCGGATGTGACCATCTTGACGAATCCGAAACCTCGAGACTCCTTGGTGTGAGGATCGCGCATGATCTGGCACTTCTCAACCTCACCATACTTCTCGAAGACTCTAGTAACCTCTCCTTCCGAAAGCTTGGGGTGGATGCCAGTCACAAACAAGTTGGAACCAGGGTTGATGGAGGAATCATCATCGTCGCCGTTGCCGCCGCCGCCGCCGCCGCCGCCACCACCACCTCGCTTGCTTCCGTGATCACGTGGGCCACTGTAAAAGGAGCCGAGTTAGCTCGCGTTTGTATGCGTGACAATTGAGCGATTGGAGCGCAATGCACGCAAGCGCGAAAATCAAAGATGCTTACCGGTCGTCGTGGCCGTTGGGAGAGGCAGAGCGACGAGGCTCATGACCATCATCACCGGTCGGGCGAGGGGAGGCGCTGCGAGGATCGCGGTAACGAGGAGCTTCTTCTGCTAGGGAAGGAAACGTGTTAGTACGTGATTGATGATATTGGCTCAAATAGCAATGGTAGAATAGCATACCCTCGTAGCGGTCACCCTCAGGGTTCTCGTAATCCATTCCAGGGTCGGCCATGGTTGTGATGCGTAGTTATTCTGATGGGAGTTTCGTAAGCAAGGGGTAATCTGGTACGTGATAATGACAGGCGTGTAGCTTGATATTTCTCAGAGACCCGAAAACAATGCGTTGTGTGATGCTGGGTCAAGTGTTGATGAGATGGACGATGGAGTTTTCAAGATGAATGGGAGGTCGAACAGTTGGGTGAAGGAAGGGAGAAAAATGGACGAGGCAGAGAGCAAGGACGGGAAATTACTGCTGTCCTTGCTTTTTTTTCGCCAGGTCGATCGGGCGGAATCAGGTAAGCTTACCGAAAAGGATTGACGGAGGGCAGGCGAAACTGGTGCAGGTATTGGGTTGTGGTTTGCTGTGATTGTTACAGAACGAATCGACAAAAAAACCTATCGTCACTGAAGAAGCAGTATGTATAAACTTTTAGTTTACAATGGTGTCAACAGTCAGAGGCTGCTGGCGTTAAAAGTAGCTCCAGGTCACGTCGGCGAGTGCTGATGGAGCAAGATGATCGGGGGAAGGAAAAATGGGGAAGGCTGTCTTTGGGTTTTTTTTGGCCTTTTGCCTTTTGCCTCTACTTTGCTTTGCTTGCTTTTTGCCTTGCAGCTGGACACCAATAAATTGGTACGCGTCAAGAACGTTCCAGGCAGGCGCGGCCAGGCAAACATCCCACGTCAGGCATCCAGCAGGCACTGCACGGCAGCTGCCAGCCTCTCGGGTTCCTTTGGACCCATCAGACCCGATACGGTTCAGATCACTATTGATCCATTCTTTGTACGGATCCGTATGTACTATGTATGGCATGACGTGCTGCTCCAGTTTTAGTAGCAAGATAACTTGCAAACGGGTCAGATCTCGAAATATCTCCCAAGAAATGCAGCATTAATTCAAGCGCAGTCATGTGGCTTGCTCTGCATTCCTCGTTAAGCTTAATATCCTGCGTTAGATGCACACATTTTGTCTACTGTACCGTACCTTAGCAGCCTGCAAGTCCGAATGCTCCTGTGTTTGGTCAGTTGCATACGTATTGATATACGAATGAATGAACAAACGAAACCCGCCCCCACGAACTTGCTATTATCTGATGATGTCGAATGTGCCACAGGAGAAGTGGCTCCTACATGTTATACTGTTATACTCGTTCTTGTACTTTGTACATTACCTTGAAGGCCCATACAGAAAACCATTTGACAGGATTGACAAGCAGGATCCGTCCTCGTACATCTCTGATCTCCCGTATGTGTCTCGTAATGCCCTCGTTAGGCGACGAGGGCCCTATAGGCATCTGTGCACATAGATGCAACATCGTCAGGCTGCTATCGCACTGCACCTGTGCCAAAACTGGCGATAGTGTATGCATGCAAACCATTACGTGCGGCTCCTTCGAGATGATTGTTGCCTTGTCATGGACTTCTGCATATCGACAGTGAAGCGCTAAAGAACCCTAAAGTCCGTGTTACCTACTGTAGGTACGCAGCACTGTATGCACTCGTTCTCCAGACCAGAGATGCAGGCGGCTCAACGGCCTCCTTTGACAACGTACCCAGTCTTTTTAAGTTCCAATTTGGTCAGGATGCATGTGCCATGCAATCACGACAGCATTAGGTCACACGAGATGCGATATATTAAAACCTGACGAAACAAGGGTAGAGCCCATCGATCGTCGGTTCGTTCTCCCAAGGCAAAAAGTCGCTCGGTCATTAGTGGCTGGATATCTCTGGTGACAATTAGCACCAAGAGTTGGCAGCAGAAACTGCACAATGGAAAGTCTGGCAACACTGTCTTCTTTTCTGTTCGAACGGCAAGGTAAAACGCTCAACTTTTGAAATGATAAAACATCCGCAAATGTCCACGAGTATTATAGTTCTTGACGCTAGAACTAGATGCGATCATGTAAGTCTAAATGCAAACTCTATGCTCAACATGTCCGACCCAGCCGGGAAGTTCACCCACAAAAGCAGGAGAGTCCTGGTTAACCCGCATTTTTAACACGACACGTGGGTCGTTCCCCCTCCTTTTGGCTGCAAGCTAATGCAATGCCCCTGGATCAACCCCAGAATGCGTCATCAGCTGGACCTTTCCTCTGAAGCAAGAACAGTCCTATGGAGCTTGGCGGAGACAGTTGGCGCGGCGAAGCATCGGCAGGATGGAGATCGCAATGCCTTCTTCCCATCCTTTAACATCAGTGCTCTTCCGTTCGTGCAAGCACAAGACTCTTCCCGAGACCTGCCTCTCCATCGTTTGATGTTTGCGGTGCAATCAATGACATGAGGCCTGTGTTTCATCTCTAGATCTGTATCTACAGTATATCACCACTTTTTATTCTGGTTGTATTCTTCTTGTCTAGCCTTGCTATTCAGTATTGACTTCCACCACCACTGCCCGCCATGAGATTGAGCGGCTGGACGGCCCTGGCGGCCCTGGGGTCATTCATGACCACCGAAGCCTCAACATTGACACCTCCGGTTTTGCCACTGGCTGTACGCAACCCGTACCTAAGCACCTGGCTCGGAAATGCGCGACACGAGCCGTGGAGCAGTTGGCCTATATTTTGGACAGGCAAGACCTTTGGGTTTGGCATTTTGGCATCCATCCCGGAGACTAATACCGTGTACCCCCTTCTTGGTGCGCCTCATCACTTTCTGAAGGGTGATCAGAAAAGGTAGGCTCCTCCTATTCACAGGGTATAGCATTCTGGCCAACTCCATGCTTACGACCCTGCTGCTCAGTAACTTCACGGTTGCATTCCCCCAATATCATGGAGCTGACTTTGATGCCTCGACAACAAACCTCACGTACACGATCTCGAGTTCCAAGTCAGACAAGGCAGTCAAGATCACATTGTCTTTCTTATCTCCTATCACGCCGACATCCACCTTCCGTCAAGCGCTGCCTGCGTCCTATATGACATTCGTTGTTGAGGGAGACTTGAATGTGAGCTTGTTTGTTGACATCAACGGTGAATGGGTGAGCGGAGACAGGCAGAATGAAGTTGCTTGGGAACTCCATGAGCCAAAAAATTCCAACAAGTCGGAAACAGCCATCAAGTCGTGGAGAATATCCCGAGCACAACAGCAGCTTTTAACAGAACATGACGACCAAGCTGAATGGGGGACACTTTACTTCTCTGGTCCTGCTGATATTGACCACCAAGCTGGCGAGATTCGATCTGTCACTAGGCAATTCGCTAGGCACGGCCACCTGAACAACGACACCGAGTCCTCGCCGCGCAGAATGTTTGATAAGGAGCCTATTTTTGCGTTCGCCAAGCACTTTGTTCTTGATGGCGCCTACAATGCCACCACTCACACAGATAGTGCAGTGTTTACCTTCTCATTGATCCAAGATCCTGTCGTTCAATTTGCATCATCCAGAGGGCTCACGCAAATGCGCCCATTATGGGCGTCGTACTTCTTCACCGCTGAGGACATGTTGCAATTTCACTACGATGACTACGAGACTGCGGCCAAGCTGGCAAATGACTACTCGACACAGCTAGCCAAGGATGCGTATGCCTCTGGTTCTTCTGAGTACAAGGACATTGCAGAGCTTTCTGCCCGCCAGATCTTTGGTGCAACACAATGGGCGGGAACGCCGGACAACCCGATTCTCTTCCTGAAGGAGATATCTTCTAACGGAAACTTCCAGACGGTGGATGTCATCTTCCCGGCCTTCCCCTTCTTCCTCTACACAAACCCCCAGTGGTTAGCTTATCTCCTGGAGCCCCTCTTGGAGCACCAGCTGAGTGGACAGTATCCCAACGACTACAGCATGCATGATCTCGGGACTCACTTCCCCAACGCGACCGGTCACAACGACGGTAATGACGAGTATATGCCGGTAGAGGAATGCGGAAACATGTTGATCATGGCTCTGGCTTTGGCGAATGCGCTCAAAGATGGTTCACAGCCCGCGTTCGGGAGAGAAGCTCCGGTCTTTGCCCAGCTAATCAACCCTAGCGTTGTCGACGAGTTCATATCTGTCGACCAGTACGGTATGGATAAGTCCTTCGAAGATATGGGTACGACAGGAAGCAAGGTAGCTAAGCGGTGGGTCTCAAAGTCATATTCCTTGTGGGAGAAGTGGAATGGATATCTTGTTCGCGAATCGCTCATCCCCGAGAACCAGCTCTGCACGGATGACTTTGCTGGCTGGTTGGCTAACCAGACGAACTTGGCCTTGAAGGGCATCGTTGGTATTCGAGCCATGGCGGACCTCTCGGCCATCGTTGGCAACGATAAAGACGCTAAAGAGTACAAGCGCATCGCCGATGACTACATCAAGCAATGGGAAGATTTTGGCATCTCCAAGGATGGAACTCATGCCAAGCTATCTTACACATGGCAAGGTTCCTGGACAACTTTGTACAATCTTTACGCCGATGCGCTGCTTTGCTTTCACACTTCGGAGAACAAATCGCCAATTAGGGACAGTGTTTCCGAGGCTCAGGATCAGGCAAGACTGGTCGGAGACTCTAGCGTGACATCGAAATCGACCTTTATCCCAGACCGAATCTACCAAATCCAGAGCGATTGGTATTATAATGTCGTGCAGCGATATGGCCTCCCTCTTGATCAACGCAACCTGCAAGCCAAGAGTGATTGGGAATTTTTCGCTGCCGCAATCACTAGCAAGAAGACGCGGTCGACAATTCTTACCAATGTTGCTCGCTGGGTAAACGAAACCGTAACAGGTAAATCTTCCACGAGTCTACTACCGCCTGCAATGCTAACATATACGCAGGTCTACCCTTCACGGATCTGTATGATACGGAAACAAGTAACTACCCTGGTGCGCAGTTCAAAGCCCGCCCAGTGGTTGGCGGTCATTTTGCATTCCTCGCACTTGAAAGAGCTTGCGGTGGCAAGGCTACGGAAGGCCTCAAGTTTTTGGATGAGCGCAGCCCCGCATTTATCGACGTAGCAATGGCCCTGGAAGCCGACATGGTCGAGGATAAGCCTGTAGGGAAGAGCCCTTCAGAGCTATAGGAGAGCTACTGAACTAAGCCAAGAGACCAGTGTGTCTTTGGGGCTATTGGGACAGCACTCACCTGCGTAAAATAGTATAGCTTCAGTGATTATTGGTAGGAACGAATATCATGGTTAAAACACTTCCATTTCACAGAAATGTACAGGAAGCCGCACGGAAATGCGTGCAGCAACCCCGATCCAGGTCAAACATGATAAACTGTCGTGTGGCGAGCCACTGGAACTTCTTGGTGGCTTTGCCACGCCCACATGTCCTCATAACGAAATGCTCATTAGGAAAATATGGTCAGGATCTAATGTCCTCTTTTTCTATGACTCTATCTGGAAATATTTTGGTCAAGCTCTCTGCTCTTGTATACTTCTCTCCCAGATTGAAAACCACACCACCTGCGGTTCACCTTTGCAAGAGGCCGTTGGGCCCTAGAACACATCCTCGGGGTCAACCTCAAACGCCTCCCCGTTCTCCCTGACGTGCTCGCCCTTGGGGTCGCGCTTCATGCTCTTGCGCATGTCGTAGGCGTCCTCGCCGTAGGCCGAGGGGTCGCCGACGTTGTCGCCGTAGTAGTCCCTGACGACGCGGAAGACGCTGTAGCCGCTGCGGCGGTAGAAGGCGATGGCGCGCTCGTTGCTGCGCCGCACGAACAGGTCCATGAAGTATGCGTCGCCCACGTCGGCCTCCTCCTCCAGCTGCCGCGTCAGGATGCTGCCGATGCCCGTGCGCCGGTACGCCGGCGACACCGTCAGCGCCGTGATGTGCGCGTGCCACGGCAGGTAGTGCGGCGAGTGGTTCATCCACGACGGCGAGGACTCGAGCTTACCCATGACTGGTTTTCGTGTCTTGTCAGCATCCTGTGTGTGTATGTGTGTGTATTGGTGCGTAGAGTAACGTATAATCTGCGCGGGAGGGGAGAAGGGAGGTTCATACTGTAAGCAACGATGTTGCCCTGGTCGTCCTCGGCCACGATGAACATCTGTGGCCATTTTGCGTAGTACTGGAGGTAGAAAGACGCATCGTAGGTCTCGGTCAGAGGGTCCATGTTACACATGGAGATCTTGTTGAGATCCTCGGGCTTGAAGCGTCGGAATGTCACCATCTTGACGAGATTGCTGACTGCTGTGTCGGCTTTGCAAGTTTGATCTCCGAGGCGCAAAACTGTGATTGAAAGGACAAATCGTTTGCCACCGGAGCTTTGTTCTTAAGCTAGCTAGCTACCAGCAGGTGCGGTCGTCGAGCGAGGCGCAAGGTGGTGGTCTGTGAGATCCTATCGACGAGTATAGTTAGGGCGGGCGGACTTGTCGACGACACAGGATAAGGGAAGAGCAACTCCATCGACAATAAGAGCATGTGGTATGACTCTAGAGCAAAGGAATACTCAAGGCAAGCACAGAATAGTGCATATAGATGCGACTAATGTGGGACTCTCTTACGAGATTCGTAGAAAAAGGGGGCCACTCAAGTGACTTCACAACAATGGCCCCCAAGTTGCCAGCGCTCATGTAGCCTCGTCCTTTCAACCATGAACTGCTACGTTGTGCCAAGAAAACGATGAATGTCTGATCAACATAGTTTATTCGGTTGTGTTTTCTTGTCCGTATTATAAATCTAGCAGTACAGTATCACCATTGATACTGGATGTACTTACAGGCAAAGTCACACAAGTGCACTGCACTTCTCTCCAAACGTGCCAACAATGAACAAGGCAGGAGCTATTAGCTTTACGCCTTTCTGCAAAATGGCAACACTTCTTGGTATTTGCCTTTTTTTTCTCTTTCTTTTTCCCCTCAAGTAGTACAAGTCAAAGCCTAATGGAGATCTCAGTTGATGACTTTCCCAAAAGCGAGTTCTAGTAGTCAAACTCTGGATTTCCAAATCTGACCTTTATATATTGGGCTTCTTACGTGCACAACCCAGTGAGCAACTGCTGCTTCTCGAAGGGGTCTCTGAACTCGAGAGACCACCAGGGCTGGGTGATTCGTGGCTATACAAACGTTATGGTGAGATGCGTCCAAATGGAGATCAGACGAACGAAGGTTTGAACTCGGACGTAGTCGGTGTCGCAAGACCGGACACTACCAGATAACAATTGCTCAAGCAAGGGGGAGTATTATGAAGCCTCCGTCAAAGAGTGCCCGACTAATAAGAGGACCGGATGCGAAGTTTTGGTGCGGGCAACAGTCCACTCCACTCCACTCCACTCCAGTGAGGGACGGGTAAGGTGCTGAATAACTCGAGGCTGCATAAAACGCGTCCGGCTTGCATGCCAGCAGGGATGCGCCTGATACGGGCTCTCATGTGTGCCCAGGTGTCACTTGTGCATGCCGCTAAAGACTGATGCACAGGCCCCCCCGCTCACATGTACATACATAGTCAACAAAGCCGTTCACCAGGACCAGGACCAGGACCAGGATGTATAGGGTCCATCTCTTATTTCAGATTGATAGAAATGAGATCGTCAGGGTCACCGAGTCAAGCTGGTTCTTTTTTCTTTCGTCTTCTTCTTTTCTCCCTCCAGTCCGTACTATTCGCCTTTGTCATTTGATAGTGGCTGTTCGCCTCGCTGCTCGTACTGTAGCTGCACCTTATTGAAGAAAGGAAGTCGACTCAACAAGCGTCTTGTGCTTGAACAGAGAGGCGTAGTATCTTGATTTCGTCTGGTTGTTTTCCTTTGGACTCGACACACCCTCAGCATTGCACTCATTCCCTTTGCTGGCCCTTGTGTGTGCAGCACAGCAGATCCAGTTATAGACTAAGCACCTCTGATATACAAGGGGACACTCGGCATCTCCACCTGACAACAAGCATTGCACTACAGTTAATGCGCAAACAACAAAAGCTTGGACTTGGACGAGCATACAACAATAAACAACCACTCCCTGCACAGAACACTGCTGAGCCGCCTATTTGGCTATAAATATCACGACTTACGAGAAACGAAACCTCCCAACACCCTAGCCAGCCACGACTAGTAGCTTTTGCCAGCACCGACGCTTGATACCCGACCTGTCCAAGATTTCACGCCTCAATCTCGAGCTCCTTTAATCGCCGCCCGCCTCATAATGCCTTCATCCCCGAGGACGCCGCGGCACTCGCGCCAGTCCTCCCTCATCGACCCCTTTCAACCCTCCTCTCCCGGTGCTTCACCAACCGCGAGGCGAGCCTCCAAGTCCTCCTTTGCGGACCCCATGACACCGTTGCGCAACAGCATGAACGAGCAGGAGTTGAGCACCTTCAGCGGCGCAAACTTCGAACCCGCGGACAACGGACTTGGCAACCTGGCAGACGAGCTGGGCGATGCCCTGTACGGAGACGAAGACGAAGACGAGGGGGAATATTACGAGGACGACAGCGAACAAGCACCGGATATCAGCTTTGATGCCAAGAGCCCCGAGGGCGGCGACGACGTCGGGGAGGTCAGAGACAGCGGTGTCGACGTCGAGCTGCCCATCAGAAACAAGAACCTGAATCTAAGCCCGCCAAGAAGCGGTAAAGGGCACCGCAGACAAGGAAGCGCATATGATGGCAGTGAATATGGTTCCGACTCGGACCTCGACTCCCCGGGCATACCGCCCAGTCTCGTGGCAAGGATGGACGCCGTCGAATCGCTTGCAAGGAGGGGAACCGAGAGCGGCCCAGCCGACATGGTCTTCAAACGGGTAGCAGACGGCCTGCGAGATCTAGGGTCGCAGTCTGGCGTCGAAGGTAGCACCACCAGATTAATCACGGCACATTCGGCCTTGGCCACACATCTGGCACACCAAACCCGCCAACTACACAACCTCACCTTTCCGCTGCTATCACCATTGGTCATGCCGCCGGACGCAGAGACCATCGACGACCTGCTACCCCTTCTGGTCTCCCTATCAGACGACATGCCAAGGCCTGCCACCTCGGCGTACAACTCTCTGGCAGCGTTACACACCGTCACGGCGGATCTGGTCCAGACTCTCAACTACCTCTCAGACACCCTGCACATGTCCCGTCAAACGACGACAACGGCGGCAAGGCGGCTCAAGTCCGCCAAGGATATGGTGGCAGAGATGAAACGAGAAGAAGAGCTGAGGGAGGAAGGTGAGATCTGGCTCAAGAGAGGAAACTGGGGAGAGCGACTGCAAAACCGGGAATCCGCCAACGTCTGTCGGGACGTGGTCGGTGGGTTTGAAGAGGTCTGTAACGGGTGGAGAGAAAGACTACTAGCACAAGCCGAGTCGGCGTAATGATATCGTGGTACGACCTCTGTGAGCTGCACAATGGCACAAGCCCTCTGCGCTCTCATGGCAATGCCTTAACTAACTTCGCAACATATACCCCGTTAGGGTTGGAGCACTATTTGGCTATGATATTGGTATAGACCCGGGGCGAGGTCACGACTATAGAGAGCACGCAGCCTCCTCGGGATGGCTCCGTTTTAGATGAATGATACAATGGCAAGAAATACACATATAAACAACAAACATGGAAATGGTATGCGATGATTCATTTTTTAGTCTTGATGTTGGCAATAGCGCCACGCCCAAGCAAACGCAGCCATGCGCCTGTTTCCGTAACCTCATACAAAAGAAAACCGGGTATCCCATTCATTCACCATGCACGAAACAGCCCATTCCAAAACCACCGTGTTTGTCCCATGGTTAGAGAAACCGCCATGACAAAACGTTCAATTACCTCCACAGCTTCCATGCCCGTCCTTTCTCATTTCTCCACCAAGCGACTCTCCTCCCCGCAATTTCTATAAGGAATCGAACCTGATCGGATCCGCCATGGACCGGGGCCCCCCCTCAAACCTCGGATCGTGCATAGCCAGGCCGTTGTTCAGCGCCGGCGTCCTCCGGTGCCCGGTCATGCTCCTGGGGCTGTCATACCCGCCGCCGCCGCCACTCCTGTCCCCGCTGCCTCTCCCCGTCGCGTCGGCGCCGTAGTCTCTCACGTCGGACCGGCTCCCCATGCTGAACCGCGAGCCGTCGTCCAGACCGCCGCTGCCCAAGCCCAGGCTCCCCAGGCTGAGGTTGTCCATGCTGGCGCCGAACTGTCCCCCGCGGCCCCCCGTCGGGGCCCGTATATAGCGCTCAACGGGCGGGGCCTCTCGGGGGGCCCTGGCCGGCAGCTCCTGCTCGTCGTCGACGAGGACGATCATCCAGACGCCCACGGTGCCGTTGGAGCCCAGCAACGGCGTGCAGTGGATCCAGCGGCCGCGGCCTTCGACGTTGTTCTGCTGTTGCTGCTGCTGCTCCCCGCGGCCGCTGATCCAGCGCACCTTGGCCGTGACGCCGTTGCCGTCGGCGAATGCCTGCGCGATGGCCTCGCGGACCTTGCTCGAGCCCCCGATGCGGTGCATGAGGTTGCTCTGGAGCATGCCGGGGACGCGGAGCGAGGGCGACGCGAACAGGACCCGCAGGCTCGGGTACGGCCGCACCAGCAGGTAGTGCTCGTAGATGCCCGAGAGCCTGCCGCCGCCCAGGGAGCCGCCCAGGGACGAGCTGAGGACCGGGTCCGAGCCCCGGCGCTCCATGGCCGCGTCGTCCCTGATCAGCACCCGGGGCTTGTTCCAGTTGCTGATGCCCTCCGTGTCCGTCAGCTCTGAGTGGTTGATGCGGTGCATGGAGCCGCCGTGCTCGCGGACCGTCTTCAGCTCGCCCAGGGAGAACATGGAGGCTAAGTCGCGGAACTCGTCTTTCTCCTCGTTGCAGTTGGTGTTGTTGTTGTTAGCATCGCCGTGGGTGTGATTTGCTTTTCCGCCGTCGGGTTTGTGGCCATGTATGCGAACTGGCATATGAGCAGATGTGCCATCTGCAGCGTTTTCGCGCTCCATGAGCCTCTCGAGGGACTCCAGACCCGCGCAGTCTTTTACGAGACCTGAAACGTCGACTTGCGCACCAATGTGGTATCGGACTATACCTCTCGAGTCATACAACGGCGCGACCATGAGCAAGTTCATGAAGGGCTGGCCGTCGCGGCGGTAGTTCAAAAAAGTCTCGCAGTGCTCCTTGCCCTCTTTGAGTTTGTCACGGAGCCGGCGCACACTAAAGGGGTTCGTCTTGGGTCCTTGTAGAAAGCGGCAGTTGCGACCTAGCACATAGGACATGCCGTACTGGGTTGTTCTGTGGAATTCTGTGTAGATCCCACTTGTCAGTCGTCAGGCTCATAAGGGAAAGGAAGTGTTCTGGGTAAAGTCCACAGGCAGCTCACCTTCGCTCGCAAAGATAATGGGGTTATCTGGCCTGGCTGGATCAGTCAGGCAGAAAACCTCAGCTAGTCCCTCGGACATCTCCCTCAGGTGTGGCGGTAGTGTATCCGCGATCCGCCTCTTTATCGTCATGCTCACAGTCTGAATATAGGTATGTGTAATGAAGGCCGGCAACTCCTCGTTCGCAAGTGTCTGGAATGCCTGGTCGGCCCTGTCTCGCAGAGCCTGGTTCGACGTCTGGTCTATCGATTCGGACGTATAACTCAGGTCCCCGACAGATTGCAGACCCGAAACAATGGCGTTAGCGTACTCAATGGCCCTGAGCGCCTTGAACGCGTCCATGTAGTACTGTAGTATGGGCACGGATCTCGGTCGCACTTGGTATATGAAATTTGTGAAGCGCTGTAAGAGGACCGGGTCTTCAAATATGACTGCCAGATGCGTGGATGAAAACATAAGCTCGGATTGTATTTCCAGAGAGTATTGTTTGCTATGCGCATGAGCCGGCACAACCAAATCGAACGACGCAGGATCGATCTCCTCTTCAGCAAGTGGTTCGAGGCCATCATTCTCTTCAACGGCACGTGTTTGTAGAGCAGGTAACGATGATGGCGCATTCACATACATCGCCGAGTCTGCAGAAGAGCCTAAATACGAGCGTGAGGATTTCGACATCAGGCTTTTCGGCGCAGTGGAGGGTGAGCGACTAGCCATTGGATCGTGAATATACTCGGGCTCCTGGCTAGCGGCATGATCCTTCAGATCCTCGTGGGAAACACGTTGTGGACTGGCTGTTGGGTTAGACATGACGGTTTTGATTTACATGTGCTTAGAGTCTCACCTCATTGGTTTTTGTGGTGACATGGAATTTGAGTTTATGGATCTCCGGTCGTCCACGTCCTCAACGAACCTAGGTTTCCCGTGCTGCTTGAAAGGAGAAGAAGTGATGAATTCCGACACTGATAACCGCCTGCTTGATTTCCTTAAAGGTATATCAGGTATCTCAGCCCCGACTCCCTCTGATCCCTCTCTGTAATGTGTTCCGAAAGCGGTTACAGATTTGACGTTCGGTGCGTTTTGTGATTTACCAGCTTGACGTGACGAGTGATTAGAAGGATGATGGTTTGGGCTTAGAGAGTGTAGCAACTGAGACATGGCGTTTAGACCTCGTGGTCTATCGAGACTCTCGGTCGTAGTAGGGGGAGAAGACGCTTTAATTTGCTTTCACTGCTGAACCAGCATGGATCGTCGATGAACGTGGTGTGCCAAAAGGGGATTATACTTCGGTCCAAGGAAAGCAAGTTCAGATAGGCATTGTGATAGTTATGTAATTGACAGATGTGTTAGAGCTTATATCTGCCGTATTACGACGCACACGGTGCCCTAAAGGGCCCACGACAAGTGAAATCATGGCATGGGTTGACGGAGCTGAATCTTAGACCAACGGTTAAGATGCCATTCGCGTCTGCATGTTGCATTTCGTCACTGACAAGCGGATCTCAAGCCTAGATACCGAAAACTAGCGATCGTTTAGCGTGGACGGCTCTTGTCCCGACCGAGATAGTGGCTTCTCCCCTTTTGGGAACCTTCATCTTGACTCGAGCTGAGAGATCAGCAACGAAGCCACTTGGGATCCCAACCAGAACGCGTTAGGCCAGAGCAGCAACGTTTAGTTCGGATCAGTGCACAACCCTTCTTTCTGTATGATGACACCGCAGAACGGTAGTGCCGCCAATGGCAATTCTGGTCATGCCAACTTTGGGAACAAGCTCGACTGTGCAGTCATACTCCCTAAGTGATGTGGGATTCGAGATGCAAAGCGTTCAGCTGGAAATCTTTGGGACACTGACTCGAAAGTCCGTGTCCCGCACAGAGCCGAGAAGATTGCGTTCCGATAGTCCTGATGCCGACAGAAGGGACAAAGCGAAGATGGGTGTCGTGAGAGGTGCGATCGTGACGATGATCGGTTGTTGTCTCTGATCGGGGGACAGTTATATTAGAAAGACAATAGTTGCAAGTGAGCTTGTGGTAGCTCGTGGCGCATGGATATCCGTGTCATTTCCGGCAGCGCGGAAACCCAAACCACTCAGCATTTGTGCATCAATGCCAGATGGAGTATAGACTGAACCTAGTAAAAAGAAATTAGCCGTGGTGTATTCGCCAGCGCCATGAGGATTTCTTCTAGACGGGGCACTTGCCTAGACCTGGGATTGTGGCAAAGTTTCTCCATCTTCTTGACAGCGGCACGACTGTGGAGAATTGTGCTTTGCAAACTGTAGAGCCGCGGCAGACCGCTAACCTTCACTGTTGTGATGTTCTGCCGAAGTGTGATCACTTCGTTGTATGGCGATGGATGAGGACATGTAGACTGTATGATGAGTGATGCTATCACGACAGAGCTACCGTAAATGTAACATCGAGATGCTAGTCTACAAGGCGGCCGTTAGTACAGGGTATAGCATCGACGATATATGTCGGATTACACGTGCATCACAAGCACAAAAGATTCTGCCGCCGTTCCTGTCGTGTTGTACCTGACGCTAAGGGGGGCCTGCTAATTGTAACTTTGCTTTGACGAGTACCGGGAATCCGCTTATCATTAGAGTGGCCGCATAGTCGATCAAGCCCTGCAGGTTGTCCAATCATGTTTCAATCCCGACCACTTGGGACGGCATACATACCAAAATGTATGGTACGTTTGGGACGAAACAGTGGAGTTCGTCGATCGCTGAACGGCTGACAACGTTCGTGAAGAAAATACTCCGTGTCGCTGAAGCTTGCCGCTTTCTGTTTATTTAGGAGCGCAAACGTCATGTGGAGAGAGTTCCGCTTCAAATGTCCCGAGCGTTCAATAGTGTCGTTCCATTTGCTCCATCCAGCTCTTGAAGAGTAACAGAAAAGTCGTATCGAGAGAACCCTCATCTGGCCTTTGACGCCCGTGTAATATTGACGAATGGTCGCCCTAGCCACGGAACGATATCCATGATATACCATGAGCTGGCCCGAGCGGAATATCGCATCCAAAATCGGAGGAAATGCGGCCAATCATTTTAGACATCGGGGATGAGATCGTAAATCTCCTTGATATGTGACTAATAACAAGGGATATAATCTAGCCCTTGAGTACCATCTTGATCATAAGTTTCAGCAGGTCTTCTTTAGCGTACTACTCCCGCATGTATTCCGGGAGAGTTCACGCATCATGACGATCCATACTAATGACGATCATCTCGACTCTTTCCTTTCGGCTATAAAACTCTCCAAGGTAGGCTGCTCTATATCATAATTCTCGAATGCTCGAGTAATGGTTTGTAAACTATCACAATCTACGCTACATACCATCATCTCGACTCATTCTTATATGCTAGAATGTTCTGCGGTAGACCGCTCTATGTCATTACTTAAGAATACTTGATTAGTATTTGACCCTGAAAGCTAACTCCTTGGCAATGCAAAAGCTGCTCAAAAAGAGCGTGGCTTTCTATATCTTCCCATGACATCTTGGAGTGAAGTCCCGGCCAGGTCACTCCGTAGGCTCGGTGAACTCACATCACGACACAATTACTCGTGTCGGGCAAGGCACTTGCCGAGTGCCTCCACTCAAGATGCTCTCTGAACTCTTCCATGTTTCCAAAACCGCCCTCGTCCAAGTTCCACTTGATTCTGTCCATGTCATCCTCGCCTTGTTCTTCCGTGTAGTAGTCGTCGCATAACGGACAAAGAATCCTCGCCTGCCACTCCCCAGGCTCGGGTGGCATGTGGTTCGCGATAGCCACCGGCGCGAAGACGACCGTCTTTTCCTCGCCGTCTGAGGACTTAAAACCTACCGCTTGCCAGTTCGTGTCCTGCCCTGGAGTCATACTCGTTGCGCTCGTGGGCTCCGTGTGATCCTGCGCTGCTGTCCTCGACGAAGGCATCTCGCGCAGGTCCTCCCAGACTATGTAGCCGTCGCAGAAGTCGCAAATGAAAGCTATATCGACCTCGCCGAAGCGCTCGAAGTTACCAGTTTCGTTGCAGGCCATCAGCTCTTCCAAACTCCTCTGCTGCGGGTTTTCCGGCGACCTTTGCACTCTGAACACCTGAAAGGCGCCCAGACATCGCGTGGTCGTCTCCTGCTCCGAGTTGAATATCCTCCTGGCCGCCCGACATTGTGCCCGATGGAGTTCGCGCCGGAGTTCTATTGTCTCGCGTGCCCAGGTTGGGTCGATGGGTCCGCCGGTTCGTACCCACTCCTTGAAGTTGAGCGCATGGAAACCAAAGCGTGTGCAGAGCAATCGTAGATCCTCGAGGGAGTCGGCTAGATGGATTACAATTGATTAGGTCAATCTTTCCTCTACTACAATGTCCCGTACTCTTGACGCTTTGTCCCGGCTGCAAAGCCGTTCCACAATGAATTGGCTGCATGCAGCGCAGAATGAATAAGACGTACGTTTCCTGTCATGCTCATAGTATTCTCTGCCATTGATAAGCGATGGTAGTGTTTGAAAGTCCTTCTTTGCTTCGTCCAAGGTCTCCTCCAGTATTCTCAGCTGCTCGAACTCGTCGGAACCCCACGCCTGCTTGTCGGCGAACATCATGATTCGGAGCGCATCGTTGATCGAGTTCGCAATGACGGCTAGGAGCGAGCCGACGCTCTCGTTGTTCATGTCTTTGTCGCCTCAGGAGTGAGACCGTGCTCCGATGTGGAGGCTGACGGCTGGAATGGTTCAAAACGATGCGGGTTGTTTGACTCGGCTTGGAGAGAGTTTATATAGTCTGTTAGTTCTTACGCCAACCAGAAGTTGCGGGCTCGTCAGCGACAGCTTCTTGGTCTTGCTGCGAGGAACCGCGAGGGATGGTTCCCTGGCTTCACTTCGTGGCTCTGCTTTGCCCGGCAGGGGTTACAGGGAGATGAGCGCCTGGCCTTCCAATGCGCTTTGAATGCAACGTCGCTACTGGCCCAAGGCGAAGAAGACTGGAGCAGTTAAGTATCGGAAATAGATGCCGGAGAGTGTGCTCCTGAACGTCTACTGCCGCTTGCACGGGTGTCGCATGTCTTTCTCCGTATCAGTACGAGCTGGAGAGCTGGATGGAAAGGGAACTTGGGAGGCTTTCACTGCAAGTTTGGCTTGTGACAAAGACCTTGTAGAGCTTGGAGACCCTGCAGCTTCCCGATGATTGGGGCCAACTACGCCCATGGGCCCCCCTGTTTGGGCATAATTGCCGAGTCTAGCGACCAGATCCTCCGCTAGAGAACCAACTTTAAAGCTTGTCAGCCGTCAAAAGCATTGGACAGGATCCCCGAATGAACCGTCTGACAACCACGTGTGTACCTCATAGGGCTGAATGCGATTCAATCAGCATCGGTACAAGTCACCCTTGCCTGTCCAACGATGCAGTCACACAGGTTTCGGGTGTCAAGACATGTATCAGCCAGGATGATCACAACCAACGTGAGATGTGCGAGAAATGTCATTAATTGGCCTATCTTATTTGTTGGTCTAGACTAGGACATATGAACACAGTGCCCGGAAGTCGTGGAGCTTTGTTCACAGGGGACTGAGAGTCATGTCTTGTGTAGATAAGGCGGGTGTGACTAGTTTGATTGGCATCGTGTACAAACGCCATGACCAATCGAGCTTTTCTACTTCCTCTTGGTCGCCTTACCGGTATCAGCCCCAGTAGCCTTCGGACCACCACCAATCTCCTTCACGGTTTCCGGGTCGGCCTTTGGCAAGGACTTAGGCTGTGCCTTGACTTCCTCACTAGGCTCATCCTCGCCACCCTGGCCAAACTCGTTGACGCGAGTGTAGTCAATCTTGTAGGCCCATCGCTGGTACAAGTAGACGAAGAAGATGATGTCGTCGCGGAACGTAGCCAAACGATGCAAAAAGGGCATCTTGATGGTGAAGGCGAACAGGTCGTCGATGAAAGTGTTCAGGAACTTGTACATCATCGCCTTACCGGGCATATGGGCTATAGACTTGAGGCGGTAGTTGATGTAAAGAGATGGGACCATCATCAAGAAACCATAGGCATAGACAGATCCAACCAAGGTAGTGATGATGTATGAGTACCAAGACTTGTGCGAATCGTACACCAGGGAGTAGATACCGTATGCAATGAGCAACGGGACGCCGGCCCAATACATGTACTTGAAGGCGATCTCATCATATTCCTTGGTCTTCTCCTCCGTGTCGCTCAGCTTGTGCTTATCTTCGAAAACAACGGAGTAAGGAAGCAGCGAGCCAGGCGCACTCGGCCGCAGGCGCACATCGACGACGGTAGTGACCTTCCAGAGTTCGATAAGAATACCGACACCTTGAGTACCCAAGATCATCCAGCTGGTGTTCTGCGAGTTGTCCACCAAATAGAGGAAGATGACAGTCTGCATAAAGACGTTGGCCAGAATGGAACGGACAGAAATGCCGACATTATCCTTCTTCTTGCGGTAGTGCGCAATGTCAGATCCAAAGGCGAGCGTCTCCAGTATCATGTGAACGATACTGACGACGACGGTTATACCGAGGAGGTAAGGATTGGTGTCCAAAAAGATCTCCTTGATCATCTCTATCTCGCTACCATCACCGCCTCCGGGTGATGAGTTGCCCAATGCGGCCTGGCGGGCCTGTTCCTTCGAGTTCAGGTCAACAGTCGCCATCATGGTGAACTGCCAGTTTCTCAAGTTGGTGAGATCGAGCCGGAGAGGGAGCGTCTGGACGGTCTCATTGAGGACGGTCATGTGCGTCTTAAGCTGCCAGAACGTGTTGACATACAAAATCGGGTAGTACCAGGAGTTTTTACCAGTTCCATCGCGCGCGCCAGTTGGCTCTAGGTTCAGAAACTGGCGAACAGGTGCGGCAGCCTTCTGGAGATCCAGGATGCCAGTATCGGGAATGAATGACAAGGTCGTGTTGGGGTGGTAGTAGCTCGCAACGACCGGACCAGTGGATTGTTCCTCGGCAGGTTCTTCAATGATCTCGTCCTTGCCTTCAAGCAGGTTGCGGGTCTTGGCGACCTTTTTCTTGGCGATATAATGGGTCAGGGGGTAGGCAAAGTGGACGGCGGTCGCAGGATCGAAGTTGGGTTCTTTGGGATCCAAGTTTGTGCCAGTCAAGCCGACGTAGAAGTGACCCCATAGAGTTCCATTTTTCTGAACAGCAGCCGGAACGGTGAATTCAGTCTCAATGACACGCTTGTCGCTGTAGTTGCTGAGCTTGAAAGCCTTCTCATCAAGAACACGATACTGCTCCTCTGTTTTGGCGATGGGCTTCGGAACGAATGTATCAGAAATTGTCACAATGACATCGAGAGAGCTGTCGGTGGGCCAGATGGGAGCAATGCGCTCAGGGATCCGAGCGTAGACTGCGCCTTCATCGAGAGACTTGGGCCTTGCCTGGTAGGCAGGAATCGCTGCGGTATTCGCGGGGACCTCGACGACATTTCCCTCGGCATCTTTGACTTGGGTGGTGGTCTGCGCCTTGTTTCCCCCCATGAATTGCTTCATGATCATTTGAACACCAAACCACATCAGAAGAGCTTGGGCAATCTTGTAGAAGATGGACTGCTAGAATTACATGATGACTGTCAGTGCTTCTGTCAATGTAGCCCCGTGCGACGTGTTACTTACGCCTCGCTCTTCTTGAGCAGGCCTGGCGGCCGCTGGAGTTTCTTGCGGCATCTTGAAGATACTAGTCGGATCCTGTGCGCTCTGGGTTTGATGAGAGCAACAAGAAATCCGTCAGCTTGCACAATGGAGAGGAGCTGCTCAAGAGGACATATGGGGGAGCTAGCTGTGGCCTCTTTTGGGGGAGACGCTGTTGGAAAGTGGCCTGCTGGCCTGGGCATTTTAGTTGGTCTAGTCCAGCCTAGAGCCCCGAATTTCCAGAGTGGATCGATCACGTATATTTAGTATGTCCCGGCCGGCGAGTCGGCGAATCGCAGGCCGATGGAGCAACACGCCGCCTGCTGGAGGGGGAACTACGGCACGGTGCATGCATCCGACATGCAGGTGTTCACAGCGCTCGATTTGCCTTCTTGTTGACACCAGAATGACTCAACCAAGCCGTGTTCGGACACGCTTTGGATGTGCGACGTATCCTCTGGGCGGACAGCGCCGTCGTGCGTCTACAGGCTCTCTTTCAGCGTTCGTCCAGAGGCATCTCGGGATTATCTAAGACGCTCGATCGAGTTACGTCATTCGCCGAACCACGATAGCCTCTAGTATTCGGCCACATGATAGCCAAGTGCCCAAGCCACCTACCCCAGGAAGCCTATGTTTGTCTCCGCCAAAACACCAAACGGTATATGACTCTTCGACCATACCACCTCCGTGACTACTGTCTGCAATCTATAAACACCGAGTTGATCACACTGGGTGACCTCCAAGTTTAGCTATTGCTGCCCTTATTTCGTTTGCTTCCATCGGGCCCGTGTAGTTCAGGACGCCGATTCCGCTCACACAAGTGACGGCTTCTCGTTTGCGGGCTGTGTGTAACCTCCCCGAAACACGAAATAGGATAGAGAACGGGTGGCAACACACAACATGACCGAATCAGGCGGCGCATCCCCATTTCCGGTGGCGTCACGGACGGCCACACCGTCCGAAGGGTCGAGACTTAATCCCAACGCACAGAAGAAGATCAAGATTTGCGTATACTGCGGCTCGGCGCCAGGCAGCAACCCGGCTCACATGGAAGCAGCCCGCGCGCTGGGTACAAAGATGGCAGAGAACGACATCTCGCTTGGTAAGTCTGGAGCCCGCCCGAATCACTATAGACCCTTGGCCATCGGTAAACTCATATTTTGGTTGGATGATCCTAGTCTACGGAGGTGGCACTGTAGGCCTCATGGGCGAGGTAGCCAAGACGATCGTGGCGATCTCTGGGCCTGACGCTGTGCACGGAATCATACCGGCAGCACTCGTCAAGTTCGAGCGCGACTCGACTTACGCCGGCAAGCAAGACGAGAACGGACACTATGTACCAGAAGCCGATGTGTACGGGCGAACGACCGTAGTGCCGGATATGCACACTCGCAAGAAGATGATGGCGCAGGAGGTGATAGATGGTGCCCACGGGAGCGGTTTTATTGCGCTGAGTGGTGGATTTGGCACTATGGAAGAATTATTTGAGGTGGCCACATGGAACCAACTGGGCATTCACGACAGGGGTATTTGCTTGCTGAACATCGATGGTTTCTACAATGGATTGTTGGATTGGCTCAACAAGGCTGTTGAGGAGAACTTTGTTAGAGCAGCGAACGCGGATATCCTGGTTACAGCTACCACGGCCGACGACGCGATCAAAGCGCTGAAGGGCTACAAAGTGTCAAGCTCAAGATACAACCTGACTTGGGAAACCCGGTAGAGAGATGAGTGCGAGGTTGACACGGAATAGACAGGATTCCAATCAGATAATAGGGATAGAAGCCCTGGCTTCGCCTGAATCGAACCGAAATTGAAATTCAACGGAGCGGCGCCCATTCGTGTTAGGGTATAAAGTGACATATTCCAACGACGCACGATGCTGACCTGGCCATCCAAACTCAACGTCATCCTCTGTGCGCTGGTAAAGTTTGCAACTAGACAGTGCTACCTATGTCTCGCCATCGGCCTAAATACCCACAATCCCCCCCAGCTTAGAACTCGTTGTCCTCCTGGAAGAACATGCCAAACGAAATAATAGTTCCGTATATGAGCAGCCCTCCGATAATGCTCATGGCTGTCGCCGCAGCATTGATCAAGGAGGAGTGGTAGAGAAGGACGGGTAGTGCTATTGTTTTGGTCAGCAAAGTGATTTTCTTCTTTTTCCTGGTACAATTCGCTTCGCCATTCCCATACGCAAATTTGGTCTTCTCCAGGTAAATAGGAAAGAAAGAAAGGAAATTGAAATCGAGTATCAGAGCTGCACAAAGTGCTATTGTGTCTGTCGCCATCTGGAGGGTCTTAAGCTCCTCAGAAACACGGACCAACTGTTCTCATCATGTAAAGGCTGTTGCGCCGGGTCGAAGGTCGGGAGCGTATTCAAGGGCGAGGCGACGCGCATGAAGGAAGTATTATATTTTCCGCCGTCCTGTTTCCCGGCCCGTTCCCGAACGACCAAAGAACGTGAAAAGCACTCACCAATTCCCATGACGACCAAGAAACCGGTACAGAAGCGTCCCAGATCCAGGATGGCATTTCCAGAGCTCTCAACGAAGTCGTCTGGGTTGGCGCATTTGCTGCAGATGAAGTTGGGCAAAGGCGCCAGGACGTAAGTAGCCACAACCAGCAGCGGCAGATACTCCCCCCACAGCGCGCAGGACAAGATGACAAGCAGAAATCCTACGGCGAGCACGAAGGACAGCGCGATGATTGTTTTAATACCTGCGTGTGGCATCTTGAGGATATGACTGTCGTGCAGGAGAGGAGGGATATGGCGCGGCTGGCTGGCATGAGAGGGGGGCAGCGTTGATTGCGGTCGGTGGGCGATTCGCGGTCGGTGTTGAATCGCGTGCTATGGATGGCCAAGCAGATTGTTGGATGCAATATTGACTGCAGGGCCTGCTGAGGCTTACGTTGAAGTACGTTGCAATGGAAGTGGTAGATGCATAAATAGGTAGATGAGGCTTTCGGGTCAGTGAACCTGGACCAGCCTGCTTTTGGGTGTGGTGTGTCGTCAGCTCCCAGAAGCTCGCGCCACAGCAGGCCGCTCCCAGTCCGCAGTTTCCAGCCAGTACAGTAGGTTTACTTAAGGGACAGTGGGCCCTGACCTGGACCTTCACCTTTCAATTGCAGCCTACAGTAACTTGCCCAGAGCTGATGTGGTGGCCCCCCGTCCACCCCCTGCAAGTGCACTAAACCCATAAAAGACAGCGCTTCAGCGGGCAGCTCACCTCACTGGTGGGAGGAGGCACTTAGAGAGTCAACCTTGGAGTCTTGGGGGACCTGACGAAGCTCCAGCTGCCTGCCTCGCCAATGCTCATAATCAATCAACTTATCAGCCTCGCCGAACAACCACATTAAGCTCGACACAAACACCATCACATCACATCACATCACCACTTCGCAACCCAAATACAAACCCCACAGCTCACCCGCCCCTTCACCTCCCACAGCACCGTCTTGACACGCCTTCACAATGTTTCGAAACAATTACGACAACGATTCCGTCACATTGTAAGCTCCAACCTGCCCACCTCGACTACCCAATGTAAATAAATGTATACATATACTGACCCATGTTCCCCTCCCTCAGCTCTCCCCAAGGAAGAATATTCCAGGTCGAATACGCCGCCGAGGCCGTCAAGCAAGGTTCAGTGGTGGTGGGATTGACAAGCAAGACACATGCCGTGCTGGTCGCAATCAAGGTACATAAAATCCACACAACTCAGCTACGGCGTCTGTTGTATTCTATTCTATTTTGTTCTATACCCTGTTGTATCCTATTATATCATATCCTATCCTGACCCAGAACCCTCCGTGAGCTGACATTGCCCTCTCGAATAGAGGAACGCCGAAGAACTCTCGTCATACCAAAAGAAGCTGTTCGCCGTAGATGAGCATGTAGGCCTCGCTATTGCCGGCCTGACCTCAGACGCCCGTGTCCTCTCCAACTTCATGAAGCAGCAATGCCTATCACAACGCCTGACCTACGACCGCGCCATGCCCGTTGAGACCCTCGTCTCCCTCATCGGCGACAAGGCTCAGCTCAACACCCAACACTACGGCAAGCGACCATACGGCGTCGGCCTGTTGGTTGCCGGCATCGACGAATCCGGCCCCCACCTCTACGAGTTCCAGCCCTCCGGAATGACCCAGGAGATGGTCGCATGCGCAATCGGCGCCCGATCCCAGATGGCTAGGACGTACCTCGAGAAGAACGCCGACAAGTTCCCCGACTGTGGCAGGGAGGAGCTGATCAAGCACGGCCTGAGAGCTCTCAAGGAGACACTAGTCCAGGACCGTGAGCTCACGGTCGAGAACACGAGTGTGGGTGTCGTGGGCTTGAAGGAGGCCGGCAAAAGGGCTCTGGAGTTCTTCAAGGTCCACGACGGCAACGAGGTCAAGGAATGGATCAACAGCGTTGCCGACGATGCAGAGGCAGCCGCTGAAACGGCGGAAGGCGAGGGTATGCAGGTTGATGATGAATAGACAATGCACCTCTGAGTAGAGCGACATGACATTCACGACAATCCTTCACTCCAGAGCCCCAAAGCCGTGGGGTATTGGCCCCAAAATAGATATGGCTCCGAGGGACATTTAAACGGACTTGTCTGTATTGTACCAGAGTCATCTAGAGATGTACTATAATGAACATTGCTACGCAAGCCACGTCAATTTTTGTCCATTGCCATTGGGCTAGCTTTCACTTCATTGACTATGCTTAGATCTCATCTTCTTCGTCATCAAAGTCATCCTCTCTGCCCATCTCATAAAGGATCCTGCCACCCTCACCAGCCCCTATATCCGTCTGCGCATCAAAGTACGGCAGCACGATGCCCTCGCGGTCCTTTCTTTGCTTCTCCGTCAACCCCAGGCTGAACGTCGTCTCCGCCTCATCACCTTCCTTGGCCTCGTCCTCATCCGCCGCCGGATCCCTAAACATAGCATGATCCTTCAAGAGCGATATCCGCGATGCTCCTCCCAGTCCCAGCTTCTCGCCAGTGATAAGGACGAACTTCTCTCCCACGGACCGCCCGCTGCGTCGCCGTATCTCCATCTCGACCACCAGGCCATCGGCTGCCCCCCTATCACCCTTGAGTCCGATGAGCACGCCCTCCCGACCCTCGTGGAGGCCCCACTCCGGCTCCGCCAGGCTGCGGTTCTGCGCCTCCCTGCGCTTGGCGGCCTGGTGCAGGCTCCCGACCTGCAGGATCGCGGTCGCGAGGTGCGAGAGCACCGTCAGCGGGTGCGGCTCGTACTCGCCGAACGTCCGGGGCAGCACCGCCGGCACGTCCGTGTGGTACAGGCCCACGAGCGAGACGGCGGGGCCCGTGATGAGCGACGACAGGAACTGCGGCAGGTGCGATGGCGCCGTGCCGCATAGCGGATTCAGCGTGTCTATGATGAGCAGCACCTTTCCGCCCGCGCCAGCAGCACCAGCAGCGCCCGCCTTGGGGTACTGCGATACGATCTCGGACCGCAGGCTGTCGAGCGACTTACCCCGCGCCCTGACGAAGATCTCTACGTCTGTGGGCTTGCGCAGGGTCCCAAAGGATAGGTAGATGATCTTGGATCGTGAGACCTAGGACATGGGTCGTATCAGCACTTGCTCATACATTGGGGGGTGTGAAGTAGTATCTCTATGGCAGTCCGAAACGGTGACGTGACAGTGCTCTGGCCAGGAGGAGCTTGAGGGCGTCGCATGACCTCGAACCCTTGACTTGAGGAAAAATTAAAAGGTAGAGAGGTGAGAGAACTACCGACCTTGGCTCTGGCGATGAACTCATGGAGCACCGGCCGACCACTTTGTTCCAGAGTGTCGAGGACCAGTGTCAGTGGGCTTGCACTATCGCGCAGATTGAGTAGTTTCTGAAAGAGGAGCAGCGCATGTGAGCGCGCGTGCGTCTGTCCTGCGGACGGCATATTGAGAAAACTAATCCTCACCGTAGCTCCTTGGTCTTTGTCTTCTTCTTTTTTATTTTTCCCCTGTACCGGCTTAAATTGGTCGTCAGATTATCTTTAGTGACTGCCGAGATGCTAAACTCAAAGTAGTTGTGAAAGATATTTTGGCAAGACCCTGATGTCACCCAACTTCGATGGGAGTGGCTCGAGGTTATTTAGCGGGGAAGGTCACCTCCATCGCGTTCTATTGGACTGGCCGAATACGGCAACAGGCTGTGTACTTTATACTACGATATTCAACCACATTCGATTCTCACTTTATCTAATTACCCTGAACTCATATAATCTGGCTGGTCTATCTTCGCTATTGGTCTAATGCACATCTCCCGGTAATGACTCGACAGACCTTGGAGCATGCACCCCGCAGTCTATCCTACAATTATCCTCTCGGCATGATCCAACGAGCAATGAAAGTGACCTGCCAATGGCACGTTACTTGAAATACCTGGAATGTCCAACTCACGTGAAGCAGGATACGTTGTAGGCACTAGATTGGATAAGCTTTGTCGTAAGTTATTGAATTACGAGTAAACATATAGCTTACAACGTGCTCTTGTAATATGGACACCATGAGCCCCCGCAGAACAGAATTCTGTAGATTCTGCTCGGGGACATCGTTATCCATCTGTTGAGCACCTTGATCTGATATCTCCGGTACGGTGTCAGCATGGCAAAGTCAACCTTTCAAAGCCTGGTGTTTGTGGCTACCCTGAGACTCGGCCTAGCTGCGCCGATTTTCGATGACCTCGAGCCTCGCCGAAACTATATCGCTGAAGCGGGACTATCCATCACGGATAACTTTCATCCTCTGATCAGAGTCCCACTGAACCGCGAGGCGCTTCTTCATCCGCCATTTCCAATTGCCCATGACGATACAGAAAATCGGCAAGCTGGCACGGGGACCGACCATATCAAGGCAATCCCTCTGCAGACTGAATATTTGATGCAAGTGGGTATTGGTGGCAGCAACTGGTCGATGATCCCCGATACGGGAAGCTCAGACACATGGCTCATGTCTTCAGCTTACCAATGCCTTGATCGATCACACGCGCCTCAATCCCAGCTGTATTGCAATTTTGGCCCTTCATATGGAGGCGAGTTCTCGGGTGGAAAGATTTCGGACCAGCATATGAATATCACATATGGTGGTGGAGATTCTTTGAATGGCGACTTCGGATACGCTGAGTAGGTTTCTCTCACGTCTAGTGAAATGTTAGTTGGACAAGAAACACGGATTGACTAAATCTTTCCTTAGTGTCACTGTAGCTGGCATCACCGTCCCACGTCAACAGATGTCTCTCGTGACGTCGGCCAGTATTCGAGGGAATGGACTATTCTCAGGTATACTAGGCTTGGGACTCCGCGGGCTCACGACTGCATATCTGGGGACAGATCCCTCCAAGGACAACGATGCCAATGCTGCAAGATATCCACCGTTGGTTGAGACCATGAGCTTGAACGGCACCGTGTCGCCCGTGTTCAGTATTGCCATGTCTCGTGACGATGACCGGTCCTTCATCTCTTTCGGCGGAGTTCCGCCTGCGGTCAAGACTGGAGAGTTCGCTACCACACCTATCTCTAAGGTAAGATAAATTACATCACTTCTGATGACCCAGCATTGCTATAGATTTGACACCTTCCAGATCAGCATCAGCGGCAAACCGGCAGAATACCTATACTACGGTCTGCGCCCAGAGAGTGTCACGTTCAATAACACGGAAACTGCTTCAAACTGGACAAAGCCTACTCTTATGATCGTCGACACCGGGACGACACTCGCCTACTTCCCCAGAGACGTAGCAGACAACATCAGCAGCCTCTTCTCGCCGCCGGCAGAGTATTACGGCAGTGGTACCTACGTTGTGCAGTGTGATGCTATCCCACCCACTGTGGAAATAGGCATCGGGGGCAAGAAGCTCAGGATTGACCCCAGCAGCCTTATCCTACCAGAGACAAGGACCCCTGAATTTGATGCTGACTATTGCACCACGGGGATCGCGAGGGGTTCGGGCACCTACATACTTGGTGATGTCTTCTTGCAGGAGTTGTTAGTTGTGTTTGACGTCTCGGACAAGAAGGAGATGAAGTTTGCGCAGAGAACCGACAAGGTGGGTTGAAGTATGCTATGTACAAGAGAGGTGATATACCAGAATTTCACTTGGATGTAGAGTCGCTCCAATTCATCTGCGGAGGATTAAATTGTGGCGTAAATGCCTAAATAGATCGGTAAAGGCTACCCTAATCGAGTCTTTTGCAAATATATATGCAGCTACTTGTAGATTACAGGACACGAGTGCCGATCCTACCACAATTATCCGACCACATCCGCAAACTTTACATTCCATAAGTTACAAGCACTGTGAGAGGGCGACCCTTTAACAGTAAATATTATAGACAATGTAGTAAGATTTTGAATAACAAGCCATATCATCTGGTGACTCTTATTGTTCTGCGTTTCATCGTTGGATTAGATGGATATGAGGCTGATGAGAGCGACTGCATAGGACTTTGTAAAGACCTGATTGCTCTTGCCAGCTCGTCTGCTATGGAAAGTTGCGTTTCGAGTCGTCCTTGGAATATTTTCGTAGACGCCTTTGGCAGTAATCTTTCAACAAAGATGTACATGCATGAAGTTAACAAGACCGATATTGAGAGATATACCGAGAGTCGTTTATCCGAACATAATATTTGGGGTTTCAGACTACCAGGGCCTCCGAGTTGACATGCGAAGTCGCTCGGCGATCTATGGGGGGTTTCCTTTGGGTATTCATGGTAATACGGCTACTTCGGAATCGCCTCACGAATGATGACAGCTACTCCGACCTGCTGAAGAGGCTTGAAAACGTTCCACTTGACCTAAAATTTTTTTTTTTTTTCGATGCATCTTAGACTCTGCTGAACCATTCTATCTGGAAAAGATGGCTGGTGTAATGTGGGTGGCGGTCGCAGCACCTTCGCCGTTTGAAATTCTGGTATACAATTACCTTGAGCGATAATATGACGACCTATCGTACGATGACCATATATATTACCGTCTTCTTCTTCATTATGATATTCAAAAATTGAATCAGTACACTCGGCTCCGCGTGAGTGCTTACTGCCGAGGACTATTGCAGACGTATGGTTCTTATGTAGACTTCTCACGCCGCACAGTCGCCGACTTCTTACAAACCCGAGATATGGCCTTGTTTCTACAGGAGAAAAGCGCTGCCACATTCAAGGCCAAAATCGCGATAATGGGGGCGCATAGCGCTTTCGTCAAAACGAGAAACCCACGAGCAGATTCCTTGATAGGGCGGCACTACATGTTCGAAGCCTTGCAGTTGCAGTCACTCCATGCTATTATGGAATATGCTTTAGAAATTCAGGAGGAGGAAGGTCTCGATGAAAGTGGCCGAATCCCGTAGAACTCCTTGCTCAAATCGAAATGGTGCTATCAAAACATTCCGGCTCCGAGAACACCACTGCGAGCAATTTGGACTACTTCAAGAAGGAACTTAGGATAGTCGGGTATCATTTTAAATCATACCACTCCAACATGCTTTTTGAAACAGACTGCTACTTGGATGACCTCGGTACGCCTGCCTTAGCCATCAACTTTAGCTTGGACTTCACAGCGAAGTCACCGGTATTTGAACAATTTATGGATGCGGCACGCTTTAGGATGCTAAAGCTACTGCTAGAAAATTGGACATGACCCAAATAAGACCCTCATTTTGTGTAACCTGGACGATGCCATGAAGATAGATCTGGAGGTTCATAAATCTGCTGCTGCGCAATGTCAGGCATGGCCCCCTTGGGCTGTGTTTACATACCAACACATTCCGTGGGGAAGTTACATCCAGACAGCCAGGTCAACCCGAATACGTTTGTATTTCGCTGTGCACGACCAGGCTCCAGTAGGATTCCTGACAATGTTACCACGCCATGACTTGATTTTTTGTTGTGTTGCTTCCATATAAGCCTGAAGGCCTCTGAAAGAGTGGGATGCCTAAGGGTAATGAATACATTCTGTGATAAAGGTGCGTTATTAAGTTTCTGTCTACCCTAGATTGCGATTACGACGGTCAGGGTGTCAAGAGAGTTCCAAATTCTGGTTATGCTGCAGAAGAATACTTCCGGAAACTTCGGACCATTTCAAAGACTTCGCGTGTACCGGCTGAGCAGGCATGTCTCCTTGCTGATGTTACGTATACACTTTTGTCGGCGGCTCCAGGCCGGTACACCTCCGAACCTGAGGCGTCTATTGCAGTACAAGCTCTAGAGTCTGTCTTCAAATCACAGCAGCTTACGAGGTTCCGAGAGTTCTACCCGACAACTGGCACGAATTTTGCTGAAGGGACAATGGCATCAGGCCAGAAACGGACAAGAGAATCAGAAGGACCCATCCTGTCGCGTTGCTTCGCACCGTTCTAGTTAACCTCGTTGATGTCCTTATAGAAGTCAAGGGGACACAGTCAAGAAAGACGATGAACAAGCGTACGCTTGAGCTCAATGGACGACTTCAATAACAGTCACTCGTTACTAGATTTACCATTCGCAAGGCTTGACCGTTGTAAATATCACGTTTACTGACCTCTTACGCAGATAGAACACAATGAACGCCAGCTTTTGTCTATCCATTATCTGGGGTATCAATCTAACAGTGGGCAACATTTCTTGGCTTCTGTCTACTCCTTTCCGAGCAATAGATCGTTACCCCTATTTATCTGCACCTGTTTATCTTCGCCTCCACTTACAATGCCAAAGTGCTTGTCCCACACGGCACCGAAAACCTTGCAGCCAGCGCCTGGCACATCGCTCTTCTTCTTCTTGCTCTTCTGACTCTCACGCTCAATGACATAGACGGCTTCGCTGACACTGCCACCTCCTTCCGCCTTGGTGCCCGTGCGCATGCTTCGTAGATCCCATATTCTGCATGTACCATCGTGAGATCCAGAAACGAGGGAGTAGTTGTCGTTGGGAGAAGCACAGATAGATGTGACAAAGTTTCGGTGGCCACGAAGAGTCATCACTGAGGTTGTAGCCGCCGAAGCTCGGGGGTCTACCAAGGTGATATGCCTTGCTGATGTTCCTGCCGCCAACAGAGATGTGCTGATGCCAGGGAGGGAGGCCAATGATAACAAGGGATGCGCAGTCGTGAGTGTGCTAACTACGGAATGTGTGGTGAGATCGATTGTCTTGATGGTATGGTCTTCGGATGCCGAGTATGCCACAGTCGAGTCATCAGGGTGGAAGATAACACCAGATACCGGAGAGTTGTGGATCTGCATCATGGCCAGAGGGCCTCTTTGTGGTGCTGCGGCAGCAATTTTCCTCTTCTTGGCAACGTTGGTACCGGCACCTGGGAGAAGGCTGGCAAGTGCTTCTGGTGCAGCGGACTTGGATGTCGACCACAAGCCGACGGCTCCGTCCTTGGATGCACTGAGTATGCGCTTGGTCGGAGCATGCACATCCAAATGTTCAACCGATGCCTGATGACCAAAAAGCTCAAGAGTGGGCTTGACATCGCCAGTGAATTCGTCGGTCTCGGCGTATTTCCAAACGCGCACTGTGCGATCCATTCCACCAGAGGCAATCTGAGAAGAGCTCAAAAACTTGGCGGCCTTGATCGCTGCGCTGTGACCACCATTGCTAGCGGATGGCGAGGTCGCAATAACCTGCCCAGAACTGTTCCATATCCTCAGGAGACCATCGTATGAAGCCGAAACAATCCGATTTTGTCCCTGTCGCAGGGCATCGCCTGTCCACACACCAGCTCGCGAGGTCGCCGACAGGACATCGATACCAGTGACCCAATCGTCGTGTTCAAAGCTCGCCTGGTACATAGGCGGGATCAAACTCTTGACATACTGAAGCGTGACGGTAGTTTCAGACGACAAGCCGTTCTCCTTCAGATAGTCCTCGAGAGGTGTGCGCAAGTAGGTGCCGTTGATGAGGAAATCGAGAGGGACAGGGGATTCTGTGTTGAGCATGGACTCGGAGTTCAGAACGCGGGAAAGGCCATAACGCTTGATGTCACCCGGTACGAGCAATTGGCTCTTGCCGTCTGGGAGTTGAAGTTCGGGCAGTGTCGTGGTGAAGTTGACCCTGATTTGCTGGGTTCCTGTCGCGGAATCCATCTTGGGCGGTGGCGGTCGCCGCTTTGAAAGTCCTATAGAATCAAGTTCGTCCCGTATCAAAGAATTGAGATCTGTGCGGACCCTTTGACAACAAATAAAGCAATGCAGGCTTCGTTGGCGGCTCGTAGATTACCGAGTTGTGTTGCGATTTGGAAATGTCCTATGATCTGCTGCTAAGACCCAATTGAGCAGCGAACAGCAGCAGACAATTTTTCCCAAATTTTTGATATTTTCTTTTAAGACTCCCAGCAGCCTTCCGTAGCCTTACCCCGCGGAACAGGGGGTTTTCACCAATGAGTGAACGGCCAGCGACGGCCAACTGCACGCTAAGATGTGCTAAAGATCGCTGAGACAGCCCCACATCACTTAACGCGTGTCGGGCTTCCAGAGCGCGTCGTCCCGTCCATCTTTGATCTTTCATCTTCCAATTGGCCATTTTTTTTATTTGGAAATTTGGCCAATCTGCTTCCCAAGAGCCCAAAACGCAGCTCTAAGATGGCAGGTCTTGACAGTGTACAAGGGAGTCTACTCCGGAAGCCCTCGTGAGTTCTAACACGCTTATTGGTGTATATATGCTGAGCCATCTTCAGGGGCAAGAAGGAGGATGAGCTTGAACGGACAGCGTCGACGTACAAGGCCCTCCATTCCTTTCGGTTGGCCAAGGATAAGTCATACAAGCAACAATTCGCTGATATGTACTTCTTGAGGTTGACCAAGATCAAGCCAGCTGTCGAGGCCATTGCATCTAAAGCATGGAGCAACACGGTCATTGGTGGCGAGCAAGTTAGGCGGATGGACAGAGTACTGGACATTCGGCAGGGCGAGTTATGTTGGACCACTGGCACAGTCTACATGGATATGGCTCTGAAGCCCAATATTTTGGAGGACGTCTCCAAGGACGTAGGTCTTTAGCCAGCCAGCTCACACCTAAACACCCCGAAGATCAGAGCTGACAGCATGCTAGAGATGGATCTCCGCGCCCACATCGACACAAAAGTATTGGTCTGATGACGGATCAGATGCCGTCACTTTGGAGGACGAATCTGGTCGCATACGCCTCGTCGGCGATGCGCTCAAGTCAGTATTTCTTGTCACAGGGTGTGTTATTGCCGTAATGGGAACCGAGAACGCAGACGGCACGCTAGAAGTTATCGATTTCAAACTTCCGGATTTGCCGCCACAACCAGAGCGTTGGGCGTTATCGAAACCTCCAACCACTAACGGTACGAAGACTAAGAAGCACAGAGATGAGGACGACGAGATGACCGATTCGCAATCCCGTGGAAGTGGCGGGAAAATTGCGATAGTCTCCGGTTTAGGCTTTTCAGGCTCGAATGCGTCACACGCAATGGAACTCAACTTGCTCCTGGAATACTTGCTTGGCGAAGTCTTTGACTCTTCCGTGCAGCAGGAGTTATCACAAATAAGCCGCTTAATAATAGCTGGCAATTCGATATCAAATGAAGAACGGCCGATCACTGAGGAAAAGCCGACCGAGAAGAAGACGAGTAAGAAATACGGGTATGATGCCAGCTCGTACAACGCCTTACCTTCTCAGCTTCTCGATGATTTCCTCGGGTCCATTCTCCCCACCATGCCAGTTACCATGCTCCCTGGTGCGCAAGATCCTGCAAATGCCAGCTACCCACAACAACCTATACATCCAGCCATGTTCCCGAATGCCAGGCCATACACTGCTACGCCCACCTCAAATGAAGCAGGCTGGCTTGACAACGTAACAAATCCGTGGGAAGGTGAAGTTGACGGGTGGCGGGTGCTGGGCACAGGAGGCCAGAATGTGGATGATGTCTTCAAGTACGTCGATAGTGAGGATAGACTGGGTATGATGGAAGCCATGTGCAGGTGGCGCTGCTGTGCACCAACAGCGCCTGACACTCTTTGTAAGTCACATGAAACGGGAACCACGCCAATAAAATCAGCAAAACTAACTTCTGAACTAGGGGCATACCCGTTCCAAGACGATGACCCGTTTGTTATGAGAACGTGTCCGCACCTTTACTTTGTTGGATGCCAGCCTGAGTTTGGAACAAGAGTCGTCACCGGTCCAGAAGGGCAGTCTGTGCGGCTTATTACCGTACCATCGTTTGCTGCAACAAAGGAGTTGGTCTTGGTGGATATGGAGACACTGGATGTAACGAAAGTCAAGATCGCTACTTTGTAAGTGAGTGAGCGAGTTTGATCTTTAAGGGGTTGACAAAATGTAGCAGAGATAACTGCAGCATATACTCGAATGATACCACAAGTCGCTAAGAACACAAAAGCATTGCTCAAACTATTGTTCATGGCCATTTCATAGCAGCTAACTTAGTCTAAGTCCGGCTATTAACTAACCGATTAGAACCCATCGCAAAGCCCATGTGAAACCACCGCAAGATTGTCGCATAGAGGCTAAAAATGAAATAGTGAGAAAAGACGGGTTGAATACCACTGCCGACCACTTGTCTATTGCGCCAGGTGATTTGTATCACTTGAAAGCGATCGGACGAAAACCGAATGCATACAAAACCGACTGGCACAACTTTCAGGAGAAAGGAACCCGATGAAAGGCCAAGTCCAAAACCACCAATCAGCCCAACACAAAGCTCTTTGCTGTCGTTACTCGTCCTGAGCTCATTGAAGAACATCGCTACCAACGAACGTATCACGACGGCTTCCCTTGCCTCCTTTGGCCTCGACAAACATGGAATCGTCGTCCTCATCGTCGCCCTCATCGTCGTCCTCATCATCGTCCTCATCGTCGTCCTCATCGTCGTCCTCATCATCGTCTCCTCCGTCGTGATCGTACTCATCGTCGTATTCGCTCAATCCAGGGGGGCTAGCCGAGAGCCGGTAGTTCACACGTCCCATCGTGCTGCGTCGACTCGATCGAGTGGTCGACCCCGAAGGCAGCGCTTCGAGAGGTTCCCCCGCCTCTAATCCTGGCACATAGGTCTCGAAGGGCCCGTTGATCACAGCACGTATGGGCATGTCAGCGTCCCAGTCATGCGTCAGCTGCTCCAGCCAGAAATACAAGGTATGGAGGCGAGCCCGCGACTTTACCGCCTCAAGCCTACGCGTCGCGAGCATGACACCATCGCCGCCCCACATATCGTGGTCGCCCTCGTCGGCGCTGAGCTGGCTAAAGTGTGGACGGCGGTCGATGAGCGCCTCGAAGCACTCGCCACCATAGCGGTCGCCACTGCGAGGTGCGGTGTACGCCAGCACGCGGATAAACTGGCAGTTGAGGTGCTTGAGCGCGCTCAGCACCGACGAGTCCCGGCGGAGCCACGAGCACGCGGGCACGTCGGCGAGCCTGGTTCCCGTGTCGCCCCTCATGCCCAGGCTGTGGCGCGTCTGCGCTGGCAGCTCGAGAGTCACAGTGTGCAGCTGGGCGGGCGTGGACAGGTCGCCGCCGGGGAGGAACTTCTGTAAGGCGTGCGGCAGGGTCATGCGCGCGTCGTGCAGATGCATGCGGTTCGCTTCGACCACGACCTTGATCCGTCGGATCAAATGGCCGTGCTTATCGATGGGGAGGGACTCTTGGCTGTACACGTGCTCCATGACGATGGCCGTGTCGGAGCGCCAGGAGCTAGGGTCTCGGATCAGGTACACAAACGTGTTTTCGCCGTACAGGATCCGGATGCCCTGGCGGTAAAAGACGCGGCAGACGCGCAGCATGTTGGCCTCCAGGTTGGGCCGCGAGCGGGGGAAGACCAGAGACCACCCGCGCAGCACCCGGATGTCCCTGTGGTGTAGCAGCAGGCTGCGGAAGATCATGTCGCGGATCTCGGTGGGCAGCTTTCCAAAAGATCCCATGGCTGCAATCGGATCGTCGTCGCTGGTGCCTTGCGTCTGGCCCGACGCCATGCGATCGATGAGCGTGCGCTGGTCGCCAAAGCCGGAGCTGCCGAACAGGTTATGTGCAACATAGCCGGGCTTCTCGATCGCTTCTCCGTGCTGGTTCAATATCGTCTCGCTCTCGCGCTCCCACGGCAGGTGCACGAACGAGGACGCGCGGCTCCGCTTCACGATCCTGTCGTCGTAGGCGTTCGAGGCTCGTCGCTTGCCTGGGAAGGCGGCTGCGATGAGCGCTCTGACACGATGGTGCCGGGGCGGTTGCTCCTCCAATCGCTGCCCGCCGAGGTCCTGCTTGGGCTGTTTCTTCTTGCGGCTCTTACGCTGTGGCTTCTTTTTGTTGCCTTTGTCGTTGCTAGCATGCCCGGGGCGGGTAGCGCGGCGGCCGGTTTGACGAGCTGTGGCAGAGGCGACTTTTTTAGGAGCTGCAGCTCGTCTCTTTGCCGACGCACGCTTCGTGGCTGCCTGGCTTCGAGGCATTGTGTTTCAATGTGTTATTGGTATTTTGACTATGCAGAAGGTAGGATTGTAGACCGTAGTCTGCTTGGTACTGCTGGTATCGATGCTTGGATTCGTGTAAGTGCAAGCTTAATAAATATATGATTTGGCTTGGTGCTTCGTTATACCTGCAAGTGAGTCAGTCTGAAGTGTCTCATGAGTCGAACATATAAATGTGAAGAGAAATAGCGGTACTTTGGTAAGTAGGCACTTAAGGAATATGACGAGTTTCTCTCGATAGGCAAGGAAATGACCTTGGTGGAGGTGAAGTTTAGAAGCATGGCAGGGACGGTCGGATATAGTTACTTACTTTAAGGCGAAGGTGAGTGCGGTGAACGGCCGTTAGGTCTAGGTCTTGGCAGTTAAACGCGTTGCTTTGTAGAGGTCACTCTGCATCAAGAGGCTCCAGAATCGCGCTCAGGGGTTTGCATAGCAGAAATGAAAGGGGGGATGAGCACCCCAAAGTTTGCGGTATGCCGGAACCTGCTGTTCACAGCCCGGGTATGGAACAGGATCAAGAGATGAGTGATCACAATGGAGGCCAACTAGGACAGTTGTAATGGCAATCGAGGTATTACTTTTATGTTAGTTTCAATGTGGGAGCAGATGGCAGATTGTAGTAGCTGCTTGTGCTTCCAGGAGAATGTATACCGTTGTACAATACAATCGCAGCAGTAGACGGGAAGGAAACAGGGGCATAACATGTATCAGTCAGTCATGCGATACTGTCTATATTGGTGACTTCCTCATCGCAATCCCTTAGTAATTGCCGTTATTGGCAGGGTTAATAAGCAATCTCATCTGGTACAGATGCCAATCATGGTTCGAGGTGAATTTTCAAATCTGCTCTTTCACTTACAATGCGCATATTCTTCTTGTCTTTATAATTATTACTAGAGTAACGGCAGTTCTCTACCAAACTCTAGAACAGACACTAAACAACCTATCAAACTCCCAGTTCTTATAAAAGGGACCCAATCGCAACTTCCATACTGCATACACAGTATCCTATTTCTCTACTTTGACCTGACGACTTTGATACCCCTGAGACAGCTTTCCACACTTGTATACTAACCGCATGGTTTTCGACAAGTGGCTATATGGGAAGCATTTCGGCACATTTATGAAATAGGACAGCAGGTGATCTGTATAATCGTGCATGCCAAGGAGACAGATTTTGAGTACAATGGGTTTGTCCACCAACGTGCCGGACACAGCTCGTCTATGACTTGCCAGCTATGCTGCCGATCCACCCAGTGGGAGACTGTATCTTGATCATTCCGCAGCACGAGCGTCACACTGTTGCCTTGCGCCGCCATTGGGGCCAGAAGATTCCAATGATGCCTTCTGCGATCAGCCAAGCTTTCTCAAACGATAGTACGCCTCTGTATCTCTTCATAAGACGTCACAATGTCCAGGACCTTGGGGGTCTGCTCGCCATCTGTCTGGTGAGGCATCCTTATTCGGGTAGCGGGAAAACATGGACTGAGCCTTTGTTAGGACGACCTGAAAACGAGGTGCAACATGATTAAAAAAAAATATTTTTAATAGAAAAAGAAGCGCAATTTGGGTGGTTGTGATGGGGAATTTGAGACTTGTGTTTGAAAACAAAGTATAACAAGGGAGTGAAGGATAAGATGGTTGGCGATGAGTAGAAAGTAGAGCAATAAACGAATCCGTCGTTTCAAAATTGTTGAGCATGTAGCTCCGCATCTTTAATGTACACCTGAGTAGCATACTTGGGATTATTATAGGCAATCCTGTTACTATGTTCAGCTTCTTCCAGCCTACTGGTCAACAGACGATTTTCATCTTCTATACCTTCCAATCATCCAAACGACCGAAAAACCGATGAGGTTGCACACCCGGCTACTGATGTGTCTCAAAGCCTCTCGTCTACAGCAGAGCAGGTATTTACTCCTTCCTTGTACTGCGTAGAGCTCTGTCTGTCTCGAATGGTACCTCTCAGGTTCACGGTGAGTTACGGAACCGTTCCGCGCTGGCAGCGATAAGATAAAGCGGACCACTTTTATTTTCTCAGTCCTCCCACCTTCTAGTCTATACTGCGAAGGCTATTCAATTGACTGCTACGAAGCAACCACTAGATGCGCAGACACTCTGAGAACAACTGCTTGGGTTGATTTACGAGCCACATAAACTGAGGTGGCTTCACTGAACGCTCCGATTGATCGCCAGAGCAGCGCAAAGTCCGAACGGCACCAGGCAATTACCAAAGAGGATCACCTAGATCTCATACACAGCAAGCTCGTTCAATTGGCGATACTTGTATCAGAAAACCTTGGAAATGGCGAAAGACAGGACGGCGAAAGCTGAGGCCAAGCAAAAGGTCCCAAAGGTCGTTGACGACAAGGTGAAGAAGGCCAAGAAAGAAAAGAAGCCCAAGGCTGTAGCCAAGGAGGAAAGTGAAGATTCGGACAGCTCCGCAGCTTCAGACGCACAACAAGAACAGGTGAGGGTTCCAATGGTTCAATGATCTGCGGCGGGCTTGGAAACATGCTAACAATGCCGAAAGAGTGGAAAGAAAGTAAAAGAGTCTAGCTCGGACTCGTCTTCCGACTCCGCCTCGGAAGCATCTGACGACTCGTCCTCCGATTCGGACGAAGCAGAAGCACCCACGAAACCCAAGAAGGCTCCCGTCGAGGTTGAGCCCAACTCCATCTTCACCATAGACACCAAGCCGACGAAGGCCGCTCCCAAGGACGAGGTAGCGCTCAAGGAGGACGGGATCATAGACGAGAGCGGCAAGATCAACAGAAGAACACGTCGCCGCCTGCAACTGATTGGCAAGCAACGCGAGGCGCTCCGGAAGTCCATGAACCTCGGCGCCGACGACAACTCGGCGGAGCTGGAGGCTGCCTTGGACAAGTGGATCAAGCAGACCGACGGCAAGGCGGCTGTCAGGGATAAGAAGAAGCAGGACCGCAAAGAGAAGGAGGCCAGCCGACTGCGCACGAGAAAGGGGAAGCTGTTGAAGGGCCGCAAGCTCAAGGAGCGTCAGAAGGTTGTGTCCAAGCTGGAGAGGAGAGAGAAGAAACTGGCACAGGAGCAGGAGCAGACCGAGTCTTGATCCCACTTCAACCTGCAGCATGATAGAAAGGTTTGACGTACAAGAGGCGGGTGTTGAAACAATAGATGCAGTCCTAAAAGATAGTCTTTATTGGCGGAATCTTACCGTGAAGTAGCCTTTAGCCTCGGGCTGTAGGCAATTCAGACCATGCTCTTGTCATATACATTGTATACTACTCTTACTTCGAACCAGGCCTTATCGTTTCGCCCAGTGACCTTAACTCCAGCCATGCATATTGGCCATGCTTTCGACCCTATCCTACATTACAACCGATTATATACATCACAAAACCCATGTCCCTTCTTGATGCGGAACCTGTGGCATCGCAGGTACTTTTACACGCGGGACACCAAGAGCACCACGCATCCCACCCACAGCTTTTGATAGATCACGAAGACTTGTTTGCGCTGTTCTCCCTCTTCGCCTTCTCTTCCTGCGCCTTTTTCTCCCCTCTGTTGTATACCTCCGAGATCTGCTCCGTAATCAGCCCCCAGATGCCCTCTCCACCCTCAGCCAAGGCCTCTTGTTCCTTCTTGGCGCGCTCTTCCCTCCAGTTCTCCTTGGCATCACCCATCCAGATGGCCTTCAGCGTACCCTTCTCACCCTCACTCTCGCCCTCGCCCTCACCCTTTGTCTGTAGGGTGTTTGTTGCTTGTTGGGGTTGTTGCCGCTGCTTCCTCCTCTCAAGTTCCTGAACTCTCTTGACGTCCTCCTCGCTCATGCCGCTCGCCAGCAGCTCTTTCGTCCTCTGGCGCCTCGCCTTCTCCTCCTTGATGCGCCTGCTGACCTCGGCCGCCCGGTCGCTCGGCAGATAGTCGTTTAGACCGCCGGTGGAGGGCTTGCCGGACGTGTCTTTCTCCTTTAGCCACCAGTTGTGCAGCATCGACGTGCCCGTGTAGTCGTACTTGAGCTGGGAAGCGCCCCAGAAGGCGGTGCTGCCCAGGACGATGGCTCGGAAGTCGATCCGCCGCGGGGGCAGGAAGAGGCCCAGGAAGGCGACGGGCGTGCATACGAGGGCTGCGGTGTGGAGGAGATTGTAGGGCGGCTGCTGCTGCTGCTGCGAGGAGGGCGAGGGGGTGGTTGCGAGCTGCGATCCAGCAGGTTGCGCCGGCGCCGGCTGCGCGTGTTGGGAGCCTGTGGTTGACATAGTATTCTTGTGTCTTGGAGCTCAATTGTGGTCAAGAGTCAGGCTGAAGCCGATCTTAAGAAACTCGGTTGATGGATATAACAATAAGGTAAAGCTCAGTGTTGAGCGACAGTGACAGCTCATGAATACTCTTTCTCTATGTCTCCATGGAACTTTTTTGCATGGGTCATCGATTCGAGGTCTGCACCTGCGAGAGACGGCCCCACTTAATTTGCCCGTCCTCCGTCCTCCGTCTTGCGCTTGCCCAAAACCAAACTGCAGAACAGCAGTTCGAACTGCAGACAAACATTCAACCTCAACACCATTTTCTATCACCACAACCCCAAAAAACTGCCAAAAAGAGAAATCCAGGTTTTGCCTGGACGCTGTGAAGCGACAACTGCAGGATTTGAACCTACGCGGCCGAAGCCATGAGATGGCTGAATTGCGTATAGCATATTCGAGTCTCACCCATTAACCACTCTGGCAAGTTGCCAGCCAATTTGCTGATGAAGAAACGCTGCTTATCCATACTCAGACCAACGCGAATGTGAAAGTGGGGCTGGGGATATCTCCGGAGTCGAGCACGCCGCGGCATCCCTTGGCAGGCTCTCACATGTGGAACGCACCAGCAGCATTAGGATAAAGGTCGATGGAGCGAGCATATGCACGAGACTTTTGGCTTGCCATTCTAGTCCATGGCCGGGGGGGAGCTTTTGTCTCCATTGAACAGCATGGTGCTAGCCGAAGCTGTATCTTTCATTCCGAGCGATGGTTGTTTACAGTAGCATACGCTGCAATTGGGGACGTCGGCAGATGCTATCGTGGGGACCATGCTTTCTCGCGGTGCAGCATCACCGCAGCTCACTGAGAAAAATCTGAGACACCTGAGGACTCCGGCATGAACTCTAAGGTATGCACAGTCAGCATGTCGTTCCCGAGGTCCATTGGGGACATGCTAGTGAAATGTTTATCACCCCAGTATCAATTTTCTGTATTATGGCGCCTCCCAGATAGCAAATATGCAGTAAGCACTGCATCCAGTATCCTGGGCCCCGGGCGGCTAATCAACCTGGTGATGATCGCGCATGCAGTACATAGCCCCAAGCTCCAAGCCGCCAGAGACATGTTGGTGTTTCGGTCATGTCCGCCTTCCGAGGGAACGTTCCAAAGCTTCTATGCAAGGCGCTTAACTTCTATTGGCAGACGGAATAAGGAATGCGATATGCAATTTGCTTTGTCCCGTGCTTCCAGAAGTAAATTCCTCTGTCTTTCCTGTGGAATTTCCACAGTGTCTTGGATCTGGTCGTTGCTGCACATCATAGTGTTGGGGCTTCTTATTCCGACAGCTTTGTTGGGCAATGGAATGGGAGGCGGTAGGACCTTGAGAATCGGATCAAGTAGGAACATTTGCGTCACGTTATTACAGACCTAGTAAAAGGGTCATGGGTTCTACGTGCTGTTGTGTGCTTCACCGGCTTTGAATCTATCATGACGTGCACGTAGCACTTTTTGCATGCCGTAGCTGCAGTATTGCTCTTTCCCACTTTCATAATGCTTACCTATTCTCTATTGCCCGTGGTTTCACTGCGATTTAGGTGGATGCCTCTCGCCAAGTAGCGCCTCAACCAGCCGCAGCAATACTCAAGTAGCGGTCGGCTATAGTGTGCTCCACCGATCTAACAGAGGCTGAGCAGGACCCATACAGAGTCGTGGGGAACCCGTGAACCTGATCGTATACCTACTTCCATACTATGTCGTCAAGTCGAGCGGCTGTGTATCGTCATATTACCGTTTTCGCCAAAATGCTTGGGACATGATTGTGGTATCGTATCATGCTACCCCTCGAGGCCGCCAGCTCAGAGGAGCAGATGCAGGTCAGATCGGACACGCAGCTCTAGTACACACTCTTGACTCCAATCATAGGCTAGAACCAGTGGCACCGGTAATCGATCTGTTGTGGAAATGAACGACCATCCAAGTCGCGGAGAGGAGAAACACGGGTGGTTGCGATTTCCAAAAAGGGCCGATCGAAGTACATCCGATGTATTGATTGTTTGTACCATCCCGTCGCACATAGGACGCGGATGGCTTCGACGAAGGGCCAATGTTAGTCTACTCTCGCTTGCAGTGACAATCCTGAAGGAGTCGCATGCCCCCTGAAACAACGATGCTGGCCGGCAACCAAACCAGCACCTGACCCTAAATAGTTATGATGGCGTCATGAGTGTCGATGGGTTGCTTCCAATGACAATCAGTTTTCAAAATCTTCTGTGTACTGGTGGAAGTGCGTGTCTGCATGTCTAGCGATGCATGCACAACTATGATTCAGTAACTACGTGAATAACCTTTCAGGTATATTCTCAGAATTGGTGGGCGACTGGCCATAGTGTCAATGCTAGGGGTTGTTTTCTAACCGAACAGGTCAGGGACATAGCCTATGGTCAGAAGGATATGACTATTGATTACATTGTTTCCATACGTGTCTGTGAAGAGACCCTCCAACGGTATATCCATTGTCCCGAGGTTTGTCCCGAGAAGGTGTCATCCTTCGAGCCCGGGTCAAGCCCGTATTTTGACCCGAACCCTTCGGCATTAACCTTCAGTCCTTGAACGATCTTTCTTTGACGCGCTCAATAGTACAGGTCTAATTCTGCCCAATCGATCCTGATCACGGTCAAGCGATGCGCGTGCGGACTATCGTAGCCCATCTACCTCCCGCAGTCAGGGAACGTGACACGCTGGATACATACACCTCTCAAGAATGGATCCTGGAAGGACTACATAAATGACAGAGTTTAGAGGAGAGCAAATCAGATTTCCGGAACAAGGATGCTGTAGGGCTGAGGCCTCAAATTGGCGAGTGCCGAATGTTTAGAGGGGGGTGTTGTGCTTACTTTGCTTGTATATTGATCATTGTCTGCATTGCTGACAGGCAGCGGTTCTGCGTGCAGCTACCGGGGAATACGATGCAGCATTGATTGGCTGTCTACTCAGAGACCACTCAGATACAATCGGAAAGCGCTGGATGCAAGCAACATCATGACTTTCGTAGGGCTGAAAGGGAGGTGGGGAATACAAAGGAATGATTAGTGACGGGCCGCTTCCGTGTTGGTCAATGGTCCTTAGAAAGTGTAAAACGTTAGATCTTCCTGGACAGGAGCAATCGAACAACATCTTTGGCGTACCATCAATGCTTGGCGTGCCGATTGATGCTATTGAGACACGCGATTGAAGGTATTTCGCAAGTAGCGGTCGACATCATTGTTGTCATCGATCAGTTTGGTGAAGATTCGACCACCCATGGTTGGGTTGCAGGACCAAGCGCAGTCCTGGTCTTTCAAAGACCTCGGAGTACAGGGAAGATATGCTTGGCTAGTCTAGGGACTCACTCAGTGTGTCCAGGGGTTTGCAAATCCAAGCCCCCACAACTACAAGCGTCGAAATGCAGAAGCCGTCGCTCGCCCAACTTTTCTTGGAACTGATTCTCGTTCTCAGAGAGCGCGTGGGTTGCAAATTAGTACTTACTTATTCATGCCTGTGCTTGGTGTAACCTGGCATCGATCATGAGTCCGTGCAAGGCCCTTCTATATTTCAGTCGATGTTATACTCGTCTCATAACTCTACTGCGATTCGTGACTCAAGCCTATGAGGCTGCAAGGTGAGCCTTTTATCAATGCTCGCTCGGTTTATTGCCCGAGGAACTGTTAGATGACTTGACTAGAACTACTTAGGCTGTCGTGGCGTACCTAAATAGGCGACGGTGCGAACCGTCGGAGTACGTAGTGAGAAGTGAACTTAGATGCGTGCGACCACAATGACCATCAGAAGTGGGTGACATGCACTACATATGTTCGACACATCGGAGCCACTTGGCAGAATTGCTCTGATACTATGTGCTGATGAGGACGAACAACTGCCGTGGCTTGAACCGTGTCACTCAATTGTAGTCGCATGAAGTCTCATTCTCGGTGCTTTGGTTGTGTTCAATTAAAAACGAAAAGGCCAGTTCGTTCGATGTGATCCCAGGCATTCTACCTTCCTTTTTCTTTCCTGTCTTTTTCTTTTATTTTTTCCTGTCAAGGAGTTGGACCCTAGAAATAGTTCTGTTCAGCTAGCCGCTGTCAAGGCAAGACGCACAAAGGTGGACGAAAAGGGTTACCTACAACCCATAGAGTTGATTGTCCCTATCTCCCGCGTCAAGATGCTTTACTGAGCAGACCATGTCTCAAAAAGCATGTCTAACAGGAAACCAGTCAATATGAGTGTCTCGAGGTCGAAGTTGTACGGCGTGCTGGGCGACACCGCTGAAATCGATGCTTGTAGACTAGATGCAAGTCATTGAGCATATCGCTGTACATGGTAATGCAATTCCGCAGCGGGCTGCCTACCTACGTTAGCTCTTTTCAATGTGTACCCTCCGGCGCTATATACTATACATTCCTCAGGTACCTGCTGCGGTACGTATGGCTGAGGATATGCAGTGCACGTTTGGTCAGGGAAAGGGTCTGTCTAATATGCAAGTGCATATGTATCTCCAACATCCTTGAGGTTCAAAAACGACTTATACCCAAGCCGTCCCAGTCTAAGCCCCCAGATAACCCGTCCCACTAAAATTCCACAAAGGTCCGCCGAGTTGCGCTACTACGGACATATTCACGAGCCTTGCGCCCGCGACTACTGTCAAGTCTTCGTTTCTTTTCTTTCTGCAGATGGTCCCAAGTGCTTAACAAGTCCCATCCGACTTCTTCGGGGCTTTGGTTTTCTCCTCTCCTTCTCATGTGCCACTTCCGGTATACCTTACAAACCGTGGGCCGTGTCATGACTCGAGAGACCGTTCGCTCTAACCTAGCACGCAGAATACATACATAGACACCCTCACTAAAACTATCCGTCCGCTCCCCACTGCCGGCATCTGGGAGCTCCACAGCAGAGAGAGACAGAACAGTTGACGAGATATTAAGAACGCCGAGGTCCCTTGTCGAGCTGGAACTCTCTGGAACTGGCTATGGTCGCCTCTCGAGACCGAGCAGTACTTTGTCAACAGAAACATCATTGCATACTGCATCATGACTGGCTACGACATGAACACCCCTGGCGCGGGTCAGCCCGCCGACTCTGGTGAAGCGTCGCAAAGGGCGAGGAGGGCGAGAACCAGCAAGCCGAAAGTCAAAACTGGTTGTAACAATTGCAAGTACGGCACCCTTTCTTCTTCGTGGGCGCTAGGTGGCATAGTGTATGGGACTATACTGAAGATTTCTAGACAACGCAGAATCAAGTGCGACGAGCAACGGCCGGCCTGTACTCAATGCGTTCGATCCAAGAAGGAGTGCAAGGGATACCCTCCACCTCCACGAGCTAGGATCTTCGAAGAAGTCAGGATTGCACCCCGACCGATCACGGTCGTGGGCTTGGCTTCGGCGGCAGCTGCACCGGCAAAAATTGCACCAAGAGCTCGATCAAATATAACTATATCTACGCGGAAGCTTGCACAACCACAACCTCAACGAATCACACCACCCCTCACTCCCACCAATCCCGCGGAGAATGTCTTCTCAACCTTGACAATTCATCGTCTTAGTGTCAACCTACCTTTTAACCCCCAAGATGGCCTGTATTTCCAGCTGTTCCGAGAACGCACAGCAGGCGAGCTATCCGGCTTCTTCGACTCGTCGTTTTGGAACCGCAGTGTGCTGCAAGAATGCCATACGGAGGAGGCTATTCGGCACTCTGTCGTGGCACTAGGGGCACTTTATAAGACTCTGGAGAAAATGACAGAGTCGCCGCCTGGCTCACCATCAGACAATTTTGACCCAGCTGATCATGCAAGAGCCCACTGGGAAGTAGCTTTCCGCAATTACGACTCGGCAATGAAAGCTATCCGGAGTCAAATGTCATCTGATCAGTCGACACAGAGGACAAGTCTTATGGCTACAGTCCTGCTGGCCTGTTTTGATTCTTTTATCGGCGACCACAAACAGGCCATAGTTCAAATTCAAACAGGTTTGAAATTGTTAGAACAGCTGAGGTCTGAGCGCCGCAGAGCTTTCATGCCGAGACCTGAAGAACCGGTTGAGCAGGATCTCATCCAAATGTTTACGCGCCTAGCGATTCAAGCCAAGTCTTACGATATGGCATTTCACTTTCCGCAGCCCTTCGTAATCCGACTCACGCCTCAAAATACCGACCCGACATCACCGTCGTCCGAGGGTGGCTCCCCTGTCTCGACGATCCAATCGCCAATCCCTGAACGATTCTCATCACTTCTTGATGCTCGACTTGCTTGGGATTCTCTTTGTGAGAAGATGCTACGTTTCACTGAAACCATGTTTCAGTACACCAGCAGCACGAGCCCGATGGGCGTTCTGCCTCGAGAGCTCCAACAGTATGGGCTGGGCTTCAAGACCGAGATAGAATCGTGGTCTCATGCATTCGAGCATATTTTGAATTCCAGGAATGCACCAGGAAAGAGCAGCCAAGAGAAGGCAGCCATTTCTGTCCTCAAGATGTTCCAGATAATGGGCCAGATCCTATTTTTGATGACTTTCAGTCAAAGCGAAGCTCAGTTCGACTCGTTCCTTCCTCACTTCAGAGCCATTGTCAAGCTCGCAGTTGAGGTTGTAGGAGACGAAGAGAGAGAGGCAATGGCCAAGAGATGTCCCAATCCACAGTTTTGTCAGCATCAATCTGGGCATCCTGATATTATTGGCGGAGGAGAGTGGTCTGCAAAGCACATTAAGCCCAGTTTTAGTGCCGACTTGGGCATTGTGCCCCCTCTATTTGTCGTAGCAACAAAATGCAGGGAGCCCACGGTTCGACGACAAGCGATACAACTTCTTATGAGCAGCTCCCGCCGAGAGGGGATGTGGGACAGCGAGCTCATTGCGCGGATCGGCATGTGGATCATGGCTATTGAAGAGGAAGAATTGGGCCCCGGTGAATCGCCACGACCTTCGATCAGCTCCTCGTCAGAAGCCTATTCTGCAGAGAGCCCTGGTGCAAGATCAAATGGCTCCATCGAGTTTGAGAACGATAGGCCGCTAGGTCCAGGAGGTAATGCTCGCTGGAGCGTCAGCAGTCGGAGGCAAAGTACTGCAACTAGTGGTGCTTTTCTCCGGACTAAGAGCATACCAGAAGAAAAGCGAGTCATGGTCCGAGCCGTTGAGTTTGATCTTCGTGAGCGTACTGCGACCCTCAAGTGCGGCTCAAGAGATCTCACCCCAGGGATGCATGATATGAAAACTCGTGTCACTCAGTTCGCTTGGTGATGCGAGTTTCTCTATAACCATGACTTCAAGTGCTGGCACCAGGAGTCCAACTCATTCTAATGGCACTTCGGCACCCCTAGAGGGATCGCTCTTTCAATTCTGCTCATTATACCCAACGGCGGGACCATTTTTTGCACATGAGATATGGGAAAGATGCTATTTATGAATGAGTCGAAAGCATGGCAACATGGACTTACTAGTAGGATAACCCCTAATGTCTTTCTGGAAAATAATGATATGCTTTTGTAGCAAAGCTTTGGCTCGAGCAACTTGTTAATGGGCATCGCAGTCGCGCAGTAAGTTCGGTGCGGGATCGTTGGTGAAATTCATGTCACCGCCAACGAGTAGTCTTTAATAATCTCGAGGCCAATATACAAGTTTGGACCACCCGATATCTACATACGCATGATCCTAGCATGTGCCGTAACCAAACCGAAGCAAAAGCCCTATGCACTGATACTGCTCCTCTGATTTCTTGATTGAACGTTGCCGGGAATTCTACAGTCCAACATCTGCGAGGATATGGAACGGATGTGCGAAGTGACCCTTGGAGGACAGTGCAGTTCGACAGTGCAATACACTTGCCAGCACTATAGAATCGTAAGCTGACAGCAAGCGTAGCATCGTGCTAGCTTCAATCATCCAACAACCTCATGTTTGTTGAATAGTAATAGGCTTACAGTATTGCGCTTGTCTGGCTATACGAGATCATTCGCTGCCACCAATATGTCCCTGCATTGGTGTTTGTCCCACATTCCATGAACCTATCACTGCAAACGTCAAGGGCGGAAGTAGAGTCAACCAGAAGCACCAAAGCCCCACACCTTGAATAGAACCTCGTTGAACAACACCCAGCCATCCGCACAACGAAGCCTTTCCCCAGTGTCCATAAGATTTGAGGGGAAACACTTCCGCGGGTCGCTCGCCTGTATAAATAAAGTCTAGCTCACACGACAATCTTTCTCCCCCTCTCCCCCTAAACTGACTGACTATCCTTTTGTCTTCATCATGCCCACCGACGCCATCATGCCAGATCTCGCTGACTCACCCCCCTCCGGCACCAACCCCCAACAGCCCAAGAGAATCCGTGTCATCCTCTCCTGTGGCCCCTGTCGCGCGTCAAAGTTGAAGTGTGACCGTCAGGACCCTTGCTCGCAATGCCACAAGAAAGGCAGACCCCAGGACTGCCGGTACGTGCCGCGGCCAGCGAGGCCGCAAAAAGCGGCCAAGAGCATGGCGGCGCGGCTCCGGAGGCTGGAGGGCATGGTCAGGGGCCTGTTGGACGAGGATGGCAACCCGGTCACGCAGCCGACGGGTGGCATGGTCGGGGAGGTGAGGGCTAGCAGCGACAAGGGGCCCTCTGGAGAGGACGGCACGAGATCGGCTCAGGTTCAGGCTCAGGGCACAGACGCTGGCGGACAGGTCGTGAGGGGTGATCTGGGGGTGACAAATTATGTTGGAGGGACACATTTCGCTGCTATTCTCCAGGATGTGAGTAATTCCTCACATGGGCTGTAGGCAAAGCGGGAGTGAAATTATGGCCATCATGATTATTAATATCTGTTTTCGCTTTAGATCGGCGAACTGAAGAGCTATTTCGAGTATCCTGACGACGATGAGGGAGAAACAGGCGGCGATCCTTTCGAGGCAGGCGCGTCACCCGAGTTTCTATTACTCGGCCAGAGCGCACCGAGGAATAGGGAGGAATTGCTGTCACTGTTACCGGAGAAGAGTGTCATTGATCGTTTGATGATGCGATACTTCAACTCCAACATCCCCTCACAGCGTGAGGAATAATATCTGTCGAATAGAATTTTTCATTCTCGCTAACCTGCGATTAGACATCCTGCACAAGCTCACGTTCACCAAAGAGTACAACGAATATTGGCAAGATCCACACTCGGTGTCGTTGCATTGGCTTGCTGTTTTATTCATGGTCATCAGTTTGGGCATATTCATTTCCACGTTTGAAGCTCCACAGGAACTCGCGGCCGATTCACCAATGAATTCTAAGGATAGGTTCCGACTCTATCGTGATGCTGCTGGAACGGCACTGATTTGGGGCAAATATTCCCAACCCAATCAATGCACTTTGCAAGCAATGCTTCTATACGCCGAGGCAGAATTCGTCACGAACCGCCAGTCTCAGATGAAATGTTATTTGTTGTGTTCTGTCCTTATCCGACTCATGCTGAAGATGGGACTGCATCGAGATCCGAGCAAGCTGCCGAATATATCACCATATGATGGTGAGATGCGCCGCCGAGTTTGGAACCTCGCGATCCAGATCGATTTACTTGCCGCGTTTCACCTCGGCTTACCGGCTATGATTCATGGAATTGAGAGCGATACTTCACTGCCGCACAACTTGCTGGACAGTGACTTCAATGAAGACAGCAAGGAATTGCCTCTGTCTCGTCCGCAGTCGGAGTACACACCACTCAGCTATGCAATCAACAAAGCCGCCCTGTGTCGAGTCTTTGGCCTGGTGGCTCGTCAAGCGCATTCGCTCAATATACCTACATACGCAGAAGTATTGAAGCTCGATGCGGTTCTTGAGGAGACCTATAATGCAGTTCCCACATTCCTGAGGGTCAAGCCAATGGAGAAGAGCATCACTGACCACCCAATGCAGGTGATTCAAAGGTATGGCCTGGCAAGTTTGTACCAGAAGAGCCGGTGCGTACTCCACCGGAAGTACATCACAGACGCGATTCCTAAGACGGAACATGAATATTCCAGGAGAGCATGTCTCTCAGCTTCACTTGAACTTCTCCGCTATCAAGATCTGCTGTACAATGCTTGTAAGCCGGGAGGCATGCTCAGCCCCAACGGTTGGTTCATCTCATCCATGGCCGTGAACGACTTCCTTCTGGCGGATATGGTCGTCGCCCTCATCATACAAAGCGAAGAGTATCCAGAAGTCATTGGGGAGTCAAAGCAGTACACACGTGATTCATCAATCCCGACAAAGGACGCACTCCTGGACATACTCAGGAGATCGGCATTCATCTGGCAGGAGATGTGTGTCAACGTACCAGAGTGTAAAAAGGCTGCCGAACTAATCAGTACGGTCACACGGAAAATACAAGTTCAGATGGGTCTTGCGCCAAGTAGCATTGCAGGTAACGAGATAATTACACAGTTAAGTAGCGACCCAAATTCGGTGGCACACTTGACATCCGATGGGGTTGGTGCTGGATCCCGTGCTCGGAATTTAGAAGAGGATGGCGTCTCCGATCAAGACGCCGTGGCATTTTTCAACTTCCCTGCGCCAAGTCTTGTCCACGAGAACACGGCGGATCGTGGTATGGTGTGGATGATTGGCGGCCCTGGTACGGACTATGACTGGGTGAGTTTGACTCCTTATACACATATGACTTTTTGAGCTGATTAGTGGCCATGTTCAGAGTCAACTCGATACTTTTGGCGATGGGGATCCCTCCTTCACTGCAGGAGACCAGTCGGATTACCTGTCAATGCTCGACAGAAATCCTTTGGACGATTTGGACTTCATCACAAGGAATATTACGGGGACTACTTCTCTCGGTCTTCGATAACCGGTTTCCTTGATGCGCGAGTTTCTGGCAACAGAAAGTGACGACTTCTCAGAGGCGCTGGATGTTCAAAGAAGAGTGGTTAGCGTGGTAGATGTTTGAACGGCATCCCGATACGGCCCAAATACGATTCTAGAGAAATCAAAGTGTCTTTGCACCAAGCCCAGCCTTCAGCAACGTAGATCATGTCTTTTTAGGATATAACATGGGGTGTTGGATCTGGGAATCTTGAGCGATCATATGAAGTTATCCCACAATGTTCTATACTGGCAGTTCTGGTTGGCCAGCGGATGCATAGCTAGATCGTGACACTTCCTCCATGCTTGGGGTTGTTGGCATTTGTTCAACCTGTCTGCCTGTATCACGGACAGTGGAGATTCACATCTAGTTTACAATTAGACCAGCCACGGCATTTTAAGTTTCGCAGTTCCCTCGAGGAAATCGCGGGGTACCCCGCGAAGACACTGAATGGTAACTTATGTAGCTGGCGGAAAGCAGTTCGATTTGCCATACATGCATGGCGTCTTTGGGTGTACGGGGCGTCGGATATGCTGGGACTACTTCCCCGATTTGCACAGTCGTTACGTTGTGCCCCTTCGCTCGCCATTTGCACAAGAAAGACACCCAAAGAGGTTTGGTGGTGATGCGCTTGGTTGGGGAAAGCGCCCGCGGAAATGCTCAAGTTTCGCGGGGAGGGCTGCCATGGTTCAAATGTGTCGTTAGAGTCACGGTGAATGACGGCATCTTGTAGGGTGAATCTAGCGCTACATGATGTACGTAATAAGCCGACGGAATTGAGTGAAACTCTGACAACGTCGAAACCACTGTCCAATAACTTGCTGAAGAGCAATCAATACAGCACCAATGCCACGTATAGCCGGCGTTCCTGGAATCAATTTGCGCTACCGCAGGTTTGTTTCCCACTGCGATATCGCCAAAGCCCATGCCTAGCGACTATTTACTTGCACCATCTGCGCCCTAACTAGTGGAAAGCTAGGACGAGGACCTTGAGAGCGACCTTGAAGGCTTGCAGTATGGATGTATGGGGAACCAGGAGACCGGGTCGGGACGAATGACCCAGAAAAGTTAGACGCGGAACTTGCTGGTGAGCCTGCAAAGTCGAGGCGTTGCAATGAAGCTTTCGCTGATCGACAGGCCATGACGGGAAGACGGCGAGATAAGACGCGTGTAGTCTATGTATCTTATCTGCCTCAATATTGATCAAACTTCACGCACGACTCAGTCGCACTTTTTAACAGACACTGTTATCAGCGCAGCTGCAAATTGCTGTACTCGTTGACAAATGGCGCGAAGCAAAATTTGTGTTGAAGCACGTGGACAAAGAAAAGGTAGCAGAAACAGGGCCACCCACTTAAGGATGATCCATTATGGTCAAGTTAGATAATAGATTGATGTGCCGGCAGTGAGCCAGTGGATCAGCTGAGTTGAGGTAATAGCACATCATATAAGCTACTGTAACGGTGGAAACAATCGTACTATGCAAAGCCACCGGTGGCCTTCCGGTTGATGGTGTATTGGATTGAAACTAGAGCAGCCCAGACAATCATCTGATCTGCCTATCCCAAGAAACGAGCAATATCGAAAACGAAGTTGTTTTTGCCCCTGGATTACCAGAATGGCGCTTGGGACGTACAATCAGGGTACATGGTGCATGGAACCGATAGGACAGAATAGCATCCTATTTGAGGCGTTAGTGTTCAACCCCGGACCTAGTATAGATTAAGCAAGGCTGAATTGATACTTGTTCTCAAATACCTACCATCCACACTGATAACTCATGATCCTTTCTTTTTCAAACCGGATTCCTGGAGACCAGGGACCGCAATTTCTCAACTGCAAGTAAAAGGTGCAATGACTCAAAGATGCATGTGTTGGGCACACCTTGTCTGGAAAGAACCAGGCTCCTCCGTGGATATTTGCAACGAATTAATTTCGTGATGTCAAGTAAGCGGTCGTATTACTTGATAACGCATCAAGAACGCATGAGGTCGAGCAGACGAGGCCCAAGGGTGAGCTCCACCTGTCAGAAAATTTCCTCTATTAGTATGACTTTTTGGCGCCAAGCGAAAGGGAAATCTACGATCTGTGGCCCCTAGCAGAATCCCTATGGTCCGTCGTATGTTAGAGGAGGGTTCCCGAGTCTAGCAGCACGTTGACGCAAAAACTCCAGTTTGTGGCCAGCAACGGTTCAACACTCCGAATTCTGTTACATAATTCCTTTCCCCTCGGAACCAGCGCCCGTCTATTGCCTACTTGGACGAAACGGATACAAGCGTGCATCATCATTCAAATCGGGCAGGCTTTTCCTTCTAGTTGAATCATTCGTTGAGGCAGCGGGTTTACAAGGTCGAATCACAGTATTAGTCTCGGGCACGGAGGCTGTCTGAACAGACGAGTACTGTACTGGGGTGCTCGCCTAATAATCATTCTTGAACAAAACATCCTGCTCATCGTCTTCGTCCTTTGCTCTTCCGACCTCGCCACGGTCTCCGTCTGATAAGACTCCTGAAACTTTAAATTTGAGCCGCTGCCATAACTCCATACGTCACAACCGTTTTATCATCTGTCGAGCCTGGGCTAAGCACTTCAGGCGGGCGCATGATCGATCACAACATAAACTTTACAAGATCCGCACACTGGTCGCGCCACTGTCTGCCAAACCCATAGCCAGCAGCCAGCAAACAGTCTCAAGTCAACTGCTGGGCTGAACTGAACTGAGCTGGACAAAGTACATGAAAACCTGCTGAGATCATCTTCACCGCCCTTGCGCTGACTGACACCATCGATCCGGTGGGCTGCCGATACACAAGTCGTGTCAAAACAGACCCTGCCGATTTGGTTACAACTTGCTATCACGTCCTCCGCTGCAGGACCCGATTGGAGCGAGCGTGTTACAACCCCAGTGTGGATACAAATCACATCAGGCGCAATATCGCTTCCTTCCTACTCAGGCCGGACGGAGAATCATCTGGAAAATAAGGTCTGCTGAGAATCGGCTTTGTTGCCACTTTGCGCATTCCCTCAGACTTCGGGCTTGAATTGTCAAACACGGCAGACGCTCACCGGTCCGGAAACTCTTCCCAAAAGGAAAACCAATCCACTCCGATCTGAGGAGTTGGTCTTTTTACGCATCCGCTTCGTGCTCCTCGGACATTGAACGCGGCTCTAGCTCCCCGCCAAAGGATTTTCACATTTAGGGTTGATAAGAGCTATTGGCATTTGGCTTGTCCTCCTGCGTCGCGTCGCTGTCGCACCCCAAAAACCATATCCCTAAGCTGACGTACCGTTGGACCATTGGGATTGCAGGCGCGCATTCCACTCCCCCCGATCCTTCAGGGTGCTCTCATTGGTACTGCGTATAGCGGATCGCGTGCCGGTCCAGATATCAGGCTGTCAACCGCAATTTATCTCCGGTGACGAGGTGCATGGTGTTTGCTTTGCCATCGTTGCACATTTCGATAAGCTGGGGTCGATACTTCGAAAGCTTACTCGTATCAACGCGGCACACCGGCTTCTTTCTTGATTGGTCATTTGGGATCGTAAACGGCCTGATTTGGGTGTTATTCCCCGGATTTTCCCTTGTTGTCGGCCTAACGTCAAAACGCATTGCCAGACAGTCACCGATATCAGTATCTGTTCGCACCCCTCTCCGGGCGATTGCGATATCTGATTATTTACTCCCGTCGAGACTGGACCTTTTGGACCCCGTACAAAGTTGCATTAAAATAGCCATGCCTGCGGCACCTATACCCATCCGGACCGACTTGGTCATCAGACCAGCGCCCTCGGAACATGTCAACGCTTCCCCCAAGGCAGTGGTAAATACAGCAAGACACAAGCACACTCGATCTTCTTATTCAGAATCATCGCCAATTCTTTCAATGTCGAGAAACAACTCCCTGAGTTTCAGGCCCCTCAAGCGCTCAATGCCTACCCCAGATAAGACAATTGCTGTCATTAATGCGAGTGGCCGCCAAGCAGCTTCATTAATCCGGATAGCCACTGCCGTCGGCTACAAAGTTCGCGCGCAATTAAGAAACTTGGAGGGTGTAATAGCCGCCGAGGTTTCTACCAACCCCAACGTCACAGTCTTCGTCGGGGAGCTGTACCTCCGAAAGAAGCCGGATGATAACCAAGATGTCACCGCCAATGGTCACATCCCGGGCATTGTCGTCAACCAGGACCTTATCTCACAAGTGTTTTCCGGGGCGCAGCTAGCATTCATCAACACCACATTCTACGGCAACGAAGTCCAAGTTGGCGAGGCAATTGCAGACACCGCAAAGAGGGCCAGGGTTCAGCACTTTGTCTATTCGTCAATGCCCGACCATGCGGCCTATAATCCCGATTGGCCCTCGTTGCCTCTTTGGTCAGCCAAGCACAAGGTGGAGGATTACATTCGACAAATAGGACTCCCCGCCACCTTCGTATACACTGGAATCTACAACAACAATTTCACCTCCCTGGCCTATCCACTTTTTTGCATGGATCTCCAACCCGACGGATCATTTACATGGCAAGCCCCTTTCCACCCCCATGCGAAGTTACCATGGCTTGACGCCGAGCACGATGTCGGCCCTGCTATTCTGCAACTTTTCAAAGATGGAGCATCGAAGTGGAACGGTAAGCGCATTGCTTTGGCATATGAGCACCTGACCCCATTGGAAGCCTGTCAAGCCTTTGAGAAAGGTCTGGGTCGCCGTGTACGCTACAAGCGAGGCCCGATCGAGGTCAAATGCAAGATCCCGGAAGGATATCGGGACCAATTAGTGGCTCTGGAAAAGTTGTTCTCTCCAACACAGAGTGATCCGGCAAAGCAACCTCCCTACTTTGGAGACCGCGAACTAGAGGATAGCTGCCCAGAGAGTGCATTGGCCCTCTGGGAAGGTCCCAGAGGTCTTGAGGAGTACGCGGGGGAGATCTTCCCACTCGAGGAGGAAGCGAATGGAAAGACATGGATGTTTGATGATGAGGAATACGAAGAGCCAGCGGAGAACGAGGTACCCTCGTTAGATGACGAGGAGCCCGACAGTGATGAGTCGTTCGATGAAGGTCTCGTCATGCGAGGTCTGAAGAGGGACGAAGAGCAGTGGCTCGCATAGTCATCCCACAATCACGAAAGTCCGACAAATGTGTCCATTTCAGGGCTTCATTCTACCAGTCGGATCAGTCTCAAGTCTCACGACGTACAGCGACTCGCGCTCGCGCTGGTCTTCGATCGATAACTTCCTGACAAGACCATCATTCGAAGGGCGCGGTTCCTTACCAAAAATTCACCATCTCAACCAACAGTTTAGTCATTTACATTTCCGGCGTGGTTGGCATTTACACAAAAGGTTTCAACGGACAGCATCTCATTATACCGCATTTCACGACGGGGTTAGTCGGGCAACGTATTTATGCATTTTCACACAGCACGGTGTTAGACGGCAATCAGGACTCGAGGCTCACATGTCTTCACCGAGTTACTGCTTAGCTTTGAGAGCGAACTAGTGACTTCACGTACCGCACAAAGGGGACAAAAAACAAAGGAGGCGGGATGTTTCTTACATGCGCGCTTAGCTTGCGTGCGATCAAAAGGAGTATCGAAGATCCTGGGGAGGCATAGCCGGAACTAGGCTTTTATTGGATAGATGGATAGTAATACTGAAAAGAAAAAAAAAGTCAAAGAATATTTGGATGCTGTAGATCTATTATGGGTAGTGCTCTCAAAACTTCCACAAGCCTCAATACTGCTAGCATGCTCAAGACGAGCCCGGATGCTGGCTGGAAGCCGGGCATGACGTACCGATATGTGCAATGCGGGAAAACCAGCTGGTCCTCCGCCACACATGAGTTCGCCCTCCAGCAACTGCCACGTCGTCAACCACCGCTAGGATCTCGACGAAGTCTTACCAAAAATAAAAACAAAACCTTTTTTGTCAAGTTGCAGTTGATAGTACAAACGCTCGCCTTATGAGTAAGTACACGGACTTGCAAACATTCCCGCCGGTTGTAAGATTTACTCAGAGGTTTTTCGTTCCAGATTCCGTGTCTAGAGGATGGAGGGAAAAAAAGCAGGAGAGTGTACAAAGAGAACGACGGGCACGACGGGCTATAGATCAATGTCAAGTAGTGGCAACAGTTGATTGCTCCCATTGGATCACCTGCTGTTGGATAGCTTAATGTAGATACGTTCATTGACCTCCTCTACGAGGTCTCTCTCCGTCACGGCATCATCCGTCTTGCAAAAATATGGACGGACTGTATACTTGATCACGCGCTTCATAGAACACCAAGGTACCAGGGAATGGCGTCAGTGGTAAATAATTACATGAAAAGCTCATATCGGGAAGAGAAAATGGCGCTTGAAAGTTCATGGGGGCATTTTATAATCATCCGTCTACCGACAAGCTTCCTTGCTCCATCTATCTCGCGAACAACGCGCCTCTCGTCAGACACAAGATGGGGTTGCTGAACTCTGATATCTCCCAGCATGAGTGATGGACAGGCGCACATGCCACACAGAGCATCATGTGCCAAGCCCTGCTGAACATAAAACCCCTTTCCCGAGTACCAGGGTCCTTACATGGCCACAACGCCGTAATGCAGTCTGATGTCCTACAGAGTGTCCCAGGAAGCCGCCCTTCACATCACAGTTGTGGTATAAAAACGGAATACGGCGGACGGGGACTTTCATCTGAACCACTGTCTCTAGTCTCCTCCTGATTATCATGCTTCCGGAGACCCGATGGCGCAATGATGTGATGTAAGACCACGCCTCCTTTCTAGAAATGACATCGAGTGCCACTCTATTGTACTTGGCTAACAATCTCGCTGGCCTTGCTGAGCGATTCGACCATCTGCTGGCACTCCTTTCTCCTACGGGTTGTGTAGTCGGACTCCTTGAGAAGCTCGTCGAGAGTGTCAGTACGGTACATGTTCTCCAAAAGCTCTCGTTGCATCTCATCCTTTGTAAACCTGTAAATTGTCAGTTGGGTGTACGTGTATACAGGGATTACGGTACATACTGGACCAGGTTCAGCATGATGGCCTTGGGAACCATATCGATCATGGTTCTCTTGACGATGTTGTAATACGAGGAGATGAGCAGCTTGATGACCTCGACCTCGATATTTTCGCGTTCCGATAGGGTGCCAGAGGCCTTGAGCATGGGTGGCGGCGCTTCCATGGCTGCGGCCCTCTTCTTGTTCTTGGCAGCGAAGAAGCTACCGAAGAAACCACCATTGCTCGCGTCTCCGACGTCCAAGGTAGGGCTGGCAGCACGAGCTGGAGTGGCCGAAGCAGGAAGGGGCTTGCCAGTCTTGGGATCAACCTGCACGGGCTTGGCACTGGTGTGTCTCTCGTTGACAATAGCCATAGCTCGGTGTCCGTTCAAGAAATCAGGATGGCCGGTGTTGACGTAGCAGGATTCCATAGCCACCAAGTCCTTGACCAGCTTGTTGGTAGGCTCCATGGCCTTTTTGAAGAAGGAGATGATGACGTTGTGTACAGTCTCCTTCAACTGAGGATATCTTCGGTAGAGCTGCTTCTGCAGAAGTTGAGTAAGGATGCGCACCAGCTCGTCATATACCAGAGAGACACACTTCAAGCTGGGCTCTTCCAGACGCTTGATTTGTTGCTTGACGATAAGCTCGAAAGCGGTGGTGCCAACGAACAGAGCGGGGGAGGAACCCGACGAGTTGTACAGAATAGTCCGAATATCCACGTCTTTGACAGCGTCGAAAGGATCGACGGCCTTGACACCGTTGGAGTACAGTTCGTGGAAGACAAAGCTAATTCTAGCACCACCAGAAAGCTCGGTGCTGGACAGCTCGCCGTTGTTTCCCTCCAAGACGGTTCTCCATTCGTTGGTGAACTCTGTGATGATGTTGAGGACGATGTTGGAGTTGTTGCCGAGCATAGAAGGACCCAGGGCAGTGAGTTCGGCACTGTACTTTTGCAGCGAGCTGGCAATCCTGGCCTTGATGTCGGGAAGTGTCTGCTTGATGTGCATCATAAGAATGAGGTTGAGCTTTCGTGCCAGGTAAGGAGTACCGCAGTAGGAGCTCTTGTTACGATAGGCCTTGTGTTCCTCGAAGAAGTTCTTCTCGGCCTCCAGAGCTTGGTTGATGGGCTTCTTGTTGTCGATGTCGCGCTGTCCTCTGTTGACGACGGGGACGTAGCCCAGGCGAAGAGGAATGATGCGGCCGGCGAGAATATCGACGACATCTGTGCCCTCGTCCATCAAGTCCACCTTGGTCAGGACGCCGATTGTCCTTTGTCCATCGGGGTCGACCTCTCTCGCGAGCTTGAGACCGTCCGAGTTGGCCAGGTCCTGGTTGGCTGCGGTGACGGCCAGAATGATGGCGTTTGTCTTTTGGATGTACTTGATGATCATGTCGCGAATTTGCCTCTCGATGTCTCGGGGTTGGTCACCGACAGGGACTCTGGTCAAGCCGGGGAGATCGACAAGGGTGAGCGTCAGGACGTGGGGAGAGTAGATTCTCAGGTTGATAGGGGCGGGGGAGATGCCAGCATTCCGGCCGACCTTTGCCTCAGTCTCGCGGCTGATCTCATCGCGGATCTTGTTGAAGTCGTAGAACTTCTGGCCGGGGACGTGCAAGAACTCGCCCCATTCGTCTTGGTTGGCAGCCTTATCGGTTGAGTTGGCGACTTCGTCCTTGACTCCGTTTGGTTGTGACCCGGCGGGTCGGTTGATGAGCTGGAGGACCAGGGGCCGTCTTGTCACGATACCCGAGCCTCGAGGCAGGAAATCTCTTCCTACGATGTTCTCGAGCACCGAGCTCTTACCGCTGGATTGCGAACCGACGACGACTATTTGTGGCAGATCGATGGGGTTGTTGACACCGACAGTCGCGAAGACATCTTGGAGCTTGTTGACAAGCCTGCAGTCAGATAGATTATGGGTCAGCGTTTCTTGTCTCGACGAGATCTTCTCTCGAACATGCTGCTGCCGGCGTTGCAAGAGCCGGCGCATGCATGACGAGGTGGAGGGCAGCGATGCAAAGGGGCCACGTACTTGATGAGGGCAGGGTCCGAGATACCTCCCTGAGTTACTAGTTCGCTCATGGTGAAGGTGCGTTTCTTCTCCCTCTTCCTCTTGAGGAGCCGAGTATGATTTGCGACAGACTCGTCGTTGTTCTTGCTTGTTGTTCCTCTCTGTCGAGGGTGGGTGTTTCGCGATGTGTGAAGCGAAGGCGAGATGACTATCAGTGGCGGCTACGGCTGCTGCTACCTTTACCTTGCTACTAACTAATTACTTCACTTTACTTTACGTTGCTGTCGGGTAGGGGTAGGGGTAGGGGGGTTGGATGATGTGGGCGTTGGGTCCTGTTGATTGCAGCGGGTCGACGTCAGTTGGCACTTGTCTGCCACTAGCGTTAGAGGGTCGAGAGGGTATGATTGAATATGTATCTGTATGATTATGGATGTGGTTATTGGTCTTAAGGTCTCATTGCGAGCTTTCCTGTCTTGGAAGCAATAGATACTAATGAAGATTTGTACCGACAGTAGCAAAGCTGGTCTGCAAGATTGATTGAATCTATCAGATTGGAAATCGTTGGATCACAAATGGCTTTTGATGCTGTAGAGTATTAACCTAGCGGTAAGGCTCCCTCCAGGGCTCCTGTTTTCCAACTTCCAGGGTTCGCCTTTCCTGCTGGGCTGGGCAGAATCCTGGGCATGCCTCATTGCTGGGAGGCCTGGCCGGGCTCGTTCGGGGGCCCCTCTGGCATCTCTGGCATCTGCACTATCCGTGGCGGGACGACGCCGGACTAGTCCACAAGAGGAGAAACATTGCTGAACTGGCCCTAGTTCCACGTGTCGATTTGGCAGCAATTCTTTTCCACCGCATATGTATCACGTAGTCGGCTATTTGCTTTGGGCTGAGCTCTAACCTAGAACCTAGGCTTAGTGGGGTGTCATTGCGATGCACATTGAGTGGCGGGCCAGTCAGGTTAGCCTGGTTGGGCTAAAGAATTCTGGTGCCTGAGATGGAATTCGTCACCTGCAACATGAGCTGACGACAACAAGGCAGGCAGAAGGCGATAATTGATAGGTTCCATCTCCGATTCTTACCTCTTGCTGCAGCACAGCTAGGGTATTTCGTGGAGCATTTGTCTAGATACTAGTATACTAACGACTAGATGACTCTATATTCTCAGGCATTTATACAAAGTACGTGTATACTCTGCCTTCGTAGTACACGACGGATACCAAACTTGAGTAGTGCCGTTGAATCAACTCAAGCATACCCTACCAACCGAAACGCCGAATGGTGCGAACTTCGTCGGCATACAGCACCGCACAAAACATAAACTTAAGAAAGCCTGACCAAGCTAATTGATCCTATCCCATTCCCAGGAAACTGGTCTGCACCAGAACTTCCGTATATGACCGAGAAACTCAAGAAGAAAACAAACCGTGTGTAATCGTGCAATATGCAATCCCAGAGTGGAGTACGCCAGATAACCAAGCCGACGCCGTACCTATGCACTCGATAAAACCATGCTGGGGAGAAGGGGAAAAAAAGAATATCACACAGCACGAGCTTGAGCGGCTTCTAGTCATCGCTGTACCGCTCTCCATGCCAACCATTTGAACTGTGGCCGCTTTCTTGTCTATGCTTTCTCACCCATTCATCGTTGGACCATCTGTTCTCCTTGTCAGCGGCAAGCTCAAAGGTATTGCTTCATGGAATATGGTGCCGTACATCTTGATTTTGCCGTCATCGCCGCAGGAAGCGAAGAGGCACGGATCCGTGGGACTCCAGGAAACCGAGTTGGTCCTTGGCTGGTGGCCGACCAATCTTTCTACAGGTGTGGCAGTGGCCTTGTGCCAGATGTTGATGGCGCCATCTAGAAAAAATCCCAATCAGTATGTATAGTTTGTGATTGGATCAAGGGATGCCTACCTTCACTTCCACTTATGACGAAACTCTCGTTGGCCCCTCCGAATGCGCTGCGTATCACAAAGTCGCCTCCGGTATGTCCAGTATAGCTTGTTACGTGCTCTTTGAGTGCCAGATCAAAAAGTTCTGCAAGGCCACTCTGGTGGTTAATAAGCAGATAGCGCGAATCTGCGCTAATTGTGACGGATGTCAAGCGCGTCCGTAGATCAATCGAGTATTCCAAATCTCGACTCGCGAGGTTGTAGATGTGAATATGGTTTTTATCATCCATGGCAACGAGCCATCGGCCATCTGCCGATGCTGTCAAATCCTCCACCCGAGTGCTTGTTTCCCAATCCACGATCTTGTTGCCTCGTGTATCCCATTGGGTGAGCGAGTGCGACTTGTCCAAGCAACCAATGATGAATGACTGGTTGTCTGGAGCCCAAACGCAACTGCTGACTGGTTCCGAAAACCGCTCAATTTTTCTTCGAAGATCTCCCGTCTGTTCTACTATCAGTTTATCGCATCACTCAAATAGGATCATTGGGGGGGAGCTCACATGCGCATCCCACAACCGCGCGTAATGGTCTTGGCAGCAAGTAACGAGCATAGAATCGTCCCAACTCCAGGCGACATTGCCTACTCCATGACTGTGGTCTCTGAGGGTGTGAAGAACCTTGAAGGACGGTACTTCATAGATGATAACTTGCTTATCACCTCCACAGCTCGCCAGCTTGGTTCCGTCGTGGGAGAAGGCGACCTGCCAAACTTCTCCTGAATGATCGTCGAGTTCGATGATCGGTTGAGATGGAAATCGCTCCCGATCGCAAATGTGGTCCGCGTAGAGCGAGGGCGACTCGGCGCTAGAATGAAACAGGCACATATTGATTTGATTTTGCTTGACTTGGTGAAGTAATACAGCCAGGCGGTGTTCCGGCAGCATGACCGACGGAGAAATACATTCTGCATTGACATTAGTCGAGGGCCTCTTATGGAACAGCCTCCATGATACAGGAAGCCGTTACTTACTAGAAAGCTCGGAAAGCAGAATTTTCCGAGACTGGCCAAGAGCGCCATCCCATTGCGCGCTCGATTCAAGATCATCTGGAGGGCACATGAGCAGGGTAGACAGGAACTGCAACTTCTGAGGGTCGTGATATAGAGGTGTCAACTCATTGCGGAGGACCAACAGAGCTTGGCGGGTGTCTCTTTCCTCCAAAAACTCGAGGTACTTCTGTTGCCGTATCCAGAACCTCATGAGATTCCTGTCTGCATCGTGTGCCAACACTAGCCCGTTACCGCTTCGGTTCAACCTGCCGTCGGCGGAAGTTGCACCATCCAGCAATCGTTCAGCATGAGCCCAGTCCCCACCAAGTATAGCGTTACGGAATGCCGTCACTGCTGGATTCTCCAGCTCAAATCCACTGTCCTTGCTGACGCTTTCGGCGGCGGACTGATAGCCCATATCTGACAGAGTTTGGATGAGTAGCCGGGTCACCTCTTCACGATCGTGGCCGAAATAAGTCTCTGGCGATCGAGATTTGGAAGAACCATTTGTCGAAACGACTGGTTTGTGATTGCCATTAGTGCTTGTTGATGGCGATGTCCGCGACTTTCCGTTTGCATGGGCTTTCGCCATGCCGTGTGATGGGCCGTCTGTGTCTGTGTCGGCCAACATTGTGTCGTCAGGACGCCGACGTTTGGCCGTAGGTTTGGTACGAGAGATGTCTCGAGAAGCCGAGGCTTCTATGAACCCAGAGGTGGGCTCTGGCGAATCGTAGTCGTCTTCAGACGCTCGCCTTCTCCTGCCCAGTATTTGTCCGAGATTATATTCGGCGAGAGATGGGGACGGTTCGAGTTGATGGCGAGCTGACAATGACGGGTCGAGGGAGTAGCTGGCTTCGGTATCGGCCGGGACTGGGACTGGGACTGGGGCTGGGGCGGGGGAAGAGAGGACTGTGCTGGAGGAAACTTGGGGTGCTGGAGGAATGGATGGGTCGTCGGAGATGGATGGGGTGAATCTGGCCGTGGGATCTTGTTCTGCCACTTCGACTGACTGCGGGAGACGAAGCTTCCCGCAGTGACGGTGGTTGCGGTGGGAGCTTCCAGAGTCCGGGTTATGGAGCGGCAGATAAGATGGCAGGCAGATGGCGATTTTGTACGTTTGGTTATGCAGCGAGTGCAGGTCAGTAAACCTTAGCTGGACGTGGTTTGTATGTAGAGAATGCTGAGCTGTTGATGTGTGGTTCTGGCTTGAGCTTATGGACGGTTGGCCGCTCTGCAAGACCACTGCCAGTTCGAGATGGCTGACCTCATGTCAATGTGGACCGTGAACTTAGACCCAAGAACGTCGCTGCTTGGGCCGAGGGGGTTTGTGGCAAGGCTTCTTCCCAAGGGCAGTGCTCTGGAGAAGAGCTGTATGCTAGTCGACTGTCTGCTGCGGCGGAGAGCAGTGGTATACAGATGAGCCGTCGTTGTCGAGTTGCAAACGAGAAGAGAGGTACATGCCTGCCAGGCGTTGCGTCTGCTCCAAGGTCGGATGGAAGGTTTGACGCCGCAGTTACACACCTAGAGTCTGGGGATCATCACGGGACAATTAGCGCTGATTGGCCTTCTTCTCCCTATGGACGTGCTGACGCCTTATCGCCTGTGCTGTAGAGGTACATAAGTACCGCATTAGCGTCCCCTGCTGCCCGTCCCCCCGACTCCCCGTCCCCCGCTCCTCCTCAGCTCGCTCCATTACTCCAAGTCACTATGTGTGCAGCACTTCGTGGTTCGTTGTGACACCCTGCGCGGGCATGGCCATGAATGTTACTTTGACGCAAGGCCAGCTTTGGTGCATTCCATACCGTACGCAAGCATGTGAGTTATGTTCCTGGATATGGACAGGGTGTCCCATACCGCCATTGTATTGCGTATGTATGTCCGGAGGATTGCCATAGCGCTAATCTATTCCGCGCAAGGCCTTGATACTCCACGTGTGTACATATGTAAGATGGGGGTAGTGGACGCTTTCGATAACGATACTCACTCAATCTCCACTGTCAGTATATGTCCATGCGACCCGACATGACCTCTTCAACCTGCCGCCTGTAGCGCCGTAGGCGTCCACCTCATTATACCCAAAGGCGAGAGGCTAACCCTGTTACACTGGACGGAGAATGCCATATGATTCTGTTGTCCCCAATCAATAATTTGCGTGATATGGAACCGGATCTACGCCATTTGGAGTGTGCAAAATGTATCTAGTTCAGCTGTCACGAGTCTGCCCAAGTCTACAGCGCAATCGGCACAAGAGCGTGTCACGCTCTATTTATGGGCTTGACCTTTGAGAGTTACATACCTATCAACCCAGTTCAGACCAGTCGTTTGTTTCATTTACCAATTTCAGCTAGACTAGACTAGTATAGGATGTAACCTCTACTCAGAGGTCAAGGCCGTCTCTACGCCAAGCACAGACCTATATGGCTTTGATGCAATCGCTGCAGGAACGGAGCCGCTCTTGACTGTTGAGGTATTTGCCATGATAAGCACGTTCCAGTCCTCATCGTAATGACAATACAGTCCTTTGCAAAGACCGCATGCCATTCAACTTTCATTCAAGACAACTGCCAGTTGCTTGAGCTTCATGATGCGACTCAAAAGTCATTATGAATCGCCACAATCGTTCGCCAATTCGTGGCTCAGGGCAATCATCTCAGAGACTTAAGCATAAGCAACTTGAAGATGCTTTACCGTCAGTTGAAAATGATTCCGCACTCAAAATCTACAAAGACTACATGGTATCTAAGTGAGTATAACTGGTAGGACATGGGCACAAGTGCTCGCATCTGTGGAGGCAGGTCTCAACTTGTTTGGCAGGGGGGCTCGGGCACTGCGGGCCGAGTTCAGCACATGGGTATTGGTCTGGCCACTTATGAAAATGGCCCAATATAGTGGCAGAAAGTGACTGCTTGCGCCCTGTATGCAATCATATTTTGTGCCCCAACTACGATATCAATGTTGGGGAGAACATATGTACATAATAGTTCGGAGGGAACCATAAGATGTGTTGTCTGCCCAGGGAGGTCGGTTTGTAATCTGCTCAAACTAAATCGGGCTTTTTGTGACGCCGATTCGCACTCGCTTCCACCAACCTGACTGCCGACCGGCATTAACTGCCCAGCAGAAGTAAGCACACTAACTCATAGACGGCCATTAACCTGAATCTCTCCACACAGATAACCCATATCAATGTCTCAATACCGGAATTGTTTGTTCCATCTGAGCACTCATCACTGGCTGCAGGTAGCTCGCTCCTTGCTGCAAGGCGATCCACACAAAAGAATCATCTTATATGTAGCCCAACCATCATCCACTGTTGATTCATGTCTCAGGTGAACAATTGCTGCTTACACTACATTATCTTGGTTGACACCCCACGGGCCTATTGAAACTAAGTTCACTCATACGAACGAAGCCGCACGTTGAGTTATCAGACAAACGTCAAGCATTTGGTATAACATCCTACGCGAAGAACAAAATCATAAATTCTGGACAAATAGTAGTCCTGCTGTATTGGAACGTCACGTGGCTCTTCACTGGCAACACAGCTCTCGTCAGGAACGCAATGTCTCGTTACTTCCCTCATACTCCCTACGCGGAAGACCAACCCCTGGCGGGGACCATCCTCACTATACACGTGCTCGTCCGATCGGTGACGACAGGGACGGTCCTCGGCATCGGGAAATACGGAACGCAGTCGCTTGTTCGCCGGATCCGAAAGCAGCCCGCCCCGCTGGTCCCCAAGTCACATCTTCTTCTCGCCGCGACGGGCAAGTATACCATATGGACAGTAGGCATTGTATCGCTGGGCCTGGTGGCCAGGATGTGGGGCCGCGAGGACATTGAGTGGAAGGATCGTACCTGGAGACTGTTGGAAAATAAGGGCCAGATTGAATGTGACGATTTCACATATGCTGGGATGTTGGCAGGCCTCGGGGCGGCAGCGGTGAAGAGCGTGAGGAAGACGGGTTGGGTAGGTGCTGTTGGAGCTGTTGGCCTAGGGAGTACGGCGGGTATGCTTGGATATATGGGTTGGAGATACGGTGTGCACGGTGGAAAGTTTGCTGAAAGCGAAGAGAGATCTTAATATTCGTATCGAAGATTGTAAGAATAGTGTTGCTCTAACCCCTGTCTTTAATGACCTGTATCCTACTTATCCCATATATCTCTATCTATAATATCTCCTTGAAATGGGGAGCAAGCTCTACAATTTCTCCTGCCCCGCCTTAAGGACCTCGTCTGTCGCAAATTGATAATAATACTCAAGACTTTTTGGATTTAGAAGGGTGCCACTAGGCTTGATGGTATAGCCCGAAACAATTTGCTTCACAGGCAGTTCAACTTTCTTCAAGTTGATGGTGGTCTGCATTGCAGTTAATACGATGTTTAGACTGCTTCACCATTCGATCTACTCACAGGTATCTCTGGCGTTTCGAAGACATACTTCGGCACATGCCTCTTCGACAAGTCCCTCTTGATCGCATCTTTGATCTCAAGCACGAGCTTCTTGTCAAAAGGCTGGCCGGGGCGCATAAGTAGAAACAGCATTACACTTTCGTCGTTATCCTGAGGTCTTCGCTGACCAACACAGATCGAATCAACGATCCGGTCCGAGAAGTGTCTCTCTAGAACACCATATACCTCAGCTGATCCAAATCGAACGCCACTAGGATTTAGTACTCCATCTGCGCGACCAAGAAATGTCACATTCTTGGTGACCGGATGAATGACAACGAAGTCACCATGTGCCCAAACCTGATCGAAACGGGCAAAGTATGCAGAGTGAAACTTGGAGCCTTTGACACCCACAGGCGTCTTATCGTTCCACAGATATACAGGAACGTTCGGGAAAGCAGCTGTCGCTACGAGCTCTCCTGGGGTGCCGTCGGACACTTCCTTACCCGGACCATTAGGCAGAAGAGAGTCGTAGACCGCAATAGGTGTTCCGAGACTTGGGCCTTGAGTACCGCCGACGTAGACTGGTGTTAATTGGTTTCCTTGACCGAAGCATCCAGCCTTCCGCTCGTTAGCTACAACATCACATTTTATTGGGCTGACTTACGATATCGGTACCCCCAGAAATATTGGCAAGATGGGTATATTTCGGGAACCCCGAGTCATAGAACCATTCGAAGAGCTGGTCCGACAAAACCATACCTGTAGAAGTGACAACTTGCAAATTGGACAAATCGGTTAATTCGCGTGGTGAGATACCGGCTTTCGATATTTCATGCATCCATCGAGGACTAATTCCGAGCTTGGTGACCTTTTGGTCCCCAATAAGCTTTACGAAGGTCTTTAGATCTGGCTGAAATGGCGATCCATCATAAAGCACTGTTCTTGCTCCAGACAGAAGCGATCCGACACTCGCCAAATACATGATCCACCCTGTCGTTGTGTATTGTAACACGACGGACTGAGCACTTAGGCCTTCATGTATCGTCCCTTCTTTGACATAAGCTACAAGAATCCCACCCACGGAGTGCACGATGGCTTTTGGAATTCCACTACAGTATTTGGAGTCAGTAAATACTTCTTTATGATGGTCGGGAGTCTTCGGAAGCGTAGTGAAACAAGCATGAAGAACCAAATGCCTATAATGGGCAGTAGATGCTCCATGGACATGCTGGAAAGGGTGCATAAAAACCACGAAGTTTGCTTACGTAGTCCCTGAAGAGTAACAAATTACGAGTGGCTCATGGAATGCAAGTCGGGCAATTGGAGGAGGCGTTGTTTTCCGAGTACTCAGAAAGCTCTCGAATGTCCTGGTTCGAGCAATCTTCGAGACATCCAGCGCTTCTTTGAATCGGCGTATCGAGACAATTCCTTTGAATAGATCACACCCTTTCATACCAGCTTCAATATCAGTAATCTTCTGGCGTAAATCGACCCGCTTGCCATTATACAACGCGGCATCATCCATGAAGATGTACTTCGGGTTGATTTGCACAGTGCGCTGTAAGATACCCGAAACACCCATATCTGTAGAGCTGCTGCTGAAGACAGCACCTAACCAAGTAGTCGCGAGCAGGATTGCTAGAGTCTCGATGCTATTTGCAGCCACTGCAACGATACGATCACCTTGCTGTACGCCATTTGTCTGCATCGCGGAAGCGTAATCACCCACGAGTTTCCGGAGCGAGCCCCATGTCAACTCGCGGATCTCGCTGACGCCTTCCCGCACTTCAGTTAGTGCAATCTTGTCGTCTTCCTTCCCAACCGTCCCATGTTGATCTGATGCGTCGCCGGGCTGGCGAGTCCAGAGGATGTTCTCGGCGAAGTTGATTTGAATACCCTCAAACCATCGCGGAACTTCGTCAATACATTTGCTTTCGTCTACAACGCGTTTGACGGAGCCAGAGTGGATGAGATTTGCATATTCGAACTCGTCTGACCAAAAGGTAGAACGATTCGTGATTGACCACTGATACAAGTCCCAGAATGTCTGAATCTTGTTAGTTTCGGACCTGCTTTTTGCTAATGGCCTGACGAACGTTGAGATTGAGTCCATGCTTCCCATTGACCTTCTGCATAAACTTCCACATATTAGTGCTTTTTGGGTCGGCATGCTCCCAAAGCTTTCTTGGAATAATGGATGCCATGGTTGCGCGAGCACTTTGAGTGCTGACTTCGCTTCTGTATCCGGAATTTTGTACGGCCTCTTCAACGGCTTAATGAAGTAAAAGAATCTTCGGAGTTTCGTCTAGCATAAACACTTGTAGAGCCAATGCGTGATCAAGATGGCGACTGGCTTCAAGAACAATCTTGGTGCTCGTTAACAACCGAACAGAAGAATTCAGAAGTGTCAGCTTTGAAACCCGATGGAAATCCCTTGGGTCTCGGCAAATAAAGTGAGTTACACAACCTCGGAATCGGAGCATGCAGGTGTACATGGTCGAGCAAACCCTCGGTATTGAGCCCCCGCACTTCCCCCAGATGGCCCGTGGTTCCGGGGTAAATACACCTCGCAAAAAGAAGAAAGAAATAGTAAAACACCTCATTACGATAGCATTAAATTGGTAAGTGATAGCTAAAAACTTCATAGGTGTTAACGCTGGTTATAAGTAACTTTTATTGATTATGACGTGTAATAACCTTGTGAATCGTTAATGTATAAACGGTATAGTGTAGTTATTAAGCAGTGAGGTAATGGTATAATATGGCGTAAGAAAGGCTGCCGCAATCACTGAGTGGATGTAACGATTTGTAACACCTATTAGGGTTATGAACATCATCACCAAGGTGCTCCAAAGTGATGCCAACATTAAAACGATACTGCACAAAAGAGGTTGACAAAGTCCTCCGATCACACCAACACCCCGACGAGTCGACAAGAAACCCGCTTTTACCACTATGGTGAGTAGCGACAGCGATGGAGGCGATGACTTTATGGAATGTAAGGAGAGCGCCATGAGCGCCAGCAAGCGCAAACGCACAGACTCGGGATCGCGCAAGCAAGGGTCCAAGTCTCTTCGTTGACTGCTGGGTAAAACCCGCGAATCCGTGGCAGGAGGTGACGAGACGATGGTGGGTAGATAACAAAGACTCCCCATGTTAGGAAAGAATGTCCCAAAGTAGTGAGGTTGGTTGTCTTAATAGGCGGAGATACAAATTTTCTTCTATATGTAGCCTCGATATACGAGTAAATCAATCTTAATTAAAAGTTGATACATTGTATTTCATATTGCATATATACTAATTGTGGTTGCTTAAGCGCTCTTAGGTGATTACTTTCTGATTATTACTGACATGTATGGGTATAGGGGTGATGTGGCTTATAGAAAAAGGACACGAAGGAGAAGATATCTACGGATATATAGCTACATGCACATATCCAGCTGGTTGCCTAGGGCAGCCACAGGGGTCAGCCACGGTGATAGCCCTGGGTTATCGTATCAATTACAGACTGATCTTGTGACATCAGATTCTATTCCTGACGTCTTTTACGTTACATAAACGGAGACTCTCGCTACTTATGTTTTAGTCTACGCCGGCGGACTTTGATGCCACAGCCGCACTTGCAGGAGAACTTCGTCAGCCGGCACTGGTTAAATTTTTATACTCAGTTGATTGAAATCGAAATCTAGGACTGTCTGGCGGCATTGGAAGAAGGCCGTGATTCCTGTACCATTTGGTTTGCACCTTGAGATTGATATCTTCCAAGAATTCGTACACTGAATTACCTGGGCATGAAGGTAGTGCATTGGCGTTCATCTTGAACCGGTGGTGTGCAGATTGATGCAGAGTCCATGACTCATGAGAATTGGCATCTTTGTGTTCGAGCTGGCCAAGGACTGGGCTCACCACATCCTCGAAAGAGGGGTTTGCGCAAAAGTCCACGATATCTGCTGCAACTTTGGCCCAGTTCGTGATAGTAACAGCTTCCATCGTGCCAGCGTGCTGCCGAAATTCGATTGTCTCGTTTGCAACTGGCTCCTTGCAAGATTTCTGAAGTTGTATGCGGCCCTGTAATTACTCGTTTCGTTCCTATATATCTCGGTCAACAGCGCCAACCCTCCCATAGAAATCCCATGTATTATTGGCACCCCATTAGCTCTTATAGCCGAACACGTGAGCTCATTGATGGCCTTTCCACTGCTGAAGAAGTAGATGCGCATACAACAGCTGGGAAACACTGTATGCAATCAGCTTCTCAACTGTGATGAGTTGTCTACCGAATGTACCGTAATGAAGGATAGCTCTGTATGTGGTTTGCATCGTAGCAACCCCTATATGACGCCAGATTTGATGCGAGTGGTATCTTGTGCAGGCAGGGAGAAGGGCTAACATACTACTTTCTTCCCAGTGACCTCGAGATCACCATCCCATCACATGGACCGTCCAAAGCTATATAATGAAATCATTTAGATAAATGTAGTTGACTCATGAAATTGTTATCCTTCATAGGTCTTCTTCTAAATTTAAGAGCCCCAGGAGCATCTGTTTCGTCTAGGCTAGCCATCAGACTATGTGTTCGGATGCCTGGCGCGTATTTTACAAGCGGGCCGCAGTGAATGGGATGAAGTTGGTCTAACCGAGGTACCACAGCATATGAATCAGATCCAATCACTAATTGATACTCAGTGATCGCTGATACCTTGAGAAGTTGGTGATGTTCAAGACGTATAACTCACTATGCAAATTGTTCATTGTGAATCTCCTATCACTTCGTCCCACGTGCACATGCAACGTTATGGACTCGTTTGACATAATTCGGAATTCTGAAGCATTCACAAACAATCTAACTCCGTTGGTAGGCAATATGCTCTCCAGAGCCATTCTATAGAGGGAATCAAAGGATTCCGAATATTGCCTACTGAATATATTTTGAGGTTGCTCTTCGTTAACGCATGTGTCTATATCGACCTCCCAAAGAGTCGAGTTATTGAGATGTTTACTCATATCCTCTAGCTTCTCATGTCTTAATGATCGCGCAAAACACTTTTTGTTGCTGCTGGATGCAGCCCTCGGTCTCATCGTCTCCCGAGTCACTGATAACCGGTATACGTTTGCGACGCAAAAGCTTGTTTATGCGTTATCGAATATACGGGCCATCATCACTGTGTTGCTCTCTGTGGAAGTCGAGCACGCCCCGGCGGCCATCGTTCGGCTGCAAATCCCAGAGACGATAGCTTGTGTGCCTCTCGACGTCTCTGTTTCGTCTTCCTTATCCTCGAAAGGCAGTGTCACACAGTCTTCCAGCGGTTCCCATAAGTACAACTACGCAATTACCCCCCCTTCTATACCCGTTTCTCTCTCTCTCCAAAGCTTCATACTATCAAATGTTGTTTCGAATCCCGGTGGCGATACAATCTAGGATCCTCATAAGCTCTTCGTACACTCTCGCTTGAGCACGTTGGCCTTGGTCACTTCGAACAAAGCGACTTTCGGCGTGTAACTCGCAATCTTGGAGATATTTCCCATGTGTATTGGCACCAGCAGTGGCAGCTGCGAGAAGTACTCTTGACCCCATCTCGGGGGTTCGGGCCAGAAAAAAAAAACTTATCGGCATGAACCAGTTGACTGGCCATGGCGCATTCCGGAAAAGTTGTGACCTACATAATCCGGGGCTTACACTGTTGAGAATAAGTTGCGGCTTGTTGGATGCGCTTAGCTGCCTCGCCAACTCTCGCGTGAGAAGAATTTGTAGCAGTTTCGAGTCGCCATAACGGTCGTTCATATGATCAGTGCCCCTGAGTGCTTCGAAGATATCAGGTGCATCGCGATGCCGGAAATTAGTGTACATATGGGCGTCTGACGAAACGACCACGATATGTGGCACGACATTGTATTGTGTAGCAGTGCGTCGAAGCGCCGGGAGGATCAAAAGAGCCAAGAGAAAGGTCGAGATCACGTTGACCGTGATTTGTTGCTCGAAACCCTCAAATTGCACAAAGCTGGTTGACATCACACCGGCATTCTCGACGATGGCATCTAGGCGAGCAAGGCCGTTAGCGCGGATGGAAAAATCCTTCACGCTCTCGAATGAGCTCAGGTCTAGGTGCCAGACTTCGACAACTTGAGGATTATTTAGAGAAGTTTTGATTTCTTCTTTCGCAGCATTGCCTTTATCGACGTCCCGGCAAGCTAGGATAACCTTGCTGGCGGCGAGTCGCACGAAGTGTCGGGCCGTCTCTTTACCTATTCCGACATTTGCGCCGGTGACGATGACTGTCTTCCCATGCCAGGTTGTTGTTGGATAAGGCAATGCACTGTATTGTGATCGCAGGATCTCCAAAGGTGATCTGTGTCCAACCAATTGTGTTAAGATAGCAGCGTAAGCTAGGAATGGTGGTGCTGCTTACATTTCGGTCCACGGCATGGTGTCCGACAAGACAATAGAATAAGAGTCTGAACAACAGCGGTAAAAACAGTAATAAAGGAGTTACTTTCGCATTGTAGATTTACTTTGCGTTGAATATTGAGTGGTGTATCGTGCGGTACTCTCAGCCGCGGCAAGCCCCCATGTTTCAACCTTGAAATGGATCGGGCCGTGAAGAACCACAGGCAGGTTTCTCTAACATTCGTGTAACACACACTTACATAACGCCGGAAAAGAAAAAAAGAAAAGTTTGGCGTGACATAGCCATGTACCATTGTTATAGGTAGTTGGAGAGCGTCTGATACCCAATGAGCTAAACCATAGTATATAAGCTTTCATGTATGGCTTCAAGTCACTCGTGTGAGAGTATCACAAGACATGTTGGTTAAATACGTCTGGCACAACCGGTGCTTAAGCAAGTCACTACATCGCTTATAGTAAGAACGTGGGCTGCTATGGGGAGACGAACGGTGACCAAGAAAGTTCGCGGATAATATAATTGATTGGACTGCGCCATCACTAGGACAATATAGAATAGCCTCAAAATTACGAGAATTCGATAAGGGTGGATGGGAAAACTAATGGTAAAATGGTGGGCTCTCATTCATACGACTTCGTGTCCATGGTCCCCCATCTCTGGCGGACTGACTGGTGTTGCTGATAAAACCCCGCTGTTTCCGTCGGATAAGCATTCGTCCCCATGTCATTAGTGGGGTTACAGCGAGGATGAAGACAGCCATCGAGGAGGAGTTAGTCTGAAATCTGCAACAGCACTGCTTGAATGTGCTGACAAGAAGTCATTGACCAAATAAAAACAGCGAATTTGAAGAATTTTTATTTTTATTTTTCAATTTTGCAGATCATTCCCCTTGTATTGCCAAGGGAATGCCTTCGTAACGATAGTATATACATACAGTCCCGTCCACAAGACAGACGGGTAGATGTATCCTAGTGCAGTGCTTTTACCCGGCGATCCGTCTTGGCGGTTCTTTTCCGTGTGCCATACTGCAAAGTAGGTTCGTCAATGGGCAATGATCTCGACACGGAGTATTAGCCGCGAGAACATCACCCCACGCGACCGAAATATGCCCCTCACTCGGGACGAAGCGGCCCCGGGACTGGGTCGCTTGTTATGTCACCATTGGGTATTATGTGTTTCGTAAAGGGACGATTTGAGTATATCTTCTTCCTGCATGATTTCCGAGTTTATTCCTCTGAAACAAGTGATAACACAAGATTTAACATCAGCAGCCAACATGGGATCCAACATAGGGTTGAATCTTGGGTATAATGGAACCCACCCTTTCTCCAAAGTGAAAATCACCGACAGAAACTCTGTGCAAGAGTTACTGAGAACTTTACTTGACCCGCTGGAGCCGTTTTTCTCGCCACAAAAAGCCAGAGTCAAGTGTCCAGGTGCAACAGCAGTGAGATTCGACCAGACCGCATCCGAGGTCGAGGGTATATGTCGACCGCTTTGGGGTCTGGCTTGCCTATTGGCAGGCGACGGAGACTACCGCGGTACAGAGTGGTGGGTTCAAGGTGTCAAGTCAGGTACTGACCCAGACAGTCCTGAGTACTGGGGATACCCGCGCGATAATGATCAACGAATGGTCGAGATGTGCCCGCTTGGGTTTGCTCTTGCTGTCGCTCCAGTATTCTGGCAGTCAATGAACGAAAAGGAGAGGGGCAATGTCGAGGCATGGTTGGGGAACTCCGTCAACGAAAAGAAGTGTGTTACACAAAGTCTCAAATCCTGTGATAGACATTAATATCTTATAGTATGCCAAATACCAACTGGCTTTGGTTCAGAGTTTTCGCGAACCTTGGACTCAAGAAAAATGGAGGGAAGTTTTCTCAAGAGAGACTCGACAGCGACATCGAGCATCTGAACACGTTTTATCGTGGTGACGGTTGGTCAAACGATGGGCCAGAAGGCATTCACCGCAAGTGGAAGAATTTAATATCCTGGTGACATAAATTGCTGACACAATGGCAGAGATGGACTACTACTCGTCGAGTTTTGCTATTCATTTTCTTCAGCTGCTATACGCAAAACTGGCTGGCGAAGAAGAACCAGAGCGAGCAGCAGAATTCAAAAAGCGTGCTCAGGTTGCTGCTTTGGACATGGTACACTATTTCGATAACGAAGGTGGGCTTGTGTGGCTTTCTTTCTCCTCGGTTTGATCCCTAATGAGCATTTAGGTCGAGCAATCCCGTTTGGTCGCAGCGTAGGCTATCGATTTGCAATGGTTTCATTTTGGGGAGCCCTTGCCTATGCCGATGTTGAACTGCCGGAGCCGCTTACTTGGGGCATGGTGAAAGGGATTGTCCTCAGACATCTCCGATGGTGGCAGACTCAGCCAGATATCTGGAGTGCTAGTGGCACACTTACGATTGGGTATTCATACCCAAACATGTATGTGAGTATACACTGGTAATGAATCACGTCATTCAGGACATCGCTAACCGGACCTAGATGGCCGAAAACTATAACAGCCCTGGGAGTCCTGTGAGTCATGATTGCGTTTTATTGTCTCTGTTTGCTGACCAAATACTTAGTACTGGGCATGTCTCGCCTTCATCTGCTTAGCTGTGCCGGCTGATCACCCTTTTTGGACATCGGAGGAAGAATCGGCTGCAGATGTGATACCGAAAGTCAAGGCCCTAAAGCATCCAGGACATATCATGAGGTATGTCTACACAAATTCCATAAAATGATATGCTGACCCGTTTTCTGCAGTTACCATGGAGGTCATTGTATGCTCCTATCTTCAGGGCAAGCGTGTAGTTATCCAATGAAGGGGACTCATGCCAAGTATGGAGCTTTCGCATACAGTAGCGCCTATGGATACTCTGTACCGCCGGGCCTTTTTAGTTTGGAGCAGTATGCGCTTGCATCACAACTAGGCCTTTCGGACGATGGTGGCGATTACTGGAAAACTCGAAGAAAGTCTGAGTATGCTGGTCTGGAAAATCGAGATGACCAACCTGTGCTCGTCTCAGTCTGGAAACCATTTTCAGATGTCACAGTCAAGACAATTCTGGTTCCGTCCAGCGAGTCTTCACCAAATTGGCATATTAGAGCCCACAAGATTGAGGCCGGCCGTGAAGTTATGACCGCTGATGGATCATTCGCAATCAGCAATCAAAGGTCAATTGATGGACGTTACTTGGACGCATACGATGCCGACAAAGGGGAAGGCACGTTCCCAAAGATTATCGGAAATTATGACCTCAACAGTCCAGAGGGTTGGTCGACAGGTCGTCAGGGGGCCTACGCCGTATCGAAAGGAGCTGTTGGTATACGGGCCTTGGAAGTCAATGTTGAACGGAGTGCTATGCTTGTCAATGCGGATCCGAACTCCAACCTGGTCGAAAGCCGTACGGTGATTCCAACACTGCAGCATACCATCAAGAAAGGGGAGGTGGTTTGGTACGTTTCGGCAATCTATGCCAAGCCTTCAAGCGAGGGGGTCTCCAAGCAGAGTTACCTTGGTGGATGGGACAAAGTACCTAAGATCCCGAGATGGCTCAGTGATGAGATTGTGGCATGAGCATTTACTTTTGTGTCGTGATGGGCCGCTGTTGTGTAAACATAAACTCTTCTAAGTTTCGCCGATACATTATGATTAAATTGTCTGGTATGAAATGACTCATGGGTTAAGAAGGCGACAAATGCGGGCACTGCTCTCTTTACGATATTACGTAGATGCAATAGCCCTATGAAATAGATTTTGGAATGGCGCTTGGAATTTCGGGGACCTGCAATTGATGCTGCTGGGGTATGTCATGTTAATATTTATGATTACTAAAAGATGTCTAAACTCTAGTTCACAAAGTAACCAATAATCAACTCAGCTCCGTGCCATTACATGATCAATCCTTGCACCTGACAGCCTCTCATGACTCCCTCTCTGGAGGCTGCTTAAGAACACTGCGTAAGCACCGAAAGCAGTGATACACCTCAATATGAGACCAGGAGCCAGATATTTCAGTTATTGAGAGAGACGCTTGTGGAACGACCCGAAAATCCCTTTTTGGCTGCAAAATATACAAGGTCGGCTAAAGTTGGCATGATGGTCTTGTTATGCACCCCTTCCCCCCAACGGCTAAAGGCGGGGAGAGGATCTTTCATTCGCCTACGACATCATACCCCAGATTTCATCATAATCCTGAAGTTTTCTTTCAAGCGAAGAGATGTTGTAAAAGGTCGATGCAGAGTCTGCAAATTTTTTTTTTTAAATCACTTTCTTGATGCAAAACATAGAATCGATATTTGCAGTGTCTCCCGCAAGCGAGGGTATTGCGAAGGATTGCAGATTGATGATCCCACCCAAGGTTTGTGTCCCAGCCATCTGGAAAAGGTGCTCCTCGGCTAGACCAGCTGAATGTGCCTGCGTATTGCAACCTGCAGTCATGCGGGCCAGCTCAGGACAGACGAACGGAACCGTTCTCATTTGCTTCTAGACTCAACCTTCCCGGTAACGCGAGACCCTAACCATGTACCCTCGTCTAACGCACCACCTCCAATCGTGTGCCCTCTTTCCCAGTGTGAGTGGTATATAGCGCTGCGTTAACTTACAGCTGAAACGGCTTCCACGAAAGAGGTTCCGCGAACGAGAAAGGCCCCTGTACCTACACCATGCATTTCTAGATAGGTGTGTCGCACAACGCTGATATTACTTATCCCTCCAATTACTCTGTACCTGGTCATTGCTGTCGTGCACTCACCCGAACATCCTGCCATGGGGAGCACCTCGCCTCGGCGTCCAGTGCTGTTATGCATCACACCCCAATATCATGGATACTTATAGCTTGTCTACACCTGCAGCCTGGTGGCGTAATCGATCCAAAAGCCAAATGTTTCCCAATAAGTATGGTTCAGTACCAGGGCAATGGTCATTAAACCACGACTTGCATATTGCCCATCTGACGGGGGCACAGTCGATCCCCTCCATGTTCGTGTCATGTCTTGTTTGTGTGAGAAGTTTTGAATTGTAGCATCCTTTCTGTGTTCTTTACACTTCGAGGAAGTTAGATTTCGCGTTAGATTTCGCCTTGCACTTTCCCCAGTCGATCATAGTCATTGTAGATCGTTGTTAAGTTTCTTGTACTGCAGTTGGCTAGCTGTGGCAGCAATGGGAAAGACATGGGTGAAAATCCTCAGGCTAGTTATCAGAAATGATGCTATGCGGGACGAGTAGGTGTTTCGGTTTGTGAGGCGACACATCTACCCTGTGACTGACTGCATTCCAGCCCACCACAAATATATGGATGGAGAGTCTTTGCGCTAGTATGTGCATCATGGTAAGACTTAACTGTTTAATCAAACCATCCAGACCTCTGGACGACAGTGTTCTAACTGGGTGTTACAGCTTCGGCGGAATGCTTTTCGGTTGGGAGTAAGTATCACTTTTGATATCTTCAACATATCCAACTAATCACAATCCAGTATTGGCGCAATAGGAGGCATTCTAATAATGCCAAAGTTTATGGAGTAAGTGTCAAAGAATTTACACAACAGCTCCCGAGTACTATTAACGAGAGTAGGGATTATCACATAGACAGCAGTGAGAAGGACATTCTCTCAGAAAATAGTACGAGCCACTTGCCAATATCTTTCCCAGTTAGAAAAGGAAAACCTAACAAAAAGGCAGTCGTCTCAACATTACAAGCAGGGTGTGTTTTAGCCTGCCTGACTGTGAGTGTATAAGTCAGCGCGACTCACGTTGCAAGTATTGATTTCAAGACTCAAGGCCGCTCCCTTTGCCGACAAATTTGGGCGAAGATGGTCGCTGGTAACAGCTGCACTCATCACCTGCATTGGAATCGCGCTCCAAGCGGCACCGACGTTGAGTTTACCGGTCCTGTACGTCGGGCGACTGGTCGCTGGATTCGGAGTTGGTGCCGCCTCCATGTTGACACCACTATACGTTTCCGAATGTGCGCCAAGAGCAATCCGAGGTGCATTGACGGGGTGCTACCAGTTATTCATTGTGAACGGAGTGATGCTCTCCTTCTGGGTCAACTACGCGGCGCAGTATCATTGGAACGACAGATACGTCTATCTAATTCCGCTTACTTTGCAGTCTGTCCCGGCGATATGTCTGCTGGTTGGGATGCTGTGGTGTCCTGAAAGCCCGAGGTGGACGGCGAGGCAGAATGACTGGGAGAACACTGCTCGAATATTGTCAAAGCTGACAAGCTTGCCTGACGATCACGAATACATCAATCACGAGATGTACGGAATGGCAGAGCAACTCGAGATCGAACGGCGGCTTGTCGGCGACGCGACAACTTGGACGCTGCTGAAGGAGATGTGGCTCATACGTGGGAATCGCAATCGGGCGCTTATATCCATTAGCTTGATGGTATGCCAGCAGATGACTGGCGTCAACGCTATCAACTATTACGCACCACAGATGTTCCAGTCGCTCGGTATGAACAGTACAGAGAGCTCACTTTTTGCAACGGGTATATATGGTGTTGTCAAGGTCGTCGCTTGTCTTGCTTTCCTCATCTTCGCAGCAGATTCACTAGGACGAAGGAAGAGTCTACTATGGACAAGCATCGCACTATCGATATCCATGTTTGTTATTGGTGCATACATATATATCAGTCCACCAGTTCAGGGGCAACCAGTAGGTCGATTCTCATTCGTTCATGATTTTGTCTCGGTACCTAACGTCAAACAGATCCCGACATTTGGATATGTAGCGATCGTGTGCATCTTCCTATTCGCAGCGTAAGTCTGAGCATAAACACTCCGAGTCAGATTGTTGATTATTGGAAATTTTAGCTGCTATCAGTTCGGATGGGGACCTTGTTGCTGGATTTACGTGAGCGAGATTCCCAGCGCACGCCTGCGAGCCATGAACGTTGCGCAGGCTGCGGCGACACAATGGTTGTTCAATTTTCTCGTCGCGCGAACTGTACCGACAATGATGAAGAATATGGGGCACGCAGGCTACGGTACATATTTTCTCTTCGGCTCCTTTTGCGCATGCATGTTCTTTTATGCGTACCTCCTGATCCCAGAGACCAAAGGAATGTCATTGGAGAAGTAAGTAACCCCATACCTGTCATTTCTTACCCGAGACTCCCCAGAGTTTCCAGTAGTGCTATATGTTGACTTCAACTATGTGTAGAATGGATGAACTATTCGGTATTACTGAAATGCTACATGTTGTCCAAGATATAAATCGAGAAGACATCACGCGTCGGCCCTATAGCTTACGTTCCACAGCCGAGTATGAGCTCAAGGGCGAAGATAGGTGGCGACGGCTTTCGGCGGGTGGGGGATCTCAAGCAAGCGCATCCGAGGTGCGATGAGTCAACGGCATGAATCGCTTGTGCCGGAGTGGTCAGAGGATGTGGCATGTGCATCACTTCGACTAAGCCCGTATTTTGTTTATTAGTTACACAATGGGTCCTTTCTTCCAAAGCCTTTGCGGCTCGACGAACTACACAGCCTCTGGCATGATGCATCGTCTTCGAGTTGAGATGATCGCGGCGGTATAGAGCGGTGTAAGAACAATGGCGTAGACCTGCGAGGACTTGGTGCAAACGAAGTTAGAAACCGAAGAATGAAACAACCATTCCTCAGGCGATGATTGGTACACAGCCTGGCTATAGTCTGCATGTACTGTGCCGGGTAAAGGAACCTAAAGGCTCGGGAGATGATTGTCATCAGTTCATGTGGATTTATCTGCAAGTCATTTGGCTCGGCTCTATTTGTATCGGCCCATCTGTGCCTCTTGGCTGCACTTTGACCAACCTGGATGATCGAGGGTGATTGATCATGTGCCAAGCTCCTTTTAACCGCAAGGGCGCCTGCACTCCACGCAGCCTTGAATTTTGTGTCATGATTATTGCTTACTGAACCCAATCACTCGCCATTGTACTCCTATCTGGCGTGCCCTTTGATATATGGCATACCATTTCCAAACAATTTTTTGCCCTTGAAACGACCGTATACAAACTCTCGAAGATTGCATTGATGGGCAAGAAAAGGAAAGCCAACCATATACCTGTTGGAGTCTCTGGCTTCATGATAACCAGAACACCTATTCAGCACAGTCCAGTCCTGCTTCAAGCGCGAGCAAAGTCCTCGATGTACTTAGAAAGCTTCTGGGCGCCCTTGAGAGGTATCAAGTTATAGTTGCTAGCCCGGCTTCCACCCACACTGCAGTGCCCGTTAAGGCCCCCAAGTTCTTGGCCTTAGCTTGTTCGACGAATGCCTTCTCGGCTGTATTAACGACGCCTCCTTTGTTGACCCTGAAGCAGATGTTCATACGAGAGCGGGCAGCTTGTCCGGGACTACTGTGTACATATTCAAGTGCTTGTTAGGGCGTCGTAGACGAGTGTTGCCTTGTCGTTTGACACAGCCTCTTGACCGTCTACCTCGAATTGTCTGTAGTCAGCCAATGCCTTTTTCAAAACCTGGCCGGCGATGTAGATATAAAAAATGCTTAGTGTGTTGAACGAGCAGTTGTTCTTAGCAATAGTCACATATAAAAGGACAATAGACCCAATGGACAATCAATGCTTCCTCAAAAGCTTTGGAGAAGGCTCAGGGCACAATGGAGGTAGCAGATTCTTCTTGACAATTGCAATTGTGATACCAGTGGATCCAAGATTCTTTTTGAGCTCCAAAGAAGATCAAGTGGTAGTTCTTGATGAGTATTCTCCGAGAAAGAATGTTTGAGGACATATCCAGAACTACGGTCAGACTAGAGCTGTCTGCCTTAGGAGTGAAGATTTCTGGGAACTTGGGGATCAACATCCACCGTTACAGTTATAGACCATAGCTGCGTCCTTTGAATGCTTCCAAGAATTTTTCTTCCGGAATCTTGCCGAATTTCTCGTCAGTAATGGTTCTTGTATCGGTAGCCAAGTTGACGTACCCCTCCCCTAGCAAGCGGCAGGCCTTTTGATATGCCTTGAGTGACCAGCCGCCGGTCACAATGTAGTCAAGCTTCAGCTCCATGTCAACTTGCTTCTGCAGAAGTTCCGGAACCTTTGTTTTGTCATCATTAATTTGCTTCATGGCCTCCTCCTGCTTCCTGGTAACCTAAGCGCCGACAAGGTTTTAAACACTGGCCGAGAACTCGCCACTGCCACCGCCTTGCATGGAGAGGATCTCATGGTCATCAGAAATATCAAGGTAGTGGCCAAGTCGGTATTGAATTCGTTGATGATCTTTGCAGCCAATGCGGAGTGATGGGAGTGCTCAGCGATGCCCAAGCCCATGCCCTCAAAGTCTAGCAAGGTGCTGGAGGCGCTCTCCAGGACATCGGTTGGCTGCGCGGGCCGGGCTGACACCGATGTATGTGATGTCTACTCGAGTGGGCATTTTTGACAACTAATCAGATATCGATGTCACTACTAGGTTCTGGGCTCTCTTGTCAGAGCGGGAATGAAAGTGGGCAGTTGCAACCCAATAGGAAGATCAGGTATGAAGATCGTCAACAGTAGCACTGGTGAACAGAGTACGTGCAGACGGAACCCCAACCTTAGTGTCTTACCAGACTGGCAACAGTTGATTGTGATTTGTGTCAGGATTTAGTTTCGTCGTTAGACCAGGGCAATGACCGTGTGCCAGTATGAGCCAGTGAGCCATCCGACGGCCCCAGAGCCCCTCCTTTTCCCAGTCGTTGGATGTCTTCGAGATTCGTCAGTTGCATTGCGTCTAGAAGCGGCTTCCTCTCGTTGGCGCGTTCAGTTGATATGTCCTAAACTATCCGATGCCATTCTAACGTTAATTACATTAAAAAAACACCTAAAATATCTATAAAATACTAAAAGGACTAACATAAAATAATTTGTGATAGTATGATACTTCCTACAGACGACAAAATTAGCGTGATATGTGATATCTCATAATTATTGCCTATGATGTAGCTTAGACTAGTGGACTTGATAGGAAAGAAAACCATTACTTGTTATTCTTGGGCGTTATTTCCCATATATCCTGTTATTTCGGACACTGCGCTGAGGTTAGTTCTTGTATCTACCGCTTCTACGGGTTCGCAAAGTAGGCGTCTAACCTAGGTAAACTGAGTCATGGTGCCGTACCCCCAGATTAGCGGCAGAAGTACAATTCTTAGGTGTCCTATGCCCCCTATGCTCACTGGATATCACATTGGGGGCGCTACTGCATGCTATGAAGTTGCTTAAGATTCAGGCACGCCTTCTAGAAAGAAAAAAAAGAAAAGACTTACTGCCAACCTTCGTCGGTACATGCATACATGAGTAGTCGCTCAAACCTGCATATCAAGTTTTGTTCGCATCTGCTCCTGCCAACAATAGTCTCGAAATCCCCTGCACGTATCGAAGAATTCAGAACGAAGAATGATCAGGTTAGAGTCGTAGCAAATTATCAACCAGGAACATGATGCCACTCCTCCTAACTTGATTGCTCCTAAGAAACAAGGAACCCGTGAGGTTCATGCTATAAGTTCCACTGCCTACAGGGCATTGAGGATCGGCAAATATTCTGTCTCCAGCTTCCTCTCCAGACGTGGAGACTGATGCGACAGTAGTCTTCCGCCCGCTCTTTCAAATAAGCCTCGGAAAACGTTGCCATAGGTCGCACTGCATGTTCGGGGCATGCAGCCCAATATCTGAAAGTTCGAGCCCTGGTTTGTCGATTCCTGGGGCCCCTGGCTCGACGAATATCATGGCCAGCAGGGATCTCGGGGATATCTAGGGGTTCTAATGCCTTAGCTCGGCCGTGTACCCTTCCCAGGCCTCCATCTAAAGCCATGATCCATCTCGTTAAAGCTCGTATTGTCCATGCTTGACGACCATCTTGGCTCATCTGCCATGCCTATCCGCAATACCCTGCGTTTCCATGTTGCATTTCCCCTGGGGCCCTGGGAAGATAAACTTTCAGGCGACGGGCTTTGGTAGGCTATTGGTAGTAGGGTAAACTTTCAAACCATCCAGTCATTCCATTATGCCCAACGGGGCAGCTACTAGTACTGGCTTGTATTGTGCTTCCGGGATGGTGAGGCAGACGCAACTGCCGGGTGGACAGGTTTGAATGACAGAAGTACACAACACCGACCTTTTGAGAAGGGGGTTACCCAAAGAAGGCCCGACGGGTGCTTTCTGTAAAACAATATAAGAGGATGATACTGTCGTCTCCAGCTTGTGGCCATGTTTCATGCCCTCTCTCCCGGTTTCTTTTCTTTGGAATTCCATTTTTGAGCCTTTCTGCCAAAGGCTCCCTGTTCTATACGTATCATTCCATACCCATTTGAAATGGGAATGCAAAGAGTCTTTTATTTCATTGTGCGAGACGGATCATGAAGAAGAGCCGCATAAAGTGGGTGTTGTTATACATGCATTGCGGCTCCGATAAGTCGAGACAAGACAAAAAGAAATGTCCGATAGAAAGAGTTCCGAGGCTGGCCCTGCGCGACATTCTTCTCATGCCGTCCCTGTAGCTTCTTTTCGTACGTCATCCCGATCCCACCTTTGACATCTTCCTTTTACACTTGGGCAATATCTCAAAATCTTGGAGCACTCGGAGAACGAAGCGCGAAACCATTTCAGCACAATTTACATTCGACCTGTGACGGTGTTTGGAAAATCGATTCATACGACTAATGACTGATGATTTAGCCACACACAACTCCCCGCGGACATGGATCCTCACATCCGCACTCACCCCGCTCGCCATTAGATTGATGCGGAAGCTATTGGAAGCTGGCGACAATGTGGCCGCATGCCTACCGCCACATGAACTTGAGCATGAGGACCGGAATGCAGAGTTTCGCGAGCTGATCAGCGAGTGTAAGAGCAACCGCAAGGACCGTGAGGGCTGGCTAGGGCGGATTAGGCCCATCCGCTGCGATGGCCGCATCATGGGACAGTGCGGCGCCGCCATCGCTGAAACTAAGGAGACATTTGGCAGGTTAGACATTCTGCTATGCTGTACCTCAGAAGGTGAGCTTGAAGAGTCGTCGTGACGCTAATCAGAAGGCGCCCGGCTAACTTACGACAGCTATTGTTGGCACGGTCGAGGAATTGTCGACGAATGCTGCGACACAGAACCTTGTACGGGATCAGTTTGACTCGATCTTCTTTTCTCAGGTGAACTTTATCAAGGCTGCACTCCCGCTGATGAGAGCGCAACACACAGGCCACATCATGATTCTTTCAAGTATTGGCGGGCATATTGGGACTCCTGGGATGTCCATGTACACAGCGGCGACATGGGCACTGGAGGGGTTCTGCGACTCGTTGGCGTACGAGATCGCGCCGTTCAACATCAAAGTCACAATAGTGCAGCCGCACAAAGAGATACAGTCTCTGACGAACAAAATTGTTTTTGCGCCGCAGCTTCCGCACTACGATAGTGATAACAATCCAGCACCGAGTGTGCGGGACATGTTCAGCAATGTTCTGAACATGAATCCAGAGACAGCCCTGGAGGCTTCCGAGGATGAGATCATACAGCGATACCCCAAACTGCCCGCCTCGTCGCTGGACAAATTAGTTCAGGAGACAGTGAACGCGCTCACTGAGATAGGCGGAAACGAAAACCCACCTGCACGTCATATAGTTGGATTTGAAGGAGCAGAAGCTGTCAAGGAAAAACTGAAAACGGTGACAGAGGAATTGGAGGATTTTGTAGAAGCGAGTCTGGCCGTGGATATCTTTGACAGTGAGCTCAAAGCTGAGGCGAGGCAAGGCAAAGCTAGAGCTGCTGAGGCTAGCAGCTCGGGTGCAACCTAACAAAGCTCAACTCAAATAACCATAATTCATAAGAGGTAGCAGGGGGGGGGGCCAAGAAAAGGCTACGCAATACACATAACTTGCCCTGGTATTAAAAAAAGAAAAGAAAAAACCAGACAAACTCCGTATGCAAACTGAGATTGAACGTGATTTGGCAGTGTTGGCAACATACACAAAATACCTGACATAGCTAAGGAATCTATCTATCTTACTCTTATTTTTGTGAGCAACAACACAACCAAGATTGTCCTTTCACGTCGAGGTCATTGGCTGCGGGTCAACCGAGCATGCTGCTACAGTAGCGTACGCCGATACAATTGATACACAGTACAATCGAGACCCTTGGTTCCAGTAGTCGTGTCTGATTGGCTGCCCCTTGAGCATGGTGCGCGAGGCTCAATTGGCAAGGAGCTTCAGCTTGTCATGATGCATCCGTTCTGCGCGCGAGAGTTCGACATTGCAATGATGCTGCGTGGCACATGCGCCTAGCCACGAGTCAAATCAGTTTGACAGCTCGCGCATACCCAATACTACCCTACCTGTGATATTTCGCGGTCTGAGGAACAAAGCGATTCATCCCACAACCACCATATACATATACTTTAGCTAAAGCCCTCGAAAGTGCGCAGCAGCACCTCACCGCTTAGCCCCTGCCATGTCGGCGCAGAACAGTAACTCCTCGAAGTGAAGCTGGCGACAACCCGACCCCAATGCCACCACCATGACCATTAATTCTTTGCTACCCATCGCTCCGGCGAGGGTACGAGCGCTCGTCGTGCCTGTCGGGCAGATCAAGGGGGACAGATTTGAATCTTTTGTAACAAGATTGAATCAGGAGTATGACGTCCACCTTAGGGACATCAGTGCCGATGGGCGCCCCAATAGGAGTCAGTCGCAACCTGTACCTCCGCGAAGGAGCATCATCCAATCCTGCGATCTGATCTGACTTTTCGCTATCTAGACATGTTCTCGCCCTTGGCCTTCCCGAACGGAAGGATATTCTACGAACTCATCACACACGTGCCCCCTCCCTCACACTTGGCCTTGTCTCCATTCGACCTGTACCGCGAGCCTCTCGCCGTCATAGCTATAGCCGATGGAGCCGAGCTGGAGAATGGAGCTTTCAGCAAGAGACAGTCCGCAACTGCCCCAACCATGACAGAAAGGAACATACGTACCCTGTATCAGGAACTGGAAGATCTAAGAGACGCGCATACCAAGGCCCTTATTCACCAGGTCCTCATATTCGACTATGTGCAGCCGGCAGAACAACCCATCGTCCTGCCCGAAGGCGTCAAAACAATTCCGCCCATAGAACATTCCATACGAACGACTGTCAAGACCATCATGTGCGACATATCCTCGCTATTGTTGGCTGAGATGACCACATTGGCAAAGTCCTTCGAAGCCATGACAGCGATCGAGTCTCCGGGGCATGCGGTAAGACCACAGATGAACGGTGCAAATACTACCGAGGACCCGAACCATCTACGGAGGAATTCACAATTCGCCCTGCCCACAAGATCAGTATCGACCAGCGGTGTCGCGGATAAGAGCCAAGCGCGCATGTCGCTGCCAGCATTTAAGGGCTTGTCTTTTGGATCGAGCAGTTCAACTCCCACAAACCGCCCATCAACCCCTGTGAGGAACGGCAGTGGACTGTCGCATCCGCCAACTACCTTTGATGAGATGACGAATGGCAGTGACCAGGACCCTGCAAGCCCAGACCAAAGGCCTTCGAGGCCTGGAACCGCTGAGGGCTTTAAATCTTCGTCATCAGACAAAGTTTCAGTCCAAGGCTTTGGTCCAGGAGGTCTCAACGAGAAGTGGAGAAACAAAGGCAAGGGTCGAGTCAAAATAATAGTTGGCTCTTTATATCTTCAGGCAGGACGATGGACGGATGCTCTGAAAGAGTTGATCGAGGGGGCCACTGTTGCCAAGTCTAACAACGATCATTTATGGCATGGAAAGGCGCTTGATCTCATTACAGTATGTCTGATTCTGCTAGGTTGGGCCGGCATCGAGTTCCAAGTGCCGGCGGTCTGTCTGTCGCCAGATAAGCCGACGAGTAAGGCACCGGAGGTCGAGGATGTCATTCCCGACCAACCCAAATACCTGCGAAATTTCCAGGCTTGCCTACCAGATCTTCTGGAGAGGATCATTGGCCTTTGTACGAGGATATCTGGGGAGAAATTACCGCCACTTCCTCTGTGCGAGATGGTTATCCGATTCTGCAGTCTTTTAACTTCATTGCACATATGTGATGGGCGGCTGGACCCGAAGTTTCTTGACATGGTTGTTTCTGGCAAGAGCTCGCACAACCCGTTAACGACATCGCCTCGACTGAGCGTTACACCTAGTCGAACTTACGTAGCAAATCTTTTGTTTCGGGCGTTCCCCCCCTCAGGACGTGAGGTCATAACGACAGTTGATCGTGCACTTGTTCTGAGTGGGATTGCATCAGTCATGGGGACACTGGGTTATCACAGAAAGAAGGCGATGGTCTTGCGAGAGCTGGTAGGCGTTCTCGTCGCTGGCCTCGTAGAAGCACGTACTCGCGGAGCTGCAGAGGTTGGAATCCACCCAGCCGCGGGACTAGTAGCTTTGGATGCCGTCAATGGTCATAGCAATGGTGCCGGAGCGCTAGAACTAGGCGAAGGCGATATTGAGCACGGCATCGATGCTTTCCTAGGCATTCTTTGTAAAACGTATGGTGTCGTGGGCTTCAACGGTCAACTCAGGGCGGACTCTGCCTCGTCTCCGGATGACAGTGATAGCAAAGTCATTTCAAGGATTGAGAACCAATCCATGGTTAGGCACTACGGCATTCAAGATGTCAAGCTCAATGTCCTGCGCGCCTGCATTAACATGTCCGAAGCGTTGCCAGATTTTAATGGCGTGCTGAAGTTTTCGAGCGATTTGCTGCGAACTGCTGGCAGTGGTGTAGCACCCGGGCCGCGCCGGGAAGATGCTGCGCCAATGATCACCCGTGACGAGCAGATACGACTCGTCAATAACATCTCAAAGACCGCCGATTTATCGAGGAAATTAGGATTAGGTCATCTAGCAGCGGAATTCTGGGACGAGTTCCTAGTACGTGGCATATCTCTAGACCCCTTGCCACCAACGAAAGCTCCCATACCACATGCTAGAAACGTGCTACCGGGAGCAAACAATGCGCGAACATCTCAGGACGTCAATCCGTTCATATACAACCCATTCCTGAGAGCACCCGACAAAGTAGTTGTCGAACAAACACTGGTTACCGGGGAAGCAGCCACTTTCCGCATCACGCTTCAGAACCCTTACGAAATCGACGTGGATATTGAGAGCATAAGACTCGAGACCGAAGGAGCCGTATTTGAATCTTCAGTTGAGAGCACGGTCATTGGGCCTTACCGAACCCAGATCCTGAAGGTTTACGGGACGCCCAAGGAAGCCGGTTCTGTGAAAGTCACAGGTGCTATAGTGCAGGTTCGAGGATGCCGGGAAAGAAGGTTTCCCATATTTCCTCATTCATGGGTAGCAGATACGGAGGTGAAAATCAAGGCGATAGGCCTTACCTCCATTGAAAGGACTAACAGTTTCTATGAGAGCAAACAGCTGAACCGACCCGGGCCGGAGCTGAAGCCCGAAAGCATGAGCCTGAGTACCATTTCAGCACAGCCTGTTATTGTGGTCAAGTCGACAACATTGCCGCAGTCCGCAATCATGGTCCTTGAAGGTGAGAGACAGATATTTTCTGTTACGTTGCAGAATCTATCTGCAGAAACTCCCGCAGATCTTCTGCTATTCTCGTTTCAAGATTCGACACAAGGTCCTTTACAAACAGCTCTGACCAGTAGAGATGCTACGCCTTCTGAACTTTACGAGTATGAGTTGGTCTTGGCAAGGAAACAAGCGTTACGTCTCTGCAAAACCGACGATTCGAAAAGATTCATTGCGCCAGGTGGCACGAACACTTTCGAATTTGAGATTTTGGGTAAGCCAGGTTTGACCAATGGAACGATCCAGATTGACTATGCTTATCTTGGTGTAACCCAAGAAGAGGTTAAGGATCAATTCCACACACGACAAGTATGCTTAGACATGACTGTGACAGTCAATGCTAGTGTGGAGGTCGCAAGGATGGACATACTTCCAATCCAAGGGGATGTGCCACGCCCACTTTGGCAACGCCTTGGTGCAGAGCAGTTGGGCGAGGATGTCTCAGACTCGGACAAGTACTGCCTCATGATTATGGATCTGAGGAATGCCTGGCCCAGTCATATGCAGGTGCGCCTCGAAGCCGAGAAAGGCTTCACGATAGAAGAGCACATCTTGCCAGGCAACACAAATCGTGTCGTCTTCCCTATCCCTCGCGTATTCCTAGAAGACCCACACGCCTCAATTCCAGCTTTGAATCCATCTCGCCAACGCCAATTCGTGGTCAGTACCAGCAAAATCACTCCTGAGACGGAACGCGCCAACCGCGAAGCCTTCTGGTTCCGTGAGCGCATGCTCGACTCCCTCAAAGGGTCGTGGAAGACCCTTTCTGGGCCTTCGAGATCCGGCAGTATTGAGTTCCGCGGAATCCGTCTCACGCCGCGTATGATCGAGGCTGTCAAGGTCGACGAAGTTGGTATCGATATCTCTGTCGCCTCTGATGATGCCACCAAGGCGACCGGATGTGCCAAAAACACGATATATGTTGACGACTTTGCCCAGCTCAAGGTCTCGCTCACGAACCGTACCTCCCAGCCAATATATCCCACATTGCGACTGCTGCCCGCGCTCTGCCATCGGCCCCTCAATGTGGCTTTGGACTTCACGCGGAAACTGGGCTGGAACGGGACGATGCAGCGATTTCTCCCGCTGCTGGAGCCAAGACAGAGCACCGAGGTCGTCATCGGCCTGACGCCGCTGTGTCGTGGCGAATTCGAGTTTGTGGCCAGTGTCGAGGAGACGATCCTGTGGGAAGAGGACGAAAAAGGCGACAAAAACAGCAATGGTGGTGGTGGTGCTGCCGACAATGACAAAACCGGTCGCGAGCGGTCAGACACGCAGAAGATGATGGACGCCGTGCTCGGGCCGAGGGAGAGGAGGATCTGGCACTCGAGACACAAGTGTTTCGTCAGTGTTCAAGACCGCGAGGACGGAAGCGACGAGAACTGAAGGAGATGACAATCTGATCTCACACACACACACACACAACATAAATGTAATACTAAGCACCTTGAAAAGATATCAAAGCTAACCCTGAAGATGGGCGCCGTGAGTTCGTCCCGGTGAGAGATGGAAGAAATGCAAGTCGAATGCTTTGTGAATTGTTCTCATTATGTTTGGTATTGCAGCAGATATATTGCTGCTGTTATGTTCTTGCCTGACTAATAATGTACGCGCCCAGCGACTGTCTGCTCGCTGCAGACTCGGCTCTTCTGGCACCTCACCCGAAGCGGGCCTCCTAGATAACCCTACGTAGACCATATTATGCCGGCGCATGGACTTGAATATATTGTACAGCAGATGCTCGTCAAACGCCGCCACGTGGTATAGAAATGCGCCTCTATCTCTCTCGGACGACATGCTCGATTAGACAAAAGCTCTTTTCGGCATCATCTGCCATATCTTCTTGCATAAGCCAACGCCTCAGCTTGTTCCCCTCCGAGGACGTGTCCATGGCTATGGTATAATAAATCAGGACCTGGTTCCAACAGGTCCCTCGGACGGCACCCCTTGCCCCCATCCGGTTTCACTTCCTCAGTTCATTTGATGCTCTAGAAGAAGCGCAGCCATATGAAAAATATAACGATGAGGCCGAAGACGGCGAAGGGGCCGTATTGCTTGAGCATGAGGTCCCAGTTGATCTTGACGGCGGCCTTGCGATACTTGCGGCTGTCGTCGCGCAGCCTCGAGCTGATCTCGCCCATCTTGTCGAGGGAGTCGCCCCTGTACAGTAGGTCCTCGATGTTCTTGGTCATGACCTTGGTGACGTCCCTCAGCTCGTCGTTGAGCTTGTCGAGGTTCTGGGTGGCGCGGGCGTCGGCGTAGGTCGACTTGGTCCGGTTGATGAAGGTGTCGAACTCCATGAAGGCGTAGGGGCGCAGGGTCGGGCTGTGCAGCTGGGCGGCCGGGTACGAGTTCTGGAACTCGGTGCTGATGTCCGAGAGGTAGGTGAAGGCCAGCTTGCGCGGGTACGAGCGCTCGCAGATGCACAGGAAGACGATGTCGCTGCTCAGCAGGTAGTGCAGGGTGAAGCTGCCCGACTCGATGGAGGCCTGCGGCTCGGCGTTCTTGTTCAGGCGGCGCAGGATCAGCTTCACCTGGGACTTGATCTCGGCGAGGGAGGACTCGGTGGATTCGTCGTCGACCGAGGCGCATAGCATGAGGCCTGAGAAGGGAGGTCAGAAGAGGAGGGTGGTGGTGGAAGGAGAAGGAAGCGCACCGTCGCCGACGCGGGCTATTTGTGTCGACCTGATCATGTTTGCTGGTTACGTATGCGAAGGACTGGAGGAGGAGGTGGTGGTGGTCGTCGTCGTCGTCGTCGTCGTCGTCGCAATTGAGATAATGGGTTCCTGGAAGGGGACTGTAGGGGCTGTCAGGCTGCCTCGTGGCCCCTGATTTTATGGTTGAGGGCGAGGGTGAGGGCGAGGGTGCAACTTCAGGGAAGGGCACACGTGGCTTTCTACCAGCAGGTGACGAGAGGAGAGTGCTATAACAAACGGGAAGGTTCTCTCGGAAACAACGAGGGCAGAGTCCTTTGTTCTGGTGGGCTAATAAGTTAAATCGCGACAATTGCACACATCCAGGATTGGCACCCCCACTCAATGCCTTCTTCCGTTGATGTTAACGTCAACTTAAAAGCCATGGATTAAGCAACAAACATGGAGCTGGCCATGAGCTTCGCCAAGGTAGCCAGGCTACCTACGTCAGGGGATGGATTTACAGCATGGTTAGAGCATATTTGAGAGTGAGTTAGGTTAGGTTAGTTAGCTATGTAACCTAGCATGTTAAACAAGTAACTACAGTAACTAAGGTTAGCCAATGGACAAGGGGCTGCGAGTCGAGGCCCTTTTGCTGTGTGATAAGACAGATCAAGATGCTCATGATCCGATAAGAACCCACCTGTGCGTGTGCGTGGTGGACGATGTGTACTGTGTGTCCAGAATACTTAAGTTAGTTACTTAACCTAGTTACATACTTTACTTGTAATGCGCTAAGGTTGGTCTGACAGTACGCTGGGTCCTGGCGGGATCCTGCTTAAAGCTAACTTGACTTATGTACAGTAGAGCTCATCCAAGACTAACTTGGCATGTCTGCATGCATAGTCTCACAATAACAACAACAACAACAATAATAATAATTCAAACTACTCCAGACTTTTCAACTACGAAATCACGAAATAACTCTCACGTATCTCCCGAGAGTATCAGCAGCAGCAATCCAGTTGCTGCCATAATTGAACCAGAAGCGGCAATTCAGCCCCGGCCCACCTGCTGTTGCTACTATCTAATCGACCTCTACGGGCAAATAAGATTGTGTTCAAGTATCACTTATAAAGAGTGGTGCCTGCTGTCTTGCGATGCAGACTGCTTCTCCTGTCGTTTGTCGAGCACTTCGTACCAGTCACAAGAGAAACAGGGCGTACAACAGCAAAGGGAGTGCACAAGTAAGCTATACACAAGCACCTCCTTCTCTGCATGCCATTCACGCCAGTAGTAGGCGGAACCCCGTAGCCCATAACACCCAGGTCGACGGGTCTTTCAGTGGCCGGAACATTCTTCTCAAAACTCCTCTGCTCCAGAAGAAAGCAGAGAGTCGCTTGGGAGAGCGCATCAAAGCACATCAAGACACACCGCAGAGGAGCCAGTCGTACCAACCATCAAACAATGCATGTGCGCAGCGACAAAGAGCATATCTCTTGACTTGGAACCAGACAAATGCCAACAAATACCAGCGAGCAGATTATACCTTGGTCACTTTCTGAAATCACGCAAAACGAACGGTGATAAACCCATGCTACTGCTTTATGTCCCTTTTTTTTTCCGACGCTTATTGCTGCCATCCTTTACACACAAATCCCCTCAACCATGGAGCTCTTATTCAACGAGCACTCGGCCCTGGCCCAGACAAACCTGCGAGCACTCATTCTCGACCCCGAGGTCTGGAAACTCCTCACCCCGGAGCAGGTCGCGCAGGTCCAGAAGTACTGGCCCGGCGACTCGTACAACGGCGACCTGTCCGCCCTGGCCAGCAACGACCATCTGCGTCACGACATCGCCGAGTACCAGAAGGCACTGGCAGCCGGTCAGCATGATCCGGAGTGGCTAAGACAGGCCAAGGCTGCCAACAACCTGAGGAACGTGCTAGCAGCTGATGTCGGCACGAACCCGGCGGCGGAGAAGTCGGAGGATGACCATGTGGGCCACGACGCAGAGCAGCCAAACATGGAGGCCGCAACTATCGACTCGGCAAAGTCCGATGTTGCCGCCGCGGCCGAGGGCGCTGGCAGCGACGGTGCAGACAAGGAAGTCGACGCTTGACGAAGTAGGGAGGCTGCTTTGCGAGATGGGGGTGCAGGCTGGCGCCGGGCTTGAAGCTCAGCAAGCGGAGATCCCGAGCAAGAAACAGGCTCTCAGGCTTGTTGACAAGACGGATCATTCCGGTAGATGGTACCATGCCCCCCTTGCCCCACGCATGATCTGGGTAGATGGATTCGTTTTTCGAACGACGCCTCGGATGAACCAAGATAGATGACAAAGCTGGCGGCTACTACTTAAGGACTACCTCCCGGAAGGCCGACGGTTGGATTCCCGTGCTTTCTTGTAGTTTCTAAGCGCGAGGGTTCTTCAAATAATTCGTGTCTTACTTAATAACGACGAGTTGTAGTTATCGTACAATCCTGAACCATTACGTCATCCAAGAGATATTGGGATACAAGCCCTGCATCACCTGCCTTTCTCCTCCTCACCCTCAGTCCCAAAACAAGGCGAAAGTTCCATCCGCACCTGTGGCTGGCGCACCACCAGCATGGCAAACAGGCAAGTGTGCTGGAAATACGGGGGAAGCATTCCGTTGAAGGAGGACTTTCTTGGCTCTTTCGTACACTGCAAACAGTCACCTCAAGACTTCTGGGTCGCCACGCCGGGTGAGTTTTCATTGGTATATGTCTACATACCAAGCTATGTAGCCGCAGTTTGCTACTGTCCAACATTTCCTTTGCAAAGTGTAGCATGTCGCTGCCCGACCACATGTGCTTCTGCTTCTGCTTCTGGTGCAGTGCTAAAGTCTCTGAGGCAAACAACCCTCACTGGCCGCCATGGGTCTCAGCGAGTCGTACACTGAGCCCCCGTGCATCAATACCAATGAACCTCCTTGCTTTGCAGCCGCAAGCATGTGGCAGACTAGATATTCAACACCTCATTCATTGTCGGATCCTCTCAGGCCTCTCTACACCACAGTGTTACAGTGAATACGTCTTGCGATGCTATCCACAGTTTATCCCACGGATCCGATTCTCCGCCAACCAGGACACAACCTCGTCGCATCGTGGTCAGGTTGGCACCGCTTCCTTTTACAGAAGATGCCACGATCCACAGTGAATATATCCAGGCCTGGTGCGCATAACCATGGTGTTCGGATGGTCACCATCACTTGCTGCATAGGACTTCACTACTTCTCATGACAGAGCAGAGGTTAAGACCGGGAAACGATCGCGCGCAACGGAGCCCCTCGGGCGTAGCATTTTGATCCTGGGGCGACGCATGCCGCTCCCCCTTTGAATTTGAATGGAGCTTTGGCGGTCGTCCAATCGATGAGGCACCTTGCGACCCAGGGCAGTGCGGGTATGAGTAATGCAGGCTTCCCAGCAAAGACGTTTTATGATACCCATAGTAGTCTCTCGAGTTGTGGTATTGCAAATTTTCCCGAGGTATATGTACCTGATATCTATAGGCGGTTTCACAGAACCGTACGATTTCTTCGTAAGTGTGATTGCAATTGGACCACTTCAAGAAGGCAGATTAGATTGAGACCTTTTCTTATATCTGCTGAACGTCCTGGTTCGTGAGTCGATGTCCTTGTCGAACCTAAGGCCGTTGATCGGTAAACTCTCAAGTCTCACCGCATTTGAGATGTACTCCACAACCGTGGTCGTTTTCAAAGGTGGTGTTCGCAGAAGCGCAGCCACATCCTCAGGAGACAAGTCCTTGTTCGTGTGCCACAAGTGATATGCTCGAAGCTCGACAAACCGAGCAGAACCGGAAGTCACTTTGCTGACAAATGCAGTTTCATCCTGAATTGATTGGTAATTCTCGGCGATGAATGTCCTGGCCCAGGTATCTGCTGCGTTGATACGTGGATCTTTGGCAAGAGTGTCCAAGACGTCCTCCGTCTCGCGCAGTGTACGTGCTACTTGCTTTGTGGCTGATTTCAGAGCTTTCAGATGTGCTAAGAGCGCACGCTTTCTGGCTGCAGGGCTCAAAATGCCAGAGCTATTTCCGTCATCTTCCGGTGGAGGTTCAGAAACCTCGTCTTCCGAGTCTGTCGCTAAATCTAGACCGTCCGAGAGACGAATAGGGAGATTAAGTTCTGCATGATGTGGGGTGGGCGGGCATGGATCAAGCTGTTTCCTGTGGTGTTCCAAGGTTGCAAAGAGATGTACGCCAGCATAGGCATCCGATGCTGAGTCTACGCTTGATAAGTAAAATCATCGCACGATAGCAGGGGCAATATCTTACAGGTAACCTGATCCCAGCTCAGTTGTTTAGTCCAGTCACTGGATCGAACATCTTGTCCCTTGAACATGGGCAGGTGTAGATACTGTTCAACTTGGGTGGCCAGTGGCACCAATCGTTTGTTGATGTTGTTGTACTCCCCAGTCCTCGAGTATGTGACAAGCTTGCATAAGTGGCTCAGCTCCATCAAGCCCTTGGACTCGATGCCCAGATGCGTCCTCAGTCTGGTGGCGTCACCCTTTATCCAAACACCAACCTTGGTAACCTCGGCGTCCTCCATAATCCTCTTGAAAGTTGGGGCGACAAAGTCATCATCTTTAGGAAACACGGCTACATGAAACAAGGCGATGCGACTTTGACTAGCCAGTTGGATCAGCGAGACATTGCGTCTGGGGCCGGCTGATTTAGGCGAGTCGGCGGCCCATTCGAGATCAAAACCCAACACCTTCTCGTTGGCAAAGTACTGCTGGCAGACCCTTTCGGCCGTGTGCTTGCTTCTGCAATAATGAACCTTGGGCTTTTGGGCGGTTCCGTCCTTACTAGGTCCTCTGTATAATGAGTACGACCAGTACGATGCAGGAGATCCGGGGGCTGCCCGTTTTGCAGCATAGTAGAGCTCCTTTGACAACTTGTAGTCTAAAGCTGGATATGGAGGCTCGAGGGGGGCTTCCTCTTCAGCTTTTTGTTCGGGTCCCCCCGACGCGGGAGCTGCTAGAACACCCCCCTCAGCTTGAACTACTGGGTACGCGTCTGGCGACAGTGGCAGGACAGGGTAAAGACTGGCGGGCTCCGTCTCTATGGGGTGATAGAGGTGCTCCGCGTCTCGTTGTTGCTCTTGTCGTGTGGCAGCTGACAGGGCATCGTGGTGCCTCTCCGCCAAAGCCGGTGTCGAGTGACTGAGCTGTCGCGACCCGTACACAACCGAAGAGGGTCTACTGGGGCTCGGTGAAAATGAAATGCCTCTCGAGGGATGCCATATTTGGGATCTTGACGGACTCGTAGTCATTCCGATATATGTAGAGCGCAATCTGTTCCGACCAGGTTTAGTGGTGGGAAGCTCAATCAATTAAGGCGGGTAGCAGACCGGGGGACTAACCGTGACGTGCCGCCAAAGAATCTATGAAGCGAATAGCCCGCAGGAGAACAGGAAATACAGGAGGGTATCATTTGGGAAACAGATCAAAGCAATTGCCCCTCAGCTCCATGTTGAACCACACAAAACTCAAGCACTGTCAGAGGAATGGCGTATGTGAGGTGGATTCATCCAGGCAGACGCGCCGCCGTGCACTCGCCAAGCTACGTACTTGCAAAGACGGGGGAGGTCGCAATGGCCGTCTCTGCGGTGGGTTGGGGGGAGCTTCAGTGCTGCAGATTGGCGGTTGGGCTGCTTAGTCATTAGTGGGCATCCGCGAAAACAGGTGATGCGGGCTGCGCTCACACCCCCCCAAAAGCTTCCTTCATGCGCGGGACACCCCTGTGGGTTTTGAGACGCAGAAACGACCAAGACAGCGAGCTACCTGGGAGCCACCCTCGATAATTCCAGACTCTTGCATCTGATTTCAGTCACCAAGAGTTCATAGACAAAATGGCCGCCCCATCCACCTCCCAGCTTCTCCCTCTAGGTAAGGTGCAACTACCGGGCCACACAAGTTACAGGCTACATGGCTTGACAGATGCTAACGCTCTACAGAACTCATTGACAAGTGTGTTGGCTCGAGGATATGGGTTGTCATGAAGGGTGACAAGGGTAGGAGCACACTTTCATGACCATGGCCAAGAATGGCGGCCGGCTAACGATTGGCACAGAGTTCAGCGGCACGCTTCTGGGCTTCGATGACTACGTCAACATGGTGCTTGAGGATGTGACTGAGTTGTACGTGCCGTCCAGACCCGGCGGGTGTTGATTGGTTTGGCTTACAGTGTGTATAGTGACTACTCGGGCAACCACACCAAGCTGTCCAAGATCTTACTGAATGGCAACAATATCTGCATGGTATGTCGTCAACTCGTCAACCTCCTCTGCTAGGAAACCCACTCTAACTTGCCTTTCTTAGCTGATTCCTGGTGGAGAGGGTCCTGTGGCGGCCTCGTGATCACTCGCGCATCAAGGAGAATTTACACTGGTACAAGCGGAAGGTAGTGCAAATCATGAGGCGCCTAGCAAATGACATCAACCTTGCAGACAAACAAATACACAGGTTCAGACAGCTTGAGAAGGGAGGCCATACGCAGATAATGCCGAAATAAGAATCCTTCGAGGGCAGGGCTCGATTGTGAAACAATTATGCTACCATGAAATGCACTGTGATGAATCGTATTCATCGCTGTGTTCTGCCAGTCCAGATGACTCTATACGCCAGGAACGCCGTACCTAAGTCCAAAGCCCATCATGCTCAGATTGCCATGTACCTTTCTTCCATATGCCAAGAAATCCCAGGTCATTGAGTTTTACGGCCTTCCTAGGCCTCCTGATTACCCGCTGAGACCATCTTGCGCAGCTCATACTCTCTCGTGAACTCGCGGGCAAGCTGTCCGTACGCCTGAATAAGTTGTTTACACACCTCAACCATTGCATCCTTAGGCGTGATCGTCCCATCTGTTTGCACCCGAATCATGACCTCTGGGACGTTGGGATGGGCGACTACAATACCGTTAGACAGACCGCCAACAAATATAGGCGAAAATTATGTACCTTTGTACCCACACATCAATACCTTTGCGTGTTGCTTGAGGTGCTCAGCCAACAGGTTGCCCAGAGTGTGATCCTCTTTGTTCAGAATAAAGTCAGACGTGTTTGACATGCCTGTTACGAGGTCAGACGCGTCCTGTAATTTCACATTGCCATCCTACCAGCATATATCTTCTCCTCAATCTTCTTCTGGCCATCGTCAAGCAGAAAGAGCTCGAAGCTGCATGAGAGTTAGTTAAGCTGCTTAGAAATTTGTTTTTGCAGGTAGCCGAACGATGGGAGCCGATTATGGCTGACGTCGTGCCTCATGGTGACCACAAATCTCGCTTTCACGTGAGACTTCTCGGTGATACTTGTGTGGCGTGTTGCGGCTTGAATTGTTTGGGATGGGGAGGTGACAGAAGCTTGAGGAAAGTGCAAAGCAAAGCATCGGCGACCCCAACGCTCTGCCTTCCAACCTCAGTTACTAGGCCAAACGTTGCCCACGAATGGCGTTTGGTCCAAGGAGTATCTGGAGATGGCTTTTTGGTCGTGACCTGCGCATCCATTGCCGGCCGCCTGCCTTGTCGCAGCCGATGGAAGCCTCAAGCCTATGCTTCTCCATTACCACTCCAGCAAACCATGTACAGCTTCAGCCAACATCACACTCCCAAAACCGGTCCGTATTAAATAAGGAGAAGGGGCTCACAAACCGATCTGGTGCGTTCATGATGGGCGATTTCTTTTAGCCACCGTCAAACAAAGCAAGGATTAGGTAAGCGAGGCGTTGAGACAGGCCCCGAAGTGAAATGAGTCCTTTAAATGTAACGAATAGACTCGACGGTAATTATGTTGCCGAATGTTGTGAGCGTCAACCCAAAAGCAAGAGCCAATGATGATGTCTTGTCGTTAGCCGTAAATGCAAGGAATGTTCATTGTCCAGAGAACCGCCAGAGGCAATGAATGCAACGGCGCTAAGGTGAGGCGCCGGGTAAACTCCGGTCTAGATTCTGAGAGATGTCAAGCGCTTCTGGAAATCTCTCTCTGTATGCATCTACTCGTGTATCACAACACTCGGACAAATAAATGACTAGTAGCGAGACCAGGGACAAAATAAACTTGCGGAAATTTAATTGTAACGAACAATTCTTGAATGTCACTGAGCCACTGCAAGGACTGCGATAAGAGCGCCTGAACTGGTAAATGCGCTAAATTGGCTTGCAGTAAGACACATCGATCTACCTAACTTATACCTTCGACTTCAGGAGATTGCGAACATGGCCACCAAAAAGGGGCGTCTGAGCAAATCTGACAGTCTACAAACTCACGGTCACCGTCATGTTGTTGCTGAGCACTAACAGCACAGGGGGCAACTCATGACATAAGACCTCAATATCCGACAGATACCTCAGGCTAGCTTCCTCATCCTTGCAGGTGTCTTCCTCAGGAATTGGTAGGGTCGTCAATAGGACAGCTGTTTCATCACTATTCTGGTGTATAAGTTCGTTCAAAATCATATGCTGGGCTCGACTTGGTAAATCGTTGAAAGACAGTGGTAAGCTTTGTGTGGAATAATTTGACCGAGCCTCCTCATCGTTGGTCGAACCGGAATTCCAGAACCCTGGGAACTCTGGGATGTTGAGCTGCGCATCATGAGCGTTGGCCTTTTGTGACACTGAATTTCTCCTAGAACGGATGAGGGGTGTCCGCGCTGGATCCGTCTCCTCGGCGAACATGAGTCGCTGCTCTCCTCCTTCACTCTGAACCCGTGTCTCTGGAACTGGCCGACTCGAGAACCTTCCCACAGAAGAGTTTCTTGAGATCGTAGGTCTGGTTGAGCGTCTGGAGATCGAAGGTGTAGTCGGCCCTGACTGAGCTAGGTCCGAAGGCAGGCCTAGTAGTGCTTGCGTGCTGTCTGATCGCTTGAAAGAATCTGCCGGCGACAGGCCTGGACGATCCGTTCGTAAAAGAGATGGGGTAGACCTGACGGCGCCATAGTTTGGCGTGTTGGCATTGCTATCAATATTACGTTGCTTCCGATGCGTTATACTTCTTTGGAGCAAGTCCCCGTGACTCTTTCGTCGGCCAGAGTGTAGCAAGGGTCTTGCTTGTGGAGCAGCACCATCAACGTCGCCCTCGCTGGCCGCGTCGTTGAAGTCTGCATCTGAAGATGATGAATAAGCAGCTTCGTCGTCGGTGTAGTCGTAGGTTTGTCGAGTCGTTTCATCCTCGAGGATACTTGCGTCAAGGTGAGACGTATGTATGCCAAAACTTGCTCCGAGCCTGGAGACTTTGGAGAAGGTAGATTTCTTGGGTAAAGTGAGGCTCTTTTGGGTATTTTGTTGTCTTGGAGAGTCGCTGCTCTCGGTCACCGTAGCCATATAAGAACTCCGGCGACGGCCTGTCTCGAGTAATTCTTCAAAAGCGGTTACGTCTTTTGGCCGAGATTCCTCAGTGCGCACTTGTTGAAGTTCTTGCCACCATTCATCCCGGTTCAATAAGTGATTGACTTCGTGGTCAATGCCTTTACTGATTTTCCCGTTGATAATATAATTGTATGTCGCGAGTGAGCCAGATGCCAACCAGAAGACTCGTACCTCAGCCTCTATTCGAAGCTTGTCCAGCAGCGCTTTGAGTCTGGCATGTTCTTCTTTCACTTCAGTATCGTACTCGACGAACACCAGTATTCTCAGCTTGAATGCTTTCTTCCAATTTGGTACACTCAGCAAGATGTATCCCAGTTGCAGAATCATTGTATCTGGTATCGAATTAGCGCTCACATTTTGAACTCAAGCAGCATAAATGGTGCACAGAGCCTCAATATCCAACTACTGAGGTGATACCAGCTCAGGAAAGCTATGAAGAGCCAGATTCATCCTCGGAGAAAGTTTTCACAGGTGGGTTGCTTATAACAGACGGATGGTTGGATAAAAGAAAGCTGAGAGCTTACATGTATCAAAATTCGTCGTCACGACGTTTTTGCCGTCGGCTGTGATCTCAGCCGACATTTGTATCGGCCATAAGTCGACGTATTTCCTTGTATTGCTTCCATCGTGCCGAGGTGTTTCAAGTGAATGAAACCCCTTCCCAACTGCGACATTAAGTCGGTGCCTTAAAGCGAGATCTTCAAGAATTGTCATATAGCTCGTGACAGACAACATGCCTTCAGTACGGATCGCATCCGTCGGTAAGGAGGACTCGAGAAGTCGAGCTGAAGTATCACCTCGACGTCTTTTCACAGGTCCAGATTTAGTCTTCAGGTCAAATTTTGCTTTCATTGGAGACGAGGGCGCCGAGGGAAGCGGGATAAGAGGTTCGGCTTTCCGCAGCTCTTCCATGTTGTAAGACCCCAAAATGGCAATATTCGGGCGCATGCCACCAAGTCCCGCTGATAGTATCAAATTGCGAACGCCCCATTCGATGCTTGGTGACATGGTCAGCTGAACGAAGGCTTTAATCCGGGAGGAATCCGAAATATAGTTCGTCCACGCAGCTTGTTGAAGTTTGGCTTCGTGGACACCAGTGTTGAAGTCATCGGTAACAATGACATGCCCAAGTATATATAAAGAACCCTTCTTAATTGAGTTACAGAATTGTATCAGTCGGGTATGGTGCCTAGGATCGTTGATGAGAAGTATAATCTGTGGCCGCCAGAATTTGATGTGCTCTGGCTTGAGTCGCAACAGATATTTTCTAACTTGGTGATATATCAAGTTCTGTGACACGTCACCCCAATGCTTTGGAGGCGACATGTAATGTATGAGCAAAAAGAGGAAGATAAGGAGACATATCGCTGTTGTAGCGTAGGTCTCGTCAATGAAGAACATTGCTGCCGCAGAGAGTAGACTACCTATAAACGCACTTTGCCAGCTGAAAAATTTGAAGGCAGGCCTGAAGTTTGGGGCTGAGCCGATCTTCAACAGGAAACATGCAAGATTCATCACGAAAAACGTCATCTGTGACATATTAGTAAGATGATCACATCAACTCCGGCACTGTTCTCCCACCTGGTAGCCCATTGCTATCAATGTAGCAATCTGGTTCAGATTAGCGAACAACGCAATTTGGGCGATTGCATATGTGAGTAGAATAGCATATACAGGTTCGTCACCACGCTTCGTGCCATACCCAAAGACAGTGAGTCCTGGTAGAAGCTTGTCCCTACCCAATGCTTGTAAAAGTTTAGCAGACCCAATGAGACCCATCAGCGCGGAGAAGAATGTCGTGGCGCACTCGCCTGCTAATATGAGAGGACTCCAGACACTAGTTGCAGAGATGATGTTGGTATGATTGAGAAAAGAGTTGTGGGTGACACTCGCGGCCATGGATAATATGACCAGTAGATAAAGGATCAGTGTTGATAGCATTGCCCATAACGTCCCTTTGGGTATTGCCTTACTGGGATTTCTCAGATCTCCAGACATTGAGGCCCCAGCGAATATGCCAGAAGTCGCAGGAAACAAAACACCGAAAAGTTCCCTGAATGTCTCTCCACCCCGATAATGCGGTCGCCCGGCGGGATATAGGTTCGACAAGAAAGTTTTGGCACTCATTCCCGTGAACTCGATGCCGAGCCTAGCATCCTTGAAAGGCTGTCTAGCAATTGCGGAAATTGGTATGCTCAACGTAGATATGATTAACACCACAAGCAAGCCGTTGCTAGCTTTTGCAAATATGCCACTGCCGGCCAGACAAAGTGCCGTGCAGAACACAAGAGCACACGTTTCAACCAGGTAGCTCTCCCAGTAGCCCCCAGGTATCACTTCTACAAGGTTGAGTTTCAGACAATCGATAAGTCCCACAACGTTGAGTGCTGTGTTTAAAACCTGGGCGAGGTAGAAGAGCACTCCGATAGAGCCACCGAATTCCGGCCCAAGAGACCTGGAAATCAAGTAATAGGCACCTCCTCCTTTGACTTCGCCGTTGGAGGCAATAGCAGAAAGTGACAATGTGGTTACAAAGTCCACAAAGTAAGCAACAGCGAGGAGACCTGTCCTTTGTTAGAGTAGTTCCGGAATGTATGAAGACCTAGCTTACCGAGTACACCAAATAATCCGATTCGTCCAAGAATAGACCCAAATCGCAGGAACATCAAAATGCTTATGATATTAAGAACGACGGGTATGTATACACCTGAGGCCGTGCCAAGTTTGGCCTTCTTGCTAGAGGTGGCAGGATCCATTGTCGTTTGGCGGCTTAGACTGCAGACTGTTGAAGTTGGTCGGCCCGTAACTAAGAAGCAATTGAGGTTTGAGGAGTCGCGTGGAGCTTCTTTCCGTGCCCAACTTGCGGTTAGTCAGATAGGTGCAAGCACTGGCTCAGCTCATCGTCACATTGGAAACCCACCACCAACAGAACATGAAAGCGAGGCAAGACGTGCAGTGAAGGTCAATAACGAAAACTTGTTGGTCGGGTCGTAGGCAAGTCTAGCAAGTGCTCGCCAACACGAACAAACGCTTGCATGTACAACATACCCCACATAGCTTTTCACTCGCAACTCTAACAACTCATATGCACAGTAGATACGGTAGACCGCAGTCAGGCGGTAAAGCAGCTACAGAGTAAATAAAAATGATCTGCGTCGTAGTGCAACCACTTGAGTCGCCAGAATCGCGAAAGTGGGCAAGTCAACGTCACTCGTACTTGTATTGAAACCACAAGGCGGGGCAGGCTTGCAGCGTCGGGCTAGTTGGATATACAACCAAAGATACTGCTGGCAGCTGCTGGGTGATGCCCACGGTCATCAGTGTTGCTTCTACCAGATGTTAAGAAGTGACACAGAACAAGTTGTAACTGAATATGGATATCCTTGATAATGATTGAGCTCGCGTAGGTTTCAAAAGATATGTAAGTCTGAGCAGTACTGTCCACGATCCAGTTATGGTCTTCACGGTGATCAACCCCACACGTCCGACTACTCGAAATCTATGACAGACATCAGGTAAATAAAGTGGTTTGAGGTCTCGCAGCTTGGCTAATTTATAGCAAATCATGTAACTAGTTAGATCAAAATGGAGGGTAGGTATCCAGAGCACCGCTGCAGTCGTTGCAAGACGTTCACTGCATGCAATGGTCAGCAAGCAGCGTTACATAAGCTGGAGTGGGTTGGCGGAGGCTCTTATCAGTAGGTAGGCTGGTAGGCTGCTACAGCAAGTACTTATTAGTGAAGTGAAACAAAATCAGCCTACCAGGTTCCCCCAATTAGTGGGCGGCAAGATTACCTGTCTAGCGTACCAGGACGTACTCCGGGGCGTCTACAGCAGGGCAGCCAGTAAGAAGGTATCACCTGCCTGACTCGGCGATTTGAATCCCAGCTCTCGATAGTCTCGTGTGAGAGTCATCCATCACGAGGGCTTTTACCGCTGGGTCATGGTGGAAACTAAGAGTCCACACTTTTCAGAATAAATGTCGGATCCGTCTTTTGACTTGATTGCTATTCCCCGTGAAGCCGTTGCCGTTGTAACCCGGAAGTGAGAGAAGTCCTATCGTCACCTCAACGAGCTTATCGCCTTTGTCCTCTACTGTACATCATTGGTGCTTGATCCACTGCGGTACTTCGCACTCCAACGCTTGCGCCGCTTCTCGCTCACTGAGCTCTGCTTCCAACCGTGAGTTCCAAGCTTACTGATGCGGCCTTGCCTCCTCCAGACCTCTCAGAACTAGCTTTGTATCCGAGTATGAACTAGACTCGAGGCAAGCCAACACCCCAGATCATTCCTGGTATCTTTTCCTGATTTCAGCCGACACAATGGCCACACCGAACCGCGGTAGAAGCTCTATCCCCCAGTCCGGGAATCCCTTCGAAGTCCCAATATCCTCTTCTCCCGGAGCAGGATCGATACGAAGCCGCAACTATGGCACGTCAATCCCTCGAGCCGATGCGACCGCTCGTTTGGCTACACCTGCTCACTCCCAAGCGTTCGGCACTCCGCCCCGGAACTACTCGCCCAGTCGGGCCAGTATTGGGAATTCGGAAAACGTGATGCCGCTTGCAGGAGCAGGAGCAGGCAGCGCCGGTCCTGGTGTATCGGCTTTAGCTGCTGCGTTATCCAATTCCGTCGGCACCTCACCGCCCAGGTTCGGGACGCCTCCGATTCGCCCACTCTCGCCGGCTGGCTCAGGATCGCAGTTGAACCTGGCCGCCGAGACAAGCAACTATGGATCCTTTGACGCGAGATCAAGGAACCTACAAGGCAGGAGTGACAACGATGCGCCATACGAAGATCCTGAAATCGTGAAGCGCCATCTGGTTCAACGATCCGAAACACCAGATCTGAATGAGCAGTCGGGCAAAGGCAAGCAGACTGGGGACAAGACAGATAGTGCTCTCGATGATGATGACGAGTTCTCGAGCTTGCAACTACAGGGAGGTGATATTACACGCCCAATCTATAAATGGACCGAGGACGCGCAGTCTCGGTATAAAACCCAGCGGAGTAAAAGCTTCACCCATTCCCGTCCTGAGCCTGAGCACGAAACGCTTGACATCAACACCATCAAGGTACCCGGCGGGTTCAGGCGCAACTATATCCGACGTTCGGCGCACAGCCCCTCTGCTCATGCCTCAAGTGTCGAAGCTGGGGAGGCCAGCCGAAACAAGCCTCAGCTTTTCACCAACAGCTTTTTGGAGTTCTTGACCATCTACGGGCACTTTGCGGGAGAGCAGCTAGAGGAAGACGACGAGGATCTACTGCCTGGAGAGTATTTCTCCTCTGGCGAGGACGAATTTGAGTCTGATGAAGGTAGCGACGACGACAGGGAACCCATGGAGGATAGCGCCTTACTGACACCATCTCGCCGTAGGAGGAGGAGGAGAGTTCGAGGAGGCAGCGGAAACAACTCCCCATTCAATGCTGCACTCCTCCTTCTCAAATCCTTCGTTGGCACTGGTGTACTTTTCCTCCCACGAGCATACCTCAGTGGTGGTATGGTCTTCAGTAACTTGATCCTCGCCTTCATCGCAGCGGTTAGCTACTACTGTTTCGTATTACTCGTCACTACACGCCTGAAGGTGGTCGGCTCCTTCGGAGATATTGGTGGTATATTGTATGGACGGTGGATGAGAAACCTCATTCTAACCTCGATCGTCATCAGCCAAATCGGTTTCGTGGCTGCGTATATTGTTTTTACGTCGGAAAATCTGCAGGCGTTCATTCTTGCAGTCTCAAAATGCAATACCTACATCCCGATTACGTACCTGATTCTGATGCAAATGGTAATCTTCTTACCATTCGCCCTCTTCCGGGATATTGGCAAACTCGGTTTCACCGCATTGGTGGCCGACGCATTCATCGTCATTGGGCTAGCATATCTCTTCTACTACGATGTCCTCACTCTTAGCCATAACGGTCTTGCAGATATCATACTGTTCAACCAGAAGGATTGGACATTATTCATTGGCACAGCGATTTTCACTTTCGAAGGTATCGGCCTCATTATTCCGGTACAGGAATCGATGAAGTCACCCGCCAAGTTTCCCAAGGTCATGTTCATAGTCATGATTATTATCACAACAATATTCGTTACCATGGGTGCGGTGTCATACGCTGCCTACGGATCAAAAACCGAAACGGTGGTCCTTCTAAACCTGCCCCAGGACAACAAGTTCGTTAACGCCGTTCAATTCCTTTACTCAGTTGCGATTCTACTGTCGACTCCGCTACAAATATTTCCAGCGATCAAGATCACCGAGAATGCGTTGTTCACGAAGAGTGGCAAATACAATCCTTACATCAAGTGGCAGAAAAACGTCTTTCGCTTCTTGGTCGTCTTCCTCTGCGCGTTCATTGCCTGGGTGGGTGCCGATAATCTGGACAAATTCGTTGCACTTGTTGGAAACTTCGCCTGTATTCCTCTCGTGTTCATCTACCCGGTAAGTTGTGCATGATATAGAAGGGTTCATATGAAAACAAACTGACCACTTTATAGGCAATGCTTCACTACAAAGCAGTCGCGAAGAGCAAGCTTTGGAAGTACTCAGATATCGCTCTCTGCATCTTTGGATTCATTGCCATGGCTTACACTACTATCTTGACCATTATGTCTTGGGGTACTTCTGGTCCAAGCCTACCCAAGTACTGTGATGAAAGAGGTCCTTAGGCACGTATTTGGTTCGGCACCCATTCGACACACTTTCCCTTGTATTGTAGCATAGGTGCATATAGATGCGGGACGTATTGGGCAGAATAGAACCCTGTTATAAACGGGAAACAACAGTGTATATAAGATACAAGATAGATTGTGTAAGACTAGTTGGCTCCAGCCCAATCTATTTAGGATAATATCTAAGTATCATGTTCGGTGGTGTATCAATCCAAGCCTGAGGTTGCTCTTTCCGTTGCTCTTTCCTATTTGACCTTGGCCGATATTGCATTCCCTTGCGCACCCGTAGGTTCTCCAAAGCCATGACAACTTCGAGCCTTGAGGTTTGCTCGTGAACATGTGATTCCTATAACAATAATTTCCCCAACTTCCGCAAGCGACTCGAATGCTATCGAAAAGAGAATTCACCATGGAGTCTTTCACAACCTTCGCTAAGCCAACACTAGACCAGCAATCGATAATACATGGGACCTTGACATCACCGCCAACAAGGACAAGGAATTTATCGCTTGATTTGTTGGTTACAATGCGAGTATTGTTGGCTTGTCACGACCGCGCTTCTCTTTTCTTTGTTCTTTAGAAAGACAAACAAAGCAACCAACCACCAGGTCAATGGCGCGCCGCTCTCGAGAAAAAGGTAGTAAAAGAACTCGACTGCCAAAGGGGCTTGGGTCATCGACTGAGACTTCCTTGATTGAATCAAGAAAACGATAGCAGGCAGCACAGCGCAATATTTCCGACCACACGTATGCTAGTTCTGGAAAAGAGCCTGCAGAACTAGGACATCAAAAAGAGCAGAGAAGCAGAAATCCAGATGCTAGATGAGCATCGCACGCACGTATAACCACGAAATTTGTCTAGCATCGAAACCCGCGCGAGGATCGTCGTCCTCTACGCCCATCGCAGGTGCAGGCCGCACCGGCGGGGAGGAGGCGAGCCCGCGCGGCGGCAGCTCGACAACGCACCCGAGTACAAGTAGCCGGTTTCGAGGCATCAGGAGGGGAAGCCCTCGGCCCAAGCGCCAGCACTCACAGAAGGCATCTTCCACAAACCCGATATTATCTGCGAATGATTCGCTATCGGCAGTCGCCATAGCCAACAATAGACAATTGCAGCAGCGTGGCCCCAAAGACGTTGGCCGTAGAGTCTCCGACCTGCGGTCTGCGACAAAGGACCCGAATTGGATATCACAACCCTGGGGTCATATGGTAGAAGATCTGGGGACGGCGTATTACGCGCACAAGAAGCCGCCATGGAGTGATGTCAATACTGTCGGGTTCCAGCCAATCTCGTGGGCCCGGCCCGTCAGTTCGGTGACGGCCAAGAAAAACAGCTATGTAACACCGCCGGCGGCGGCGGCGGCAGCAGGAAAGAACCTGCTGAACGATTCGCCGTATACAGTCTGGAAAGGGACCGCCTCGGGATCATCGAGTAGCACAAGATTAGCAGACAAGAAAAGAGCGAGGGCTAATTACTCCCATCGCAAACACAGCGGGACGTATGTGCCTGAAGCGTTGACGTCGAAACTGAGCACCATGTCAATGGGGCCGCGGAACATCATGATTGGATTTGACGACGGTTCTTCTGGGCAGGATGACGGGTCGAGATGGACGCCCCCGACGCCGATCAATGCGAGCCCAGACTTTGCCGCACCAATAATCGCAGGTCTGGAGTCACTGGCAGGAGTTCGAAATTACGATACACCAAGTGCAGTATCATACGTGAACGTACCCTTGTCACTCCTTCCTTCGACCGTCTATAGACGTGAGTCGACGAAGCCTTTAGTCCTGCCGAGATCAGCCACCGTGCCTCCGGAGCTGACGCACCAGTGCCCACCGACACTCGGCGCGTCAACGACAACTCAGCTGAGCAGCGACACGGAGGGCGAAGGCTTGGATATAGATTCTGTATGGGAAGACGACACTCCCGAGTCGGCGGATGTGCCCCATCTGACGCCGCACACATGCACGAGCAGTAGCCCAGAGACTCCTAGGTTCTCCATGCCAAGCCACTCCGTCGATAAGCCCCTACCAGATACTCCTGGACTTGGCTGTCCCGGATGTCTCATTGGCGGGAAGAGACCTCAGTTATCCAGTCGTGATGCGCCACGGGAGGAGCACAAAGGGTCCCTGCGGTACCCCGAAGAGCGGGAGAGTGGGTTCTGCAATGCCTGCCGACAGGGCGATCTGTTGCCCGAAATCAGTCGATTCACCTTGCTGGTGCCAGACCATTCGATGCTCGTCCGTGATGAACCAGAAGATGCGGAGGACGGCGTTGGGAGCCGCCATGAGCCGCGGATCGTAGCGAATGAGATCGAGGTCGGGCAGGATAGAAGCGGTCATATCATACCCCATGCGCTTGACAGTAAGTTTACATTAGGCGCCACCGAAGAGAGCGATCTGGGTAGCCGGAGACGGCTCGACATAGCCACTGGAATGTTACGACTTAGTTCGGCTCCGCCAGAAAGGGAGACGAGTACTAAACACATTGCTGAATGCAAATTGCCTTTCTTACCGAGCAGGTCGCTGGACAGCCCTGGTATAATCAGCAACACCGTTAGCGAGATCAACTCCGCGCTCGGGGACTGGGAAGCGGATATATTCAAAGACTATGGGGCGATGACTCCCGTAGACGTCAGTACGGCGACTTTCCCTCCGTTGAGACCGCTCAAGGCTTCTCCGAGGTTAAAGCTCACAGAGGAAGCAAATGCACGATTGATGAGGAGACTCGACATACCTACTGCACGACTGATCGATCCCGGGGAAGAAACACCAAGAACCCAAATGTACAATATCCATAAGAGAGCAAATGGCGATTTCTAGGACAATTAATGAAATCGAAGAAGCCCTACAAACTTTGACAAGACACCCTCAGGCGGTAGACCAGCAGAAAGTAAATATAATGCATTGATGAACCCATTCGGGGACGGTCCTGTTCCGCCCTATCTGAACGCCAGTAAAATTGAGCTGCCAACGCCTTCGCATATGCCTAAAACCTTGCTGCTGCCTGAAGAACTCCTTTTTTTTCATTTGTCTTGTCCTGTGCAGAGAGAAAACGATACCGGTAGTTGTGTTTTTTTCTGTTCGGAGGATTTATCCCAGGTTCAAGGATGCGTCTTTGTGTAACCCGGCCGGTCTCGAGTGTTGCGATCGCTGTTGCTCAGTCGCCAAGTCTCCAATTGAAAAGGTCCAAGCCATTCCATCGTCGTACCAGTCTGCTCTAACCGGGGTATCGTGAAAACTGCCCTAAAGACTTGTGTGGCCGAGATGACCTCTACTCCGTCTCAATCGCACTCCCGTCTCTCCTAAGTTGGTCGTTAGCATCTTCTAATCTGCCAGCATGCCCCTGGTTTTCATCGTCAGCTCTAGGGAGTAGGCAGACTTACGGAATATAGGTGATTCGGTATTCCTCCTCGATGGCCGTCCTGACCTCCTCGGGCAGCTGTCCAGAGACCTTGATGGCATAGACGCCTTGCACGTAGCCGTCCAATCTCTGCCACTTGGCCACCCAGCTCCTGGAGGGGTTCGCCAGGGTAATGAGACCCTCGTAGACTTGCGACGTGCACGACTCGATCGCTTCGGTGTCTCCCTTGAGGTGCAGGAACTCTTCACAGTTGGGGCAGCCTTCTTGGCGGAAGCGCTGAGAGCAGTATTAGTTGGGAGGCTCGTAAGGTCAGAACTCAGGATGCGGGAGGGTGGTCGATGAGCCGAAAGCGCAGGCGAACGTACAGTCTGGGTCATCACGATGGAGCAAACCATGCAGGCACGCAGATAGCGCTGCTGGCCGGGCGCAACAAAGCTGCCTCCTCTTTCCATGTTGCAAGTTGGTAATCTGCTGTCTCTTGTGTGAATATGCGAGAGTGGTTGTGCGCGAGTCGCCAGTTATGTCTTGTATTAAAAGCGTGGGTGGTGTCGTCTGTCTTTGTCCGAGTCGGGAATGAATGAATGGCGATAGATGTACTAGGAATCGAAAGTCATTCGAAAGCCATTGAAAGTTAGCGAGGTAGAGTGCGTGTTGATGAATGCGCCAAAATATGGCTTTGTTGCAATGCATTTAGCAGGTCAAGCTCAGCTACAGACAGCTCAGGTGGGGGGGGGGGGGTCCCAGGCTCTGCTAGTCTACACAATAGTCTGATAGGTGCTACGCATAGAGTGAGCATGTAGGTACCGACCTCCATAACCCTGAGAAATCCGGGGATCTGGGCCAAGCTCAAACATGCACTGATTTTGAGCCGCAAAAACTAACCTTAGAAAATTAGAGTTGCATGTGCAGAAGGTACTGGTCTGTTTGTTCTTCCAGTCACGAGCCTCGAATGTCAATCCATAAACCCCCTGACGTGGAATATCTGGCCCATCAAGAGAAAACAACCATCATGGCAGACCCTGGCAACACAACCGTCACCAGCATCAACAGCACGGCAGCGGCAGCAAAATCCCACAAGTCTCACGAGCTAGCGAGATGTACCATCAAGGCTCCTCCATTTTCTTACGCTCACCTGGAGGTCATTCGCAACCCGGCAGAATTCGTGGTATTGGATGCCATTCAAGTGCGATCTTACTGCACGGCAGCTCTCAAACAATTCCTGGGCCTCTCGGGTCAAGCCATTTCCATAGATATTCTCAAAGTCGAAGGTCCGAGCTGCTGGTTGAGAATACCACGGGACGATCTGGGCGCATTCACAGCTGCCATTACGGCATGGCAAGGAACTTACGAAAACAGCACCCACTCGACATTCCGGATAAAGGGGTGCTCGGATTGGTTGGGTAGTCTGGTTGGGGCAGAAGGCCAAGACCGATTATGGAAGGCCTGAACGAATGTATTCAGCTGCGCAGCAAAAGGTCAAATTTGAGTTGGAAGATCGTAATTCACAAGCCCGCAGCTTCCAGAAATCGTGAGGCGTATGTTTTGAGTATGGGTTATGAAAGATTTCTCAAAACCAGACAGCCTCCTCTGAAGAACATGCGTACGCACAACCAATATCCCGGATGTTTGGTGGAAGATCGTCTATGGTGGCTTGTCTCTATGGAGTATCATGCTTCATTATACACAACCACGTGTAATTCGTCTGGGACTACGGAGGTCGGCACCGCAACATGCTGCGGCTTTTTAGTTGGAGTATGGTTCTTATTTTTGTTTCAATCTCAAAAGCAGCTAGATTGGCTCTCATTCTTTTTTACCGAAAACAAACTTTTGGAGTATCCGGGAATTTATAGGCGTTCGAGTACGAGGAACAGATATGTCTCCGTTTCGCTTACAGCATGCATCTACGGTCACTTCGCATGCTTCAGCCATAGACAGAGGCATGACTCTTCCACAGAGTAGTGTAAGCACTGGTATTCACTAGGGCGTACATCGGGAATTTTTCTGCAACTTCCATGCATGCCTTTGGTGGCATGTGTGTGTGTGGCTGTTGCTGTTAATGGGGAAATACGTAGTGATGCATGGAAGACTGCTGGGATCATTTTCGCAGCATTGCTGTTTTTGAATTTTTATTTTAAACTATGGACTGGGTTGTCGTAAAGTCAACTTTGTATGCGACTTGAGGTTTGTCACAGAATAATGACGATTCGTCCCTCCAAAATCACAAGTTTAGTGCTGCCATGTTTCAGAAGCCTTTTCTGACCTTAAAACCACCTCCCTTTGTATCCCCAAACGCCGATGCTTCCAGATGATGCAGTCGTTATATGCAGAAATGACAAGCCCATCTATCACCACAAAATACCAGAGGAATCAACCAAAGATCATCTCAAATTACATCATTGACATCATGGAGTTCTGAGCATATGCCCTGGATCATATGTTAGCTAAGTTTCACGCGGCGCAGATGGGATGGAACCTACATAGGCTTGATATTCGGATGGGGCACCGCGTCAAACTGGTTGAACTGCAACTTGTAGTCCGAGCCAATGTTGATGTATGCGCCACGGTTTTCTGTCTGGTCGCAATATTTGGGCGCCGAGAAGACTAGAGAGAGCCAGTCAGCATGCACGGTTCAAATCGTGGTGTCGCAGTTCATCTTACCTGTGATACACTTTCCGCCGTGTTCTTCTTCGTAACCGTCCATTCTGACCTCGTGGCTACGGATGATGGCGTCCAGTCCGTTCTTGTCACAGAATCGCTTCGTCACGTCTGGACCAAACTGCATACCAACACCACGCTTGCTGGGACCTCGGCCAGGGGCAGTCTGGGGATCTGTCCAGAGCATCTCCATCATGAGACCTGCCTGTCCAGGCTGTCGCTGAGCGTGGCGGTTCAGCTTTCGGATGTCGTCAAGTGTAACGTTATCGTCTGAGAATAAACCACCGTGGAGCACCAGATATTTCTCGCCAATGAGCGTGGCTAGGGGCAAGGCCGAGAAACTCTCCGAGAAGAGCTTGAATACCCTGAAAGTAGTATTAGTATACAAACAGCGTCAGAGCCAGGAAGCGAAAACTTGCCGTTCGTTGTACTTGGCCTTACATTCGCCCTCGAAACCATAGACCTTGTTCATGTCGTCTGTTTCGTGGTTACCGCGGTTCAGGTACAAACCATGAGGCCTGAGCCACTTGTAGGCATAGAGCAGTAGCGCAATCTCGCATGACCACGATCCTCTGTCAACGAAATCACCGTTGAATAGGTACCAGTGCTTCTCTGATGGACGGCCGTTCAGTCTGAAAAGTTCCAAAAGGTCAAAGTATTGTCCTGTATGACAGTTAGCGCTTTGCCCGCGGCATTGGAGCACGCGCATGCTTACCGTGTGTGTCACCGCAGACAGTCAACTTGACGTCATCGGGAATCTTCATTTCCACCATTGTCGCCTCCTCGTAGACGATCTTCTTGGTGGCCATAACGATTTGGTAAACGTATTTCTTATGAATCTTCTTGCCATTCTTGAAGCGCTCGATCATGTCATCAATGAACTCCTGCGTCATCTCGTCTCCCAGCTTGACACCATCGTAATCGGGCTCGATGGCCATGGAATCGAGGTCGAGACCTTCGGCTGCCGATGGCTCATCTGCCAATTCGATAGCGGCGAAGAAGTTAAGCTGGCGGACGACCTTCTGGCATTCCGCCAACTTGACTTTAGCGTCCTTGTTGTTCGGATCGAGTTTGACACATTCTCTAAAGTCGCCGAGCGCATCCTTTGGCTTCAGAATAGCGACATAAGCGACGGCGCGGCGGAAGTAGGCCTACATTATATTGCATACCGAGTTAGTTGTCTTGACTATAAACATGGCTGGTCTATACCGGTGGGACTAACCTTTACGAGCTTGGGGTTAAGCTCGATAGCCTTGGTGGCATCCGCGATCGCATACCCATAGGCTTCGGTCTTGATGTTGCACTGATATTCCTTCCTGTCAGTCACGCGAGCATTTTCAGCCGGGTGGACATAGGCATAGTTGGACAAACCTGAGCTCTGTTCAAGTAGAAGGTAGGCTCCTTGTCATTCAGCTCGATCGCCTTTGTGTACAGCTCAATGGCTTTGGGCCAGTCATGCGCTGCGAAGGCCTTGTTGCCGTCGTTTTTCAAGGCGACAGCCTGCTCTACAGCACTAGACATGTTGTCGAAACAGCACTGCTGGCGTAAGCTGCGAAATATTGTGATATGAGGGTTGCAGTCCTGTGAATCTAGTCGCAATGAGTGTGCGACTGCTGATAAGGGCTGTGCAAGTTTCCTCGAGAGCTGGCACGTCGTTTGTATAGAGGGGTTTCGTGGCGACAAGGATGAAGATCAGCCCAAAGAATATTCCATTACAATGGAAAGCCCGAGAAACGCGGGTCGTGGACTCTGGACTCTGGACTTTTGGACTCGGGCCAGATGAAATGCTTGTCGGTGCACGGAGCTTTTTGCAGGTACCAGGGTCGAGGAGGGGCACTATCAGATGGATCTTAGCCGTTTATGGCCTAGCGGTACGGCTTCTAGCCAGGTTAGTGGTATGCCTTTCCATCCCCTGCGTTCACGATTTCCGTCTTACTATGTAATCACCGCGGGGCATTTTTAGGCCCAGCGGCCGGCAGCTCAGCTCAGGCGCTCGAGACATTTCTCAAGCTGCACCAGATGTCATGTCATAGGTTGACGCTACCGTCACAAGCCTTTTCTCTCCGGACACAGCACTAGTACCAATAACAAGCATTTATTTACCAGCCATTGGTATACTAGTCTGAGCAACGCAAGGCCAGCTTTCACAGCCAGTCACCATGTCTGACGAGCTCAAAGACGAAGTCGAGGCCATCAACTCAATTTATGGCGAGGGGTGTCTAGTGCAAGCAAGCGACAACCCAAACATATACATCTTGACACCACCTGAAGAATCATCGTCTCTTCGAATTGAGTTTCCACCATCTTATCCCGCGGAGCCTCCCTCTGTCGTCGGTACTAACAGTACCGGCGAGCATGGAAAGCGAGGAGATGCTGCACGGGAGCTATCTTTATTCAGAGACGTCATAGGTAGTGTGTATGAACCTGGCATGGTCTGCCTGTTCGATGCACTAGAAGAGCTTAAGAGACGTCTTGAAGAATCTGCCGCCCATGAGGCCGATGAGGAAGAGCACACGCCAGAGCCGGATGCGGAACAAAACCGCCAACGTGCTGAACCCAGCGCGGATCTGCTCAACATGCCCGAGCCTCCATGGATCATGTCTGATCCTTTTGTCGAGCTAAAGTCCACCTTCCTGGCCCGTTGCGCTCCCGTTACTTCCACAACTCAGGCAGAGGCATATGTCCAACACCTGCTGGCCACGGACAAGAAGGCCCGTGTCGCAACTCACAACATGACAGCATGGCGCATAAGGGGACCAAACGGTGCAACCTTTCAAGATTGTGACGATGATGGGGAGACAGCTGCTGGGAGTCGGTTATTGCATCTTATGCAACTTATGGATCTGTGGGATGTGATGGTGATTGTCTCCCGTTGGTATGGAGGTCACAAGTTGGGGCCGCGACGCTTTGCTCTGATCAACCAGACCGCGAGAGATGCGTTCGTCAAAGCGGGCTTGGTCGTAGAACCTTCAACCAACAAGAAAAAGGGTTCTGCAAAGTGACATGAGTACGGTCTACTGACATGGCTATACGTTTTGTAGCCAAGTATAAAATGCCCTTTACTCCAATTTACCCCACATCCGACTCCCCATACTCTGGAACCCGATCGTTATCCCCAAGCCTCGGTTCTTTAGACAACAATGCTAGACCCCGCGGTCATGCATTACAGTCATGCCCCTTAGAACTTCTCGATTGCTAGCGAGCTATACGGAAACACTGATGATTGTTCATTGCGACAACGCTCGTGAGACCTTCACGTATCTCTGAAAGCAAACAACCCTTTGGATTCACTGTAGCACAGGACTATAAGATTGAATATGGTCGGACCGCCACCGCTTCATGGACTTAGGGTCCTCGAGTTCGCTGGTCTTGCTCCAGGTAACAAACCTTGGTGTTGTCTCACGCATTTCTAACCATAAACAAGGTCCCTTTGCTGGTCTCCTTCTCTCGGATGCTGGAGCCAGCGTGTTGCGTATCGACCGTGCCATTCCGGGCAAAACCCATACTCGCGGCATTGAAGCACCACCAACTGAGGACAGGCTAGTCAGAAATAAATCATCAATAGCGGTTGATTTAAAGTCTCCCGACGGGGTCACACTGATCAAAGAGCTAACAAAAGCCGCCGATATCATCATTGACCCGTTCCGGCCGGGGGTGCTAGAAAAGCTTGGGTTGGGGCCTGATGTGCTTTCTACCATAAACCCTAGAATCATCTATGGGCGCATAACGGGCTTCCGCCGCGATGGTAAATATGCGGCCATGGCCGGTCACGACATCAATTATCTCGCTGTATCTGGTGTGCTTTCGTTGCTTGGTCGAGACGGCTCAAAGCCGCATCCTCCTATGAACATACTGGCTGATTTTGCTGGTGGCGGTGCAACCCTCTTTCAGGGGATCTTACTCGCCGTGATCACGCGGCAGTCAACAGGGAAAGGTCAAGTTGTAGAGGCGAATATGGTTGATGGGGTTTCGTACCTGGCCACATTTCCACGTCAAGCGCTGAAGACGCCAATGGGAAATGCAAGCCGGGGAAAAAATGTACTCGATGGCGGTTGTCCGTATTATGATACCTACGAGACAAAAGATGCGAAGTATATGGCTGTCGGAGCACTTGAACCGCAATTCTTCGCCGTGCTCATCGAGCGGCTAGGTCTTGACAAAGGGTGGAATAACCATCGTTACGATCGCAATAACTGGCCGGAGATGAAGCAGCAGTTCGAAGCTGCCTTCAAGTCCAGGACGAGAACAGAGTGGGAGGCAGTTTTTGACGGCACCGATGCCTGCTGTACACCTGTACTCGAATATGCAGAGCTAGAAGAGCATCTGGGTCGTGAAGGCGACCAAAGACCGCCAGTAGGGCTTAGAGATACGCCAATGTTAGCTGTGAATGAAAAAGCAACGAACCCGGCCGTGCATGGCCAAGGCAGAGGTTTCGCGGGCAGTGGATATGAAGGACAGGGAATGAGGCCAGGCCAAGGAGGCGAGGGTATTCTAGAAGAATGGGCTGGTTGGGTGAAAGGGAGAGATTTCGAAGTTGAGAAGGGTGGGCTAGTGCTGATAAGCAGATCGAAGCTATAATGTTGAAAAGAGTCGAAGCCAATGTACATGCCTAGCCCTCAAACTCATGTTGGAACTCACTTCTTTCGATTTTGGCTTGACAGTGTTACCATCGTGTGTCAGTGACATTTCATGATGACGGACTTTCTGTTCTGCCCCTTCCGTGAACATTTCCTAGTACGACCCTTTCATGGTACTGCAAAAGTCTGCATCGTTTTTTTGCCTAGATACGTCAGACTGAAGCTCAGCATCCGCTGAGACAATGACTGCAAAAGCTCATTATGTGCATCAGGTGTTGGGAAAAGCGCACCAATTCGTCTTCTGTTCGATCCAGCACACCACACCATATCACAGCAGCTGGGAACCTAGTCCAGCCGTCCGCTCTTCGGGTCGTCTGAAATCGACTTACAGCCCCTTGAAAGTGACAGTGACTGCAATATCTGAAGCCGGTAAGGTACTTTACGTTTTATCCAACTAAAATGTACCTAGTAGCTTTTTTTTTGGGGCGCAAGTCTTGTGGAATATATATGACGGAGGCCCGTAATCCTGAGAGGGGAGTTTAAGGTCTGGGAAGCAGGAGTATCGACTAAACTTATAGATTCCATCGAAAGCACCACTGATTAAAGCTATTATCCGTATCACGTCTACCGCTCCAGGTTTCTTCAAAGCTTTTGAGCAAGGTGCGATGGAGTTCATAAATAGGAGTGTGCTGCATAACAATTTCATTGCGATGGAAGAAGCCTAGAGGATCACGCTTCATGAGCATCCGAACAGGACACCTGACGTTGTACTGTCCATAGGAAAAACCCTTCCCCAGGTATCCATGGAAGGATGGTATGAGACGCCGAACGAATCAATGATATTGAGTGCAATCTTGGTGATAATATTAGAAAAGGTACAGGTTCGGCAGTGTATTCGAATGGTAACATCATATGTCGCCTGCCAAATCTCTCAGGAGGGTTCTGGCTTCCGACACAGGCGTTCCACACTCCTTGGTCTCAACGCCAGCTGATCTATATGAGTCAGCATACGCCATAGACACCACCGAGATGATCGAGAACGGCATACATTTGGGAGTAGAATTGAAGATTTTCGTTTCGAGGTGCGCCTGGCTCTCGTACGCACTGGACTAGACACATTTTGTATCTACAGCATCAGCGGATTTCCGCAAAAGCTGATGGAGCGCGATTTAAGACCTCGTTCCTTTAATTGTTTGTCGTAGATAGCAGAAACTGTACATGAGATAACGAACGTTCGATTTTGGGTCGGCTTCCAGTTATTCTAGTACGCTGATGAATGAAAAACCTGATCGGGTGAAGGAAACCATGCCCTTCCTATGAGGCATCCACTACCGATAAAATTTGGCACCCACTGTGCTTTCATGACCAGGCTACGAGGTGCTGTGTCCGGTGTACTATTCCTAGGTTCGTTGAAGTGACCATTTAAATCTATGGTCTGGAGAGCGGCCTCCTAAGATCACCCAAGAGCGAACTTCACTACTCGCAGTTGTATAACCATACTCTTCCGTTGATATTTCCACACCATACACCAATCATAATAATATTCCTCAAACCAGGCCGCCAGTCCCTTGAGCTCCCATATCTTCTAACATCATAAACACTTTTGGTTTTGCTCGATTGGATACAATGCCTTGCTGGTTCATGAGAGCTTGCTCTAATATTCTATACGATAGGATTGAAATATTCTTCGAGCACCCAGAAAAGAGTAAGCTCAATCAATACGGTGGCGATATTGTCTGCATCTTCGACTAGTCTACTGCAATGAACATACCTATTTTAAAAACACATGTAAAGTTTGGCTCCTTGACATCACGATTTGTGCAATATGTTAGCATTCCTTGTATTTAATTTTCTAGGAAATTATAAATTGCTTCTCTGTATGTTGGAGGAAGTTATCATATCGATTATAAACCATGTCATAATCTATCAGTTTCTACTGGATGTGTATTGAATCTTTGACAACCGGTTTCATTGACTTGTTTTGGGACTGGACCACATATCGTCTGACGACGTTCCATTCCACCGTTGTCCTAGAGGCTGATGACCTAACCTAAAGCATCGGTTTTAGCCAATGCATCGTGTGCCTTATTTCAACCACCTCAGAAGTGCCCACCCAGACGATGATAACCTTTCGTGACGCTTTGTTTGTTTGCTTCTTCTTCGTCTGTATTACGGGATTCAATGAATGCCACGTGGTGGTGATACCTAAATATGAATAGCTGGTACTGACAGCCATCAGCGGCTAGGCCAGCTACGTACCTGGCCATAATAGGCTTCTGTGCACTTCACCGAGTGGTGGACTTGATCTTTCGATGCATTGGAGACAGCTGACCGGTCATAATGCTTTCCTCTTCATTGTCCATGCCAGTGCTTGCAGTCTTGCAAGGCTCTGGAATCCTGTCCTACCGAATAGGCTTGTTTGGCCAATCTAAAAGAACATACGAAAATAACCTGACGCTGAAAAGCCATTCAAAGTGTGATGACAGATCTATCTGCAGTGGTGATGTGGTCCCTGCATATACACCACAGGGTATGTATGGGTCTGCATAATTGAAGCTATTGAGAAGACTTCAAGACTTGCCGGCCAGACAGCGTTATGGAACATGTCCATGGGACTGGGCGCTTGAATGGCGAGATTCTAGCCTTAACAGTCTTCTCGATATTCGAGTACAGCTGGTAGGTATCCAACTCAGGTCGATCGACCCACCCCGCAGAGGTCAACAATGTGGGTTCAGCCGGTTTGATATGTGGCCCGTTATTCTGTTGTCGCAAAACCTGTGTTCGGTGCTGAACATGTCTTCATGCCTGAATGCTCATCATTCAGATTGCGGCCCGAAGAAATACCTTCCTTCGAAGACACCAGACAGCCTTCAGATATGAGTAGCGGGGGGTGGTTGGCAGCGCAAAGATCATGACTGCAATCGTCTTGGTCTTGTGCGCGTACTTTAGGCTCACTTTCCATCCAACAAGCGCCCAACCCTTTCGATCCGTCCCATCGCACCCTCTAATCTCTCCAGCCGGTTCCTCTTCTCCTCGTCCCTTTTCTCGAGCACTTCCACTCGTTCTTCCAACTTGGCCCTAGCCTTCCGCTCGCTTGCCACCATCTCGTTCGCCTGCTCGAACAGCGTCGCACTCAGCTCCTCGACCTCCTTCGACGTCTCATCCAGCTTGCCTTCAGCCGCAATTCTCAAGTTCTGCTCGCGCGAAAGCGCCTCCATCAAATCGTCAGTACTAGGCGCTGGACTTGGCAGCCCGGAGGCCAGCGATCCCCGCCCGCCAACGGACGTGAGGTTTGGCGTGCTCTTCCGCGGGCTAAGGAGCTGCGATATCCGGGTTGCGCCTGCGTTCAGGAAGCTCGATCTCGTCGGGCTGCCCAGGATTGAGGTGCCGCTCTGCGACGGCGTGGGGGTGTGCATTTGTGTAGTTCTGCTGTTGGCCGTGGAGATGGAGGCGGCGCGCAACCGTGACAGCTCGTCCTCGTAGTCAGCCCAGCGGTCGACGGCGGCGGTGGCTTTCTGATTCAACAGGCGAACTTGTGCTTGCAAGTCGGCAATCTGCTTCTGTGCTGCCAGAAGGGCGGCGGTCGGGTCCTCGACTGTACCGTCGGGTGAGAAAAGGGTTGCGTTGCAATTTGGACAGCAAGGTGTTAATGGTTTCGTGGTGGTATCGACAGTCATGGTGGTTGTGGGCAATCCCAATGCCATTAGCGAGTTCGGGTGTGGTTGCGTTGGGTATCAATTGTTTCGTGTATTAGTACAGTGCCTGAAGTCTCTCGTTGCAGTTGACGCTCAAGAGAAAGCGAAGTCGCAAATTCGTTTGTCGCTGCGCGCGCGGGCGTGTGTATGTGTGTGTGTAGGATTGCTACAACGTATGGTGTCTCAATCCTTCGTAATCCAAATTCCAGGGCGTCTAAGGGGTATATAGCAATCGTATCGTCGTAAAAAAAAATCAAGGTTCGTATCATGAAGCAAAGAGAATTGGCAAAAGTCTCATGATGCGAGGTTGGGCCGCAGTCATATTTCCTTCTTCCAACCTTCCCGTGCAAGCAAGCTGCAGATTGACACGGCACTTGTCCAGTCGCATTATTACGTAGGGGTGGTCTCCTGGGGGAGGCTATGCAGGGTCCTGTCCTATTTGTAGGTGGCGGGGATTAAAACGAGTGCCACGAGGCGCAGCTGGCTTTCGCTGGGGGCATGTCGCGTATATTCAAGCAGGCAGGGTGCAGAGATCAAATCTCCGTTGCTCGCAATTTGAAATGAGTGGCTTCTTTGCTGAGAACGGCACTAATATTAGGTCTGTGGTTTCGGACGACAAATCATCAATTATTCTGTAACAAGTCTTTTTTCTATGATTTAGTCCAGTCCAAAGTTGCGGCCCGTCCCAAAGTAACCCCTTGTCACGAGTAAAGTTGGACAGCTTGATAACGGACAGGGACTGTACAAGAACATGTAACTCGCAACAAAATTCTGTAAATATTCGTCGTCGGGGGTGGGGGTTTAAAAATAAAAAGATTCAAATGGGTTAGGATGGAGAAACGATAAAAGGGTTTTAGGAAGTACATAATATTATAGGGAATCCCGAGAGGATCTTGAAAGGCAAATGTGATATACCACCGGTTTTGAAGAATAAGGTTAATTAGGCCTTGTCAACATGTTACATCTAGTCCATGTATGTCTATCTCTCTCAATGCGTCAAATAAGTGCGTACTGTACTTTGCCAGCTTGAATATGTGAATAGCAAATGCGCTCCATTGCGAGTTCATGGTGCTTCAGCTTGCTTCGCACGTGGATTACGTGTGAGATTTTGTACATAGTTAACATCAGTAATTGCTGTTTCCATCGTTCTCAAGATAGTTGAAGTTGGCCCTACGTCATTCTAGTACACGGACCGTGCACTGACAGATATCCCCCCTCAGTCTCCTCTTATACAGAATGTTGACCGTGGCTGGCCAATCTGAGGCTGTCTACAACTTCTACAGCTCACTTGGTCTCCGCCATAGGGCCATATGATGGATGGATCTTCATCTGTGACAACTGCAGCGGCAACTCCAGTCTCAAAAAGAGAACAAACGAGGTGATGCAAAGTACGCACCTGTGCTTGTTTCCATGATAAACTTATGTCATCAAAGACACAATGAACCTCGTTCGTAATCCGTCCAATTCTCTACGTGAACGGATACCTAGAATGGCTTCGCAACTTTCCGACTCTCACTAAGTCCGGTGTCTGCGTCCCTATACTCCTTCCAACTAACGGGAAACATGACATTGCCTGCTTCGCTCGTTGCCATGATCACACCTAGCTCGTTGCTCGCAGTCGACAGATAGTAGTTGGCTTGGTCACCAAGGGAAATCTGCCAAATGTCCAGGTTAGCTCTCCCCGTACTACGCCGTCCATGCTTGGAAATTCGAACTTACCACCTGCGCCCTCACGATGTCGCCTGGTCTGAAGCTTTCATAGATCTTGACCTTGTCCTTCTCCGTCGCTCTGACATCCTGCGAACGTATGACACCCTGCCACTCAGCTTCCAGCACCGTCTCTCCCACCACCAGGATTGCGACGCTGGCCTGGCGGGGCTGTATCCGTGTTACCCGACACAAGACCACATTTCCAACCTCGGGCAGGACCTCGCGCTTCTCCGAGATGCCGGATCTCGAGACAGATATCGTAGGGAGTGTCGCAGGCGTCTTCAACGCCTCGATCTTGGTGAGTCGCTTCGCGGGACCGGGCGCCTTCTCGGGTTGCTCGACGGCAACCGTACCCAGAAGGGACGAATACAGATTTGAGTCTTGGATATGTGTGCCAGCGCCGGCGGCGTATTTTTCTGCAGAGCCGAGCAGTTGGCCAGGAACCGCTATAGTTTGCGCCATGTTGTCTTGTGGTTTGGTGACGTTTGCGATACTGCATTTGCGATTGACCTGAACTTTTTTAAGAGCTGCAGCTAGAAGGGCGACTGCAATGCGCTAGCTAGGGGTGTACTGCGCGCTAACTCGTCTTGTGTCTAGAGCTCTGGGGCTACGCGAGCCTTGCAGATGGCGGCTGGCATGGGGGCAGGGCTCTTGGGCTATAGTAGATCCAGAGGATCCGCTGGACCCTCAATTGAAGTCATTCTTGCTTCTATTTCCAGCCGACATATTATCACCAACTATGTATTCATCTAATCTTAGTTCCCTCGCTCCCCGATCCCGCATTCGGGTACTGTATTCCCCAGTTGTTAGTGCCATGTGGAGTTCCCTTGAGAAATCACCCGAGACAGCTTCTCATTATCCATGGAATCCCGGAAGATATGCGCATCACATCCTGCCTTCCACACTACGGTGTGCTATAATGCTTATATCTACGCAAGCTGCCAGTGAGTACACTTGCATCGCATGGCTTGCTTAACGAGTGTGGACTCAGAACGAATTACCACGCACAAGGATCTCAGACAGGAGATCCTCGACGACTGATAATTCGACCACAGCACCATACCTTGAGGCATCATTAGTCCAACCTCATTGATGCAATATATGTTGTTGTCCGGGATTGGCATGACATACCCGTGGCAATTGACAGCGTCGCGCAGTTTCTTTGCTAGATATCTCAAGTCGTGTAGTGCAAGGCCGCCGAACTGTGGCTGACACCGAATCAAGTCCCATGCCTGTATCGGCGTCGTCTCGCCTGCTGAACACAATAGTGGCGACAAAGCCCGCATACGATCAAGTATAACAGCGGAGCAGGTCTGATCAGGTGGCGCAGGACCCGAGGTTCCCGATGCCACAGACCAGTTCCTGGTACGATGCAGTTGCGCTGTTGCCGTAATAGCATGACCACTGGGCTCGTCGGGCTTGTTGAGATCGCCGTGAATATGGTCTCGACACGGCTCTTCTATCCTTTTGGTCCAAGAGAAATTAGCAGGAGATCACGGTCTTGCTCTGGGGTTTAACGGAATCGTGGAAAGCCTTACGTCAGTACAAATTCCATACCTACAGCCACTTGATCCAGGTGGCAAAGGTGTAATGAACGATACTTGAGAGCTCCGGTGGTATTATTGACCTCGTTGACGGACGCTTGGTCGTTCCGTTTCATGGAAGAATTCTGCGCCGTCTTTCCAGTGTATGATTGGCTCATTGATAGTTCCAGCGGCGACTTATGTGTCATGACCTCAAAGATTTCGGTACGTGACATGGGGGTGCTCGTTGGTGTCGAACTGGCAGAGGCTGACGAAGTGTTCGTCAACCACATCTGTTCAGAGTCGTTTCCCCTCTCATCATAGCACAACTCGGGAGGAGTTTGGATTCCATTTTTGACGAGAAGCTCAGCAAGAACATGCACAGTCGCTTGCAGACGCACACATTGATTCACGAGTTGTTCTTCGTGCACCTGCGCTCTGGAGAAAGCAGCTTCTAGTGATCTTGTGTATTTATCCTTGCGAGCACGGTAAGTCCTGTGCGATGTTTATTCAGTACAGACTTGACATGTTACCGAATGAGAGACCTACTTCTGCGCCCGCCGAACTTGGTCTTTCCTTTTCTCAATAGGATCCTCTTTGGGTCCTGTGATCAGCATCAGCATTCGCTTACCAGATAGCTATCATTCACCCGGATACGGCGCATGAGACCTAAGGGCGCACCTTTAGGATTAAATATCCTGAAAACCCCGTTGCTCATGATATCGAGTAATGCACTCTTAAGTAAGGATAAGACCAGTAACGGGTTTCGTGTAAGCTGAGTGCCACCTTGGGCTCAAAAATGAGGAGATGTGATCGATATCTTGCACTCAAGCCTCTGGATAGTAACGGTTTTAAATAAATCTAATCTCCGATACTGCGCATCAATAGCAATAACCCGAGTGCTCATCCACTGGAATTAGGCGCTAAAAAATCCTTGGTGTTTAGTATGATGTCCATGTTCCGGGGTATCGCCCCCTGTTGTCTCATGTTCAAGCTTAAAACGTTGGGTCATCAAAATTCGCAAATGCAGTTAGTGGTCGATCATACGGCCTCTTACAGCCTCTGAGATACCTACATGAGACGGCATGCTTACAGGGGGTTAGTTCAGGGCGACACTACTCAACTCGGAGGATGCCTGCACACAAAGCTACGGTTTCCACTATGATCAGCCCTCCTTGTTTCCAAGACGGGGTAGACCATTCTGTTCCGAGATAGGCCATGCTGATAGTGTCATCTCCCTCATTAGGATGAAGGCTACTATCTCTACTGGTGTGTTCCAAATAGGTAATTCTGATTATCTCAAGCGTGTGTCCGTTGGTGCGGTAGCAGGAGTCCAAGGGTGACATTAAACACGAATGGCTTGTTAATCTGTCTCATTACACATGATCATACTTAACACACTTCCTTGTCCCTCCTTGTCCCAAAAGGGAATTATTGATGATATAGCTCTTGGACTTGAAGGGAGAACTTCTTTCTAGTAGAGAAGATATTTGTATATAGTCTGAGCTGGATCGCGGCTGTCAAGGTCCTGTTCGACCCATCACCCACAGCTAGTTTGCTTATAAAGTAGTCGAGCTCAGGTAGCCTACTACTTCTAATTCATCCGTTCGTTTTTCACATACGTCTCTTGGCAATTCAGCAAACAAAATGCCTAGTCTATTCCAAATTTTATGCGTTGCGCCAATGGCGATCCCGATTCTGGCCAAGCCATGCCAGCCACGGAACGTCAATGCTAAAGCAGTATACACGATGACGAACGAACAAGACAACAGCATCATTGCCCTTCCTGTTCAAATAGACGGAACGGTCAGCGACTGCGGTGCTTCATCCACGCCTACAGATGGCTCGGGTTCAAGTGGGATGTTGGCGACAAATGAGACGGCTGCTCCGGATGCGCTGTTCAGCCAATCAGCCTTAACAACAGCTGGTAATGTATGGACATCTCAATACGTTAAAAATGTTCGCACTACAAAAGCAGTCTTTCACTAACAGGTGATTCCAAAAGCATCTCTTCGCCATCAATGCTGGGTCCAACAGCGTCACCATGTTTGCCATTGACAAGAATGACCCAACGAACCTCACAATGGTTGGCCGGCCAGTACCCGTGCCCGGCGAATTCCCAAACACTGTCGCTGCTTCTCAGACGAACAAACAGGTCTGTGTAGGTATGACGGGGGCCCAGGCGGGCATCTCATGCGCCTCCTTCTCAAGCCAAGGCATCGGAGCAATGGATACTTTACGCGTGTTCGATATCGGTCAAAGCACCCCCCCTGTTGGCCCAGAGAATACTGTCTCCCAAGTATTTTATTCGGGTGACGGCTCGACGCTGTTTGCCACCGTGAAAGGAAACCCGGCAGTGAACAAGACAGGATTTTTGGCGGCCTTTCCGGTCCAGGGCGGTATTGTCAGTCAGCAAGGCGTGCAGTCATCTCCGGACGGCACTGCGGTTCTGTTCGGCTCTACGCCCATTCCTGGCAGCAGTAATATCTTCGTCACCGACGCATCATTCGGCGCGGCCGTCCTCAGTATCGACAAAGCTGGCGCGTCGACGGTTGCGGGCAAGGGAGCAGTGGATGGCCAGGCGGCCACGTGCTGGGCCACCATCAGCCCGGCGACGAATACGGCCTTTGTGACCGACGTCGGAAAGAACCGTTTAGTCGAGGTGTCAACCACGAGTGCTATGGTGATGGGCCAGATCGATCTCAGCGCGAACGGGGACCCGGGCCTCATCGATCTCAAAGCCGCGGGCAAGTTCATTTATGCGTTGAGTCCTGGCAATGGGACTACCCAGGCAGCAATGACGGTCGTTAATGCTGTTAGCAAGCAACAAGTGCAGCATCTGCAGCTCGACATGCTTGGTGCCAGGAAGACTGCTCAAGGGGTTGCCATTTTGTTGTAGAAGCAAGAGAGATGGATATCTGGCTGGAATTATTCCTTGTCTAAAATACATATCCTAGTAGTTGACTAATACTGACAGCTGAGCATTTTCTCCCTTTATCCTCTTCATATTTTATGGGAGAACTTGAAGCACTACTGGAGCCGGTGATCAGTTTTTTCAGAATGTTACTCTAAACCAGAAAGAAGTATAACAGTTTCAAGCAGATGTAGTCTCTAAATTGGCTCAAGGGATGCTCCATGAACTGCGATGAACACTACCTGCAGCGCGTTGCTCAATGAATCGTCTATCATGACCAATTGGCGGCCTTTCAGGGGTCTCAATGCACGCTAATGCCAGACGGAACCCGCGGCACAGGCCATACTGCAATCGTAAGAGCCGGATCCCCGGATCCCGAATCTCAAATTACGGTTGACCGCCTGCCAAGCTAAAGAGAGAGAAAAAAATACAAATACTGCCGAAGAGGACCCCTATGGTCAGTTTTCCTCCGGTGTGCATTCAAAACCAACTATTTCATTTCGTCTTTCACACACTCCTTTCCCCAATTCCGTACAGTAGTGTCGTCGTCGTTACAATGGCGTCCACGAGACTTCTGACATGGATCGCCATCCTCATCGGTGTGCTGACACCCGTGTTCTACCTGCTGGAGCAGAACCTGGAGGCCTTCTACATCTTTGACCGGGCGCACCTGCACGACCTGGCAAAGCGCGGGATCGCGGCGCACGGCAACGACACTCAGAGCATCGTGCGCTACATCACCAAGGAGCTCCATGACATGCACCCTAACAACGTCAACTTGGAAGAGGAGTACATCTTCAACAATGCTGGCGGCGCCATGGGTGGCATGTATATCATCCATGCTAGTAAGTCTTTGCTGATTCCTCTCTCCCCTCTTCCTGTTCATCTAGCTGTAAATGGCTAGATTTACTACGGGTGCTTATATGACGAAACAATCTCGGATGTAAACCTTATTGTCATCTGAAGCGCAAAATAATGTCGAAACTTTCCGTTGCCTTCCTTCTGATCCATCACGCACACCAAAACTTCCTGTTCAATCTATTTGATGCACACTCTTTTTTACAGCGGTTCGCTAACCAAAGTAATCAGGCGTGACTGAGTACCTCATCATCTTTGGCACCACCATCGGTACCGAGGGGCACACGGGCCGGCACACGGCGGACGACTACTTCCACATCCTGACTGGTGAGCAGTGGGCATACACGCCCGGCGCGTACCTGCCGGAAGTCTACCCCGCGGGCTCCGTGCACCACCTCCACCGCGGCACGGTCAAGCAGTACAAGATGCCCGAGGGCTGCTTCGCGCTCGAGTACGCCCGTGGCTGGATCCCGCCCATGCTGTTCTTCGGCTTCGCCGACGGCTTGAGCTCGACGCTGGACTTCCCTACCCTGTGGAGGACCACGTGGGTCACCGGCCGCGAGATGGTCGGCAACTTGCTGTTGGGCAAGTTCTAGAATCTAACTGTAAACCCCCGTGTATTATTTCTTGTTACATAAAAGCTGCTGAGCGAGCGGCCAACTATATACTTAATTTTAATATGAGCTGATCCTCGAGCGTCAATCGCGCCGAGAGAAGCATGCTTGACGGAAAATCTATATCCATCTCGGCTTTGCGCCATCAAGACAAGTGCGTGCGTGTGGTTTTACAAAACAACGTCTTACGTTCTGGTTTGAATGATCCAATTGTCTATAGCAAATTAGGAGGTCAAGAACCACAATGGTATCAATTGGGCGTGACCGAAAAATCGAGCACTTGAACCCTACCAACGCCTAGCCAATGCAAAATGCCTCTCTATGTACCGCGAAATCGTTTAATGAGCGATCTCCAACTTTTAATTCTACGCCAAAAATGAGCCTCAAGATCGCCACACATGTTTTAGTGCCCCCCCAGGTCTCCAATTAGGCCTGTGCAACTTCCTGTTTCTGGGAGACTGGAACATCGCTGACACCCTGCCATTCCTCCTCTTCCTCGGCCTTGCTCTTCTTCGGGGCTGGCTGGGGAGAAGCAGACTTGGACTTCTTTCGTTTCGGCGCAGCCTCTTCTGCAACGAGCTCTTCGGATGCCTTGCGCTTGTAGGGAGGACTTTCGATGGACTTTTGCTTCGGGGATTCTACTGGTTGGGCCCTCGTAGGAGCCTGCGCCGCACCCGGCTTTGACTTGTTTTTCCACTGTAGTAGAGCAGCCTCAACCTGGGGCGCCCAGACATCCTCGCCCTTGATGATGTCGTCGTACTCGATGCAGTTCTCGGTGCCCAGCAGGAAATCACCTTGCCGGCTTCTGGACAGTGCAGCCATGTTTGCGCTCGACCCAACCTTGATGCCCAGATCGTGACAGAAGCTTCGCACGTAGAAGCCGGAAGTCACAGTCATACGAATGCGGGCGGCAGGCGGACCCTTGTCGTCCCACGGCGGCGGGGTGTTGGGATCATGGGGCGGCGGAATGAGGTTGGAGCCCTTGCCACCAACCTTCTTTTCGGGTTTCTCTCCCAGCGCACCAGACATCATCATCGGGGGGCTCTTATCCTTCTTGTGGCGCTTGTTGTTCTGGTCGTAGACCAGATCGTCCACCCTCTGCTCGGCTTTCTCTTTGACCTTGTCAAAGCGCTCTAGTGCCTCCTTCTCCTCTTGCTCCTCCTCTGGGGTGCGCTTCTCCCTGGTGGTCTGGTCCTTCTGGATTTTCCAGACCTGCTCGGCAAAGTTTGTCTCGAATTGTGTGGCTTCTTCGGCGGGCCAGCGGTAGTCGTGTGTGCCCGGTTCGTACCACTCGACCATGTCCAGCTCGACGACCTCGACGGGTCTTGTAGCAATCTCACGTGGGATGGGCTTGCCCTCGCGGGCGTATTCGTACAGCGGCTTGCCTTCCATCTTGAGGGCTGAGTAGAGTGGTGGCATCTGATCGATCTTCCCACGGAAGCTGTTCATTGCCTCGTCAACCATCTTCTTGGTAATGTGGTCGTATGCTGTCTTCTTCAAGACCTTTCCGACTCTGTCGTATGTGTCGGTACTGGCGCCGAACAGAACGACGGTCTCGTACGTCTTGGTGCAGTCTAAGAATGACTGCAAGGATTTGGTGCCATTGCCTACCCCGAGGATGAGGACGCCGGTTGCCAAGGGGTCCAAGGTGCCACCATGGCCCATCTTGACGCGAATATCGTTCTTGCCATAGCCACGTCGCTTGCGCTTGTTGTTTGATTCCTGTCCTCTGTTTGCTTTCTGCTCGTCTATCATTGGCTTGAAGAATGAGGATGGGTTGAACTGCTGTTGGCAGTCGCGAATGACCTGGGCAGAACTCATGCCCATGGGCTTGTTCACGCCTGCGGAGAGGCCGTGTTAGTGTTTACTCGTAGATAGCAAGGGAGACTTGTTAATACCAAATACGCCGTCCAGGACAGGCTTGGATGCCGCCATTCTGAAGAACCTCGAAGCTTTCATTCGCGGGAAGACCCGGATTGAAGGTGAAGGTGAGCGCAGTATTAGCACCGCTTATACATGCAACAAGCAACGCGGTCTTTCGAAGAGCGGATGGGGAAAGCGCTGGGCCGAGCGAATCCGAATCCTCGTGGCCGTCAATAGAAAAATGCGGCGCGCAGAAAAAATGCGACGCGCAGAGAAATGTGAAGGCAGCTTTTTTCGGCGAATGATCCTTGAAGAAAAAAATTAAGAAAGAATTGAGAGTTCCTAGTGAACCTTGCGGGGTGTGGATCAGCATTGGCAACTACATACATACAATACATGCTGTACCTACATCCAGTACCGTAAAAGTTGGCTACTGTAAAAGTTAGCGAGTTTTAGCTGTAAGTTAACCACTATAAGTTAGCTGCTTGGACCATGACAATGCACTTATCGATTGTGTATGTGTTGGTTACTATAGTAGTTCAGTTCTGTGTGCAGGATTGCGCAATGTATCGGTACCTCTGCCATTTCCCAATTCGCCACGTTTCAGCGCAGCACAAGGCCTGATTTCCAAGTAGCATTACTTCCAAGTTATCTGAGCTACAGCATCTGAGCTACAGCATCTGTGCTCCGACGGCTGCGGCGACCAGACCAGACCTCGACCCGAACTAGACCTTGCCCCTGGGCAATTGGAAAGCCTCCCCGCCAATCGATACGACAATTAAGTGCTAACTCAAGTGCCAACTGAAGTACCAACTGAAGTGCATCGCGCATCGGGCTTTCGTGCTTCTTGCTTCTACTATGCGCATGCTGATCAATTCATGAGCATTGTTCCAACAATCATAATCTCGAGATTAATACCACCACTACCACCCCGCCACAGCTACTTGGTCACTAGCTATGGGCCAAATTTGAGCTCTCCATCACAACCAACCTCATCTTCTCCTCCCCCAGACTTGAATCCTCCAACCCGCCCGACCGTAGTGCAGCCTACGCCATATCGTATGCCATACACACCATCCCTCCACGGCCCCCCGCAACCATGGCAGGAAGGCGACGCCTAAGGGCGGCCTCGAATTCGACTGTCGCCACCGTAGACGAACAGCAACTCGTGTACACCAAAGAGACCCAGATAATACGAGCAGCTTCTCCCGGTCTAAAACAGGAGGACTGGCCATGCTTCCTCTTGGACGAGGCTGTCGTCTACGATAAACATGGACAGATGGCCAATCTGCTACAGGTCGATCTCCAAGGACCCTTCATGATACGCGGGCTCTTGGTTGTCGAGCCAGACCAAAGAAGTTGTTGTAAGTCCAGTCCAGTCCAGTCCAAACAACCATAACGACAGGGCTGATGCTTGCGCAAAGTGATCAGAGGCTACCAACGAACTCAGCACATGTGGATAGAAATCTCGAGAACCTACACCTATTCCATCGGCTTGAAAGAAGAATCTGGCACCCCGGTCATCTGGGCCGCTGGCGAGGCAGCTCACTTTGAACTCATCCCCGCCCAGCGGTATGCCCGAACCGCCAGTATCATGTTTCAGGGCATTGTCATGCACTACAACGTGCTCGATGTATACGAAGCCGAATTGGACGCCCTGAAAGAACTTGAGCAGGCCAAACCACGGGAAAAGAGGCGGAAACTACGCATCAAGGATGTCAAGCTTGAACTACAGGATATTTTCTATAGGTATGCCACTGCCATAGGCGACGGCTCTACCTTGGAGGAAGTCACTGAACGATGCCACGACCAAGCGGGCTTCCTTCTGGCTCAGTTTCCCAAAGACACTGGCTTTTATGCCTGGCTCAGTAATGAATTTCCCGTATGTCTATCGTATTCTCACCCGCGTCGTACCAAGCTAATTCCGCAGGATATTGTACAAAAGCTCAAGAAAAAACCCAACCCTTCTGCCGAGATTGCCTTTACTGAGCCCGAGTTGCCTGCGTCGAAGCCAGCCTCAATGCGGCAAAAGTCAAGCTCGGCGGATAGTCGTGGCTCTAAAGGCAAAACCAAAATTGCCCAAACAGACCTGTCCTCGGTCAGTACCAGAGCTGGTTCAAAGAGCAAGCTCGGTTCTTTCGAGTCAGGAAGCGATGAACAGCGGGCATCACGTGCTAGATCTGTTAGGGTAAAACGTCAATCGCCGTCGAAACCGAAGAGACTTGAGTCAATTGAACTTGCCGACGTCCGCATGCGAGACTTTGCTCAGAAGCCATTAGCGCTGCCAGCCCGCGCAAAGGACGATCCGCCTGCTGCGATGCCGGTAGGCTCAGCTTCTGCCCTGGCTGTGGTTATTGACGTCTTAAATGAAGAGCGACAAAAGATGCTTGACATGTGGAATGCTGGAGCAAAGCACAGAAAGCACCCAGACTCTCTTCCGGTCAACAGCTGGCTGACCAAGATCTACATGGCCATGAGCATCACAAACTATCAATCAAAGGCAGAGGTCTTACAGTATCACGCCGGCGGACTAGCTCGGCAACTTGCTCCAGAGTGGCATAAGAGCGAGCTGTACAGATGGGCAAAGGACAATGCCAATGCCGAGCCCAAGTATGAACACACCACGGAAGAACACATTCTGAGAATCCAAAGACGTCAAAGAAATCCTAACACCAAGTCATCGGTTGAAAAGTCTGCGCCTACGCCGATACCTGTGCCAACAAGTGGGAAGAAACCGCCGAGAGGTCGTCCAAGTGGGAAAGCAGCAGGACTGCGGCCATCATTAGGAGGAGCCCAGAAGCGTCTTCGAGAGCAGGATGGCAGAGATGACACGGACTTTGATGACGAAGAGGAGCCCCAGAGAAAACACGTCAGGACCTCAGAATTCTTCGCTAGCGATGAAAATGAGGAGCAACTACAAGAAGACTCGTCTTCGGATGACGAGGATGGAGACAGCACCGACAAGGAGCCACTTACGCGTGTTGTGATCCACGCCGAACCATTGCCTTCAACAACCCCGAAAGGACCAAATCACACATGGTCCTGTGAGGAACCTAACTGTGACTACGTTGTTCGCAGTGCAGAAGACGAGGATGGCCAAGAGCTAATCCATCAACACTATGAGGAGCATGAAAAGGAAGCAAGTGACGAAGCAAAGGAACGCGAACTAAAAAAGGTCAACCTCGCAATGCAAGAGAGTCGAGGCCATTTGCCTATCAAGTATGCTTATTTTCCCCCTTCTTTTCTTGTTGAAGTTCACCATCACCCACCTTGACCCCACTAGTACACTCATTGCGACGTGTTTCGCGGAACCACAACGCATACAGCGGTCTGACTTGGGTATTGATTGAACTACAACTCCAGTACTACGCACATAAACGAGGAGACAGTTCTTCCAAACATGAACGATTCCTCTACATATGGTAACGTTGTACTCAAACTGGTCTAACATAGTTACAGTCACCTTCTCGACAAGATCCGCAAAGCAACTTCTAACTCGAAGGGCTCAGACTCAGCTGAGCTCAATGGTCGTCCAATCCCGCAACCCATTAAAAAAGCCTTAGTTATCTAAAGGGATCTTCCAAGTTGAAGCATCCAATGTGTGATTGCACACAAGTGATCGTCACACTTGATCTGCTTCCAGGCGCGTGTCTCGAATCTGTGAACAGATAATTGGGTTAAGAGTTTACGAATGATACCTCACGGCGTGATGGCTGACATTGGTTGGCGTTTACAGCGAGCTTTATATTGTAATCTGGCATCTGGTGAGTTGGCACCACATAGATGCTTTCCGGCACTTTTTGCAACGTGTGTTATGGTCGTGAGCACGGGAATATAGAAACAAATATACCCACAAATCCTGCAGATATAATCTGTCGCACCGAACAAACTAATGATGCAGTAGAAGCCGTTGTCGCAAACTGATTAGTCGCTTGCAACTCAAATGATTAAGTTGCCCACTAGTTCCATGGATGCTCTTTCTTCCGAACAATGAGCTGGAGAACATATGTTAGAATACCGAAGTAATATACTCTTTCCAAGACTACTCCACTACTTCAAAACTGAGGAATACGTTGGCTATTGAGAGGTTAACATAGGAGAATGACTCATTCAGTGTATATTTAACCTGCAAACTACCAAGTGGTTTCCGGCTCACCGATAGCAAATGATTTGCTCATCCCTTCTCTTCCCTGAGCACCTGGCCATCAATCAAGATAAAAGCACTCTTACCACAGTCAATCACGACGAACGGCCAGGAACTTTGGTTAAATTGAACATGTCCATAAATTCCATTTACTCGAACGAGGTGTTATCGCTTCCAATAACGGGAGATGACTAGAAGACGTGTAGTTTCCTGCCCACACGCTGGTCAGGGTCCTGGGAGTGTAGCACGGCAGCGTACCATTAATTGTAAATCACGGCTAGGTGGCGTCACATATACCGACACCTGATAAAATCGCCCCTGGGCGTCGGCAAGGGGGGGAGGGCTTACGGATGGGACCAACCGATGTGCAGTCTCGGAATGTCATGTCATACTAATCACAGCAGGTAGTGTTGTTTCTTCACGAGGAGATCTACTTGGTCACATCATGTATTCGAGTGCCGCAAAGACGCCTACATGCTATACATGAAATTCTAGTTGAGCAGCAGATTCCAGAGCGCATCCTTGTCGACATAGTCGTGATGAATGATGTTGACAAGCCAGCAGTCCCGTCTCGTACTTTCGAGCAGCTTGGCGCTGTCCGAGCCCTTTCCATAAACCTTTGCCCACTCGGCAAAGATGCCGAACGCCTCCTCGCTCCACGCTATGAAGCTCATTTCCTCAATGATGGTGGGCGTGACGATCTCCTTCCTGGGGAATACACCCCAAGTCACGGCGTTGGTGCTCGGTTGCTGCACCTCGCCATCGATCCCACCGGTCATGTCAGATGACACGAAGTCCCCGGCCGCATTAGCAGCAAAGAAGCAAACGGTATCCTGGACTTCTGAGCTCTGAAGCTTCTCGAGCAGGGTCTTCCACTCTGCTGAGGGGATGAAGAATTCCACAAATCCTTTTTGGAACACAAACCCTGACTGAGGGCCCCATCCAAAGGTGGGATCGGATGACCGCAGACCGTTCACAGCTGGCTGAGATGCCACCGTCCACCAGCCCTTGGAGTTGAGCTGTAGAAGTTGCGGGACAATCGTACTCGTCTCGGCGTTCAGGTCCTCTTCACTCCACGGTATGGCCGACAGCTCTCCCCGTAGATGTTTTACAAACAGATTGCTGATGTCCTCCCTCTTTGTAGGGTTTCCCCAGAGGGTAAGCGCCTGTGCGTTCGTCACGTGTAGAGTTGGGCCATATCCATCAATTTCACCGTAAGCCGGGGACCTTGCATCACCCCATCTACCGTTGGGGAAGTCGTCCCAAGTCGCCTCCCGCCCTAGAACTCCTTCGCCTTCGGAAATAGCGAGGGTGTTGGCTCTCGTGTTGATTAGTTCCGCTGGCACGCTCGCGTCCCTGGCACTGGTCTCGTACTCAGGATGCGACAAGGGCCGGTCGCTCACGATAACTCGATTACGAGGGTCCGAGCCAATCGACGATTCTCTCCGCGAGCTACGTCTCAGCGAGGCCACAGGTGTATTGTGGTCTGAACCGTTGACTTGTAGAGTAGGCACAGAGATGAGTTCGTCGACAACGGCCTCTTCCGGCAGATCCTCAGATGTTGCTGGTGGGATAAGCCCAGTTCGTTCGACGATGAACGAGACAGCCTTTTCCAGATTCAAGGTGTAGAAATGGAAGCCCCTCGGACCTGGGGTTCTGCTCTTGATCTGCTTGACCTTGTCAACAATCTCACTAACAATGTCCACACCGACGCTCTTGACTTTCTCGTCATCTTTCTTGACCGAATCCAAACGGGCCATCAGGGACTCCGGTATCTTAGCATGGCTGAGCTTTGTCGTCCTTTTGATCATTTGATAGCTCTGTATCGGCATAAGGCCGGGTATGATCGGGACCGCCGTAAAAGCACCACTGGGATGCTCTCTCAGCGTCTGTTCAAATTTGTCGTAGGCATCCGTATCGAAGAACAGCTGAGTCATGATGAAGTCTGCTCCTGCCTGGACCTTTTCGACCAGATAAGGTAGGTCATGCTCTAGACTCTGGCCCTGAGGGTGGCTCTCATCGGCATGACCCTCGGGATATGCGGCCACGCCGATGCAGAAATAGTCTCCGTAGTGCTTCTTGATGTATTGCACCAAATCAATGGCCCACACGAAACCTTCATCAATGGCGTTCTCCGGGTCTTCGTTTGGGTCTTGATATTCTGCCGCTCGTGGAGGATCGCCTCGTAGAGCGAGAATGTTTCGGATTCCGAGCGCCTTGGCATCTTCCAACGCCCCGTCGATCATCTTGCGGCTCATATTCGTACACGTCAGGTGGAGGCATGTTGTCAAGTTGAGCTCTCGCTGGCATATCTCGGCAAGCTGGAGAGACTTGGTAGCAGTCGATCCTCCCGCACCCCACGTCACGTTCACGAACATTGGTCGTAGGGCTCGTGCCATGCGGTCGAGACGATCGCGCAGATTGGAGAAGCCCATGTCCGTCTTGGGCGGGAAGAATTCGAGCGAGAAGTAATTGGAATCGGCCGGCAGAGCGGCGATCTTGTCGGTGATTTTCTCCATGATGCTGAATGCAGATGGCCGCGATCCTCCAGCGAGTCTATCGAGAAGATTCAGCGTGGCTTATCACCAGCTATTTGAGAGAGTTGTCGTGGGGTATCTCGCAAGACGCGATCCGCTACGTCAGGAAATTGTTACCGGCACCGGAATATATACCGATCACGTGGACAAGCGATTGGCCAAATACTCTGACCCAAACACTATTGACAATAGCAAGTCGCCAAATGGGTATTTCTGAGTACGAGGTAATGTTGTTTTATGAAAAGGTGTTAATCTGTCGTCATGGCGTAATCCATCTCCTGCTTTGTCGTTTTGACTTTTGGTGATAAATCCGCTCGGTCGCTTGAGAAAATTGCCCCGCTACCGGCCACAACCCCTCCAAGGGCCGGCCACGACCAGTCCCGGGATCTGCGGGACCCAGAGACTGCGGGACTCAAGCCTGTGCGTCTGCCTCTGCCCAGCCGATCGATAGATACATCATATGTATGTAGTGTCTCCCCGTATGAGGGTGTGTGTGACCATTAAGCAAGTACTACTTGGTTATTATGTATAGCGAGCAGATGAGCACATTTCGCCGAATCTCGCCATTCAGCCATTCAACCAAGGCGACGCGTCAAGCGGATGCATGGAACCAGATGAAGACACTAACAGTATTTGAACCACGGAGTCGGATTGAATTTAGTTTCATGCGATACGCCAATGAGGCCAGTCTCAGACATACGTCAAGTCAAGACGCGGCCGTCTCACCAAAAAAATAATAATAACAAAAATATGAATGGTCCAGCTGTGCTCAAGGTTGATAGACTAAGAATGACGCACGATTTCGTAATAGCTATCCCCAGACGCCGCTGGATACCGATAGCTGGAACCGCTTGACTTGGAATAAGAAGAATCGAAAAATTGCAAAATCAACGTTGCGATTTCGAGGAAGAAACGCTCGATTGCAGAGAAAGCAATCTCATGTTTCCTTCGTGATACTAGAGAGTGTAAGTGTATGTTCGACGTGTAGTCAGCTCAAGATTTACTCGACGACCGATTGCAAGATATACTCATCATATCTCAGTCCTCATTGACCAATAGGATCGTTCATCGCTCCCTTTTTGCAACTAGCCGACTAGCTGCATGTGGTTATCTCTAAACTTAGTGCCCTTGTCTAAAACAGCAAGTCGTTGAAAGATAAACGGAGTGCTCGCCCTCCCATTTGTAAGCCGCTGGAAGGCGACATGCATCATGATCCCATGGGACCACGCACTGCTTACCCCGGACTCGAGCTCCGAATAGAGCATCTCCATCCAGTAGACCCAAATCCCTCCCATTCTAGCACTTCCCACCTCAACTGTCCTAACATCCAGTTCAACTCCAAAGCCAACCTCACCCCGAATCATTGCGCTGATTCATCCACCTCGCTTCGCCCTTGCTGTCGTATAGGTTATCGCCCACCATGGAGGAACCGCAATGGATTGAGGACTTGGCCAGGCGCGAAGAGGCAAAGCCCCTGCCCAAGGACATGAGCCATCACTTTTCCGACGTGACCAAGGCTCGCGTCCCAAGTGCCATGAAGCAGTACTACAAGTACTTCCAAATCCCAGGCATCGGCCAGCTTGCAGGAGGTGCGCCTTATCTTGCGTCGGCCCCTGCTCACCCGGCATCCCGTACTGACTCTACGCGTCCTACTCAGGTCTTCCCAACACCCGCTTCTTCCCTTTCGACACACTCGAGGCCCAAGCCGCACGACCCGACAGATGGACGCCGACCCCGAATCACCCGAATTCCGACTCGCTCTCGTCGCAACTGGCTTCCGCATCTCTCTCGGCCTCGAGGACCAAGAAGCAAGATGACCCCTCGATCGCATCCCACATCACCGTGCCCACGTACGCCCAGACTTCCGATCCCTTGAAAAAGATTGACCTGGCCTCGGCGTTGCAGTATGGCCAGGCCGTCGGCTACCCGCCGCTCGTGTCCTTCCTTCGCCAGTTCGCGCGCGAGAACTTGCACCCCAACGTGCCGTACCGCACTGGTCCCGATGTTGCGCTGACGGTCGGTGCGACGGATGCCATGTCAAAGACGCTCGACCTGTTCACGAACATCTGGGTCGAGGGCAAGAACGACATCCGTGAGCGACCGGGTATGCTGAGCGAGGTGTTCATGTACCCCAGCGTCTTGAGTCAGGCTTCTCCGAGAGGCGTCCAGGCCGTGCCCGTCGAGATGGACGACGGCGGCATGGCCGTCGATGGCCCTGGCGGGCTAGAGGATGTCCTGGCCAACTGGGACCCGTCCAAGGGAAAGAGGCCGCATCTGATGTACACGGTGACGTAAGTTTCGACTGCATGTTGTATCTGATAATGTCAGATGTCGTAATATTGACGGGCAGACAGGATGGGCCACAACCCCACGAGCGGTGTATTGTCACTCGAGCGTCGTAAGGAGATCTACGCCGTCTGTAGCAAGTATGATGTTGTCATCATCGAGGACGACCCATACTGGTACCTTCAATACCCTTCCGCCGCCGTCGAGGAGGCAAAGGCGCGTGGCTTGCCAATTCCCAAGCCCCAGGTTGCCAACACTTTGGAAAAGAAGTCCGGATACCCCTTCCTGGACTCCTTGGCTCCTTCGTTCCTGAATGTGGACGTTGACGGTCGAGTTGTCCGCCTCGACACTTTCTCCAAGACTGTCGCACCTGGATGTCGTGTAGGATATATCACAGCAGCGCCCGAGATCTGCGAGCGGATCGTGCGCATCAGCGAGTCCGGCACACAACAGCCTTCCGGTTTCGTCCAGTCCATGCTCGCCGAGGCACTGATCGGTCACCAGCCGGAGGCGACAGCACGCTTCAACTCGGCGCGCTCCAAAAACAACTTCTCGGGCTGGCAGGTCGACGGCTGGGTCCGCTGGCTCGCAGGACTCAGAGGCATGTACGAGCGACGTATGAACCGGATGGCCTCCATCCTGGAAGAAGGCGCCTACCAGCTCAAGCAGAGCCGACCCGTCAAGGACGACGAGGCGGACTGGGGCGTCATCACCAAGACGCAGCTGTACGACTTCCGGTGGCCCCGCGGTGGTATGTTCCTTTGGCTCCACATGCGCTACGAGACGCATCCACTCTGGAAGGCGGTCGGGTCTGAGGGCAACATTCTCAATGGCACCGTGTTCTCGACTGCGCTCATGATCTTGCTCACTCGCAAGCCGTACCTGGTGCTCGTCAGCCCCGGAATGATGTTCAGCAACACGCCCGAGATCAGGGAGAAGCGGGGCTGGGCTTATTTCCGCCTCTGCTTCGCTGCCGAGTCCGAGGAAAACATCGACCTGTGCTCCGAGAGGTTTGTGGCGGGCGTGCAGAGGTTCTGGCGGATCAAGGACGTCAAGGAGCTGGAGGATATCCTCTCAGGGTTCCCTCACGCCAATTCCTCGGAAGCTGATGATGATGAGGTGGCAGATCTGGGAAGCGTGATGGGCTGTTAGGAGAATTTTGCAGGGACTGATGCTTGCCACCGCAGAGTTCATGGTTTGAATCTTCTCGTCTTCGTGTTTCGATATCCTGCCATTTCTGCAGATTGACAACGCAAAAGTGCAGTCCCGATATACTGGACTGGTTGGAAATGAGTCCTGGTCAAGGATTGACGCACAACTTGGTTTCTAGAAAGGCTCCAGGCCATGGGATGTAGGGCAATGCCGACACGAGGAATACGAACATTACTAAATTATTACTAAATTGGCCTGTCTATAGATTGTGTGAAGGCGCCAGTATACTTAGCTACTGTTTGGTGTCAAGGTCGAAGAGAATTTTGGCGGATATGCTGTATTACCATGTACTTTCTTGTCGACCATGCATTGAGAAACAAGAAATAAGAACCAGATTCAAAATTTCGCACGTCCGGATCCCCACACACTGTCGTATACTCGATTGGGGGAGTAGCGAATGGGCTTGCGCGAGCATGTCACCCATTAGGCTGCGGCAACCCAGATAGTGCCTTGCAAGCGGCCGCCGCCAACCTTGGTCCAGGGCCTCTCTAATATTACGGATAAAAGCCTAAAAAGTTTATGCTCCCACGTCAGTATTTTCTTTTTCTTCCCAAATTTTGTCGACATCACAGTCGTTTTGAGGATGATGACATTAGATGGAAACCGATGGCACGACCTGAATGGTGGATGTCAGAGCCTAAACCTTGAAAACCGCTGTGGCAGTATCTTGACTCGATATCATGGAGTTTCTGCTGGACTGACATGTGGAATCAGTTCTAGACTTTGGAGTTATAGCGTGAGGTTCAGTATGTGTGTACCGCATGCGCATGCATCGTTATTGACGCTAATACATGCCGTGTCTCAGCCAGTTCTAGGAACTACGATCGTCCAAACAATGGAACACGAGAGTTGGTATATTTATGTATGAAAACATGTGCATTGTGTGGGTCTATCTACCAACAAAAGAATATATAGAACGATCATCAATATTCGTCGATCGAGAAGTGGGAAGTAAACCCCAGAACAAAGAGAAAAAGAGAAAACTAATATTAGTGAACCACAAACCAGTCAAATACTGGCAACAGACTGGCGGTCATCCACATAACGACTCGCATACACCGTTACTAAATCCCATGAAATGCACTTGTGAGCATCGCTTCTGTTGACAATCAGATCTCGCCATCGCCATAGTCGCCATCATCGTACTGGTAGCTATGAGGAGGCATCTTCCAGCCCTGGTTGCTGTCCTGGGAGTACGACAGTACGGGCTGAGCGACGCGACCAAGTGCCTGGTCATGTCCAGGGGGCTGAGTCAAGTCCACGACGTCGCTGTCGGTGCCCGATGTCTCGAAGGGGTCCTTCTTAATGCCCGCAAAGTCCGGGACAGGAGCACGATTGCCACCGCCATTGCCGGTGTGGTTTCGGTTGGGATTGGGGAATGAGAATTGCGGGTCATCCAGAATCTGGAACTCGTCGTTATTACGAGCTTGGGAATCAGAATAGAAAGAAGCGTTGGCAGGAGCAGTTGTCCAGGTCTGACTGGAAGCTTCAAAGTTGCTTTGATGGTGAGTGGCATGATTGTTCATGCGAGGCTCAGAATGATGAGAGCTTTCGGCACCAAAGCCGGTGCTGGAGCCATAGGGCTGACCGTGGGAATCAGTTCCTCGAAACTCAGCTCGGGCACGAGCCTGGTTCTCACGCTGAACTTGAGCATAGGGCCGCGGAGTGGGCAGAGTCAGATCGGTTTCGGAGTTCGTGGTGCTGTTGTTAACAGCATACGCCGGGTTTCTGGCACTGCGGGGAAAGTGCTTGCTGGGAGTGTCCTGGTCCAGCTCGTCAAAATCTTCCTCGATCGAATCAACGTCATCTTCGGTCAAGTCGTGGATACGCTGCTGCTTTCGAACACGACCACCAGTGGTGGCAGCACCGCTCTTTAATGCATTTCGCTTGCGTGAGGTTGACGGCGTGCTGGGCACAGAGTTTTGACCACGAGCCTTGGCCTTCGCAGCTGCAGCGACATGGCGAGTCTGCGGGCCGACAGGGACCCGAGTGGGATCTTCGCCTGCTTTGACAGCATCCTGCTGAGCGAGACCTGTAGCCTTTGCCTCGCGAAAGTGAAACTCGAGGCCACCAGGAGTGGACTCACCGAAGAGCTTGTGGATCTCTGTGAATAATATTAGTATATCTCCGAGCAACTATATTCACGTAATGATCTTGAAAGTAGATGAAGAAAAAAAGAAGTGATGCTGCATAAATCAACGCTACGCCATACCGGCTTTGTCAACAGGCAAGTCCGCGGGATCCTTGCCCTCCTCGACGTACTTCGCTTGAAGTCTCGCCAACTGTTTCATCGGGCGCAATCGGTGGTCCACCGAGTGCGGTGATGCATCTGAACCGATGTGCTTTGCAATGGCTGAATTGCACAAGTTAGTCCGCGATCGCACTTAGTGGACGTGACTTGCAAAGGGAGCTGTAAATTGTCGGGCAAACTGGAACATAAGACGGGAAGGCAGGTGCAGAAATTGAGACCGGCAAGTGCAATAGTTAAACTGCAGAAGAATAAGATAATATTGTAATAGTGTGAGCTTACCGGTGAAGTTGAGCTTAGGTTTGGCTGTAGCTATGACCGCTGCGAGTAGGCGGGCTTGTGCCTCGTATGTGCGGAAGTTAGCAATGGGAGCCTTCGGGCCCTTGGGAGTGGAAGTCATCGTGAGTGAGTTGGAAACTAGTACAGATATATATTATGTCGTTCGAGTGATATTGATGTTTGTGAATTCACGAAACTATTGCCTCGTATCTATTGAGCGTCTGTGGGGGTATGCTATTCCCTATTGTTAAATAAGGAAAGGCTATTGGCCTTGGGTGGTAGAAAGGCAATGTGGGAGTAAGAGATGAGCGGATTCAGAATGTGAACGAAAGACTAAAATGTGAAGATGTGTCTGTGAATAAGCAACACTCAGACACAGTGTCTAGCTTCGGACGTGAAGAAGCTAAAAAGTGCGTTTTCTCTGCGTTGTTTGGTGAATATGTTGGTGGACAAGTGACGTGCTTTTCCTTCATGGAGCAAAAAAGCTGTGCGCATATGTTACCCAGGCCAAAAAATCTTAGCGAAACAGACTTGTGGCCCCCGTTGTTGTTTCTGAGGACGGGTGATGTGACCTTATAAGTTTGTATGTTTCGAAACCGATGGTGGACTAGACGACGTTTCTGTCTTCCTCCGGATTAGTTAGACGATTGGTAAATGAGGTTTATGGTGAGCTGGACGTGAATAAAAAATTGGCAACTGAAGTCAGCCTCCATAACCGGACGCCAGCCTCAACTCCAAAGCGAATGAAATTATAGTGCATAAGGGAGAATTTGTCCAGACATTACGCTACGAAAGTGCCATTGTACTTGGTAGCATGGCTTTTGATCTCGTCCAAGCAATATAGGCCGTTCGACTCCCAAAGTTGCTTCTATCTTGAACTGAGAATAAAAGCCTACTTACTGTGAGACTGTCCAAGTATGTCTTGGTAATTTCTGACTATAGTCCAATCTAAGTCGTGGTTAGTGAAGAACATATTGTACAAATTTCCCACATACCGAATGGGTATCCTTGATCATTCTGGTAGGGACAATTATTCCTCACCGAATCTGTTGTCTTCTGTAGAAACAAGCTTGCGGGCTCACTAAACGTTAAAGCCTCCCGAGCATCAAGCATCCAAGAGATTGAATGGCAAGTATTGAGCACGCACCCTGCCGCAGTACTGTTGCATGGGTCTGAAGATCTGTCAGCTGGAGGATTTCTATCGCAGCTCTTCCGAAAAGTCAACGATCGAGAGCTAGGACAGGTCATAGCCGCATTATGCTTTTGAACGGAATGCCACCAAGGAAAAGACTATCAAAAACTGAAGGGGTCGAATAGCATTGACCTCCGGCGAGAATTTGGTGTGGAGCTTATCATAGGGACCATTGACTTACGTTGTTACTCTTGACTGCCCAGCTGTGCTCAATTGGCATGGGCTGCACGGCAATTATAATAGTATAATCGAGTTTCGTGGCTCAGGTGAGGCTTTGGTGAGGCTTTGACTTGTTTTCATTGATGTGATGAGGTGGTTGGGATTCAGCGGCCATGAGCCTGGAATTTCGTGAAGCGTGCAAGCTGGAGCGAAGCTGATATGTGGGTACTTCTGGTTATTCCTTTGAAATAAGTTTTCAATACTCAAACACTGCGACAGATAACTCGGTTGAGAACTCCTGTTTCTCAGTGATCAGAATAACGTAAAATTATCTAATCACACGTATGTTTACCACTCACTTGTGATGAGCCGTCAGTCAGACCGTGACTATTTCGTACCTTATTAACAATACTTAACTAGCGGCTCACCCCTGACAGTACTTTCGGAGGTCATTGCTTTGGCCCAAACAACACGAGCTGATGCACATCACACATACTTTCAATATACTATGATAAGGTCATTGCGCAACGATGGCACGAATACCAATGTCACTCGCCTCTGCTTCATTAATAGATTGGCCGAAAATTGATTTCAAACGTATAGCATTCAACTAGACTAACGCACTGTGGAGTGACGCGAGTGACATGATACATATATCTAATACAATTCCCTATATCTAATACATCTTCTCGCTCATAGGCGTCATCCGTCCTGTGGGCGTAGATTTTCCACTGTTCACACGAGGTAAATGTGGCTTTGTACCAGCATATGGCCATTGTTGAGCAATAACCTCGGGTTCATGATCACCATAAATCAGATACTGGATACCGAGGCAGCAGTCGCATGCTGCTTGGAACATACCGCAGAGCTTAAAGGACCATGGGATCTCTGTTGTCGAGGTGAAGAACCAGTACATCTTCATGGCATCTCCAAGTAGCCAGCTGACCAAAAGGGACACCCGAAAACCCTTGCAGGACTTGGACCTGTAGTTTGCAAGCATTTGTGGAATTGGTAGTGTAGCCTCGACCGATAAACCAACCATGCCCAAGAATCCCCAGTACGTGGGATAAAGCGAATCCATGGGCGCCACGATCAGCTCAAGCACGGTCAGCGTAATAAACATGTACAGCAGAAACTGCCAGTAGCTATTGTATGGTCAGCGACAACTGTGATCCGGCGCGGACTGGGCATCGTCGCGGCACTTACGGCTTGGGAGACCGCCACTGCCAGAAGTTGTATGGCCTCCGTATGCTCCAAAGACCATCTTGCGCTCCAGCAAACGGAGTTCCAGCCTCTCCTCCTCTTGATGCAGGCAGCGGCCGGTGATCCAACGCAACCTTTAGAAGTATGACTTGCATGAATATATTGGTAAATGCTTGGATGAGCAACGCGTTATCGTATTTCGCTCCGAACCAGTAAAACACCCTGATAGCTAAAGTCAGCAGGAAGGTACATAGGGCGAATGTACTATATGCCAAGTACGAACCTGAATACGCATGCTACTAGCATAATCAGGGGAATGTCTAGCGAAAAGCCCGAGCTTGATCTTTTCCGTGACATCGACAATGCCTGGTCGGCGTATGAAATGATCGGCGAGGCAATGAGGAAGACCGGCGCGATGTAGCCGGTCAACGCCTGGAGGAAAGGCATCGCGCAAGTGTGACGGTCGACCGAATCGTCGGGTTTCGAGGGTATATAGCAGGGCAAGATATTATGGAATCAGAGGTGTGACAGTTGGTGTATGTCTTTGTTTCTATGCCGACTCCATTCGTCATAAAAAAAAGTTAGTCTTTCAGACGCTGTAGCAAAACAACGCGGACGAGGATAATAGGTCCACCGCCGACAATAAAACAACTCCTGAGAACAAGGTATGGAGAAAAGTTGTTGAAGATCCCAATAGCTCTGTCAACAACGCTACAAGTGGACCGTGTATCTCAACTTTTCGAAGCCGTTACGGATACTCATAAAAATGCACACGCAATTGACAAGGTTATGATCCATTTCCAATGACTCTCGTACGCGCTCGTTGGCCAATTGGACCTTGTGGAGATGGCTTTAGTTGGAACGGAGCTTATTCTTGCCGATGTCTCCGATTGCTAGTCCCCCGTCAGCTCCGGACGTCCATAGTCACGATGCATTAATCGCCAGCCAAGGTCTAGCTTCGGCAGTAATACAAAGGAAGAACGAAGACCTGCGAGAAAGTGCCGTATGCTCCTATGTACTTAGGCTGATGTTTGGGATGTTGAGCTCAGCAATCACTGGGGCCATGAGTCTGATATCTGGAATTGGCGTAGTTGAGGTCGATGAAGAATTCGCCTCGAACCCCAGCATATGGTGTCGGACGCAGAGCTGCAAGCCCGTTGCTCGTCTTATCCGGATATGTCTCTTAGGATTGTTCGACATTCGGAAGGAAGTCAATCTGAACCTTGATATCTAGGGGTAATGCGACTAGTAACAGACATTCAATCATTACTAAGTCATTCTGCTGTACAACAACTCAGCCCTGTCACATGTTTTACCATGGGTAGCAAGTCATTTTAGCCGATGTGGAAAGGCTGCCAACATCGGCTTGTTGACTTCAAGCAATACAACCTGATATGAAAGATTCGTGCCATTCCTGATATGAGTCGGTGATAACAACAAGCTCCTAGCCCCTGAGCAGATTGCGGACCTCACCCAAGAGGTGGAACAACCTCGCGATCCTAAATTTTAAGCTTAAGCACTATTGTCGGAGCAGACAGCCATGCGTATGCAACTTGGACGCCGTTAACGATCAGATGCTACTTTACGGGGTACCGGCGCCGAACACCTGTTAGAACAATGATTTAAACCTTCTTTGTGGCTTGAACACACTAGCTTTCCATGCGTCTGGTGTCGATCACAAGGCAAGACAACGCCCCAGCGAGCTGACCACACGGTGTGGCCCGAGTTCATACCCATTCAGCTTTGCAAAGAGGCTGAACACCCAATGATGCGACTTGCAGATATCAGCAACCTCACACTCTAGCTTTTCCGAGGCCTAGAGCGGCTCGGCCTACATTTCTAGCGCTAGTCGTACTCAGACGTCTGCGGTACCACGAGAGAAATCTTATCCTCAGCTTCCCGATACGACCTCCGCTATTGCTGCAGTCTGTATGCGTTGGCGCCATAATCACTAAGGATTGCTGACTGCCATATCATACGACGTCTGTTTGCGTCTGCAAGACCTCAGAGTTCATATTACAAGCTGTTTCTTTATGACGCGCATTGTTCTACACAGCATTATTGCACAGATCTTGCCGCTTATCTTGTATACATGGCTATCTGGTACGGCCTACTATACGAACGTTTCGAGATTGAACAGAGCAGCATACCTGGTAATGGTGCCTGACTTGCATTAGCGGCCACGTGAAGCGATGCGGCTGCAAGAGGGCAGACCAATCTTCGTCCTTCTGACTATACGCCATCTTTTAGTGTTGTCTGTGCTCGTATTTCCATCTGACGGACTCCACAAGGCTCGTGAGATCCAAGCAATGAAGCCGTTCCAGCCGCGCCCGCATGGTGCTTTTAGGGAAGTAGTAGCGATGCTGGGTGCAATGTTTGGCAATGAGACAGCCATAGGAGGGGTCTTTCTCATAGAGCCTTAAACATGGCATGTTTCCAGTTCCTGGTTTCATTAGCCACACTGCCTGCAATCATGCTCGGCAGAAATGTCAGTTGCCACTGAGCTGCAACCCTTCTTTTCATACCTTACTGCGTTCACTTTCCGAGTAGGTTCTGGGTCTTTTACTCATCGCCCTTTGCCATGCAACTGAAGTTCAGCCTTGTGGGCGGCATGCTCTTCGCAGCCTCTGCCGTAGGAGCAGATCCGACATGGCCATCAACGATTGATGAGATCGAGGAGATCATGTACCAGGTAAAGGGTTTCCAAGCCCGTGGCTTTGGTGGTACTGTCGTCCCCTGTTCAAGTGAAGCATCAGGGCCTGGCCGACAGAACGCAGCAGAGTGGTTGAGAACAGGGTTTCATGATATGTCTACGCGGAACGTCTACACTGGCAGAGGAGGGCTCGATGGATCTCTTCAGTTCGAGGTTGGTAGGGGTGAAAATACAGGACCTGGGTTTACAACAACGTTGAAGTTTATGTCAAACTATTACACAACCCGTTCAAGTGTGGCGGATCTAATCGCCCTTGGTGTATATTACTCTGTCAGGTCTTGTGGTGGACCGGCCATCCCAATTCGGGGTGGAAGAGTTGACGCAACAGCTGGTGGAGATATTGGCGTGCCGCAGCCTGAAAACAGTCTCTATAGTTTTCAACAAAGGTTCTTGGGGATGGGGTTTGATAACACCGAGATGGTGCAGATGGTCGCATGTGTGAGTTCTTTTTACTGCTTGACTTCTTACTTATCTCATCAAAGACTAGGGACATACGCTTGGAGGAGTTCATGTGACACAGTTTCCAAACATTGCGCCGGCCAACTCACCGAATGGCGAAGCTGGTTTGGACTCCACAGTAGCTACTTTCGACAGTAAGGTTGTCTCAGAGTATCTCGATAATACAACGACAAACCCGTTGGTAGTTGGTCAGTCGACTACGAACGGGAGGGCTTCAGATGCAAGGGTGTTTGCTTCTGATGGAAACGCGACCGTCAATGCCATGGCTGATCCACAAGTATTCCAAACTGTGTGCAAGACCATCCTGCAGAAGATGATCGACGCTGTGCCTCCTCAAGTGACGCTTACAGATCCCATTGCGCCGTACACTGTTAAGCCAGTCGGTCTCCAATTGACACTGGAGCCAGGTGCGACTACAATGACTCTTGGTGGGATGTTTCGTGTACGGACTACTGGTCTGTCGGCTGCGCCGTCGAGTATGACCATTGTCTATAAAGATCGCAGTGGAGGAAGCAACTGCAGATTGGCGGGTTGCTCCTACACCGTCAATCAACAAGGCATCGGATCTGGATTTGATGATACGTTTGCCTGGTACCAACTTGGAAGCGACCTCAGGATCTCGACTTCGGCCGGTATCTCTTCATTCATTCTCGCTTTGAATTTTGCCGACGGCACGAAGCAAATGTTTGATAACAACGGTGCTTCCTATCCGGTTCAAGACGGCATTTTGCTTCAGAAGCCTCAGAGTTGTCTTTTACAAACAACTGGCGCACTCACGGTCACTGCAGCTGTGAGAAACGATCGTAATTCATTGCCTGTTAACTTGATCGTTTCAGAGAAGGCCGGCAGCAGTAGTAATCCAGTTGCTACTTTAAGTACCACCACAACAACTATGACTAAAGGCACATGCGTAGGGTCATATACAATTTACACAGCGACCTATCAGATAACGGATACCAGCCTTTCTTATTCAGCTAAGATTGACGTTGTTAGCGGAAGCGGATCTGACGCTCTGAAAGACGATTTCAATACTGGGACAGATTTAGGCGGTTCTTGCGATTCGTTTTCGGCACCGCCGGCTTCAATGTGTACCACCGGATCAACTGGACCGACGTCGGATGTCAGCTCTTCGACGATTCCCTCAGTGACCCTTACTTCTTCAACTTCCTCAGCAAGTCTAACCTCCTCGACTACCCCAACTACGTCATCGACAACCAGCTCTATCGCAGAGCCTGCTGCAACACTTGGCCATAAACAAAGCGTCGGCGGATACATATTAGCTGGATGTAAGAAAGAACCAGCTGGGTCTCGTGCATTGAGTGCAGTAGGCTATGCTTACAATGATATGACACTCGAGTCCTGTGCCAAAAATTGTACTGGCTATGCCTATTGGGGCACAGAGTACGGTCGCGAGTGTGAGTAAGAACAACCGCTCAGAATGATATTGAAGTTAATTCAAGGATAGGCTACTGTGGTGATTACCTCGCATCCGGAAGCGAAGACGTAACTCTCTCGGAATGCAATATGGTCTGTTCTGGGGACTCTACGGAATATTGCGGCGCAGGTAACAGAATCGAACTCTACGTGACGACAGTAACCCCAACGGCCACACTGGCTCCTAAGCCGACAGTGTCGCCCTATACTCGCTTGGGATGCTACACCGAGGTTGACGGACGCGCTCTTACTGAGGCGGCTTACAGCGATGATTCAATGACTTTGGAGCTGTGCCTATCGAGGTGTGCTGGTTCTACGTACTTTGGCGCGGAGTACGGTCGTGAATGCTATTGCGGCAACGCTCTCAGCCCAAAGAGCATCAAAGCCACCGATGGGGACTGCAACATGGCGTGTGCCGGAAGTAAGCTCGAATATTGTGGTGGAAGCAATAGACTCGAACTCTACTCCATTGCCCGGAACTCTTCGTCTTCCACGGTGTCATCAATAGTCTCAAGCTCCACGCCTTCAAGCACCGTTCTGCTTTCGAGCAGTAGTATTTTGTCATCAAAATCTCAGCTAACAACGACGTATTCATCAGACAGTCTCATATTCAGCTCTGTTGTTAGTTCGCAGGCCTCCAGCGGCACTCCGGCTAGCACCTCGCCAACTGCGACTTTGACGGTCATCACGAGCAGTACCACCCTCAGCTCTTCGGCCAGCTCTTCTGCCTCGTCTTCTCTCCAGCACCTTCCCACGGTAGGCTCCTATGCGCTCGTCGGCTGTTGGATGGAGGGCACTGGCACGCGTGCGCTATCCGCCAAATCCACCTCATCTCCAGACTCCATGACCCTCGAGTCTTGCGCCGCGTTCTGTTCGGCATACCATTATTTCGGCACCGAGTATGGCGGCGAGTGCTACTGCGGTAACAGCCTTGCCTCGTCCTCGACTAACGCTTCGCTGTCTGACTGCTCCATGTCATGTACTGGTAACCAATACCAATACTGCGGCGCCGGGAGCCGATTGGAGCTGTATTTTAGCAACTCTACAAATGGACCATCTCAACCGGCTACGGTGGGAATCGATGAGAAATGGATGTGGGATGGCTGCCGCACAGAAGCCAACAGCTCGAGAGCTCTGGTGAGTAAGACAACGAGCAGCGATGACTTGACCCTCGAGACATGCGCGGAGTCATGCACTGGTTTTAAATATTTCGGTACAGAGTATGGACGAGAGTGTTATTGTGGGAACAGTTTCAGCGGCGGCAGCACGGAGACAGTTGCGGAAGAATGCAGCATGACGTGTAGTGGAAACCCGAAAGAGTTTTGTGGTGCTGGAGATCGTCTAAGCGTCTACTCTTCAACAAGCTGATAAGAAGAGATTCGTCACAGTGTATAGGACGACATAGTCTGACTTCAGTCTAGCTTAATGTTAATATTAGGTGGAGATCCTTGAGGCCAGCTTGGCTTCAATATGATTGTTCAGATCTTGATAGGTGCCGTTGCTCGCAAGCCACCATGGCATCACCACTGGCTTGCTCATAGCATACGACAAGACGTTAGCTACATTTGGCCAGATCTAACTAATGATCAAATCACACAGATTACATTCTCTACCACGGAAAGAGGCAGCATATGGACATCTTGGCTTGGTGTGCTTTTTCTCATTGTCTAGTACGCTTGAGGGACATCCAACACTTATCTAACCGAAAGAACCGAGAGTAACAAGAACATCCGGTTAACCTATCAAAACTATTTGCCGTAGGCTTGGCTCTTGTGGCATATGGCTAAACACATACTGGCTAAACTCATACCTAAGAACTCTTAGCTTCGCATGGGCACAAACTGATAAGTACCTAATTGCCATGGAAATTGTTCCATACGGGCAGTTTGAAGTCTAATTACTAGGGAGTTAGTTTAATAATCTGTTAATGGCGTGAATCAATGAGAAACATGTAGAAGGTACAATGGTAAAACAGGATGAAACCACAGAACAGCAGCTCCGCTCATAATTATACACGTCATTCCCTAATGCAGACGTGCCCATGGACCGCGAGCAAACCGGCCAGCGAGCTTGTACGCATGCACAAGCCTGGATGAGAGCGGCAGGCTCAACATAGATACAACGGCCGCTTCACTTCACGACAATGAAGGCAGCATGTAGAGACCATGCCTGGAGGAGAAGAAGGCGAGGCTTTGTTTCTGGAACAGTCGCCCAAGATAACGAAAATTTATGATTTGATGACGCTCGAATTTCTCCTTTGTTATTCAAGTCTCGTCTGACCACAGTTATTCCCCCTCTCATTCTATCATCTCGGCTCCTGTTCCCCACCCTCGTCACCCCGTTCCCCGGCCTCGGCGGCTCTTTCCTCATTATCCTCTTCGCCATCTTCTTCATCAAAGAGATGCACCACCGTAGTCTCGAACTTCCTCGTCGGCGTATTTTTAGCAAATAACCAGTCCAGCTCCTCGTACGTTCGATTCTTCGTCTCCGGTAGCCTGAAAAAGGCCCACAACCACGTAAGCAGCGCCGTCGTGCCCCAGAAGAAGCCCGTATATCCCTTCATGTTCCATTGGGTCGGATTCATGAAGAAGGGCTGTAGGGTCTGCGCGACGACGAAGGCCAGGTAGTACGTGTTGCGGGCGAGACACACCGTCCTCTGCCGCAGGCGCGTCGAGCCGACCTCGGCGGGCAGTGCCCAGCCCAGTTGACCAATGGAGAGCTGGAACACAAACGTCCAGACCAGCGTCAGCACGGCTTGGAACATGGCGACGGTGTGGTTGTCGGTCCATATGTTGAGGACACCGATGGTGTACTGGATCAGGAACAGCACGAATATGCCCCAAAGAAAGATGCGGCGCCGGCCATAGTACGGCATCAGCGCGAACCACGAGACCAGCGTCCCAGCGAGCGCCATGCCCGTGCCACCTATGTTGAGTCGGTAGGTCTGGCTCGGGGTGAGCCCGACCTGCTGGAAAAAATACGTCGAGTTATACGCAAACGCGAGGCCTGAAAACATCTGTCCTGCGAACGCCATACACGCGATCTCGGTTCTCCGCCGCTCTACACCGCGAAAGCAGTCCCAGTAGCTCGTCCCGGCCGTGATCTTCTTCTCCAGGCGGTCTGTTCGGATAATGGTCTTCAGCGTCTCCTGGATCTCGGCATCGTCCCCGGCGACGTGGGACCGCTTTCTGAGCCGCAACAGCGACCGCTCCGCCTTCTCGATCTCGCCCTTGCGTACCAGGTGCCAGGGCGACTCGGGAGCAAAGCACAGCAGCGGGATGAGCAAGGCTGGCCAGACCCACTGGATCGCAAACGGAATGCGGAAGGCCCACTCGTCAGTTCGCGACACAAGCGTTGCGAGCACGCCTGCAGCAATCAGCTGGCCGATGATGAAACACATGTTGGTGTAGCTCGTGAGATAGACCCTGAGACTCAGCGGCAGGACCTCGCTGGCGTATGCCGGTGCCGAGGATGCGAAGACGCCCCAGGGAAGGCCGCACAGCAACTCGCCGGCTGCGAGGACCTGAATCGTCGGTGCAAAGAAGGTGAAGAAAATAAAGCAGGACAGCATGCAGAGGGCGCCGATGATGACGCGTTTCTGGCCAAAAAGGTCGACCAGATACCCATTGATGAGCACGCCGAAAAATGACCCGATGCCGGCCATGTTGCTGAGGGCGGCTTGCCAGGGAGCCGAGAGTTGGTGGTGCCCATGCCGGTCTATCTTCTGGCCGTACTTTTCCGCAAATGTTGGATAGGCGAAGAAGTTGCCAATGCTGCAGTAAAAGTCAGCTCATGTCATTGATGGACAAAATTGCCAGTCGTTTCATCACTCACAGGATCGTGTCATACTGTAAGACAAACTTTAGGTCAGCAACTACAACCATAAAGGCCGTGTATCATACGAGCTCAATTCAGATGGCGCTGAATAACATACGCCTTCCATGATGACCGTCATCGAGACCGCCAGCGTCCAAAAGATGGCCATCGGATAGGCCTTCATGGCCTCTTTCGGTGTGAGTGCATGCTCGTCGCTCTTGCCGTTCTTCCCGCCGCCCACGCCAGGCTCCGCGTGCGCCAGCAGACTTGCCCCTTCTAGTGGATCCGTTTCCATTCTCTATAGTTGTTCTTCACCTTCCCGAGGCATAATCCTCTGGTGATTCTGAACGCGGAGGGGAAGAAGAAAGAGAAAGCCCTTATCGGGGTCTGCGCATGGTGAGACGTCAGAGCGATGGGTCACGCGCTTGCGTGCTGCGACTCCGCTGAACCCCACTTATTGCTGGGTAAATGGTATTATGCGGTGAAACTTGATTGAGTTTAGTTGGCAGCAAAAAGCTTATTTGTGTGTGTATAGGTAGTTAGCCTATGTAGCAGCCGTCTTCCGAGAATCGCAAAGTGGTGAGCAATGAATGAGTCTGAAGGCTATTTGGCTGGCGTATCTTACTGCTTGACATGGGCTGCATAAAACCGACGGCGCTGTAGATGTGCTCTGTTGCACCGAATGAAAACACCGATGGCATTTATGAGCCAATGACGTCAGAAACGCACCTGCAGGCTTGGAGTTGGTGCTTACATATATGCCAATGGGAAGAAACAGAAACTATTGTGCAACAGTCGCAATGCTGAGCTTGATGTTGAAGTCTATCAGTACTGTTTTCACCATCAGCGAACCAGAAACATCACTTTGCGCAACCCACGTTAGGAGTCGCAGGATTGTCATTGGATGGGATTTAGTACGTTTAGGCAGACTAAAACTTCGAATGCTTATGTAGGGCTTGGCTGGCTTTTAAGAACGGCTCAGTTTATGAATGTCACACGAGGGGGTAATAGTGTATCAATGTGTCTTGGAAGATTCCCACGCACCAGAGATGCATCTCAAACAAGACGATAGCATTTATCTTTTTCATATAAACTAATACACAACCAACAACATGGTCTCTTGAGGTGCAAGTGCAATTACTCAGGACAGAAGAACCTGCTGTCTAGACTCCGACGCCCTTACAATGCATTCCAACTCCAGCCGAAAAACAAAGCCCCTGAACCAGTCCATGAAAACCCACGAAAATGCGTTTGCGGAAATCCATGGTATACCAGACGAACGCCGCCGTTATATGCAGTCGTAATTATGATGAATGATGCGAAGGATTATAATGCCTTTACCAGCTGGCCGAATATTAAGTCTTCGTCTTTGTCCTCCCCTCGAAAAATACAACAACCTAGCAAACACGGCCCACTCTCGGGCTTGCTCAATTCGATAGAATCGCTGGTGGATAGAATGCCTCTGGCATTAGCCAACACAAATCCATTCTGCGAAGACACACCATCGCGCAGTGCGATCAGCGAGCACCAACCCTCGCCAGACGCCACGTTCAGAGCACTTGATGATGGTCTCCCAAGTGCCTCCGTCACTAAGTTCTTCTTCAACACCGATGGTGCGGCTGCTAGCACCTATGCCTCGGCGCTCTTCCTTGCGCATCAAGCGCAGGATTTTACCACCCGGCGTCTGGATTGCCAACTTCGCTGGCTTCTTGCCGTTGATGGGGCCTCCGCCATAACCGCTGCTGCTAGCATTGCTAGGGTTAGAACTCGTTACACTCATGGCGCTGGTCGGCCTCATGAAAGGAATTGGACTCGTGCCGCCAGGATTGGTTGAGGGCGACCCGGCGGGCGTCGAGGGATGCTGGCGGATTGCAAACACGAACGTGTTGTTCAGTGCCAAACGCTGGCATTGAGGCTGTACTACGTAGATATCGTGCTTTTGGGCGTGGGGCGTGGGATGCCGGGTCACAAACTCGTACGGCGGGTTTTCGCCGGTATGGATGATGGGTAGCGCAAAAGCCAGTGGGTGTGGTATGTCCTTGATGCTATGCATGAGACCACGTTTCCCGGCGTAGACTTTCAGGATACCCTGACCTTCGTCTCCCGGAAGAAGAGCTTTGACGGTGTATCGCTTGGCTCCATCATACCATTCTGCTTGCGCAAGAGCGCGCTTCTTGACGACTTCTCCGGACTCGAAAAAATCACCGTCTGAATCGCGTGAAAAAGCACGGACTTCAACCTCAGCTGCCACCTCGACGTCCGCCGGGACATTGAATTTGATGTGCACCATCTCGAGATCCTCAATACGCGTCAAGGAAGTATTGTAGTCGACCATTGCCATTTCGTTCTTGAAGTACGGTGGACAAGCACCAGGAAGATTGAGAAGGGTTTCATGAGCTACGGGCGGACAGACATGCTGCTGCGCATGATGCTCGGGAATGTGAGTCCAGCATATCTCACTTGGCCGAGCGAGGAACCACCACAGGTCCGCATTTGCACTAGTAGAGCTTGAATACTGAGCCCGGCGTGGGTTCGATCCAGAAGCAAGACAACAGTCCATGATGCGCCATTCTTCGTCAACGATAACAGCATTCCACCAGTGGTTTGACCGCGGCATGATGCTGGTCTCCGGGATTTCCCCGGGCGTCTTCAGATAACCACGTACAATCTCGGAATGGATACCAACAGCTGTACACATTTCGTGAACAAGAGCAGCATACTCCTCTGCACAGCCCCTTTTGGTTTGAATGACTCGTCTCGTGTCAACTTCGCCTTCGAAGTCCTCCTCCCAGTTGATCGTTTCAGCAACCCAGGTAAATATAGCGCGGAGGCGCTGGACTTCGCTCCGGTACGGGCGGCAAACGTATGTTGTCGCAAGAGTGATGGCTGTGGTCATTGGCGGAAGGCTTCTGATGAAACGAGAATTCTTGTCGACCTGACTCAGATTGATGGCTAGGTAATTGACCGGATCGCGCACGGGAAGCCCCTCTGCGTCTTCATCGCCTTCAATGCTCTCGTAGAGCTCATCGACCGGGTCGATCGCAGGGTAATCTAGCATCTGGCACCGGTCTCTTCGCTCGTTGCGCTCGTTCTTGCTCAAGGTGTTGGACCGGTTGACGTCCCGTCGTACTTGGACCCAGTCAACTCCATCAGCCAGTCCCATGTCTCTAGCATTCTCTCTTGCGAGGTTTGGGGTGCTAGCTCCACCTGCAATTGCTCTTATGCCGTCCGGCCCCCCACCTCTCACTGGGGAGGATGACCCTGAGCCTGATGCGGCAGCGATTGTGTTACGACCGCTGGCTACGCCGGTCTTTGTTGCTTCAAGAATCCTCTTGATGAAGTTTGACTTCTTCGGCTTTGCTGCGCCAGGAGAGACGAGGCCCCCAACGGCTGCGATACCTTCGTCATGGAACCCGGCCTGAGACTGGGAGCGGAACTGAGACGAAGAATGGCTGGGGTGATAAGAAACGCCCGAAAAGGGTGTCGTGGGACGATCGAGACCTGGTATTTCGTCTGCATCTCGGAAGCCTAAGGCACTACGAGCACGATCACGGTTCTTACGTGCCAGACTGCCGGCGCTGGTTGCACTGATACCGCCAGCTGATGTTCCACTCATCAAAGTGTGGTTGGTGCTTTGGGTAGTACCGCTGCTGTTCGTAGCCTCGGTGGAAGTTGTTTTTGTGGTAGCGGTCCGGTTCAGAGCCTGACGTCCAACAATCTGGAAGGACTTCTTCGTCCGCAGCTTCCTATCACTTTCGCTCCTATTCCCCATGGAGGATTTGGGCCGCTCTTCGGTTCGATCGCCTAACGAGGACTTTGGTCGATCAAATTGCTGCTTCTTGGGTGGTGGGGGCGGGGGCATATCGCTTCCATCAAGAGCACCGGCACTCATGGTGTGCTGATGCATTTTCCGCAGCCTTGTCTCCATTCTCTCGACATAGTTACTCAATTGAGGAGTTTTTTGTTGGTCTTCCCGATAGCTGCCGTGAAAGGTGTTTTCAGTCGATGATCCACCACTATACGTTTCATATCCTTCATCCTGTAGTGCGACACCCATCGAGGTTTGCGGTCTTGCCTGGGTTTGAGCCTTCTTCTTGGAGCGATGATGAACCATGTCAAATGACTCGGGCGACCAGGGATCGAGAGGAGGGGTGGGCTCAGGCGGTTCCTCCTCATGAGGCCCTCCTAATGCATCAAGCTGTTCCATCACACCATCCATGGCTTCCCTCAAAGGCGATGGTGTGAAGCCACTGGCACCACCGGGAGAGGGGGGAGCCGGCGACGGGGCTCTTGGTGTTTGAGGTCGATTATCGTAAGAAGCGTTTGAGCCTCCCCGACTCAAAAGAGCAGACCGATGCGGGGGTGGAGCTGGGGGTGGAGGTGAACTACGTTCGGCTCCAGGACGGTAGGGTTTGAAGCTAAATGACGGGGTGGGTGACGGTGATCTTGACCCATATTGCATCGGTGATGGTTGTGGAGAAGGCGCCCGGGTTCCGAAATAAGACATTTGCAAGGGCGGAGCAGGTGATGGCGCTCTCATGTCGTACGGGTTCCCACTCATGGTCATAGGAGGTGCTGGTGATGGCGCTCTCATATCGTATCCATATCCACTCATCGGCGGTGCTTGTGAGGCTGCGCTCATGCCGGATCCGTGCCGACTGATGGGCCTTGACGGTGAGATTGTATTCATTCCAGAGCCGTGTCGACTCGATGGTGGTGGTGCTGGTGAAGCAGCTCTCATGTCGTATGCGTGTCCACCCATGGACGGTGCCGGTGAAGCTGCTCTCATGCCGTACGAATGATTCATGGGTGGTGCCGGCGATGCTGCTCTCATGCCATATGAGTGACTCGTGGTGGGCGCCGGTGAGGTTGCTCTCATGCCGTATCCATACCGGCTCAGCGGCGGGGCAGGCGAGATCGCTCTTTGATCGTAACTGTGGCTATAACCGTGCATACTGGGGGCGGGCGAGGAACCTCTCATGCCATGGGCATGGTCACGGCCATGGCCATGGCCATAGCCACGGGGTGCCTGAGCGGGCGAGTGCATGCGGCTGATCCTGTCGCGAACACTGGGTTGCTGCATCAACGATATGTCAGAATTGGCTCTTTGCGGCCGCGTCTCATGTTGCTGCTGGATCGAGTTATGCGAGTTCTTGCGTTCTGGCATGTCTTTGTAGACTTCTGGCTGCTTGGCGGTGGTGTAGTGAGGCGCTTTCGCATAAGCCTCGAATGGCTTTCTGAAGGGTTTCGACTTTGCCTTTTGGATTGCGGTACTCGTCGGACTCGGTGTATTGCTATTGGTCAAGGGACTTGTAGATCTGCTGACAGGTCGAAAACTTTCTGGGAGAACCTCAACAAAGTTGGACGGGAATATGCCGACTGTCTTGTTCCTTCTTAGCCTCCCGGTCCACCATGATCCATCTCCTGCATTCAGACATTCTATTAGATCGCCCTCGATGAAGCCGAGGTCCCGCTGTGACTAGATGGTAGTGCAGTGTCAGTCTTGGCTCTTCTGTGATTCCAACCAGTGCGAGGTCTCGTTCGCGTCACGTACCTCTCCTCCCCATGAATAGACGGCTCTGCACCAACACGGGAAGCGCGTGGGCAGCGCTGAGGCCGCAGGCATGGTTGCGGTAGGTGTCGAGCCGTGCTGACAGTATTATCATGAGTATTTTACGCCAGTTTGAGCGCGTCGACGTGGCGTCGTGTCACGGGCGGTCCCTCTTTTTTTCCCTTCTTTTTTTGGGGGGTTTCTTTTTTGTTCGTTGGTACTTCACGAGAAATGATAGCGAAGGTTGGTCATCAGGGTCGTGGTCGAAGTCGTCAAAGTCGTCGTGGTCGTCGTGGTCGTCGTGATCGTGTTCGTAGTCGTGGTCGTCGTTGATGAGGTCAGCGCCGGGGCACGTTGAGGTTGGCTGGTACTCGGAGCGCGGTGGACTGACTACCTCGAGACGCGAGACGGAGCTGCAACAACCTGAGAGCGGTGAAGAGCAATTGGGCTGCAATCGGGTGTTGGTGGATCAGCAGAAGGTCAGGTAATATTGTATTGCTGCTATTAGTGTCGGCCAGAGCGAAAGGGTTCGGTAATTGAAGAACGCTGGGATCGCAGGGCGCTGCTGGTTGTTGTCAGTTCAGCATAGGCCACGATCCGGGATGAGATGACCTGAGCTGGAGGAGTGGCCCTCGGAGGGCCCTTGTACGAGTACCCAGCCCTTCCAAAGTTGGGGGTTTGGAGTAGCTCAGTGCCCCTCCTGTTTATCCGCCGTTGCTGGGTAACCCACCCCGGTGCCCTGCCGCTGGAGTCGGTTTCAAGTGAGAGACAGCCCGTAAAAGACCCACCCCACTATTGACTCAGATTTAGGTGTGACGTCTGTTTCTCGTCAACGCCCCCAACTCTGCAGTACGGGGCATCAGCCAACCGCCCAAAAAAAAAGAAGAAAAAAAGACATGAGACATGGCAGTTGGGATATTCTTCCTCCACAGCACAAGGTCCGGTCATGACGATATACGGGCAAGCTTTTCGCCATCTCATTCCCCAACTGTGCGCGCATAAACCCAATAAGCGTGCATGCCAGCTCAGTTGCATCTTGAGGGTTTGCGCCTGGATGCGCCTGCGTGCGCCTGACTGCAGCTGAAATACGCCCAAACGGGTATCCAGGTGACATCCCGCCCACAAAGGAGGCTAGAGAAGCCTATCGAAACCCCTGCCGGACTATTTTAGCTCTAGTGCTAGCTCTTCTCGCGACCTGTACGTGGTACTTGCCAGGTATTTGGCCAACGCCCTGCTCGTTTTTTCCCGGGGGCGGTACCATCCCTAGCAGACCTACCTACATAGTAGAAGACCTATGTATGCATGTATGTACGGATCCGTAGTGTGTATGGGTCTCCAAGAGAGCCCTGCATGGACAGCTCTGCAAGCCCTGTCGGCGCCGGCGGCTGTCATGTAAGTTAAGACAAGACTCGCGCATGTTGCTGGTTGTCTCGTCCTGCGCGAAAGAGTCGCGCTCATTATCTATGAGGGCAATGCAATCGAGCACGAGAACCATCCGCCATGGCAATGATCGTGAGCTTTCTCGAAAGGGATCAATCACCCACTCGTGTCTTCGAACACAGACGGAAAGGCTGATCGGCTCGCTAATCACAGCCGCCCAGCCCCAACCGGGTGTGCCTGCGGTCAAGTAGCAACCATTGACTGGCCCAAGCTTGCTCTGACCCTGTTCAAAATATTGTCCTGGTAACGAGCAGGCCAACATCCCCATCACTTCGCCCAACTTGCATTTGAATATCACTTGACCACTGCTGCATGTCTAGCTTGCACTCGCACCTCTTCTGGAACAATTCCTTTGTTCTTGTCTGCCCAAGTCCGACTGTGCTTTTTCCTGGCTCCTCTGCTGCCACTGAGCTCGAGTCTTGCTCATCGCTGTCGCCCGCCCTACCGCTGTTTGTTTATTGATTTAATACGTACTTCCGGTGATCAACGGCGCATTGCGCTCACACCCACGACAACATGAACGACGAGGCTATCGCAGGCCATTACCAGGTCCTCGAGGAGCTCGGTCGTAAGTACAAGTCACGCGCTGGCCTTTCAGGAAGACCACCAGAGACGTTCTGTTGACCATTTCTAGGTGGCAGCTTTGGAGTAGTCTACAAGGGAATTGAGAAGGCCACGGGTGAGGTGGTTGCCATTAAGCATGTAAGTCTCGAGACCCCCCTTCGTCCAAAACACCCACCGTGTAGTCGCATCGACTCACTAATGTACCGCCTCGTAGATCGATCTCGAGTCGACGGACGACGATATTCAGGACATCCAAGCCGAGATCTCCGTCTTGAGTACGTGTGCTTCTTCGCATGTGACACAATACAAGGCCAGCTTCTTGCGAGGCAGTAAGCTATGGATCGTTATGGAATTCCTGGGTGGTGGCTCTTGCTTGGACTTGGTGAGTAGCTATACTGCTTGACTCGGGATACTTTTGTGACAACATGCCTCGTACTAACGCACTCTACCTGCTAGCTCAAACCCGAGCCCTCTAGCTTCAGCGAAACACACATAGCCATCATCTGCCGCGAGCTTCTTGCCGGTCTGGAATATCTCCATGCAGAGGGAAAGATACATCGTGACATCAAAGCCGCAAACGTTCTCCTCTCCGAGGCGGGCAAAGTCAAGCTGGCCGACTTCGGTGTGGCAGCACAACTGACCAATATTAAATCCCAACGGAACACGTTCGTCGGCACGCCCTTTTGGATGGCACCCGAGGTCATCCAGCAAGCCGGGTACGACTTCAAGGCCGACATCTGGTCCCTCGGCATAACAGCTCTTGAGATGGCTTACGGAGAACCGCCCCACGCCAACTTGCACCCTATGAAGGCCCTTTTCCAGATCCCCAAGAACCCACCTCCAAGACTTGAGGGCAACTACTCCAAGGATTTCAAGGACTTTGTGTCAAAGTGCTTGGTCAAGGACCCCGACTTCCGTCCCTCGGCAAAAGACATGTTGAAGCATCGATTCATTCGGTATGCCGGCAAGGTCGAAGCATTGCAGGAGTTGATCGAGCGTCGTCGGGCATATGACGCCAGCAAAGCCAACAAGAGAAACCATCGAGCCATGTATCAGGAGACGTTGCGTGATATCTCCTCCAAGGAAGACCAGGACGAATGGGTCTTTGACACTGTCAGGTCAGTTGCGCCTAGGAAAACGACAGCCAAGTCACGAAAGCCATCATCCATTTTCTCTACCGAAGAAGCACTGCGCAGACTGGATATCAAGGATGCACCTTTGCAGCCTTCCTCCCCAGCTCAAACACCCGGAACAGTCAGAAAGGCCACTGCTCGCAGACAGCCCTCGTTAGCACAGAACGCTGGCATCGGCTCCATACGAGCCCCGCCCGGACCAGCACTCAGGAAGCCACTGCAACCAGACATGTCGTTTGGCAACTCCGGCTCATCACAGCGTCTGTTCCGCAGAGTGCCTTCTGATAGCTCCACATCAGGGCATATCTCCTGGCCGGACTCAGATGACGTCTTCTCAGACGAAAACAGAATCCCCAAAACAGCTGACGCCAACAGCAAGGAAGCTACCCTTGGTCGCCGTCTCTACACAAAGGCTGTGGAGCCGAGTTTGGCCGAGCTACACGCACAGACATCGTCAATGGCAAAAAGAGATGCCTTGGCCAAATTTTCAGATGCTTTCGCTGGGCTGAACGCCGTCGATCCCGAGGGTGCCTATCATATGATGCAGAGCCTTTTGGCATCCATGTCTCAAGACACAAAGCTCTCCAATGCCTTCCTCTCCAAGATGGCGCCAATGAAAGGGACTATGGATAGCGACATGCTATCCGGTACTGTTATCATCAGGAACACACCAACTACCGACCGCACCGACCGCAGCCAGCAAAGTCAGATGCAACAAAGCCCGACAAAATTAATCCTCGCAGCCAGCAATCCACACCTCAAGTCCCACCGGCGGCGCCAGGGAAGTGTAGTAACCGGTATTGACGGTAGTCTTGAGAAGGCTGTTGACAGAGAGAAGGCAGCGGTAGAGGCAAAGTACCCGGGGCGCGAAGCACAACCAGGTATGGAGCATTGTCGGCAACTGTCGGATGTACTTTACAGTCGTTGGGTGGATGGCTTGCGACTAAGGTGGCCCAACATGTGATTGGGTAGGGGTAGAAAACCTTCCTCTCAGATCCAATGAGCACTACTGGATGTAGGATATATTGTATGATCACCCAGGCGGCTATGAGCCAGAAGATTTCAACAGCCACATGGAGGACGTGATCTCCGAGAAGAAGAAGTCATGGTAGGCTCAGGAGGAACGTTTGAACGAAAGTCAAGGAGCAGTGGCACTGCATGTATCCCTTTTTCTTTTATTGGCGTTTCAAGCATCTGACACCGGGATCTAGGAGTCTTCATGAGATATGACCACTCCGTATTTCTGGCTCCAGCTAATTGCATGGTATGGTGTTTTTTTTTTTCCTGTAAAATTCTTGTACATAGAAATAACATAGTCAAGCGGCGTTTTTGATAGACAGGTTTGACAGCCAATACATAGCATAAGTCATTTTATCCTTGTTGGCGATTCACATCACAAACCTCATGACCCAGTATTGCATCACTCAGTTTCATTGACTGAATTCTCCCGCAGATTTTTCATCTGCATTTTCAAAGCCAAGTGGATATGACTCCAAACCTCACAATTTGTGGCTGGGAAGTCAAAACGACGACTAAAACGTGACAACAAAAATACAGTTTATAAAGATGCTCAGCATGTATATATACGAAGTACCAACTGGGAGTTCAGAAACGTTAATATAAACTTAAAATAATAACAAAAGAGAGATTCTGGTATAATTTTATTGATAACCAGATCCTCTCAATCATCGATGTGTAGAACAACAATTGGTTGAGTCATCAGCCTTTGAATCAGGTACCGCCCGATCACTTCCGAGGAGAGTAAACGCTCACTGAAGCTTATTCCAGGTTTGTATGATTACGCTCCACCACGACCGAGAATTTTCACATCGTTCCACAGCTTCATCATACGCCACTCAGCCCACCAACCGAGACTGTAATGGAGAACATCCCATACAATGGCCGAGCTTTCATTACGAGCATATAGAGGAAACTACCGGTAGCGAGTCAGTCGTTTCATGAAGAGAGGTTAAGGACATGATGCAATAGTCTTGTAGTTGGAAGCTGCCTTTAATTGAAGATTTGGTCAGGCTGGATCATGATTTGCGTTCATCTGTTATGGATCTTACGTAAGTTGTTAATAGCTAGCTCCCATATGTGGTTGGTCTTTACCAATAATTCCAGAATAGCGAATTCCGTTGTCGGTGAACTTTCAAGGGATGAGCACTTGGGCTATAACACAACGGCTTAGTAGGCTGTTCGTGCCGTTTTCTAGAATATTTGGAAGCTCTTTAAATATGAGCATTTAACAAAAGCATCGCTAAGGAACTGGTAGAGGAAGGCTAATGATTAGCATTTAAGATCAATATGTGTTCCTGAGACCTGTCGCGCGATCTGAGAGTTCGTGACTTGGTTTTATGGATGTTGTTCTGTTGAGTTCTGAGACCTCGATATAGAATGACGAACTACATGGGTAACTCTAGACACTTGTCTTTCTGTTCCACGGACTGTCAACCGTACCTCCTCTAGAACCTAAGAAGAAGAAAACGTGACTCGCACGTATATATAATGATGACAATATGTCTGTCTGTTTGTTCGTCACGGTGTGTGATGCAATGAAATTATGACTAGGTTTTCACTGCCTCTCAACACGGAAAATGCCCATAACTACCAATTCAACTGTAGTACATAACATAACTTAAATTAGTCATTTATATCTAATTTGATTGGGAGATCTGTCCTTTTTGACTTTAATTACTTGCTATTTAACCCAAAGCTTTCTTTGCAAGGCCTCATCGTGCTCTACACCCTGCAGCGCCACATTTTTCTTTTCATGAAGACTATCCTATTTATCCCGCACATGAGATTTCACCTCAAAACCAACCACGTTGATCATTTTGGAAAAGCGTAAGAGACTTAGAATTCTTCCCTTGGCACTAAATTGGAGAGTTATACTAACCTAGAGAAGCTTCTAAATGTCGATCTCAATGGCTGTTCTTACGTAATTATAAAAACTTGCATGACAATTATTATTAACCACTGGTAGAGAAGAGTGCTTTTTCCATACTCGACATGGCAAAACGCATATTTCATTCAGTTGTTCGACCACAATACCGAGAAGACTTTATTGTCAACCAGCTTCGTTTGCCAATTCCAAGAGGTTACTGGTCTGGATCTTGACGATGCAACGAGCGTCGATACACTATTATGTTTCAATTATGTTATGGCTATGAATCGTTCTTTGCGGTTTTTGTCAAACAAAAAACTACTATATCTGCACAAGGGCGATCGTGTCCCTTGGTGAGAATAACAACCATTCTTGTCTGCATTCAATCCATATGGAACCCCATTCAATCTGCTAGGTTTTGGTTGTCTCGACTCTTTCTAGGCAATTGCTTTGGTTTCAGATAAGTCCCAGTCCGTCTGCATCACCAGCTATAGCCAAAAATGCTCAAGGATAGAGGCTTACAGAAGGTTTACAGAGGGCTGCTGCCTCTTGCCAGAGTGAACCAGCGCTTGCCCTTCACCAATCGTTCGCCCGCCTGCGAGCAGCTATGCTAGCCGCAAACGCATTCTACTTGATGACAGCTTCGCCGTATTTGAACGACAACGATCGTTCAATTATGGAAGACGATATCAGAAACCACCTGCGTGAATCCAGATGAGTTTCTGATTTCTTACTATCGAGCTATACTGGCTATATTCTCCGAAACAGTCCAGCTGTTATAGGTTACTTTCCCCTATGGCCGTGCAACCAGACTATGGTACCATGGTGCGCACATCCATCTGTTTTGCATTCAAGCAGATTTAGATCCCCCCCTTTTTTTTCTTTTTCTTTCTTTTGGCTTTAGAGGGTGGATGATTACTGAATATAAACGATTTCTTTGTCAACGAGGAGTGAGCAAGCTTGAATTATAGTAGCTCTATGGAATGAACATGACAGTGTTTTCAGTGAATAACACGCGTATGGACCCACGTTCACACGACCATGTATTCTTCAATGGTTGTTGTTCTCTCATCATGGACTAAGATGGTACAGCAAATGCATTGAGTGCTCCTCGTCATTAAGTGCCTTTTGCCTTGTTGTCCCTTGATCAATGGGCAAATAACGCAACTGAGGACTATGGAAAAGAAGATTAAGCAAGGCCAACGAAACGGTTGAAGCTCCAAGTATTGACGGCAAATGTCGAGGCCTGTCAAATTGACCATATATGATCCAAGAAGAGCGCAGAATTATAGCAAGCCTCAACCGGCCTTCTCAATGCTTCAGGCGGGGAAAATTCGAGAAGATACATTCACCTCATCCTGAAGAATATTTGATATCGCAAGACTACGAATGTATTGGCTGCGTTATCGAACATCACGAAAACGTATGACTGAATATAAATTACGCATCCGTTGATTGTCAATTTGTTATTATTATATCGAAGCTACAAATTAGTGTATTATATTTCGCGAAATTTTGAAAGGTACGAAAAGCTCTTATCCCCAAGCTCCTGAATTCTTTGTTGAGGAAATGACGGATGCATTCACGGCAACTAACGTTCTCCTTTCATTGGCAAGTTTTCCAACTTCAGAAATGGTTCTTGACGTTGCATCGCGTCATTCCCAGAATTTCATACTTTCTCATAACGAGGTTGGACTTTCACGATAGCTAAGCAGGCCTCCTTAGTACAGGCCGCTCCTCGACGAAGCCCGCAGCTATAGGCCGAACGACTAAATTTTCGACTACAAGCCGCTACGAGAGTCACTAAAGAGATTCCATTGACCACATTTTGGCAATTGCCGAACGGAAATGATTGCGCGATCATCGAAAGTACAATCATTAAGTATCTCCGTGGACCAATGCGAGGCTAGTGACGTGTATCTGAGTGTCTGGAAGAAATGTTAACCATCGATATGTTTGCCCATAGCCGCCCAGTCATGGACAACCTACCGTATGGTGTCAGAACTGACTACCACTCCATGGCCAGAGCATCGATACGACATAGATTCGTGCAGAACCTGGGATTTCCTGTCCTCTTAGGTGGACAATTGCTCAACGTTAATGGTCTTTTCGATCTTAAGGAGCAATGAGGCTTATACGACAAGTTACATTCTAGGAAGGTGATGAAGAAGTGATGAGGGTCTAACAGCGAATGAACAACACCTAGCAATTTGTCATATGCATCCGCGCCGTCCCCCCCCCCCACACACACACCCAAGAAGGCTCAGTAATTCTGTCTGCGTGGAGAGTTCAAATATGACTGGAAGCGAGAACTCTGCTTGTGCAACAGCTGCGGGTATAGTATGCAAGTAGAGTTGTGCTACATCCTTTGTCGGAGTTACCATTCTGGTAGCAACTCTCACGTCAGACTATACTCTCGGGTCAGACGGATCTGGCAATAGGAACAAAAGCCCTTGGGGGTTCTGCGGCGAATTTTGACTAGGTAACACAACCCATGTTAACTATTCTAGAGGGAGAGATATTGCCTACTTGGGCGTGTACCCTTGAGTAACCACACTTGCTAGCAAACGACGCAAGCATATAACGTACCCGGCTTGTACCACGTGAGAAATATCCTTGCGTAACCGATGCTTGATTCGAATGCATCAATGTTCTCTGAGCAACCCGCTTGCCAAGTCACTTCTTCGTGAAGTCTCGTCACTGCGCTAGTTGAGCGGTAAGAGCCCGGGGTTATCTCTCTTTCAGGAAGATGTATAATATCTAAGATAAAAACCTGACCGCAACTGTCATGTCATATAATAACCATTGTGGTTGCGGCCCGCGTCAATCATGCTAGCCGCCGCTCAAATGCTCCCGGGTCCATTTTAATGCTGCCACTCTCGGAGGATTCGAGCTAAGAGAATAGTCCCGTACATGATGACAGTGCAAATCCCTTCACAGAGAAGACTCCACGCGGCATGGTATGGTGCTGAAGCTCCGAAGAAAAATAACGAGCCAGCTAAGTCGCGAATTTGGGCAACAAAACTTGCTGTGCCGCCAGTCCACGCCGGGATGCAAGTGTCGCATGTCCCCTGCTATGCAACCTCGACTCTCAAGCCTGCAAGATTGGCGCACAGCACATGAGGAGGTTGGAGGAACGAATTAATCTGCAAATAATATATTAGCATATCTCGGCATTCGGCCGCTTCCAGTACAGCTGTTGGGTATCGCTCATATTAGCCCAATGTGTAATTAAGGCCGTTTCGGTGATGGTCTGCTGGTCTTGCATCCTCCCCCCCGTATTATGCCTTGCAGCACGACGAGCCAGGGTAGACTTGTCACTGCATTCTGAGTCATGTGAGAAATCTGCCATCTTGTTATACGGGTAATGCTTATGTCGTGTAACTTAGACTTGTGTCATCAGATTGGCTAGAAAAGCTTGAATGCAAGATATATGTTTTTGAATTTGCGGAATGTATTTTCAAATATGGCCAATAGTTTGTCTCACTAGACTTGATGGCTTGATTACATGTTGAGGCCATCGACTTGGGAGTATGCCTTCCACGAAACATCTCGGTCTAACGACGATCTCTGTTTGCGCGCATATGGACCATTGTTCCAAGTCTATCTCAACTCGGTCCGTGTGTTGCTTTGGTACAGCATTATTGCTTGAGGTCCAGGGTTGTTGATGTGTGTGCAGGCTGTTGATGGTCAGTTTCGTCACTACACGTGTACTGTGGGGCACCAAAGACTGTGGTAAGTCGGCTTTGGTTATATCCAACCAAAATACACCTTCGCTTTGGAGGTCTTATTTAGGTGGGAAATGCTGGGGTTATGTTTTTCAAATGGTCTGCCACACATCGCGATAAACAGCCCACTTGCGAAATCCTGATGATATGTCAGTCACTCCTTTAGGGGAAAGGGGAAACATGCAACATCACCTAGATCTTGAAAGCCTTGATCGCCACCTCGGACACCGTCGATAAACACTTCATTCATTCCACAGCTTTGAAGATACTCAATACAAGTTCCCAGAAGTCTGATCATAACAGAGTTCCTATGTTTTTGCAGAGTAGTATGCCCCTCTTCGGGTTCGTTAGCTTGTAAATACCATGAAAGTAATGGATACCACTTACCGGCGATACATATACAGGTGATGCCGCCGACAGCGAATCCAATCCTCCGCGCCCAAGGTAAATCATTCTCCGCGATTGTGCCCGAATTAGCCATGTAAGTCAATGCGGTCGCCACTATATTATCTCCATCCAGGCATAAAACAATATCATGCGTGGAATCACGACTCCATTTGTACTCCTCAAATAAACCCATGGTCTCGTTTCTAGATGCTTCGGTTCGTAGAAACTCCAAGACTTCCGCAAAATCCTTCGGAGTGCATTGTCGAAATACGTAGGTCTGGGGAACTGAGCCTAATCCTCCACTCGGCCAGTCCTGTACCTTCAAGTGCCAGTCACTGATTTCCTTGCCACAACCCGGGGTCTGTGAGTCCAGGTTCCATCCACGATTCCTGAACCAGCCTTGTGATGCAAGCTCTCGGGGAATACCAGAGAGAAGACGAGGAAATGTGCTACCTAGCTGCAGTCGTTTGACACCACGTGTGCGCGTAAGCAGGTCTTTAGCATAATTGTATAAGCTGAGACCAATCCCGCGATTCCTGTACGCTGGCTTAACCAACAGGACAGCAAGTGACCCAACGAGATCATCTGGATCACTAAAAGCCCACGTTGTGTAGGTCGCGCAGAAGCCCACAGTTTCGCCTGTCTCTGGCAGTTTGACAACATAATGCTTCCCAAAACCATCTCTATCCAGCAGGCTTTTCAATGTAAAACCATCCATAGAAAACTTTTCAGGTAGACACTCATTCCAGATGGCCACAACTGGCGAGACGTCGTATCTTATCAAACTGTCGGGCAATGTTTCAACTTCCCATTGTTTTGGAGGTATGTCTGAAATTTGGGATGCCACAGGAAGGCCTGTCATCGTCGGTGATGCTTCGCCAAATAATATAGCAGCTGCATGTTCCAAGCTCCTTGGTGTATGCCCTGGTATCTGAAGTATTGTTTGATAGTCTTTTTCATCTATACCGAGGTCTTCCTTGTTTTGGCACGCCACGATGACCAGAGGCCGATGCTCAGCTACTAATCGTGCAACATCTGCTAAATCGACTTGCGGTCTCTGTCCCGGGAATGAAACGCCAGCAACAACGAAAATCAAGACTTTGGCTTTCTTGATAAATGTCACATGAAAACTAGTGATACCATTCTCAGCGGTATAGGGCACATGCCGGACCCAGGGATGCCTAGCGGCGAGTGCCCGGCCAAATGGTTCAAAGGGGTCTCGAAGCACATCCACACTTTGAGACGGAGCAATGACGGGTGATAAAAGTATTAGAAGATCTCCGTTGCCCAGAACATTAATAAGCGGAACGCAGGACTGTCGATCCCATAAAGATATGGCTTGATGCGAATGGGAATGGAGGGCAGTCCGGTGCGCGAGGTTCGATGCCATTTCGCCTGGGGCCATACTTGTGTACGGTACCCGTTCGGTCAATCATACAGAGCGTTACACATTCGCTCGTCTGTACATATTCGTTAGTAGACCCCGAATACAGGAACATTGAAACACAGACGAGAGCTGCGCATATATGGTATCAGCTTACGAGTATAAAGGAAATTCACTTACTCGGCAAATCTTATACTGATATTTGAGATAAGTATCATGATTCTGAGAGTTTGCTTATAGAGAAATAGGAAACATGCAGAGTCCTGTCAGCATTTGTGAGGCAATAAGCAGGAGGGCCGCAGTGGTGCGAGCATATAGTGGCGTCTTTCCGGGCCAGCAGGCAGACACCGTCGATGCGACCAGATTTTGCGCGCAGATACAAGTGGTGGGAAGGTGAAAACAAAAGGTGATAGATAAATAACCACTTTATTGTTACCCAACTTTTGCAGAAATTTTCGACCTTTTGTTGCTTGTGTAAGCCAATATTCGCCGAGTATTACTGATTTTACAACAGTATTACTGCAAGATTCTGAAAAGAAGTCAAGTACTTTGCTGTCCACGATTAGCGTGATGATGTTGGCGACGCTGAATTCCAAGCGTGTTGGCGTTGCAATGAGCCAAATCCCATAACCAAATTCCGACATAAGCGGAAGCAGGGGAGAATGATGACTCTTTATAATGCCTGTAGGGAAGATCTGGTGGCTCCCGCAACCAAATCCTTCTTCAGGTATGTGTCTGGCTGCACAAGACAAATTTGCTTGGGTCGCACGAGACTATGCTGGTCCAATGAACAGGTGCCCGGGAAAGTACGTGGGTGTGACTAGGATCTGCAACTCATAACGTTGTTAGCTGCGGAGACGCCGCCAGTTTTCTCCTGTAATTCACAGCATCCTTAGGTGGGGTTATAGCTGGCTCAATTGGCCGACTCAAGAAACATTCCCCCAAAAGTTGTGCGTAAGACCTGTGCAGATCGTATGCGTGGTAGTACATGGCACGAGGCTTCTGCAATGGTTATGGATATGGTGGTGCGCCGCTGCAAAACAAGCAGGCCGAAGACTGTGAGAGTCAGCCAGGAAGAGAGCCCGAAATGTAATCTCGTCATTACTGCCTGCCGCAGGCGATACAACTCCTCGAGGCGGCTCTCGCTTAGTACCACGGCGTCTGCCTCTTCAGTAGGATGCGAGATGCGACTAATAAAATGTTACACAAATATAAGCCACCATAGTCACAGCGGCGTTATGTAGGTAAAACTGAGCGTAAATTTCGGCTCTTCCCACACGAAACATGCTAAGGGGTGAGAGGCATGATGGGCGCGACCTGGCGGCGTTTTTCAAGCCCAACCGTCACGATTTTAAAGCCGTTGAAGCTCACAGAGCTTATGTCATGTCATGTTTGCGCGCGATGAACCTCAATGAACTTCTCCAGAAACATTGATTAAGCCCGATCTCGGGCAGAAGATCCGAAAGCATCTGTAGGAACACATCAATAGATTTCCGGACAGAAGGACCTCAGAGTGCTCTTGGGGGCTGTTTCGCTCTGTTAGACTAGGGGCTTTGAGCGGTAGTGATGAGATTGGGGGATGACGCAACCTGGCCTATTCTGTGGACATGGGGGTAACCTTGAAAAATGTTGAAACATTCCATGAGGAGGACTACCAATGTGTAAACGATCCGCATATTTCAAGAGCGCACGGCAAGGTATTATGATAGCCAATCTATTCAGTTGAGTCTGAGTGAGTAGGAAGAGTTGATGTAGAAGCTCCCGTATTTGAGAGCAGACTGGCCCGCAGTATAAGGCTGATTGCGCATGGGGCACTAAGTACCTAATCTGCCCCCCGCTTCACTAAATTCCGCGCCATACCTACCATGTGAGCACGCGTCGGCTTCAAGGCTAAGCGCGTCTCATCGCGAGACTTGTACAGTATATCTTTTGAAGATCGTCGTAAAACTCATTGTTCGGCACATTTTACACGCAAGGAGGCTCTGTGTATTCTCTTCATAGCGTTGTAACATGTCTTCCAGTCCCAATAATGCGGCAACTAACGAGGATTTATTGCAAGACAGCATATCTGATGTAACACAAGGTAAGTGACCCCGGTATGCATTTTCGCTATGTCTTTTTGCTCCAAGCATGCATCGGTATGGAGTTGAAGCGGTCCATCATCTGCTCTGCTGACACACGAAAAAGCTGCAAAAATACCGGCAAAACGTCGAGGGGCGAGCATTAAAGCCACTGTTGAGACCCTCGCGTCGGAGTGCTATGACAAGGGTGTACTTCCAGATGCGTTGAAGGAACTGGTTGACCTTATTATCACTCCGAGTCATCTGGACCAAGCAAGTCTCAATAATATCCTCAGAAATTTATATCCTGCAACACAGATTGATCCCGAGATTGTCATTAATGTCATTGGCTGCTTGGGGCATGGCGCACTCAAGCCTTCTCTGCCGATTCAAGGAGCACTTTTGAAATGGTTGATTATGGTACATCATATCGTCGGAGAACAGGGTGTGCTCCCGAAACTTTACGCCGTTTTGTTCAATCTACTTGATACTGCAGCCATCAGGTATGAGAGTTACGGTTGCCTCGTAGCACCACTCCGTCAGCTAATTCTTTCAGACCACAATTGTGCCATATCTTGGCACTGATTACACGACGTAGACACGTCCGCCCATATCGCATCCAAGCCGTGTAAGTGTTCGCATCAAGTTGACTGACGTACAAGGAATCTAATGATTCTTCAGGCTGGCTCTAAGCCGGCAAACAGGAAACGACCCTGCGCTTACAGGACTCCTGCGCGTCTTCAAGAATTATTACCCAGAAATCATCGTCGGTGATGCAACACGTGGTAAGGCATCAGCTTTCAAGGTACGCTGGTGGAATGGCCTTTAGCAATGCTTTCACTTATTTTTTAAGCATCCTGACCCCCAGTGGCGCCAACGACTCGACGAGATTCAACAGAGGCATGTCCAATCTCTGCAGGAGCGGAACCAACCTCGGGATGCATTTCGAGTTACGCGTCGGCTTGGTAATAGCCATGGGAAGGTCAATGCCATACCTGATGTGCACACCTCCCACGCTCACGAGGTATGTGTGCTCGTAGGATCACTAGGTCTACCAGTGCTAACTCGTCAGGATTCAATTACGCTCGAAGAGATTGAGACTGTTGACGGACTAGTCAGCAATCTAGAAAAGATTGAGTTGCCGAATCAGTTGATATCAGTGCTCGCAGATCCCTTACTCCAGAAGTTGATGCTTATGAAACCAGATTCAGCTTCTGAAGAACGCATCAGTAACTGGCTCATGTCTTACGCAGATGAAATATCTCGTGATGAAGCGACAAGCTTAGCAGAGCTGACAGGATTCCTGGAGACATTGCAGGATTATGCCTCTACCACAAAAGTGAGATACACCTGTACTGCAGCAGTTCCAAGTATACTAACAAGATAACCAGAATCTGCCATCAGCCGTGTTGTCGTTCTTCGTCTCGTATCTAAATGTATGGGACGGAAAGCAAGCCAGACAGTACGTCTTGCACATCTTGTCATATGCTACTCTTCCCGAGCACAGCTTTTCTGGTAAGACTCTTCTCTAAGGTTTGCTGCCTGACATGCTGAATTTTCTAGATCTGTACGAATCCATCTTCGCAACTCTCGAGAGGAAGGTGCTGGACGGATCTGCAGATTCACAGTTGGATGTACTCGGGTGCTATATTGCACTTTTACAGCACTGGACTACTTCTTTGATATCACAGCGCAGTTTTCGGATATCAAGTACTGCAGCTATCTCAGAACTTATCAGCCATGCGAACAAGCTTTGCCTCACAGTGGCCCAGACATCTTCTTGCACTCCAACGCACTCTGTAGTGCTTGATTTCTACGAGGCAGTCGCATATATCGCCTCGCATACGATACTTAGGAAGAGTGTTCGAATTGTCATCCCGCCGTCTGCACTCGTGTATATTCTGCACTTCAGCTCGTCACCAACAACGACCTCGCGTTTATGTGGGGTTTTGTCACGTTACAAACAAGGTTTTCAGGCGGCTATGGCATCTTCACGCTCCGACTACACGACAGCATATATCAATGAATTCAACGGATTTCTGATGGACGTCTGCAACTGTTTGTGGCGCTCTCGTGCCTTTAACTTTAAAGACGCCAACGCACACGCATGTCTGATGACCAAGGATATCACCGACGATCTCACGAGCTATGTTTCGGGCCTACGAAAGGGAAGCAATCTGACGTCCTTGTTCACGATATCAGCCTCTCCAGTGCTCGGGTTACTCGCAACATCCTATTTACGTGAGCTCGAGGATGTGGAGATGGAACAGGGTTCTTCAGGTCTAGATACAAGACACGCTGGGCCCGTGACAAAAGCCAGTCTCAATACGCTTAGCAAGAACGGGGGAGTTAGTTTGACATGGGATGAGTACCGCCTAGGAGTTCTTAGCTATCTTGAGCAGAACGGAATGGAGGGTGTTGGGCGATTGATGCACGGTACTATGACGACGCTTATGAAGAGGACTTGATCATAGCAATGAATACCGTAGTCTCGAAGGTTTTGGTTTGGCGATGCCGTGGGCAGTTCTTTTCCAAAAAGTGACCCCGAGTATTCTATTTGGGTAGACACGATATGAAGGAGCAGAACAAAGCCTGCCAAGAGATATGACAATGATTATCGGTCGTAGGTTACTTTCTAAAACAAACAGTGCACCCTGCGTTGTTTCTGATTGTCAGTTGCTCGGTAAAGGACAACTTGCAACCCAGAAGCCAGTCACACATACAGAATGGTTGCATCGCTCTGAACACCGCAGAGGTAAATAAACACATCTATGTACGACATGGCTATGACTATGAAATATCGTGGTGCCGTATTCTAGGCAAATCATTGCCAGCGGAGCCGATGCGGAAGCTACCAGCATAATGAGAGGATCGTGGTTTTCGGCTCACCAAGGTTGGGCCATTTTTCTTCTAGGGTTCGGCGACACCCGCGTCTGCAGGGGCCAAGGCTAAGAACTAACTTGAGATAGCGCCAGTGGGCGGGCGCCAGCAAGAGTCAATGGCATCATGCAATCAGGTAGACTGGACCCTGAAGAACATAAAATTTTAGAAGGATATTTAAGTAATAAGCGATCCCGACTCCCTCCAACTTGGTATACCTTTAACTCGCATTTTATTCCATTCATAATTCCTGAATACTCCAGCTCATTCTCAAAGATGGCGCCTGGAGCCCCCGAAATTACCGTCAACAGCTTGACATACACCTTCCCCGACTACTCCACCGGAGTGAAGGACATCTCACTGGCCGTGCCACCAGGGTCGCGCACCCTCCTCATCGGCGCCAACGGTGCAGGAAAGACCACTCTTCTCCGTCTCCTAGCCGGCAAGCGTCTCGCACCCGGTGGCAGCATCAATGTTTCCGGCGTAGACCCTTTCAAGGACAGTGTGGAAGGTGTGACCTACTTGGGCCTGGAGTGGGTGCTCAACCCCATTGTGCGGACCGACATCGGCGTCAACGAGCTTCTGCGGTCCATCGGTGGCGATGCCTACCCTGATCGCCGGGACGAGCTGGTTCACGTGCTGGACATCGACACCGAGTGGCGCATGCACGCTGTCTCGGACGGTGAGCGTCGTCGCGTCCAGCTTGCCATGGGTCTCATCAGACCCTGGACGGTATTGCTCCTGGATGAGATCACGGTAGACCTGGACGTTCTGAGCCGATCGGAGTTCCTGGAATGGTTGAAACATGAGACCGAGATCAGGGAGTGTACTATTGTATACGCCACGCATATCCTGGATAACCTTGCTGGTTGGCCCACACACCTGGTACACATGCATCTGGGCACCGTCAAGGAGTGGGGTCCGACAGAGAAGTTCTTGGAGGACACACATGGTACCAGCACGGGTAACAGTCAGCTGGGCGAGTTGGTATTGGGATGGCTCAAGTCAGACCTGAAGAATCGCGGCCCCAGAAATCATGCTAAGCTGGGAAATGCGGGCAGGGCTTACATTCCTGATGGATTTGGTGGCTACGGTGATGAAAGCACCGAGTCAAAGTAACTGCGGGACGCATAGGCTTTAGCTTGGCAGGGGAGAAGCTGTATAGGTATCGAAAGTAGATGCGTTCAACCAGCATCTACGATGATCAGGGCACCACCAGAGGAAGCATACACTCAACGCATTGCATGGAGTTCAAGGAGTTTCGGTAGCAGAATGAAGGTTCAGGTCTCATCACCAATGGATATGGACAAAACATGCCTATCTTTGGTGCACTTAACATGCATTTAAGATACCTTTTCAACATAGGATGGAGGACACAGGCAGCACGATAGAGGATCAACTCCTACGAGTTATAGATTGGTTCCATAGAGCAAGTCTATGGAGCGCAAAGGTCAGAGCGGCTATCTAATCAGCGTGCAAAACAATTCAAACCACCAGCTGTAATACTTCGCCGCTTAGGCTGATCGTGGGCCATGGAGCGGTCGATATAGTCGAAACGAGGTGATGGTTTCATACCTCGCTTTTTCATAATTACTTGAAGATGGTGTCCATAATCTCAGCAGCTTTGCAAAAAGAGTTGCTCCTGCGCGCGCCGTTCCCTGCGAGTTGGGTAAACTGTGTATGTCATCAGCATAAGCTATCATATGAAAGCTTTGACTTTTACAATTTCACCAGGACTTTGAGATCCAATGCCACTCTAAGGAATACATACAAATGCGATGAAAGGCAGTCAACGATGCCTTGTTCGAACTAATATTCTTCTTCCAATCGAAAATCGGTAAAGCCGAAGGTGAATGTAACTCTTGTGCCATAATTTTATCAGAAGATCCTGGGAACAATGTCCTTGTCTAGTTGTCGTCCGCTTCTCGATCTAGATGAATAAAGCTGTAGGTAGGGGATGACGATGACGTTTCATTCACTCTGTCTTGTTTCCAATCTGACAACAATATTTGCAAACGGGCGATGTGTGAAGGCCTGCCGTTCTTACCACATAGATGATTATCCGAGTTTTGATTCATGAATTTAGGTTTCAGTCTTTTTCTCCGGTCTTGCATCTGTCGAGATCGAGAATATCAGGTCCAGAGAAAATAATTTGCATAGAACCGGCAGAAAATAAAGATATTATTGAGAAGTTTAAACCGACCAAACTAGGTGGAGACAGGAGAGTTTACCGCAGAAACATTTATCCCCTCGACAAACAATGTCAGAACCATAAGCTAGTGGACGAGTCTATTCCCGAGCGGCTTCTTACAATCGACGGTAGAGCTGTAGACAACGACTTTAGGGGGCAGGTTTGAAAAAGACCTCCGTGGACTGAGGAAAAGAACAGCAACGATAGTAGCACATCAATTTTTGAGGCTGCAAATGAGGCTACCCAGTAAATGAGACGTGATATAATAGCGTGGTCACAGGACTACATGCCCTCATGCAAGACATCAAAGAGAAGATCGTCAGTGAAGATTTCGACTGGCTCCTTATGAAGGAGGATGGTAATGAGAGTGATGAGTATATTCGGGGGAGTTCATCGCTGTTGACAGGGACTTCCTGGGAACTAGAGTCAACAGTCTTCCCAGTGGATGAGTTGTTACTGTTAATAATTCGCAAATACTGACATACTTCAAGCCGAGATATTATCCAAAACATCACATAGTGTCATCAAGTCAACGTGGAACATAGACATCATGCAGCCGTTTTGTGGCCATAGTACATATTTTTTTGTATTTTTCATCCCGATTTACGTTCTCTCGCAGGTCCATTGCTAGCTAGCCCTAGGTCCTTATGTACATTGCGCGTCGACTAGAGGTTCTCTCGTTTTTATTTTTATTATTTCTTTCTTTCGTTGTGACAATATTGGCAGCGAGCCACAAAATCTTGTTCTGTTGCGCATATACAACACTGAACACAATGGTTTGAGTACAAAGTGCGCGGGCCATAAAAGTCAAGCAATGAACGGCATCTGCCTGTCGATTGGTCCTTGGCGTTTTGGCTCATGCCGTGAATTTCGGACCTCTTCGTGCTGCAGCAAAATGAGCTGCGGTATTGACAACATGAAAAGCCATCTAATGCAGATGGTAGTCCATACCGCCCCATGCAAATACCTGAAACGCCAGCTCGAACCGAGCCCGACTTGCGAGGCGGGGGGAATGTGGAAATGAAATGGAAAAACAAGAACTTTTTGGTATCCTCCGTATTCAAACGCCGTAATCCTTCAATTTTGCAGACGCCGACGCATATGCGAATAATGTGGCAGATCCCCGTTCATTTCCCAGCTGGTCATGCGTGAAACGTGCAAGTCGTTACGTACACTTCAACTGAAGTGGTTTCAAAATGTGATGTGATCAGGCCCATTTTGAGAAGTCGAGCTTGTCGACAAGGGTTTCGCAGCTGCCCGTGGGCATAACTTCGGTATTCTCTGTTGGAGCAGTGGACAAGATTGATGACCTGTGTGAGTGTGTATTGGGCTCGCTCGTGTTTGAGAAGAACGTGGCAACCGAGGATCGTCGCAAGCTGCTAAAACTATCTCGCACAGTGCTTCCTGGCCGGTTCATTTCACCTTGCGCATTCAGAGCACTAGCAAGAGCCCTTCCACTAAAAGCGGTGCCTGGGGGCGAGGGAGACGGACCATGGGCCTGCGTGGTGGGCTTGTTTGCATGTCTCTCGCGCAAGCGATTGATCTCCCTGAGGCGTTGACGCCAGGACGAGATGTGTTCGCCTCCTTCACGGCTTGCCCAAACTTGAGAGAAGACTGAAGCATTGAGTGCCACCAAGCGCACAAAGTCGGGAAGTGCCTTCAAGCTAATGATTTTCGTGTCTGAAGCGGGAGAGACCTCAGGAAAGCCTGGTTTACTCATGACTTGAACATTGTAAAATGACTCTCTTACGCCAATCGGTGCCCTCTGCCTAGTAGCGACGAACGAAGCTCGCGATTCAGGAGTTACGACAATGTTGACAAAATTGAAGTCGGATGGGAAAGTATCGAACTTGAAGGGTAGGCCAGAATCATTGAATATGATATTGACATAGTCGTTGCCGATGTGGCGCTTCTTGAGGGTGCATCGAGGATCTCGCTCCAGGTTGGTTGGCATCTGCGTGATAACATGGAAGACAATCTCGGTGACTCGGTCTCTCCAACAAATAGTAAACTCGCCATCAGAATCATACTCGCGGTCAAGACCTTGCGTGTTGAATATGGCGCCTTTGAGCTTTGTCAGCGTGCCGAGGCCTCTCAGAAACTCAACATACTCCCTGCTTCCGGAGACGTTGGCCAAAATATCCACTTCGTTTGTCTGGGCCTCGCCGATGTAGATGACGCCAGCTTTGTGGCCGTCAACAGTAGAGATCCGATCAAACACCCGGAGTGCTCTGTCGATTGAATCTTCTTTAGGTAAGGGTATTGGGCGTGCTTGATCCGTGCATTGTGGCATGGAAGAAAGTAGTTGCACGAGCAGATGACTCGGAAGAACATTGTCTCCATCTTCTAAACGGCCATCTCTGCCCATGACCTCATTGCTCGTGTGTTCTTGGTGTGCAGGGGGCGGATGGAACGTCTCATGGATCATGTATGAAGATGTACCAGACGGCTGACGTTTCGTGACTTGTGCCCAACCACTAGTTCGGGCTTGCTCAATAGTCACAATGCTATTGCCTATCAACCATCGCTTCTTATTGATCTCGCCATACCGATCGGCAGTAAAGAGAGGGTCAGCGGCTGATTCGCTAACATCAGCATATGCCACTCTTTGCATGAAATCAATCGTGATTTGAGCTTGTTCCTCAGCAATCTCGGATCCGTCAACATCAGTGAAAAGACTCTTCGCAATCCAGCCCACATGTCTTGCGCGATCTGGTAGCTTCAGAGCCAAAAACCAGAATGTGATGACGTGATAAGCTAATGCATAGACGTATTGTGGGAGGTTGTCGGAAGCATTTGGATGTACCTGTCCTTCCGGCTGGCCGCATGTTCCGGATCCTGTCATGGTCACATCGCCGGCGGTATTGGTGCGGGGGGGCTGCTTCTTCTCTCTGACATACTGCAAATACCGGAAGCATATGCCGAAAACCACGCGATAATCATCCTCGCGGAAATTGCTGAAGAGAGACGGGCGTCGAGCAAGACAGGCAAGGAACTCCAGGATGTGAATAGCTATCGAGGGCTGGGTGATGATCTGTGACATCTTCTGCAAGATGGTCAACAGAACCTTGCTTGTCGACATTGGCAGCTCATAGCAGCATATGGACAGAGCATGAATGCAAGGCTTCGCGGTACGCTCGATCGCGGCCATACCTTGTACAAAGGTACTGACGATTTCATCTTCCTCAGCCTTCTGGAAATGCTCATTATAACTCATAATCATAGTGAGAGCATGGAATAGGCATATAGCCACATCAGCACGCCTGAGTCCCGTCGAACTAGGCGGCTCCCGAAACCCTTGAGTTTTGATGAGTTCGCAGACAACTCTTCGCAGTTCTCGAACTTGATCGATTGCCTCCTTGAACATGGCATGGTTGCTGAGCTGGGATGGCAGATAGACCAGTACAAAACTGTAAACTTCCCAATCACACCCATGCTGGAGAAGGCTTACGATTGCAGCTAGCCAGTCGGAGATAGGAAGAACGGACTCTGGCAAAGTAGCTTCGTCGTCTCCAGAAGAATTGTTAGATTTGGAGACCGAGGACAGAACCGGGCTGGCATCTCGTGAGGCCAATTCAGGCAAGGGATTTGGCTCCGAGTCAGACCAAAGCTGATGATACGCTGGAGCAAGACCTCTAGCGCCTGTTCTCACAGCAAAACTTCGGTCAGAGAGGCTTCTCTCTTGGCTTTGACCTGTGCCGTATGAAACGCCGCGAGACGTACGACCAGAGCCAGTTTCGCCTCGCGACAATCGACCTTGATGACTTGCTTCTTCGCCTGATTTCTTTGCCAGAGATGCATCCGTTCGGTAAAGCGTAGCAGCTAAGTTCTCGGTCTCGAAGAACGTGGTAATGTACACACGGTTGGCCCAGTCGGCTCTGAGTCGAAATAGCAACTTCATCGCGGTCAATCTTGCATCAACCTCTGTTGTATTCAACCTGGCCAAGGTAACCAGAAGGCCGAAGACCCGGATGGCCTTGGTCGCGTCGGCTTGCATTACTCGGAGGAATATCTGCACGTAGCCTTTGGCCACAACATCAGATGGACTCTGTTGTGGTTCGCTGGCATGATCCGAAGATGGCGTAGCTGGAGATCTGGATGCAACAGGCGAGATGGCGGGCCGCAACTGATTGACTGCGAGGATGCCGTGAAGTGTGTCCACAATGTAGTGGAATAGCGGATGCTTTGCGTTGCTCGCGATGCCAATAGTGAAGGAGACAATGTCTCGAAGAACATCGATGTCGCTTTCTTCAGCCACGTCCCGGAGAATGCTTTTTACCATGTTGGGTACAAAGTCGGGCTCGAGCTGATCATGGAGTAGTTCTACCATGGAGTATACCTCTGTGACGACCCGCAGAGCCTGCACGCGAAGCTGTGACGACCTTGTGCGGTTAGCGAAAAGGACGTCCAAAACTAGTCGCAAGTTCTCTTCCCAGTCAAGATCGGATGGGTAACAGCATCGGAACTCCTTGAAGTAGTCGAGAACCAATGTTGCAGCAGTGTCGGGTAGCACCTTGTTGATCTTGCTGAAAAAGTGGATGCAGCTCTGGCGCTGCAATAGCTCATCTGGCTGAGAATTGAGCACTGTTTCGATGTGGGAAATAAGCTTGATGACCTCTCTCCCCATTACAAGATGTGGAGATTCCTTCTCGTCTTTTCCACCGCTTGTCGGCAGACTGAGGAAAGCACGTGTGCACACATGTGCGACGTCGAACAGAGGGCTCCAATCCTCGTCGATAACCATTGGGTTCATGTGGCCATGTGGCCCTTCAAAAAGAACGTTAATTAGACGCAGAACATCGTTGTGTATCTTCCATGCTTTGGCGGAGTTGGTCACGTTGGAAATGCCTTCGACGAGCAGGCCGTAGGCAACTGGAGGGTATCCTTTCTCTGTCGTTTTAGAGACGAGCTTCTGGAGCACGGACAAGGCACCTCGAACGTTTCGAATCTCTTCCTTGGATTTTTCTACTTCGTCATTGCTGCAGCTTAGCATATCTAGCAGGATTCTGACCACAGCATGGCCATGGTGAGACTTGAAGAATATGCCTAGTGCATGCCACGATTCCTTTGGAAGTTCGTCCACCAAGCAATGAATTGAGCTCAACACTTGGACACAATCCTTGAGTTTAGTGTCAGGGATAGCGCCATAAGTCACAACAGCGCCCATGACACCAATGCAAGCCTTGAGGTCATCGGTGTTGCTGGTGTTCATGCAAATCTTGACCAAAGCGTCGATCAGGCCCTGCGCAGCTTCGTCGCCCATAACACCGAAGTTAAATTTGATGAGATCCATGATGTAGGCAAACAGATCCGCAAAATCCTGGTCCTCACCCGACGAAACAGCCTTGCCTTTCGTGCGGGACGCCTGTTTCCGAGCCAGTCGCGTTGATTCAAACTTCATGCCTAGCCAAACGGTCGCAAGCGGAAACGTATCGTACTCAAACCCGGAGAGGTTGCGACCATGATTGGTAAGTTCAACAAGCGCCGTCAGCTGCAAATGGAAGTCCTCCGGATTGGCCAGCGCAGTCACTGTCTGAAAATACTCCTTGCGCTCGAGATCTGTGGATGATGTATGCTTGACACAGGCTGTGAGCAGCTCCCAACCGGCAAACCGAGTAGTGCTGGGATTGCTGGGGTCGATCATGTCCTTAGCTGCATACCATATGTCAAGAACCGGGTTCAAGGGATATTCAACGACAGCATGGCGAAGCTGCTGAGCAGCAGACACTCGCTCACTGGCTGCGCCTGTCCTGAGCTGCTCGAAAGCTTCCATGTGGTTCGGCGGCAGACCTCGTGGGGGCGTCGAGTCGTTCAACTGCGCGGCAAGACTGATGCTTGTGGAAGCACCTGATGTTGGCACAGGATTCGAAGTCGTTTTCGTCAGCTTCGTACCACCGCCGGTAAGGCTCTTGAAAACACCAGCAAGTCCACCAGTATTCTTCGAGTCTTGCGACGATTGGCCGTCGTCTCCCGGCGAGGGTGCCATGTCGTCGTCGGCTTCGGCTTGGCCTTCAGCGGCCTGGAGGCCGAGTGAGGACACTAACCACAGCAGCATGTCAGCGATGAGCTCGGCTTTGCTTTGGAGGCATTGGTGGTGGAATGTAGATGGTCTGGATGTGCAGGAAGAAGCTTATCAAGGAAATTGGGAAGGTATGAGCTTAGTTCCCATTGCTTCAAAGCATACCCTGATGGATGGGAAGCTCTTTAATCCAGCCCTCTCCTCGACATCAGCTGCTGGTTGTCGCGGCGATTATGCCATGATTGGGCACGGCATTGGATCGCCCGGCCGATGGCTGGCCTTCACCTCCGGAAGGAAGAGTTCACAGAACCTCACGGAAAGAGGACAAATAACAGATGGGCTAGAGGAAACATGTTCAACTTACAGGCAAACTACGGGTCGCATAGGGCTGCTAATCAAAAGTACAAAGGACAGTCGCAGATTGTGAAGCCTCCATCCAGTGCAACGATCCGAACCGCATGAAATCTGGCAGAACAACGTAGCCTCTCCCGGATCGAATCGCTCGCCGTGGTGCAAGATGGTCCTCTGCTAGCGACTTACACCTTTGAGCTTCACAGGACTTGACAGAGGCTAAATCTATGGCGTTGTCGTGCTACAACCTCGGATGACTTGCGAAATCCTTGTGGGTCAATGGTCGAGAGAGATATACATGGAAAAAGTGCCCATGACAAGACATCAAACTTTATCGAGCAAGATAAGCTCTGAGGTTAAAGTGTAATGAACCTTGGGGACTGATGTCAAGCAGGATGGAGCGTCGCCAAAGTACTTGGTCTAGGTAGACAAAAGCGACCGCCACTGTGCCTATTCGGGCGACGTGCATATTTTCGATGCCGCAAGATCGTTTATCCATGGCGCCAGACCAATAGAAAGTGCAACAGCTCTCTGAGGGCATCAGAAGTTTGTACGTAACGTTCAAATGTTAGCTTGGACCTTCCAGATCATGACCTCACATTGAGCCGAATAGTAAATACTACCGTCGGGGGGTGCATTTACGTGACAACGGCTCGTCACACGCTGCTGTATGTAAGTAATCACTGTATGTCAGCGACTGATGGGTGGTTGCAGTCATCTGGCTTGGTGAAGCGTACAAGGCAAGGTGCAAGGGTACTTTATTTAGTGTTAATGTTTCCCCCTGCAGTAAAGGCCGCACTGTGCTTTGTGAACTATGCATATACCGGCCACCAAAGCGTGGGATGTGATGTACTAACAGCAGCCCTTTATTTTCATTTTTATCTGGTTCTTCTTCCTCGCTTTCTTTCTTTGTGTGTGTTGTTTGCCTTGGCGGTGGTTTATTATATATTCTAGACCTCTCCAAGTTCCGTAGTGCCTAACAGATATGAGATATGGAAGTTGCACCCGAGCAATAACTTGGTTAGCAACGTTGGTGAGTGGTACTACTAGTGCGGAGTACAGATTCCGTTGCTTAACTCCGTTGTTGTGTACGTTGTGTACACGGATCCGTACCTGGTCACACTTTTAACATACCTACCCCGCTAAAGCTTTGGGCGCTGCTTCCGTTGCTGTGGTTGGCCATTAGTCCCCTGTGCAAACAAACTACACCAAATAATTCAGCTTGGCTAATAGTGGTCTTGCATCCTCACCATAACTTTTTCTTCACCATCCTACATCCCCCACTGCACAGCTTTGTTTGTTCGATCCCTTCACATCACACAGGCATCGCAATCATGGCCGGTGACATAAGCCGTGTTGTCCAGCTCTTGGATGCCACACTGAAGCCTGCTGAGCGTAAGAAAGGTATGTTGAACCACTGCAATGCCCCGCCTTGCTCCTCTATCCCGTCCAGCATTTGCGAAGGTGTATCACAAGGAGCCCTCGACTGACTAATCCATCGCGCAGCCGAGAGCCTTCTCAAGGCAGAGGAGAAGCAGCCCAAGTTTTCTCTGCTCCTCTTGCAAATCGTACACAACGAGTCGCTGCCTGCACAGAATCGCCTGTCGGCCGCCCTATACTTCAAGAATTTCATCCGATTCAACTATGTGGTATGTTGGGTCCGGCACAGCTTCAAAGAACCCATACTAAAGATCGGCATGTCTAGGATGCACAAGGCAGCTACAAGCTGCCGCAAGATGAGGTCAACACCATCAAGCAGGAGTTGATTGGACTCATGATTTCATGTCCCCCCTCGATCCAGACTCAGCTCGGGGATGCTATTAGCTTGATTGCCGACTCGGATTTCTGGGAGAGATGGCAAACACTCGTTCAGGTATGCAACACAAGACAAGCCCGGCCCGGAGCATAATCGCAGCGCTAATCAATCAATGCAAACAGGATCTCGTCTCACGCTTGACCCCCGACAACGCCAAGGTTAACAACGGTGTATTAGAGGTTGCACACTCCATCTTTCAACGATGGCGTCCTCTGTACCGCTCCGATGAGCTCTTTACCGAAATCAACCATGTCTTGCAGACATTTGCTGTGCCTTTCCTCAACCTGCTGAATGTGAGCAGTCCCCAGATCGATATCAAAAGAGACGGTGCAATACTGACCACAGAATCGTGAAGGCCACCGATGGACAGATCAAGGCCAACCAGAACAACAAGGAGGCACTGAAGGCCTATTTCGAGACCATGAGCTTACTTGTCAAGGTCTTCTATGACCTGTCATGCCAGGACTTACCACCACAATTCGAGGATAATCTGGAGCGCATCTCAACTTTGCTGCACGAGTATCTCACTTACCAAAACGAGTTGCTTGTAGCGGATGACGACGATGAGGCTTCGGTGTTGGAGAACGTCAAGGCCGATATTTGCGAGGTGCTGCAGTTGTATACAAGCAAGTACGACGACGAGTTTGGTCGCTTTACCCCGACATTCATCACCAGTGCCTGGAATCTGTTGTCATCGCTTGGCCCCCAGCAGAAGTACGACAACCTGGTCAGCAGGGCGCTGCAGTTCCTGACTGCTATTGCCGGCCAGGATCGACATGCTCAGAACTTCAATGATGAGAACGTGTTGAAGCAAATTGTTGAAGGAGTCGTGCTGCCAAACGTCGCGCTGCGTGAGTCTGACATTGAACAGTTCGAAGATGAACCTATTGAGTTCATCCGACGAGATCTCGAAGGCTCGGACACGGATTCCAGACGCCGTGCAGCCACAGATTTCCTCAAAAAGCTCCAGGAAAAGTTCGAAGGGCTTGTGACTGGAGTCGCCGGAAAGTACATCAACCACTACTTGGAGCAAGGCAAGTCAAACTGGAAGGATAAGGACACTGCTGTATCGTTATTCTTCTCTGTCGCCGCCAAGGGTGCCGTGACTGCAGCACAGGGTGTCAAGACGGTCAACTCGCTCATTGACGTCGTCGACTTCTTCCAGAAGCACATTGCCTCGGACCTCGTCGATGTTGGTTCTGAACCAATTTCCAAGGTTGACGCAATCAAGTTCCTATACACATTCCGCAGCCAGCTCACCAAGGAGCAATGGCAAGCAGCATTTCAACCACTCATCCAAAACCTGGGCTCCGATAACTACGTGGTCTATACGTATGCTGCTATCGCTGTAGAGCGTGTTCTGTATCTGACAGATGATGCTGGCAGCCATGTATTCACCCGGAACGACATTGAGCCTTTCGCGAAGGACCTACTCGACCATTTGTTCAAGCTCGTAGAGAAGGAAAGCGTTGCAGCAAAGATGCAGGAGAACGAGTTCTTGATGCGGTGCATCATGCGTGTGCTGATCGTCATGAAGGATGGAGTATTGCCCTTTGCCGACATGGTTTTGGACCACCTGATCAACATAACTGCTGTCATCAAGGAGAACCCCAGCAACCCTCGATTCTATTATTACCACTTCGAAGCACTGGGTGCATTGGTCAAGTAAGTTTCTAGTTACTGAACGATGTACAAAGCTCGCTGCTGACTGATATTCTTAGAAATGGTTCTCCGGGTGCTAGCGCACAATTGCAGGAGCGGTTATGGACACCTTTCCACGAAATCCTCACTGAGGAGGTCAACGGTATGCGTTTCTCCACAGAAGTGACATTGCGGGCAGTACTGACGATTGGTAGAGTTTATTCCTTACGTCTTGCAACTTTTTGCAGCACTCTTGGAACCCAATGCATCAGGTGCTCTCCCTGCTCACTACAAGGCTCTAATCGTACCCCTCGTCCTACCAACAATATGGGAAACGAGAGGCAACGTTCCCGGTGCTGCTCGTTTGCTGGCTGCCATTGTTCCAAGAACGGCTGATTCAATCGTGGCTGAGAACCAACTTGAGCCGATCTTGGGTATCTTCCAGAAACTGCTCAGCGGCAAGAAGACTGAACAAAGTGCATTTGATATTCTCGACGCAATTGTAGTAGCGTTTCCCAAGTACGTACTTCTCCGGCCGCAAAGATGACATGGTCTAACAAGTTGATAGGGCTATCATTGAGAAGTATTTCGTCACCATCCTGCAGCTCCTGTACACCAAGCTTCAGAGCAATCCCTCAGACTCGTTCAAGCGAAGCTTTGTCTGCTTCTACCATCTGATCTCTGCCAGGACAGATGCTGGACTAGGAGCCGATTTCTTCATTGCCAAGACCAACGCCATTCAAGAGGGCATCTTCGTGCCTATCTATCTGCAACAAATTCTACCTACTTCACAGACTTTGGCTCGCCCCGTTGACCGAAAACTTGCCGTCGTGTCCTTCGCCAAAACACTTGCAAAGAGCCAGGCATTTGCACAGCGTTACCAGAAAGGTTGGCGCTTCACTTGCGAGGCCATGCTGACCTTGCTGGCGAATGCGCCGAAGGTGGCGACCGGAGGCAATGGTGAGGTGGTGAATGAGGCAGATGTCGATGATATAGGGTTTGGTATGGGTTTTACGCCGTTAAACACATGCAAGCAACCACCGCGGGACGAGCTCCCCCAAGTTCAGGACATTTCTCAATGGGTAAAGCAGTACCTCACGCAGGAGAATGCCGCGTCCAACAACGCCATCGCTGGTTACGTCCAGGAGCGTCTTACAGACGAAGGCAAACAGGCTTTGGCCGTGTACATCAGCTAGGGGCAATAGTTGTATGATTTTGAGGATGATTGCATTTTCTGGATGGAAGCGAGATACCATGTCACTACACATCATGTAGATAGGGACCAAAAGGAGTACTTGAGAGGCTATTTCACGAATAAATCACGATCCACCATGAAGTATTGTTCGCCTGATATGCCTATAACTAGCTGGTCAAGAAGTTTTTTCAGCGCTAGAAGAATATCATCGACTACATAGACACTACGGACTTCCCATTGTAGCAATACAAGATAGACCTCATATCACCATTACCAAAACAACAGGTTCTAGGCGAATTTTGCCGTGAGCCCGTTCCCAATCCACGTGACAATATCCTCGATCACCTCCTGTACCGTGGGCTAGAAGGAGGCTCCCCCTTCAAGAAAGATCATGCCCGCAAGTGCTGCACGACCATCTTGCCCTATTATGGCCTTTGTGGTTCTTATCATTTCCATCCACCTGAAGTCGATTCCTGATGATTTCGTGAATCTCTTTGGTTCTCTTCGGGGAAGGTCGTAGGGTACTCCGGGAACAATGGGGGAAGACGATCTTGCTCAGCGCCCTTCCGTCTGTCTTCCATTCCCTTTGACCGGTACTACATGGACAGCGGTAGGCGGCTGGGTATAGGTCCCTGTCCATGTAGCCAGCTCGGAATGTCAGGTTTCTCATCTCCAGCGCTGTCGAGTGCCGCACGTGGTAGATGAAGAAATGGGACAGCTGCAACGGCTTGTCGAGAGGAACTGTCCCCCAGAGTACCTTCAATTAGTTCTCATGCCGGCTGAACACCCAGCGGGTGGGCGTGTCACTTACAGCTGATGACAAAGTGATTCTGGCCATAGAGGACCGGTGTGGCCTCCATATTGATCTGCTTACACGTTTGCAGGATCGGCGCCTGAGCTCGCCAATGAGCCGGAGGAGCACCGCCGCAAAAATGGCAGAAGCTTGAACGCTGTCGCCTGGTGTGTGATATCAGTATCTTCGGCGACGAGCATAGAAGCAGCTCGTAGACCGCAAGCCGTAGCTCCAAGGGGAGTCTCGCCAGGAGCAGGCAAATACCAATCGGCGGTGTCTGGTTGAGCGGGCGGTACGACTGCAGGGTTGTTAATGAGCTTGTCGTCAGCCATCAAAACACGCAACATCACTGCCGGTTTCCCGGTTCAGAAAGCGTACCTGAGCAGCCGCTGACAGGAGGAGTTCCTGCTGTCGATTGGGCTCCAAGGCCCTGAGAAGCTTCATGGTGGTCAGGAAGTAAAATCAGTCAGCTGAGAATGTCTGAGGCTGCGGTAGGAATACCAACTAAGTCGTGTCTTGAGCTGTACAATATCCAAGCTGTGTGGTCTTGTTTCTTGTGGTTGTGCCTCGGGGTTAAACTGTAAAAGTGTGTCAGGCAACCACAAGTCCATTGATTCCAGTGAATAATATGTTTGGTTCCAATGAGGACGGCTTTTAAACTTGGACTGTGCAGTACATGCCATCGATGAGCCGGCGCAGCAGATTTCATGGGCGGCAGCGGGGCGGCTTTGTAATAGTGTTGGCAGGAACAGCTGCTATCATGAACTCAACTGTGACTGTTGCGGCACCATTGTATGCTTTGGTCTTTCTGTGTCTTTGACACACTGCTCTTGTGCTATTCCATCAGGAATTTTTTGCCACGAATACGCAAATCTCCGACTAGTCTATTACATGAACAGGATGTTGATCAATGCTTCTTCATATTCCACAGTCAGTCAGGTGTAGATAATACTGCTCCGTGGAGAAAACAAGCTTCAATGCCCAGCTACACATTGCTACGGCCTTTCCACGATCACATAGTACTCCCCCCCATGTTCGGCCCTTCCTCCAACTGTCCGCGGTATGATTTGCCGTTGATTCTTGTCTGGTTCATAACACATTCTTGGCACCTGAATTCAGGTTCAGTATTCGTTCTCATGGCGTGTTGTGATAATCAAGTCTACGCTGCTGGTTAACTTCCCAATAATCGACCTCTTTTGGGCCGCTACGCATGCGGTCATGATAGTGTTGGCTTGAGGTTTGGGAGCTCTTAGGCATTACCTAACTTGGGAAGCTCAAAGGGCGGCTTTGACTTATGATTGGTTTGTAAACAATGCGGGGGGTCTTAGCAAGTGGGAGTGGATATCGGACATGGTGGCCCCATAAAGAGTTGCCTGAGCTGTGCGTTCACACAGACTTGGTTGATATCATGGATGAGTTGTATGCCCGGGATTTCAGGATATTAGTAAGCGCCAGTCATAGTTCTGTGGCCTTTCGGCTTGCGGCATAACGTCACTGCAATATTGCTGCAGTGTTATCAATGCTCGCAGATTGCGAATTCTCAGGGTGCCTGTACTCCGTAATCTGCCCATATTACACCACCCATGCATATGCGTACATACATGTGCGGGCATCTGTACGTTGCAGCCAAGGGCATCAATTGACAATCACGAGAACACGATGATCGCTGGAAGAAGATCACGTTCACCATGCAGCGGGTCGTTCTTTTTCTCGATCCGGGGATGGGCACATGTGCAACTCGAGGATTGTTTGGTTGAACAAAGACTAAATTGAAAAGGGTTCTAGCTGCCGTGCTGCATGATGATGAAATAGCATGCGACGAGGGTCTGGGGAGCTCAAGGAGCTTGAGGAGCTTGGATCATCCAGATGAACTAGCTCCCAGCTCGCCAGCACTAGTCACGCTAAAACTTCCCAGGCAATTTCGCATCGCCAGAGCCGAGGAGGATCCTTGTGACGGGCATGAAGCTCCTCCAACAGGAGCGGGTGTCAGGCAGTGGGAGCTCAACGAAGCCCACTTGATCGCCCATGGGGATTCTGGACTGGATCGAATCATGAATGGGGCCAAGTGACGAAATATGGAACCACTTTGGGGTTCGGATTGTATTCAAGCGTCGAATTCCCATCTGAGCTGGGGTGAGGTTTTCTGAACTTCTGATGTCACGAGAGTTCGTTCTAACACAAGGGGAAACAAAGTCAATTTGAGCTTGAGTTTCCACCACTGAACTATCCGAGGAAAATCTCGCTAACGGCGAAAAACCGTTAGTTACACAACCTATCAAATTTGTTGCCTTTTTTTGCGCGCCTGTAAGGCTCTCGTCACTGCAGTTACGGACCTTGTCTAATCGTTCAGCCCTGGTTTGCGCTTGGCTTGGCCTGGCTTGACTTGACGGCTCTGTTGCGAGTTGCAATCACGCCCATGCTCATGCCCATGCCCATGTAGAAGCTAGGCCGGCGAACTCAGCCCATCAAGTGGTCTTCTGAGAGATCCAGAGGGGCCGAAAAGTTGATCGGTGGATTTTGATCCGGGCTTTTTTGTTTCCTCGCCCACATCACATCACGAGTCACGAGAAGAGTCGCGAAGCATCGGCGGCCTACGATACCACACACCACCCTACCTCATCCTTCTTTGCCAACACTCCGTGAACTTGTTTCGCGGCGTTTGTTATAAACGTCACAAGTGCAAGCTCCTCAAATTACCAGGATCTCTTCCTTTGTTCATTTATAGCGCCCTTGATCTCAAACCTGGCGCGAATTGATCACAATTCCTACACACAATGGCTGTGCAAGGAGCGGAGGATGTTTATTTAACAGTAAGTTAGCTCCCACTACCGGCTGCCGACCAACGGCCGCTGGTCATCAGAGCTTATGGCTGACAACTCACGCGACAGCTTCTACTAACCGACACATACTTGCCTGGTAAACTCCTTCCGCCCAAGCAAAGTACTCAATCCCCCAACATTTCTTTCTAACGAGACGACAGGTGCTTTGGTGCTTGCGCATTCGCTGCGAGACAGCGGTACCACAAAGAAGCTCGGTGTGCTAGTCACCTTGGATTCGGTGGCTGCCGAAGTTATTACACAACTCAAGGTAGGCTTAAGCTTAAGCTTCTCACGCTCTGATTTATAAAGTCCTGCCACGTCCGCGTTCTAATCGACTCCAAACCGCAGACGGTATACGATTATGTCATTCCGGTACCACGAATCAAGAATGCTTTCCCCGCGAACCTGTCGCTCATGAACCGTACCGATCTCGCCTCTGCCTTTACCAAGATCAACCTCTGGAAACAGACCAGCTTCAGGAAGATAGTTTACTTGGACGCAGATGTCGTGGCATACCGAGCCCCCGATGAGCTCTTCGACCTGCCCCATGCCTTCTCGGCTGCGCCAGACATCGGCTGGCCTGACATCTTCAACACGGGCGTCATGGTCTTGACACCTAACATGGGGGACTACTACGCCCTCTCCGCCATGGCAGAAAGAGGCATATCCTTTGATGGAGCCGATCAAGGCCTGCTGAACATGTATTTCAAGAATACCTATAATCGTTTGAGCTTTACTTACAATGTTACCCCGTCCGGCCACTATCAATATATCCCTGCCTACCGCCACTTCCAATCGAGTATCAATATGGTCCACTTTATCGGCACAGACAAGCCTTGGTACCAAGGGCGAAGTGCGAGTGCAGGGAGTGGGCCGTACGACGAGATGATTGGCAGATGGTGGGCAGTATACGATAGACATTATAGGGCTGAGGTAAACACATGCTTCCCCTCGATTTCTTTCGATGCAGATCCGCTAATAAATCCAGTCTCCCAAGGATACCGCTGCAACACCACAAATAGAACTGGTACAGTACCTGACCAAGGGAGAATATCAACCGCCACAGCCTCGAGTCACCAACATCGAACATGGCAAGAGCACGGGTGAGCATTACGATGAACATGGAGACGACCAAGCGCCACAATCCAATTATCCCCAACAAGATGGTGTCCCTGGCGGCCATGCCCAGCACCACATTGGGCAACCTGTCGGCCACGGGGGCAGCATCAAGCTCAGTCCGGGGCCACCACACAGTCCCATGAGCAGTTTCCTAGTACATCGTCGTTTAGTAGCTCTACCGTCGAGGGAACCCAAGCTGAGGCTCGTGCAGAGCAGGTTCCCCAGCAGCAGTATCATCCGGAGGCCCCTCCCCCTCCGCCGGAGGAGAAGAAGCCCGAGCGGCCACCCGTCACCTTCTCTGACTGGGACGCTCAAAGGTTAGTCTATGATCAATCCGCGCCTGTGTTTATGCCGAGTCCTAATGATGGTTTAGACATCCTCCACCAGCCGACTCGAAACCGGAAGCTGCGAATTTCCCCGCCATATCTTATGAGATGTCGAAAGAAACTGCTCCGTTCGTCCCTCCCGAACGATACCCGAGCCCGCCGAAAGACATGTGGTACAAGGTCCCGGAACAACCACCCACATATCGTGTCGAGAAGCCCAAGTCCATCTTCCCTTGGGAGACCAGCCAACCACGGCCGACTCGTGTTTTTGCCGATGATTCGTCCCAGACTCAAGAAACCGAGACGGAGAAATCGAGCACGCCTACGGGTGAGCCACGGGCTTCTGCTCCTTTTGAAAGCCAGCCGCCGACTGAAACTACTTTTATAGAGCACTCCGGTGCAGAACAGAAAGAGCCAGTCACACCTGCCACCCCAACCATCCATATCACGCCATCAGATCCTTGGACTGCTTTTACTCGGACCAATGCATGGGACGAAGTGCCCGCAATCGAGCGCTACGTCGACAAAATGCAGAGTCACCGACGTACAAGAAGTCTGAAATCTCCTGGCAAGATAGACCTATCGGGTCCGGGCGGGGCGGTGGCGGAGCGTGACTTTGCGCAGACGCGACGCGGTTCTAGAGTGACCGACTTCCCGTCGGAAGCTGAACGCCCGAGTCTGCCGGTTACGCCTGCACCCATCCGCCGGCCGAAGTTCTGGGGTGGCGGTGGCCCCGGCATCGGCGATGGTGATGACGACGATCCTTTGCTGCCGGCCGCGGAGGGCGTGCCTGGCCAAAGTGAATGGGTATGTGTGCATGGGCGATGGTGGAAGCCAACAGATTGCCTTTGCGACCTAACTAACGTTCTGCGTCATCATAAGGATCCTGTAGCGCAACTCCAGAAACTGGCTAAGCAACAGTCCGAGGCGCTGCTACAGAAGCTTGGGGACCATACTCATGACAGCGACGACTTGCCGTCACGATCTGTTCCATTTGGTTCCGAGGATTTGACTTCCCCCACGTACATGGCGCGATCTCCTCAAGTGCTAAGTCCGCAACCAGTGAAAGGTAGCGCCAGCTCAAGCATAGTTCGCAGCATTGTCTCCGAAGAACCGGCGAAACCTCGAGATTCAAACCGAACAAGTGACACAGCTACATCAGATACTGTCTTGAAGCCAAGCTACAGCGGGCCCGGCTCCGAATTCGAGAAGGGCGAGGACTTCTCCAAGCACTCAACCCCTTTGCCGCCAAGCGAGAACGAATTAGATGTGCTTAACTCATAGGAGGTCCGCAGTACTGCCTCTGCTAATGCTTATTGCTAGTACAAATGGTTTTGCATTACACGACATAGCTGTAATGTGTGTAGTATAAGGGAACTTGGTGTCACGATACACGGAATACGAAGAACGATGAATCAGAGGAAATGGCGGCCAAGGTGGATGATGCCGCCGCAGTACATACCTTGCTGCTGGTCTGTATCGATAATTCAGCATAATCAACTACTGGGACTGAGCTTGGACGATAGTGCCATCTGCCAAACAAACAATGAAAATCGTTCCTCAGTAATCTTGGTTCTAGGCTTTATAGTAGTTCCACCCAAAATAAGCATGCGATGTCTGAAATAGACTGCTTGTCGAAGAGCCGCTGACCACGAACGGGATCACATTTTGTCCATTCCTCTTTATATTTCCCCTTTGCTCAGACTGCACTGCTAAATAACGCTTCTGTGAAGAGCACTCAAAGAAATTTGAGATTGACCGATAATAGTAAATGTGCCTCGAAAGAATGGCAAGGATGAAGGAAGAAGATAGAAATAAAATCCTTGACAAATTCCTCGATATACAACAAGCGATGTGAAATTTGCGGGAAATACTCATCTTCAGCCAATAAAAGAAAAGGGGGTGATACATGGAGTTGGATCAATTCATATTCACGACTTGATATCTTATACCTCGCTTAACTGTTGCTGCGTAAAGGTAGCCCAAGATATACTGTCACATATGTCGATCTGACGAGACCAGATGATACATATATCATCATGGTCGAAAATCGAACATGGAGTTTATCAGGGCCACCGCGAGGATGCGCAGCTACGAAGTCCTCCCGGCCATCCTTGGGCCGTAGAAAGGGAGAAACTCGAACCGTGGGAACCGCTTGGTGGCAGTATTTGGCAAGACTCAATATTGAAGCCATTTCAGTTTCCACTCGCCGCATCTGCTTGCGGTGTAGTTCGTGTGAAAAAGCCATGGCGAGGTTCACCCAACCCCCTGTCTCTCTGAGCTATACATCTTCTATTTGTTTCTCGAAACCCTGTCCACAGCCGCAATGCACTAATCGAGACTATGCGTCAGTTCTTTGTCTTCATTCAGCTGGGAGGAAGGAAAAAGACTACGTGTTCCTCTCGACCCCTTAATGGTTGCTCCCTTTTCCGCCCCCGCCCCCCTTGTTGACTCTGACTATACACCCGAATACTCAATGGAATAAGTCACGCGTGTCACTTTTCCCTCAGTGGTATTCATCAACCCTCATCCCCCCCCCCAAAACTTCGTACGAACTCTGCCAGGTCGTCTGTTGATTATTGAGGAGCCAAGTCCGAGCGTAGCTCGATGGAGAGCTCCCTTTGTAGCGGAGAAGAAAGAGGCAGCTGAAAGCTACAACACACGGCTATCGTGAGATCCGATCGTTAGTCTCTTCAGCTCATCGACGATCCTCTCTAGACTAGTTGTAACCTGTCAAGCAACAAAAGTCCTCGGGCCTATTTGTAATATCGACGCCGCGAGATGGGGCTAGCATCCAATCAGCTGGGCCCGACGGGGCTCAGCTGAAAGTTTAGGCGTACGAGTTAGGCGGGACTAGTCAGGTTGCTAGAGCCTATGCTACATAGCGGAGGTTTTTAGCAGGGCGGGAAATGGTGCGATAGGTGTAGACTTTCCGCAGTGCTACGTAGCTGGTCGGCAGGTATTGGATGGGATGGGATGAGACGATGGTACTTATACAAGCTATGGCGTTATGTAACCCCCTGAGTTGGTCCTCAGGTTACAAATGGTATATATGGGTCGCTTGATTTCCTCTTGCTTGTCCAGCGATCCGAGCTGTGATGAGTAAATATTTACAATTATTATTTCCAGTCAACCGTGGGATTTGCAGGCGCTTGAATGCCATTCTTGATGTCAGAGTTTGAGAAGGAAAAAAAAATTTGAGGAAATAAAATATGGGAAAAGGAGGTCATGAGGAAATAAGGGCAATATAGGGAGGGTGCATTGCAGGCCAACAGGCTTAAATCTCGACAGCACGTTTCGATTCGGCCTTTTAAGTTGAATACTCCGACAAGTACCATTACAGGCTCCCAGAAGGAGAAAGAGATAATTACCGGTTTGGCGTTGTCGACATGCCATAATCAAACATCAGGAAATGGGATCGCATAGCTCAAGTCCGAAGACTCCAAGCGAATTCGGCCAATTGCGGATCCCGTTGTCGTACATCATCACAGCTTCTTCTTAACACTTGCGACGACGAGCCACCGCCTCCGATCACTGTCGTCCTTCCGTTCAATCGCCCACTCCCTTTCCTGGCCTTCGACGTCTCGCTCCCAGATCTTCTCGAGCTCGAGCCCAGCCTCGGCCAGTTTCCGATCGTCAAAGAATCCGACCATATTGTGGCGGCCTGTGTGGAAGCCAGCCACAATCCAGGCCCGCGACTCAGCACTATCCTTCATGAACCAGCTAATCGACCGGCGTAGGTTGTCGTGCTGCCAGGGCATCCAGAGGCAGTCACAAGCAAGCACACGGTCGAAACCGCCTTTATGTTTTTGTGTAAACGGACCAGAATCTAGATCACCCCAGGCATGGCCCTCCACTGAAATGGATTCCGCGGGTTTGCCCAATGGTGAGAATGTAGGATGCGTGTTGTGTGACAAATTCGCATGCAACAGCTCCATGAGTGGTGGCGATGGGTAGTCAGTGGCCACGACACTTTTGGCACCTGACAGGGCAGATAATATGCTGGGCAGTGCAGTTCCCGAACCGAGCTCGATCGTCGACAAGCCGCGAACATCAAACGCCGCTTCGATCAGCCTTCCCTCTCCTAGTTCTAAAGCCTCGCCACGTCTGAGCGGAGGACAAAGCTGCAAACCTGACGTCCCGGCTTCGATAAACTCGGCAAGCATGAGAGAGGCGTTCCAGAGATAGTGACCGAATAGCACACGGTCCTCCTCTTCGTCTGGGTCCGCTAGCCGAATATATAGTGGCTTGGGTAAGTGAGGCGAGGTGTATCTAAGCGCATGAGATGCGTCGCCATGTTGAGTCATAACATCATCGGGAAATATGGTGGCCAGCGACTCGTTCAGGAAGTCTTCAGGGTCCTCGCACACTTCGACATTGGTTATCCTGAGCAGAAGAGCCATGGTTGTGCAGATGAAGGGGTCAAAAAAGATGCGTATCCGGGAAGCCAAGCCTCAGGCGACCCAGGACTCGAATCAATGGTTGTCTCGAGAATGGAATTCACACCCGTGGTGACACCGGGGCACACGGAAGCCTGAGCCACAACCCCGGAAATGACGATATATCAGCACGGAGCTGTGGTACGAACTCAATATACGGGAGCTTGGAGCTTGTAATTGGATGGTCGGACAGGATGCGGGCCGGTCCGCCAGGAGTCCAAAATCTCGCACGTCACCGCAGCAGAAAAAGAAGCAAGGGACTGGCGATCCGGGGTACGCTGGACTCACCCTTGGCCAATTCAGACGAAAGCGTGATGAGGCAGTGCGACATGCGTCAACCCAAGTTCTCGGTACCCAATACGGTCTAATGGAGGGGCAGTGCTTCCCAAGACTTTTTAAAAAGGAGGAGACGGGCATGTCGTCAGCGTGGGATTTGAGTGCTTTGGGTGCCATACTCAAAACCCACACCGCTTAGGGCCGGTCTGATACCCAAAAGAGCATAGCTCAGAAAGGAAAACCAGCGGCGTTCATTCCATTCCTTCCGCCACGGGTCCTTATACAAGTCCCGCAGCACCCCCTGTACAGCAATCGCTTATTATTCCTCTCTTTGATTTAGGCCGGCGGTGTGCTGTAGCTTTTTTTCCTCTTCCTTCACTGCCGCAACGATGCTGCTTCTTCGATTGGGCTGTGCCGCTGCACGAAAACAAACAAGTGTACCGCGAATATCCACCTGCATGAATTTAAGGTACGTTTCAGGACGAGGCCACTTTGGTCACGAGAGGCTATTGATGAGCTGGGATTTGAGGAGAAGCAAAAACAATGCGGGCTTGCGAATATTTCGTGCCGCGATTGGCGATTCCATGTGCAGCGTGGTAGGTGGTGGCGCGTGGGCGTATGGGGCTATAACCAAGTTCAATGCTGTATATCCAATATTTGCGCGACTCTGTTTCTTGGCCTCTGAGTTTGAGAGTCTTTCGCGGCATTGAGACATTTTGTGTCTTGTTAAAAAGGACAAGTCGATCAAGAGCCGATTCGTTGGGGGTGCATATACAGGTAAGTTTGTCATTATGGTTGTCAAGCGTCAGATATTGATTTGAAATGATCTTATTCCCCAGATTGCTGGGTTTTGATTATAGTAGAGATTCTCATCATGTAGCCATCATAAGCCAGTGAAAACCTGAAGAAGAAAAATAAACAGGGTATCGTCACCACGCTCGAAAGGTGAAGTAAATACAAGCCAAATAAAGGCAGTCGCTTCGCAAATACAATGTCCCATGCCGAGTATGACCAATTCGCTCTGTGGTATTGGCACACCCCAATTTGTAGTATCCCCATATGCCATTAGTCCCACCATAAAAGATCTGCGCCAGCCATGCTCCATGATTTCCTTTTGTTTTTGGTTGGGGTCATCTCTGCATGCGGTGTGCCGGATGATATTAGATGGTATATATACGGTGCTCATCCGGAGTATGTATAGTGATGGGGGGGGAATGCTGTGAGAGGATGCTGTTTATTGACCAGCAAGCTCAAGCATCTTGCGCATGTCCTCCTCTGTGGGGTCATCTGAAATCCAGATGCCTTTCTCCTCTTCGGTAGCATCAAGGAAGCCTTGCGCGCGCTTCATTGTTTGTACATCCAGGTCGGTCACATACGACTTGCCATCGGCAAGCTTGATGCGTACCTCTTGCTCAGTTGATAACATCATGTCATCCTTGGCGAGGCGACGAGAACCGTCAAAAACCGTCATGACTCGCTTCTTCATGGTCATCTGACCCTTATCGAAGCCCCAGGACGAAGGATAGTCACGACGGTTCTTTCGACTCTTGGACTTGCTGCTCAAGCTAACACCACCACGAGAGTGTGTCATGCCCCGCGACTTCTGCACACCATTGACAGGGTTACCCTTTCTGTTCCTGGGTGAAGGCCTTTTTCCCTTGAAGTCCTCGTCAAAGTCGTCATCATCCATGTCATCATCATCATCCATGTCGGAGTAGCTAGTCGTTTGCGTAGTAAGAGGCAGAGAGTTCTTCTCCAATGTCTGGTGGACATCCTTGTCGTTCTCAACCTCAGCTAGCCGTCTTGCGTTGACAGATTCGGCAGGGTCTTCTTGTTGAACGATGCGGAGAACACAGTCGTCCAAATGCTCATAAAAGTCTTGTGCATTGGAGAAAGTCACTGAACAAGTCGAGCACTTGCCAGTGGCATCGGAAGCATAACTGCTCAACTTCTTACCACTATTTGCGGACGAAGACTTCTTGCGGCTGTTGGGTGGTGTCTGCTCAACGCCGTGAACGGCTGTCAGATGACGTTTGAAGACGTCCGCCCTGTTGAATGACTTCTCAGCCGCCGACCCGGATCCAGGACAGAAGCCGCACACCATTGTCCCTTTGTAGTGGGTCAAGGTATGTCTGTTCTTGTCATACTTGCGCGCAAAACCCTTGATGTGGTAGTCGCATGTCTGGATTGGACACTTCTCTGGACGCTCATTTTGATGCGTTAGCATGTGGGCTTTCAAATCCTTGAAAGTCTTCCCGCAGTCGGGATGTGGGCACCGTTGCTTCTCCTTCAACTCGTCACCGCTGTAAGAATACTCCTGAGGTGACTGGAAAGAGGACATGCTTGGACGCCTGGCATCCTGCTGAGGAACAGCAAACGGACTATATTGAAACCCAGGGACGTATGGCGATGCACTGCCATTTCTGATACCCGGCACAGGGGAGGTGGCTCCTGACAGAGCCGGTGATTGTGGATACGGGTTATGCTCGTATCCCTGCATCGGTGGCCCCATGGGTCCCCGGATCTCAGGATGGATCAGAGAGGGATCTATATGCATTCGAGTCAGTACAGTCGTATTTTTCTCTTGGGGGTTGAAGTGTAACAGAGGAAACCAACAAGAAGAATCAAGAGGAGCGACAAAACGACCACTACTCTGAAAAAAGAAAGAAGAGTGCGAAGACTTGGTGGAAGCTACAGGGGTAATGGGACTGTTCCATTCAGGTCCGGCAGTAACCAGAGGAGAAAAGATTGAAGGGGCTGATGAAATTGGTGATGTCCAAGCTAAGCTTGCTGTCGAAGACATGGGAGTCGTCACTTGGGAAGGAGAGTCCACCTGTGGCGTGGCTGTGTCTAGCGCAAGAGGGAAAGAAGCGGAGTGCGAAATACTTCTAGGAATCTGTGTCGACTCACCAACAAATCCTGGTTTGCTGTCTGTATATGCCAACTCATAGCCTTCGATGGCTTGAGGGACATATGTCGTGTACTCCGTTCCGGTATAGTAGTCGTGGTGTACTATGCTTGGATTTACGCCAAGCGTGTTATGGGTGTATTCAGGAACATATGCCAGTTGCCCATGGTTGGATTGTGGCGAGCCCATATTGGATGATGATGCGGAGGTAGTTGATCGGTTAGACGAGGGTAACCGCAGTTCGCCATCTTCTTGATATGCGACTGGTGAACCAGTCGTATCATAGAACATACGCGGTGCCTCTGCGTATAAAGGATTTACTTCAAAGCCGGTGGTCTGAGGAAACCCAAAGCCTTGTGGGCTATATTGCTCCATTGGTGGTGAAGCATAGCTTCCTGCTTGTTCCCCGGAATACAGCAGGAAGTCACGGTCGCCAGTGGATGTCGGAAACATGTTGTATGATTGTTCTGCTATTGAGGCCATATTGACGGCTCTGTGTGATTTGGCGGTGGGCTTTGTCTTGCGAGCAAAGGCCACGCTGCTCACGCTAGGAATCCCTGCACCGGTCGAAAGGCTGAAAGAAGCAAGAAAAGATGGCAATGTCAGTCAATAGCCGGAGAGTTCTCCGAATCTTAAGACCTCATACACGATCACGGCAAGACTGTTTTCTTCGTGTGGAGTTGGTGGTTGCTGTTTCTGCACCAGGGATCTCGGTGTGAACAAAGCGTGGCGCGGACGATGATTTGATGTGAGATGGGAGGCTTCGTCGCAAGTCAAGGACCGGCAGTATTGGAACAGAATGGAATACGTCAATTTCGTTAATTGACGTATTGCTTCCCTTTTCAACTCGATCGTTCTATATACGGGCTCTCCGATATTATGGGTTCTGACTGTGGGCAATGCGCTTGGTGGAAGGTTGCCACAGGAGTGAAAGTATTGGGTCGGTTTCTGATCTGTTCTCAGCGAGCAGAAGAAGTGTCGATGAGATTGTTATATATTGCTTGGAAGCAAACAGAAGTCGTGATGTCTGAGATCTATGGAGGGGGCCAGAAACATCACGCATAGGTTTCGGGGGACTCCCAGGATAATATACACCATAGCCGTAGAGACTGGGTCTGATGAATCTGGTAGGGCTCAGAGAGGTGGCAGTGATCCATGTGTCGACCAGGGGTCTCGAAGCACTAAAGACGAAAAGTCCGGGTGTACCACGGTACCTAGACGCTCCGCCGTATGGCCTTGTCATTGCTCGTCCTCAATACTTTGGTCGGTTTTTTCTCTGCGGGCCTAGCCTTTAGGAGAAAGCCAAGCTGCGATTGGGCTTGGTGGGCTTTGGTTTAGGCGTACAAACCAATGGCGTCGGGTACGTGGGAAGGTACCGACTGCTGTGGAGGTATGTACAGGTAGTCTGCAGGGCCCTGGACCCAAATTGGAGGAAACTCAAGACCGGGAAGGGGTGGGGCTTTTTCTTACCAGACCCCAAACCCTGGCAACCTGGTACCCAGCCAGCGCACTGGGGAACGAGAACGACGAGCTAGCGTGGAATTTAGCTACTAATCATGTACACTGGTATCGCCCGTATTCCTCTTCAGGTACAGTACGGCCAGCCATCACAGAGGCCCGTTTCCCTCCCTCGAGGGTTATGCACCCCTGATTTCCTGATTCTGGTGGCCATGTCACTCGCGTTCCGTCCAGGCGAGAACATGTCCGCTGTGGACATGCGAGAGAGCAAGCGGAGCAGGCCGACTGCTCTGGCTCCTCTACTTCGTGCTCTGCCAATACCACAGGATTACAAGGACGTCTTGCACAAAAACATACATATCAGATGCCGGTGCTTGCTAGGTTAGCTGACACTGGACGCGCCAGGACAGGTCTCAGGTGGCAGCTTCCGTGTAGTGTGCATGGCATGGCCTGGCGGGGAATTTGCTTCAAGTAACTCTTTTTTGACTTCCTTCTTATCTCACAGTATAAGCAGCCCGGCTGTTGTACCCGGGCTCGCTGATCCATTGCTTTTTCTCAACACTCCCATGCTAATAGCCAAGCAATCCGAACATTGACGAGGCTGCAGCTCAGGGGAGTACCACTACTGATCATGGGACTCGATAATGTCTAGGCTTGATGGCCCGGGACATTTGATGTTTAGCAATTTATTTCCATCGTTTATGGGTGATGGCTGCAACATGACTACTGGTGCTTGAAGCTTTTTGGTAAATGCAGTGAATGCTGACTTTGAGCTTCGAGGAACATCTCCTCGTACTTGATGAACGAAAGCGCCACCGGCTCGAAACCATAAGGATCGGGGCGCTTGTGACTTTGTTCCGGCGAGTGAGAATAGAAGCTAATGACAACGGCTTTCTAGCCCCGCGACTTGTCTCACAAATCGCAGAAGCATTAGTAGTAAGTATGTGACAGACCGTGGTGCCCACGAAATTATCCACGCTATACCCCAAACTTGAAGCAACATATCGGGGAATTCTCAATCGAGTAAAACATAACGAGAAAATGCCTATCGGCCGGTCTCGATGGCCGGTCTCGATCACTGCAATGGCAAAGCGGAGCTTTCAAAGAAGGACAAATCTGGAGCTGGCGAAAGCCAGAAAATACTTTCAGAGCGAGTGGGCATCCGATGCCGTTCTCATGCGGAGAATACGCACATTGATGCATGGTGGAGGCTTTGAACACCGTGGGCGTGGTTCATATTGTTCCCAGTTTCGATGGCCTTGAAGTGTTATCCGATTGTTCAGTCGCACTGCATGCAACCAACAAGAAGAACACAACGAGACACTGGATCAGTCTTAGTGGAGTATATTTTTATTCACTGGGTGTCATCTGCAGTAGTTTGCATAACGCTCGATACTTGTCTTTCTACTTGTGCTATGCACAGCCCATCTGAGTCTGCAACTCGGTCGCGGAGTGACCAATCATATGCTCACAATGCAAACCAACGCCAGGTACAATTCACAGTTAAGCACCGCCCAATAGAAGCCCTATTTGTGAGGCAGGGAAGGGGCTTACACACATATCTCCTACGCTTTGATCGGTGTCTTGCGCTTGAATTATACTGCGTCTGATCCACCCACCACTCAAAGTTAAAACCTATTGCCTAACTGCTTCATCGCCGCGATTCAGAGAGCCCTACATGCATAGGAATGTATCAATCGGGATGGCATGTAGCACCTGTGGTAAGCATCTTATTAATATTACAGGCGGCTCTGCCCAAAACAGTAATGGTCCAGCTGCTGTGGTGCTTCGCATATGTCCGGCGAAGCGACAGCCCTTATGAGGGCTTGCGGGTAAGTTAGCGGTCAAAGAGCAGTACCGAGAAACGCAACAGCATCACACATACCCATGGCGCACCTCACTCTCTAATCAAACGCAGATACAGCATGGTGGCCGTATCTCGTCCAGTCATTTCGTCCCATCAACTTATGGGCCTTGTGTACGTTTTGACTGTCCAACGTTTACCATTGTTAAACTTTGATCATTTCGTGCAGAATTCAACTAGCTTCGCCATTGCATTCCACTGAGAAATCATGGTGCCATGTGGGGTGCGAGACATTAACAAGTCGCACTGACCGTCGAGAGAGGCCGGAGCCAACAAAAGAAAAATGTGCCCAGTTTTTCGACCGGAAGGTTTCGGATGACATAACACAAGGGGACTTTTGGCAGCAGGATACTTCGAGAGCCGACATGAAGACTGCTTCGATCTTGAAGATCATGAAGATCTTCGTTGTGGGTTCTGTGCTGTACTATGTAGATTAGAGGAAAACTTCTGGAACGTACTTTCCCATGCAAGATGATCTCACAATGTCTGAATGCGCAGTGCCCGACAACTCGGTCAACCAGACGAGTCAGCGGCAAAGCATTGCCGCGTTCGATTAAGGTATACAAAGTGCTGACCTACTTGACGAAGGATTTTGACTCGTCTGTGAGAGCCTGTCGGTAGAGGACCCTTTTTGCCTTCGTGGTTAGGCATATTTCTTGTCAATAACCTCAAGACAGTGAGCACAATCGGAACTCACTCCACTATCTCATAGGACACATCCCGCAATGTCAAAGCCGGAATGTGACATGATCGCTGGCTGTCAATCTTAGTCCAAGTGGTGGAGCTTGACGGTCTCAACGTGGGGTTGAAACAGCTCTGATCTTTTGTGCCATTAGGCCAAGTCTAGTATAGTGTCGAGATTAGCGGCGTCACGTCGCCGACTCGGGGACCAAGCACAAGATGTTCTGATTGGCCATTATACGCAGTCGCTTGCGTAGTTCAAATCCAAAGATAGCAATCCAATGAGGCAGTGCGAGTTCGATTCACTGTGTGGAGAACGGGAACTCTCTGCAACAGCATTGCTGCTATCTTTCGACAGTGCAACCTTATGACAAAGAATGTTTCCAATACTGTCTGGCAACACAACTCGATGGTAGTCAATACTACAATGCAAGTTCGCATTTGCAATCGGTTCACCTGGGCGTAGTAAACATTGTCGGGATAGTTGAAGTCGTAATGGAACTTATCCGGCGAAGGTACTGCTTGTACAGACAGGATGCAGTCTGACAGTTCCTGAACGTCATCAAGCATGGACTCGGGTACTCCTCCACGGTGACTGATTCTGATCGTCGCGGTGGAGATTTAATATGGAAGCAACAGCTCCCGAAAGATCACTTGAGTCTCCCCACAGCCGGCATCCTGACCGTACCGTGCAGTACCGATGCAGAAAGTTCATCCCATTGCAAAAGTAAACCCGTTACTTGTCCCGCGTCATAAGTTGCACATCTGTGAAATGATTATCAAGTAGGGTACTGAGACAATGTCGTATCCAGCAGTAAGCCTCGTGCCACTGATATCTGCTCAAATTGGCAAGTGTGGATACAAAGGGATTGAAATTGCCATGGTCAATTCGCTATGCTCAAAATTCTAGTTGTTAGGGGTTTGGTGGCAGAGGTGTGTCTCCGAGGTAGGGGAATGCTACTCTGCTGCATATGCCCATATGGTTTTGGTTACACAGCATGGAAGGATCAGAATTCCTACACCTGAAGCTTTGTCAAGCGCGTAACCAAACAGCCTGATAAAGGCTAGCGAGGCGACATGATAATGGGCAGATTGTGTTCATCACCAGGAAGCTCTTCACGACCGCGGGCACCTTCAGCCCTATCATTGCGGATAAGGCTGCTATGCGCTCTTTGTAAGAATCCATTCGCGGCTATAGAAGGATTCCTTGGCGTTATTAGCATGGCTACCTCCAGAGGTGTGAGGCGCTCCACGTGTTTTTCGAGGATGAGGATCTGACCATCTGCCGATGCGCTCCCCCTCTCACTTTGAAGGATGGCCATGTGCCATTGGCACCCCCTTGCAAGGCAGGACAGTGTCGCAGCCTGATCACCCATAAATATGTAATAATCTCTCATTCGTGTTAGTTGAGCGTGTGAGTGATCCTTCATCATGCTCGCTAGTTTCGCGAATGTTGATTGGTTTTAGTGCACAATGTTTTCCTGTACGATATAGGGGCAGCTTATTCCACGACGAAACACGGAGCTTATGGGCGGCATTAGTCTGTAGGGTCTACAGAGCCGCATTGCAAGTGACTCTAGCCTGAGGATCTGGCTTGTATTATCCCGGCCGTTTATCCCACCGACTCGCTAGTAAGCACAGGGGGGCTTAGCCACTGCAACATCGGCGGGCATATCATCAAGTAATCATGAGCAGGATTGCTTGGCTCGGCTACCATAAAGCCACACTTGAATGTGTCGGCCGTAACGCCAACGACGCTCCCGGACAATATTTGGTAAGCATAAGTTTAAGAAGTGTCAGAAACACTACCTGGTCGCCTCCCAATGCTACAACATGACGACATGAGAAGGAGGGATCGAACTCGTGTCAAACCAGAAGGCTGTCCACTACTGACTACTTTGAGAATATGAGTTGGCAACACTAGGTTCATAGAACGTAACGAACAGTCATGCTATGCTATTTTTTTATAAATTTTTTTTTTTTTACATACGCTCCTTCTACCGAAGAGACGCCTCCCGAGTCGCAAGTAGCCCCAGTCGCAAAGTAGAGTCTAAAACAACGATTGCCTTTCATTCCAGAACACGTACAGTAGTTAATGGTTGATATGATTATTTTTGTAGTTTCAATCTCGTCTCTACCGAACTTACATTTGAATTATAAGTGCTGACCAGTTAGCGAATGACTAATAGGCCGACTATTTTGGCACTGAGAAACATATGTAGTGACATTTCTTCAGGTGTCAGCCTAACGATTTCGGGGTAATATGATGAGTATTCTGCTGCATCTTACCCTCTCGGGTACTACATCTCATCTGATCAATGTGCCAAGACGGCACGACCGAAGCTTCAGAATTGAGCACAGGCCTTGGGTAGGATCCTTTCAGTCGGGGAAACCAAACTCACACGTGGCAAAGGTCTGCTAGCATTAAGCTGCCGAAGCAGAGTTTACAAGTTCAGCCACCACAACCCCGAAATTGGGCTCGGATGCTGCTAATGTGGACGTTCGACTAAAAGATGCTAGAAAGGAGACACCAGCGCTAAATAAAGATAGATTGAAAAGGCTCCCCGTTGAGCGAACAGAAGTCAATGCTTGCGAGTTAGAACTGCTCAACGGTCCAATTGCTGCGTTCAATTAAATAGTGGCTTCCTAATTGCTATCACTGGATTTTACAACTCCCGCCAGAACCGGGATGCATCGCGCACAGTAGATACTAGACAGTCCCGCTCCGCCGCGGACCTCCCTTGTTGGATATCCATAGCTCATCGCAATCACCTGGTTCCTCACAGACGCTTGTCGCTTGTCGGTACATGGTAGACTCTTCAAGCCGTCATGGATCCATCGTTGACCCATCTGCGGAACGCATTGATGGAATGGCAAGCCATGTCAGGGGTAAAGCAGATCTAAGCGCAATACTATGTACTTACTGGGCTCCCCCGTCGGTGCGCTAGGCCGACATCAGAGAAGTTTAGCGAATAATCCACAAATCTGAATGAATCGAGGATGGCGTGTTTACATATTCTGGTCCACTGCATGATTGCATACAACCTTCACTTGGCTTGCAGATGCTTATTGTGCAATATTCCACCATTTGGGATCATGAGTCCCCTAAAACGGCGAACTCCTAACAGGTCAAGTAAACCTTGTATGGAGCAATTGTCCCTAGGCACGTATGGAATCTAAACCTTGAAAGCATCACGGTACCCTCTCTTGGTACTTCAAGGACAAAAAAGCTCGGTAGATGAACTTTAATTCAAGCGAAGCGGTAGGCACCGGTCGTGCATCCGTACATAGAATTCCGTCCTTTAGAGGGGCCCCGTTGTCCCCCTAATTGTACTTCGTCGGTCCTCAAATGGCTGACTGTTGGTAACTAATCATTTCTTCAAAAGGGGATTGTTCCGTGGCCATGTTCCCCGAAGAGAGTCTATGGATGCATAAAAAGACAACAAGGTTCATGCAGAGGATGTCTGTGCAATCGTGCACATCGTTTTGAGCTGTGAGATTTATGTTTCAGGAGTACCGGCAGGCAGGCATTGCTATCAGTGGTTAGTTTGCGTTAGGTTTGTATACTTTGGATTCGTTTTTACGATGATCCCTTATGGACCGCCTTGAGCGGTGTCATAACTCAAATAGTTGAAAATTGCAGCCGCGGATTAGCGAGTTTGGAATTCCTCCTCGAGTGTACAATGTGCCTGTACCCGTGGCAGACAAGGAACACTCCACAAGGCTCAACCAGGATAATAAGATTGTACTGTGTATGCAATGTCTTTTTGTTAGTTTTACAGATTCCCCACCTTCGTCTTGAAGCCGATATATTCATTACTGCGCCGTGGTGTACTGTACTAGGCTAGAAATATGAGAGGCCGGCAGCTTGCGAACACGGAGCCAGTATCTATGGAGCGACATGATTAACCTTAGATGATCTTAATTGAGGGGTCAATGGTATGAGATATCACGATGAGTGAATTCCTTCATTACTACCTTGACCCTGGCAGCCCTGGTATGCCATGTTCTCTGAAGCTTGGCAAGTATCTCAGTTGCAGCCCTGGTGGATTATTAGAGTTGAGAGTAATAAGATCTTCGTATTATGATCTGTGATGGAGGGGGGCCAAGTCCTAGACTGCAGTGATGTCTACGTACTATTGGACAAACGACCCCACTACCATATCATTGGATAAGCATCCTCACCGGGATATTTAAGCACACGGTAACTTTCCGTAAGTCGTGTCTACAGAGCTATCCCCTTTTCGTCGTCTAGTGCTACTCCGTCTAAATTTGGAACCAATATGTAATGTTCAGCGATCTGACATGTTTTACTGTGGTAATCGTCAGATGTCCCCCGACACGAGCTATCAAAATTCATGGAGAAGATGGAGGTTTGTAACAAGTGTGTACTCTAAGGCTAGGGCATAGGCAAGTTTACGCGTCGTGGGAACACAATTTTGATTATCTCGAGGACATCGGGAGAGGCTGCAGTCGACCAACTCAATTGCCGCAGGCTACACGCGCTATACGCTCTATAGCGAATGCTAGACCGAATTTCCAAGAGCAGAGCCACTAAGCGTTTCTTCTTTGCCCAAACCTCAATCTATGATGCGAATACGGAATCCCTACAGCGGTGCTTGCAGATGTTAGTCTGGATAATGCGATGACAGATAATGAGTGTTATTGATCCGGCGTTTTGTGGGTTTGGTTGCCAGAATGACAATGACAACCAAGACAAGCTCCCGGAACGCCCAAGTCCCGAGTGCTCGGTAAACCGTGGCAGCCTATCAACAACCCCTGATACCGTGATACCACAATACCCTGCAAGATCTGTTGAAGGAAAACTTCGCAGAGCCACGGAATTTATCTTGGCTTGACTGCCCCTGCACACTACCCCGGACTAGCCTCTCGGTTACGTGGAGATCAAGATTTCTCGTCAGATTTTAGGGTACCTTTACATTGGGACCACTGTCGGGACCGAGAACATAGCAGCAACCAGGGCTACACGGAGCCAAGGAGCCTCGTGAGCAGAAGAAGAGGATGTTGTGGTGGGGATAGTTTCATTCATTTGAGTTTTCATGTTGCCTTCACGGTGGGCATCGCGCAATCACTCATGGTCTATGGATTCAAGCGAACTGTTTCCTAAGGAGCCGGTGGGCCAAGCATTAGGATCACTTTTTATCTGTGCTCGGATCGTGGATAATAAGAAATCTGGTATCACGTTCGCGACATCTGCAAGGTTGCAATCACTGGATCTGTCGGACTAGCCCCACATATTGGTGGCTCCGTCAATATGCCATACAACATAAAATGAAAGGGCGCTCTTGAGAACCGAGGATTTACGGAAAGGACTCTTCTTTGATCCAAGCGCCCTAGGCGACCGTCATCTCTGACCTGAGGTAGTGCTCTGCCAGTGAATGAACTGGTACTTCAACATTCATCGCGCCTGCTGCAGCAGGTTATACTGGCTAAACCTGACAATACCATACTGCATATTCGGAATACCGAGAAGATGTATCTCTTCCACCCGAGCGATCGGGAGATCGTTGACAACGTTGTCCTGTGGGAATCTAGACCATTGTGACGGTTCCTGCAAGTGCCGCCAATCCACTCTACCGGTACCGACTCTAGTGCCAGCGTACAGTCCGTATGTGTGCCAAAACACCGGTAAAGGTCAAAGCTCCTTACGTACTTGATTGGATGGTGAGCGCTTCTCCCAGTACACAGCAGTGGCTTCTTTGCGGACCTGTGTATTTTAGTCGCAATAAGCTATGAAATCGGCCTTCTCTACACTATTAATGTGGCGCTGATTTGTTCTTCATCACAAGAATAACACCGTGGCGTTAATGATCAACCCAAAAAACAATATCTGATTTCATTTATCCGTGTACCTATACACAGCAAATTTGACGATGTGATATGTGGGAGGTCAGATGCTTAGTTGTGCCGTGAATGGGTCAAGTCATTGATCCCCAGCATAAGGTCCCGAGGAAATGGTGCAGGAGGGGGCTTGCTGATCTGCAAGCCTCAAGCTTACTTGTGAATTGACAGAATTCGATCGCAGCATTTTCTTTTTCCGCGAGCGGTCAATCCTTCACTTCAGATACCCTGGATAGGCATAGACTGCCAATTCTTTACTTGTGCATTGTGTGACAACAACAAAACCTACTTAAACCTTGACCCGACGATCCAATCAATCCTCACTAAGACGCTCCAGAACTTCAAGTTGAACCATGTGCCGTGCTTGGCGCAGCATACAGCTGGTCGCCGAGTTGCCCGAGATTGTAACTGAAAGTACATCACACTCTAGGGTCTGGAAAACAAAACAAAATTCTCCGGAGTGGACTGGACGAAGCAGTAATCTATCAACCTAAACTGATCATTTTGCGGTATGGGGACCACCACGAATGCATGTACAGTACATAACAGGCGAAAGCAACTACTGAACCCTCACGAAAATTGGCACATCAATCCATAGCTGGCATCAACTATAGGCATGGTAATTGAAGTATCTTGTCATCTCTGATACTTTGCTTTTAATTGAAAGCCACAAGATGCATCCTTGGATCACAAGGCTTTGCTGGGGTGACGGGAGTGCCGCAGTTAGGTTGTCCCAACTGAATGGTTCGGAAAGCCACAAGAACTCAGCAGCACAGGGTATTAACGAGCACAGAAGATCTATTGGTGTTCAACAACTCCAATAGCGAGAGATAGTCTGTTCCTTGTTGCTTCCCTGATCATTCAAACCAACTTTGTCACACGCGGGAACCGGTGTCACCGCATTGTACCTTTATTCCTCCGCGCCCATGGAGGCCATTTTAGTTGTTTGGCCTAAGCAGCATGAGCCGTCTTGCTTTTATTGAGATAGACGCAGGGGATATTAGGATTATGGAAGTCAGAATAGGTTCGCACAAATGGGAGTCGCCATGATCAGGGATTTGATCATATCCTTGCATTACCTGTTTCTGTCTTCGTTTCTGCCCACATGCGCCATGGATCTCGCTGTGCTGGAGATCAGAGGAAATCTCCACTCCAGTGATGGAATATTAAGTACTCGACCCTAACAGGTTGAGCGAATGGGTCAAGTACTGTCCCGACGGATTGGTTTTTGTCAACGCGCCGCACCGCTCGACAGGTGCCCCCCTTCCCCGTTTGCAATGGCACCCTAAACGGTTAATTTCTCCAGTCTCAGTCTAGCTTAGAACTTTTGACTGCTGTCAGTGCTGTGGAGAGGTGGATATAGTGATCTTAGCTACCTCTAGGGTCCTGAAGAGCCAGTCGCAACCTCGCCTGCTCTCCGGGATGGATCCGTGCCAAGGTCGAGATCAGACAACTGCAAGAACGTACTTGTTGATGAGATGCTCCTGGGTTCTGTGTTTAATCATGGTATTGTTTACTCATCGCGCAGTAGTAGTGTATGGATTGCTAGCATGGCAGGGACACAAATCAAGACCCCGTTTTTTTTTTTTAGTATTGCGTGGTTCGTTGTACCGCACTCGATCGACAGGTTCTTGACCCTCACAGACCCGGAGCCAGTAAGTTCCGAGATTGTCGAGTTGCATTCCCACGGGTTCAATATTATCATGTTCAGCAGGTTGGCCAAGTTTTTGTCCCCATTTCGCCCCACAGTTGAGGTCATGGGCGATTGGAATGACAGTTGGCGACAATATTGATGACAGCCCAGGTTGGTTACTAAAACTACTGAAATTAGAAACTCGGCGAGGACGACTTAACACACCATTGCCTCTCTCACGGGTATCAAGCCGGGCAATGAAGGTTATGATTGCATATGTGTGGGTAGGGTTGCCTCGTGGCATGGCGCTCTCAGGCAGGGGTGGTAACGGCCGTAAAGGAAGTTCATCCCCGTAAATGCACCAACTGCTGGAACGCAACATATCTAAGCCCGTGTCCCCTGCAAACCTTGCAGTGCTGCACTTCGCCCACTATTGGAAATTGCTTCGCCATGATACAATGACAGGGCTCTGTCAATTGACGGCAAAACCGCTTGACATCCTGGTACCGTAAACCAGCCTATTTTTGAGCCTCAACCCATAATGACACGATTGCAAACAACATGGCAGCTACATGGGATGGATACATCCGTGTGATCTCGATTCTATATGCACGCATCTTGCATGCGATTTGAGGAGCTCGAAGCGTCAAGGGTCGTCAATAGGGCAAATGAGAGCCCTTACAATCCAATCCCTTGCTTCTGTGCTTTGCATATATGCCTACTTACTTGGAAGGATCTAGACTTCAAGTCGCCTGACTTGGAAACGACGCTTCCCTATCCCAGCGCGGGCGCACCCGAATTGACAACCCATAAAAGAACATCGGTGATGCAAAGGCTCGAATGCCGCACAGCTGCCCGGAGTAGAGATGGAACTGGCTCCAATTACTCGTCATGTATACGAGTCCAAGATTTAATTCATGCCATACTTTTTTTGGCCTACATTAGGGAAAAGATTTTTGTGTTCCTGGCTTATATAAATATAAACACGGATGAATATATGCACATATTGTTGATGAAATCTCGGGACAATGGGAATGGGTTTCGAGAAGAAGTAAAACTCTAGATTTTCCTACTTAACAGACTGCTCAAAGAAAAAAAGAAAAAAAAAAGAACATGGAGTTTCAGCGGGAATAAGACCAGAGTTTCCATCCAGTGCAGGCAGGGGAGCTTTACACATTGGCGACCTCAGTCCTCCATCCCCACCCCCCTACAGCATCTTCAGCCAGCCTCTGCATGCCAGAAGCCTCACAGATCTGCATGGCAACTTCCCGAACTGCTCGCACCTCCTCAACGGTCGCGCCCCCATTGAGCGCACCCCGGAGATGGCCCTTGAGCTGAGGGTTCACCTTTTTGTGTTTGCGACCTGTCAGTATTCCTTCTCCCAGCCAATACCACGCACATCGGCCTTGAAGCTGAAATGGACTTACATCCTGCGGAATGAGTCCCGCGATCATGACGAAAGATGTCTCTATTGGCGAGAGGATGCTGATGTTGCTCAGTACATGCCCGTACACCAGTCGCGCGGTCAGCCCCAGGTCTTCAGTGCCAGACCTATCCATCTGGCCCATGATCCTCTTGGCTATCTTGCCGTATACCTTTTCAAAAAAGGATTGGCCTCTCCGCAGGACTTCGGAAGCCGGCACATCGTAGAGGTCTCTCAATCTGCCAGTCGGTGAAGGGGACCCAGGCTCATCAATCAGTTCAGGAGGGGTTACTTGCTTCAAAGACAGAAGGGAGTTGATTGTCTAGTAGCGATGTGAGCGCCCTTTAGTCAAGACATTACGTTTGCAAGTGCCTGAAGGCGATGTGGTTCGATGCATGCAATTACCTTTGGCACTCCTCCAACTGCTGATGTTTTGATGAGTGCCTCCCTGATCCTCCTGGTGATTCTGCGCTGGCGCTCCTGGTCCGGCTCGTGTTTCACACCATGGCTCCCATCTTCAATGGCAAAAGACCAGACCTTCGCTACCTCGTCGGGCCTGTTGAGAATAGTCAATGCAGAAGCTGCAACGATGTACCAGCCATGAGGCGGTAAAGTGGGATGGTTTCGAATGGTAGATAACAAAGATGGTGTCATGACAGAAGCGAGCGTAGGGGGCGCCATCTCGACACCTGGACAAGACCAGATTAAATGACGGGACTAATGCCAATTGGATATCGTCACAGAACTTACTTTTGTGACGAAATCTGGGAAGAAACAAACACGGCTTTGAGATCGGGACTCCGCGAAGCAACTCGGTGGCCCACTCCGCCGTGGAAGAGTCCGAGTCCGAGGTAACGTCACGTGGCCTGTTTTCCACCGTTACGTTAGCTTCGGGTGCGTCATGCCCATCCCTATCCTCATCCCCATCCCCAGCCAGTCCGCGCCGCCCGCGCTCTACTAAGCCAAAGCTCTAAACGTGGCAACAACGAAAGGCTGCATTCGCCCTGTAGCAAACAGGAGAACCGTATCGCTCGCTCACTACAGACATAACCCGCCATCAAAATGATCGACACTTGACCTTCTCTCTGCAGTACTTTCTTTCCAGCACATTTAGGCCTCATCATCCCGCCACGATGAGGCTCTTATGGTATGCCGGGGTAAGCTTGGACAACCACCACTCCCCTTGTTGCAGTCCTCAGCTGTTCTATGTGGGTAGCTATGCAGAGCTCCAAGCTAACCACCATGGCAGTCTTCCGCGGCCCTGGCTGCGGGCGTTGTCACATATGCCTTCAACCAGAGGGCCAACTTCTATTCGGCTATGGTGTACCTTTCACAAAACAACCTCAGCTTAATGGTAAGCTTGCTGTATTGCATCCGTTCCCCGTGCAGGGCTCCGTCGTGCTCACCGGTGCAAACCGCCCAGATCCTCATCAACCTCATCCTCCTCGTCTACGGTTCGTTTGTTTACGGCCTACAACGATTATGCTATGGCCAGCTCCGACCAGTTGAAATCGAACAGCTTTACGAAAAGGCATGGTTTGCCGTGACGGAAACATGTCTCGCAATGACCATATTTCGGGAAGAAGTAGGTGCGTGGTTTCTGGTCATGTTTACGGCATTGGTCACCGGGAAGGTATGGGAATGGATCGGCGAGGGACGAGTCGAGATTCTCGAGCAACAACCACCCGCAAACCCTCGACTCTTCCACACTAGATTGAGCATCTCGCTGCTTCTCAGCATCATATACGACACATGGCTGTTCTCATACACCGTAAATACAGTCATCCAGCAAGCCCGACCAAATATGATGGTAATGTTTCTGTTCGAGTTCGCCATCCTGTCAACCTGCTCATTTCGTACTGGGCTCCGATATATCTTGTCCCTGGTGGAGATGAATATTGTCAACAAGCAGACCCGCACAAGACTACAAGAGCGTCGCAAGGAGGTCCGGGAGCAGCGCGCCGACATCCTAAGGCGCCGGGAGTCAGAGGATGCGGCAGAGGCAGAGGCGGCGAACCAGGAGGAGTTGCCCGACGAACATGATATTGATGAGATGGACATTGAGGTACCTGGCTGGGAGACTAAGGGGCAATGGGTCTTGAGTTTAGACCTCTTCGCAGGTAAGTCCGGCTAACAACGCGATTCGGTGGTGCTGGAGACTGACATGGTACCAGATTTCGTCAAGCTAGGCGTCTATGTCGGTTTCTTCGCCGTCCTCATGATGTTCTACGGTCTGCCCATCCACATCATGCGAGACCTATTCCTCACCACACGCTCTTTTCTCAAGCGTCTGAATGCCTTGGTTAAATACCGCAAGGCTCTCGCAGACATGAACAAGTATCCCGACGCTACCCAAGAAGAATTAGCGCGTGAAGACACCTGCATCATCTGCAGAGAGGAGATGAGGCCCTGGGATCCTGCTACACCAGGTCAAGTCGAGCGATCACGACCCAAGAAGCTCCCTTGTGGTCATATCCTCCACTTTGGTTGTCTCAAAGGTTGGCTGGAGCGCCAACAAGTATGTCCTACATGTCGACGTTCGGTCGTTATTGACGGTGCGGCTCCCAATGGTGGCAATGCAGCTCGTCCAAATGTAGATGGTCAAGCACCTGCTCCTGGTCAGCCAGGTGTAGCTAATGGAGCTGCTAACGGCAACCAAGGCCAGGAGGGTCGTCAAGGCGGTATGCGCATGTTCCAGTTTGGTCCATTGCGCCTCGGCTTCGCGCAGGGCAATCCACAGAGGGTGCAAGAGCTCATACAACAGCGCTTTAACGGCGGGCTGGATGGAGCGAATGCGCCTATGGGGCTACCCCAGCCTGGTGCAGCTCAGCCACCCCAGCAGGCAGCTCCAGCAAGTCTGGGCGTTGGGACCGATATCAATGCACAACTTTCACAGATACAGCTACGGCTACATCAGGAGATACAAACTTTGCAAGTCACCCAGGCAGAATTGCAAACCACAGTCACTCTCATGGCTGAACTGAACCGCTTGCGGCTACTCCAACAGCAACATTTGACTGGGACAGTACCTCTACAAGGCACGCCTATGATTAATGGTCAATTGCCGCCGCCTCAACACGTAATGGGCCAGCCATTATACCCGGCGGTGCCCCCAACCGTTGCATCATTCCCGCCATTTACTCATCGGAGCCAGACGCCGTCCGTCATCAGGCATGTGGCGCCACCGAATACCACAGCCATTCCCGCGGGTAGCCCGGATTTGCCGGAAGGGGTTGTGATTCCTCAAGGCTGGTCATTGATGCCATTACAGCGGATGGACGGCTCGAGCACACAACCCTCGCAGCCCACCAGCTCACACACTGGCCCAGTATCGTCGCTTATCCCACCGCGTGGTGGTGTTGACACGCCATCGGCGACGTCGGCAGACGCTTCGGGCACTTCACAACCACAAGCGACGTCTGTTGATGGTTCTACAGCTAGCTCGCTGCAGGTACAGACAGAACCTCCTATAGTAGCTGCACCGACGCCTCGGCTTCCAAACTGGGGTGGCGCTGCCCAGCTGTTTGCTAATGGTGGAGTGGGCACTTCTACGTCAGGAGTCGAAAGCGAAACTGCCGACAGCTTAGAGGATAGCCACAGAGAAAACGAGCCGGAAGGGTCAAGCTCAAGCGATAAGGGGAAGGCAAAAGCTGTGACGATCGAAGAAGCAGAGGATGAATAAGCGGATACCCATACACTATTGTGTAGTCTAGATGAAACAAATCCTGAGCTGGCAACATTTGTGCCCAGAGAGATGCGTATGCATGGCGTTGGTGGTGTTGTTTGATTATCCTGTGTGCCCTCAAAGGTACAATCGCACTTGGCTCCAAAAGAAATAACATTTTCCCGCTCAAAACAACAGGAACACATTTCCCACATTCATGCGCATTCGCGGTATATCTAGTTTGCTCTAGCAGGAGTGTGATATTGACAATGCTTGCATCTTTTGAGACATTTGATCAATTTGGACCCTACGCCGGAATCGTTTCATCAACCGAAGATTTGAAATATTGAGCAGTGACTTGAAGGATACGGGTTGCGATTGAGCAGGCTTATGGTGTGATGACAATGTCCGCAACAGTCTAATACCGTAACCCCGAGTCGTTCACATCGTACTGATATGAAGCGGGAAGTTTGATTGGTTTCTAGTACTCCCTCCTTGGCCTTGATGTTTTGGCAGAATGCCGGGGGCTATTGATTTGATGCCTGACCTTGCCATATGGACCAGCGCAGTTCCAGGCCCAATCATGAGAGACCAGTATTGCGATGTCGACGAATTGGCGCTGGCATTATTTATGCCACCATTCGAGTGTGCTGGCTCTGTTGATACTGGAGGTTTTTATTATGCCATTCTGCACGCTTTTAGTTCCACGCCCAGAAAAACGCAGCATGCAGATGGTAGTTTCGCATAAATATCTGATGTGTTGTGCTATATGTTTTCCGGTTCCCGTCTCTGATTCTGATGTATTATTCCTTTCGTCTACTATCTGAAGAACTCATATCCCGGAATCATGAACATGTCTACCTCGTCAACGCCTTCTCTTCGCGACGGGTGGGTCCTTGTTCCTCTCTGCTTCGCGAGAAGAATCCCAGCACTAATCGCAGACAATAGGCAAAATCATCGGCAGCATACTCAAAATTCAATTGAGTTGTTCCCTCCAGCTGAACGACCAAGCCCGGCAATGCTCCAACAACATCGACTGGACGGGTTCATGGCCGAGCCAGTGTGTTCGAGTAATCGAAACGTGATGCTGCCCGATCAGTCTCCATGCCCGGATGTCGCAGTTCAGGCTGCGAAGGCCAGTATGTCAGCCGAATTGGAAAGTCTGACGCGGAATTTGGTGCCAGCCGACTCCAGGGCTAGCCCAGCCACTCCTACCGACAAAATCTAATCACCGTTTGCTTAAGGCTAGGCGTTGACAGGACACGTATAACTCGTACCCGTAACCCTGTCCCGTTTGGCTTGGTCAGACAGAGGCTGAAGGCAATTCAAGTGGATCGTGGTATTCAACTCGGTGGTTTTGTATTACTTGGCAAGATTTGGCCGAGAAGCCTTTATTGGTCTTGGATTTGCTGTCCAAAGATTTGATGATTGGACGGGGCACGCCACGTTGTTTCTTGTATGGTATTTGGCGATGAAATCTATCTTTACTTTGTGCTTATTGGATCGGGCAGCGGATTGTGGACGGTGGACGACGGTCATTGTGCATTGTGCATTTCGGGCCATTCGCCTCGAAAGAGCGATATACACTTAGGGGTGACGGATAAGCCGGGTATCATAATCGTGACCTGGGGTATGAATCAAATCTTGTATGTATCTCCTTGTGTTTGAGCAAGTCCTTTAACAGCGGCGATTCGTTTCTTCTTCTTCTGCTTATGCTACGAGTATCCTCGTCACTCACCATTGTTAAATTTCGATGTTTTGTGTCGAATCCCATTCCACATAGCTCTTTGCAAAGTGCACCACGTATCTTATGTAGGTGAGGGATGCGCCTCGTATTGCCGAGCCTGGTTCATCCTGCCCCGTTAAGCTGGACACTGTATTCCCCCCACCAAACTCTGAAACCACTGGCAGAGTTCAGGCTGACTCCCCAATCGGAGAGTGCTGACCTCCTATCGACCTCATTTTCCATCCATACTTACTAAGAGACGTGTAGATGCCAGAGGGGTTTCCGAGACTTGTTGCAAGAGTTCTGACCCCTCACCAGACCACCCAGAAATTCGCCACTTAATGCTCGATGACTGGTTTCCATCTATGAAATAAGCGAGGCTGCTGTCACTTATTCTTGCCAAAACACGATGGTACGGGCCCACATGCGACCAATGAAAGTCAACTGCACCATGACTGATCATATGTGGAGCACATAAGAAATAGATACAGACAACAAACAAAAATGGAAGTTGGGCACATAGATCTTTGATTCGACAGCCACCATCTGATTTCACCAGCCATTGCAGGCTCGCCCCAACAATCACCGCGTGGAGTATTTCCAGATCGGCATGCTGAGTTGGCAAGTTTGATGCATGGAATGCCACTGCGTTGTGGTTGTTTGACTACTTAGCTTCATTGACCTGACCTAACATGACCCCAGACCAAATAATAATAGCCAACGACTCTCTACCGTCTTACAACTTGAATGTCGTGCTACGAAACATAGTAGGGATCACTAGCAGACCTGTCAGGTTGATGGCTGCAACGTCACGAACATGCACTGATCCAACCAAGCTTGTGGAACACAATTTCCCATGTCAGGCCGGCACCGGGTGAACACTGCCGCTGGCTCTTTCTATTGCCCTCCGTCACAGAGGCTGATTCAATCCGATGCGAAGTGCTCAGAACATCACCGACTCTAGTTGCTTGAGATTTCCGGTCGACACAAGGGGCATCGGAGATAGTCTTATTACTATAAGAATTAGTGGCATGGGATCACAGGGCAGCATCGTATAAACACGTTGTGGAACCGGGCGATCTTCTCAACATTGCAACTCAGCAACATATTTCCCTGCCCTCTAACTTACGGTCGCCGAGAACCAGACAGACGATAGACCGTACGGCTTTTTTATCAACTGCACCGCGCCCCCGACAATGTCTCGTGGTAACGAAATAGACCTGACAAATTTGCCGCGGAGATATTCGGACTCCATTGTCCACGGGCCAAACGCGCCCCAGGTTGAAGTCAACCAGCCAGCCAGCCAGCCACTCGTCGTCGAAATCCGGGCCTATAGGCCTGTTCCCTTCGACCTATCACGATGCATTCCGGCTGTGATTGGCCTCAGATCCCTGAGCTGCGATGGGATTTGCCCTTCCGGTATGAAAAGTGTGGGCCACCAGCACCTCATTGGGCACAGGTATATCTGCGCCGGGATCACGTTACCGATGGTTCATGCTGGGCAATTTTTGATCAACAAACCATAAACATGGTTTCGGGCTTTTCTTTTTCTTCCAGGGGGGTTTTCTTTTGTCGTAAGCGCGTCTGCATAGCAGTTGTCCTTTCTTTTTTCTTTCCCCCGCCCCGAAGCGGTCGACTGCCCGCCATCGATAGGTTGCGCACCTGGGCAGGCTTGCATTTCGACCTAAACACCAAAGGCTCAGTACGGTTACACACTGGGAGAACGGGGTGGGGGGATCTGGGTTCCACCAGACCAAAGAACAACCTGTAGAGCGCTCTGCAAACAATTGGGCGGGATAGGACACGTTGGATTGTCATTTTCAACCACCAATGAAAGGTCAAGTCCTGATGGCTATGCACACATCGAGAGAGACTGTCTTCACAGAGGCCAAAGCGAGCTCGGCAGCTGCAAGTTTTCTTGTGGTGTTGACAAAGTTATACGGTTTACCTGCTCTGTGGAGATGAACATTTCGAGTTTTGTCAGAGATTGTACTCAAGACATGGCCCTCAAGTGGATGGAAGGGTTCCGGGAACTTGACTATTTTAATCGATCACGGCGCTGTGGCATTTCTAATGATCATGGGGCTCACCTGACAGTGGTGGTTGACGTGTGGTTAGAAACATGGCAAAAAACAATTAGCCGCACGAGCAAGAGAGAAAGTCCTGGATGCATGGGATGAGATACAGCCATAAGAGCGCATGCTGGGTCGTTCGTATGGTCTTGGAGTCGAACCGGCCACACCACTGCTTATGGTAGATCATGTCGTGTACCAGTGTCCCGTAGAAGCTCAGGGCTTACAATGTGGTTGCTATTATCGACGGAGCATTGTCGTGATTGTGAATGAGATGTGCCAGGGTCGAGAGGACTGCCGGTGAATGGCACAGCGACACCATGAGGGAAGGGAACGCTGTATAAGATTGATTACACGACCAGACGAAATTCATTTGGTGGATCCAATTTCGTATATATGGGGAAGGAAAAGTAAGTATTGTGGTCAATTCTTGAGGAAAATAAGAGGCTGAAAGCTAGAATAACCCATGGGGACAGCCTCCTGTCATTACCCAACAATCCCCCAAATCTGTATATCCGTGAACCGAATGACCCAGACGGGCTGAATCAACCATGCCCTCTGGGTCAGCCCCCCACCAACAGAGTAAGAAACGTGTATGCTTCGTAGCGGCGTGAGATTGGGTATTGGCGAAAGAGACACGAAACGAGTAGGTCCCGGCACATTTACTTCTGCATCATCAGTTGGACGAACTCGTTGTCTGGTCTCAAGTTAGTAAGGCGTGGTGGGTGAATTCAAGAGCCAAAGGCAGAAACATACAGTCGATACGCCCATCGCCGTCCTGGTCAGCCTCACGGATCATCTCATCGACTTCGTCGTCAGTCAATTTCTCGCCAATAGAGGTCATGACATGACGCAGCTCAGCAGCGGAGATGAAGCCGTTGTTGTCGCGGTCGAAGACCTTGAAGGCTTCTCGGATCTCCTCCTCGGAGTCAGTGTCCTTCATCTTGCGGGCCATCATTGTTAAGAACTCTGATGGGGCAGCTGTCAGCCTGATGCTATATCTCTTGTCCCCGCTTGGGTTGACTCACCAGGGAAGTCAATGGTGCCGTTGTTGTCAGCATCCACCTCGTTGATCATATCTTGCAACTCAGACTCGGAAGGGTTCTGGCCGAGGGATCGCATGACGGTGCCGAGCTCCTTTGTGGTGATTTGACCTGTTGAGTGTCTGCCTTAGTATGCTGTTCACTTCGCGAATCGAGGCGTTCAACGTGATCGGCCAAGGTTGTCTCTCATAAGGGAGAGATTGAAGCACCGAGGGCAGGGTCGGGATATTGTGTTGGAGAACGCGCAAAGGACTCACCATCGCCATCCTTGTCCTGCGATAAGAGTTAGTGGTGCGTTATGGCAGCCACGGCGCAGGCAGCGTGTATTTGAGCTGGACGATTGGACTTACAAAGAGGGAGAAGGCCTCCTTGAACTCGGAGACTTGTTCTTCGGTCAGCGAATCGGCCTGTTGGTGATAGCCTCAAGTTAGCACTGTGCCTGTTTCTTTGCGTTGCAGCCCCTCCCCCCCCCAAAAAAGCCCCTCAACGGTGACGGTGAAGGTGAAGGTGAACCTGGACCAGAACCCGAACCGCGGGGTCAAGAAATGGCGGGGAGGCAATGCAGAAGCAATGAAAAAGCCAAGAAGACGGACGGACCATTTTGAGTTTCGGGAATTGCTTGTAGTTGGTTACAAACAAAGAAACAGAGGATCAATCAATGGATGGATCGTATCTTAAAAGATGTTCTGTTGAGCAGAAGTAAAGGAGCGTTGCTGTGTGGAGCGTGTGGTGTGTTTGGTTGATTGCCCTGTCGGTGTCGGGGGGGGGGGGGGGGGGGTTCACTGGTGGGTTTAGGGGAAGGAGAACTTTAAAGCTTAGATATCCACGTTTTCCAAGTTGACGTTCCAAGGCAAGGCAAGGCAAGACAGGACAGGACAGGACAAGACAAGGCCAGATGCTTTTGCTCTCGACTGCTGCTGGTGCAGGTTAACTGGTGCTGGCTGGAGCTGGTGCTTCCAAAAAGTGGTGCCTTCCGTCTTCCTTTCTGCCCAGCCAGCCAGCTGCGCAAATGAGAGCCTAGCCGCATGTCGAATGGCCGTTTCCTAGCGAATAGCGTGGGATGATCTGGCCCGCCAGGCTTCCCACGGCTGCTATGGTGGCCCGAGCACCTTTCCTGGAATCCATTGAATTGAAACAAGTACAACGTTAGCACAAGCACAAGCACAAGCACAAACGACGACGGCAGATGTGTCAAATTCAGGACTTTTCCACCCAGCAAGCTTTCTGCGTGCTATGCCCAGCCAACCCCAGTGGAGGAGTGGGACAATGCACACACGGCATTTCTGCTGCCTCAGGCACAACATTCTCCCATCCATCTCCTATCCTTCGGCGTCCAAGTTCCAAGATCCAGCCAGTCCGGACTGGTCCTAGCGGGCTACCACTAGTCATGCTGAAGCTACGTCAGCCTCATTGACATTGGCTTGCATGCGCCGTTGTTGCATCTGAATCTCTCGACCGTTTGGAGGAGGGAAGGCTGGCAGCTGATACTGCACAAGTACTCCAATACCTCAATGTACACCATGTCCTGTAACCTATCATCGAAACCACCACCGACCCCAACACTGTCCGCCATCTCCGGAACCACAACAATAGCTTGAGATTCTGCATTGCGCATCAACCCCCATCGTTTACAAGTAACCATTACAACATAATCGGCGGCCGCCATGTGGCGCGACCGTACTAATCTGTAGGACTGACATCCCAGCCCCAGACCCGACCTCCCACCATTCACCCAAGCCTATACCATGCTGACACGAGCCAAAGCTATATCTCATATCGCCAATCATATGCGCACCATCCCGCCAAGAAGACAAAACACTCGGCGTCAAGCGGCAATGGCTTCTCAGACTTCGGCCGTGGCAGCGCAGCTGCCTCGGAGGATCAGCAGGGTCTCCTGTCCGGCGCCGATTACGACGATGGCGATGCCGTGATCGAGATGGATCTATTGCCCCCGCGCTGGGCTGATATATCCGACGAAGTGACAGATCTCTTGGTCGACATTGCGAGGAAGTCTCAGGCCTTGGAAAGACTACACCAGAAACATGTGCTCCCCGGCTTCAACGACGACGAAGCAAAGAAAGCCGAGGAAGACGAGATCGAGCGTTTGACACAGGCCGTCACAAAAGGCTTCCACGACTGCCACCGATGTATAAAAAAGGTCGAGAAAATGATCAGCGAGGGTAACATGACCAGGGCAGAGGAGACCATGGCCCAGAATATACAGGTCAGCTTGGCGACACGCGTTCAAGAGGCAAGCGCTGGCTTCAGAAAGAAGCAGAGCGCTTACCTGAAGAGTAAGCCTTCACACCCCGACTTCTGGATACACACACACACACATGTCAAGAGCGTGCCCCTCGTGAACTAACAGCATCACAGAACTCCGCGGCATGTCCGGTCTAGGCACGGCCTCACCAGCGGAGCGATCATCGACACCAATGGCATCGGGTTATGCTGCTGATCCGTCACTGCTCGAATCAGATGCCGATCGCTCCTATTCGCAGTCAGCTTTACAGGCAACCACTCATCAGAAGATGCTCCAGAGCAACGATGCTGCTATTGCTCAACGTGAGAGAGAGATAGAGGATATTGCTCAGGGGATCATCGAGCTCTCCGATCTATTTCGAGACCTGCAAAACATGGTCATTGATCAAGGCACAATGCTGGATCGGATAGACTACAACGTGGAGCGCATGACGACAGATTTGAAAGGAGCCGAGAAAGAGCTCGTAATAGCCTCTGGCTATCAAAAGAAAACAACAAAACGGAAGATCATCTTGTTATTAATACTCGTCATTGCAGGCATGATTATCCTACTGGTAGTCAAGCCGAAGAGAAGCAGTAGTGAAAGCGCATCAGCGCCAGTGGAAGTACCCGATTCAGGCGGCAGCGGAGAAGGATAGAAAACGTCTACTTTGGGGCCTTCAATGCCCCGAAAAAGAATGCCCATACAACCCAATTCTGGCATTTATTTTGTATGCATCTAGCGTAATTCTCGAGCTCCTGCGACGGGTTTCGACGGGCCCGGCATGAGCTTTGTAACAATACAGATCATTCAAGAGCCCAAGGCTCTATTCCCAACATTGGCCGCAGTGTCTTTACACCATTTCACTTGACAGACGACCCGGCATGTTTGCATATGTGGATCCATCAGGTTCGATGCGCCAAATATGGCAGCATAAGTACTGATGCATAGGTCTTTCTCACTCAAGTCTTGAGCGATGGCGTATGCGGCCACAAATAGCCTCCTTTCTTGACGCCACTAGGCATCGACGCGGCCCATCAGGGTGGGAGACAGAAGGGGGTTTTTGCCAACTGGGCCCTTGAAATGAGTAATACGCGGAAGAATCTTTGGAGTTTGACTGCTGGCTTCAATGCCAATTACAAATGACATTTACATCCGATCTTCCGAGACTTAGCCCCACACCCGAACCCTAGGTTACATCGAGCATTGTCCCGGTTCTTGCTCATCACCATGAGGCTGAACAAGCAACGTTGACAAGAAGCGCCGCGTGGCCGCCATGCGATCATATGTTTCAGAGATGCTACCTTCGCGCAACGGTATCTGGTGAACCGTCTTCAAAATTATCGTTGCACTGCCACGACAGTTTTCATATCTATCGTTCTACTGCATCAAGATGGAACAAGTTCCATATTGCTATGCCTGGATCAACGTTGCACATCTTACAAGCGTTATGCTAAAATCAGATACTCTTCAAGAACCCTGGACGAATGTGAGTTGGGGGCTGAGCCTTCTCTCCGCTAGCAGAGCTGTCAGAAATGCAACACTTTGTGGGTTCGAGATATATTTGGGGATTGAATCTGACATGCGCATGATTGCCCTATTCGCTGGTTTTCAACGCTTTTAGCGACGCACGCGTTTACGGCGTTTGCTCAACCTCTCACCTGCCAAAAAGCCGCGAGCCCCCGCGATAATTCGTCGTAAAAGGTTGCATTGCTCAGCTTATGCAGGTTGATGTCGGCACCTCGTGGTTGAGGCTCTACGCGATGATGGCAGTGAACCATTCCGTTGTTACCTTAATCTTTAGTATGCGTCGGGTGTGTTGGCTCGCGTATCACTTGCAAGAGCCGCAGTCTATAAGGGTAAAGTCTGTGGTACCCTTCCACTTCGGGTAGTTGTCTATCCGTGTAGTGATTTGTACGAGCATATCAATGTCCAGCTTATGTGTGCGTGGTTGACCTTTCGGGCTGTGGCCCCCCAACCTCTTCTCCTTAAACGGGCGCCTGACGATGGAGAATACTTCCAGGCAGCTTCCGTGCAGACATCACATCGCCAAACTATCACGTATTGGGTTTTCTCACCGAGTTGGACGGCTAGGGCCTAAAGAGAGCGTATGACGGCTGCGGATTCTATCCATCTGCACATGTAATGGATGCTGCATGCTACTTACTCACCTCGTCGAGTGGGCTAGAGTAACACAGCAAGTAACATATAACATTGATATGCCGCCTCCCTGAAGCCTACATAGAGCCTGTAAAGGATCATATAAATCATTATACAACGTCACTCGGTGTCCTCGCAGAGTTTTGCTTTACAAGAAGACTTGTCGACCATAATCAAGGGCCTGTCGTCACATTTCGCGCGCATCACTTCCTAACGGCCTATCATGTCATCCACAGATTCATTGTGCTCGGGGTATGATAATCGTCAGTTTCTAACAATGATATGCGCACTCACTAATTTCTTTCTCCTAGAAAATGCCCAGCCAAGCCGGCGTGCAGCTTCCCAAAGGCCTCGGGGGCTGCGTCTGATCAGCAGCTATCTTCGCAACGCCTGGCCTCCTACTGTGGGGAGCCGGCCTCTTCTGGTACTCGCTCCGTGATCATGGCGGTAGATACCTCGTCTTCTGCTGCTGGAGGTCCGACATCCCTCCAGCGAGCGCAAAATACCATGGTGGCGCATATAGGTGGCATTATGACGGTTTTCGGCAGTAATTAGCGGCTTGGGTCAAGTGTGCACGATGTGTCGACTTCTGGAGTTGATATTGCCGAGGTTCATCATGCGGTGGATTCTATTGGATTACTTACAGTTTGTACCATTATGTAATTTACCGGTTGTCTCTGAAGGTACAGCTTACTTTTTGATATTTATCGGTAGCGAAGGTATCTGTTTCTAAGCCTTGAATGGGGAATTTTACCCCCTGTTTATATATGAATAACCTGCAGCGGAGTTGTGTGAATCTTTACCACCATACTGCAACATGCCCCTGTGTCGGTTCTCTTCAACGAACATCTGTCGTATATGCGAGCAAGTACAAACAAAGACCTTTACCAACTTCCTGCCAAGTCGCCGATACGGCGATCTGAAGTTATCACCGATCGTTCAACTCGGTAGTCTTGTCCACTAACTCTGCGACATTCCAAATGCGTTGTTCCGGCACTGACCCGGAACATGGCGAACTTCTTTATTGTGTCAAAGGCGGCAAACGCGGGCTCACGGCTACACACATATATGTATATGCACGTGGTCCGAAGAGCGGTCAGCGGGCTGGTAGCCAATCATTTTTTCCTGCTCTGAGAGCTAGCTGCCGTTTGCTTCGGGCGATTGCACATAGGCTCGAGATTCATTACAATGAGCGCCGCGTCCGATTAGTCCTGGCCGAAGAAGTGGGTAGCCCTTCTGACACGTTTTTCTGTTTCTCGGCGGACATGTACGTCGTAATATAGGCACTCCATCATGCGATTGGAGGAAATAACCCAAGCCGGTACATGATTAGACACGTTGCCGCTAAGTTATGCGGTCGATTTGTGAATCATATATCACCAAGGAGTCGAGTGATTGTCACAGAGGTCGAGTTTGTACCCCTGGGGGCGAGAATGCCCACCATGCTTCAATCGCTAGAGAACCTGTACCATAACTGATTTAAAGTTTGTTCGCCCCGTGCTCAAGGTGAGTCCCAAGGATATCCATACGTTGAAACTTCATGATCAGGTCGAGACCGTGGCACTGCCAAAGCCAAAACGACCTCCTGCCCCTTACTTGCTCAAAACTTGGCATCTCCCAACATGCCTCGACCTAACGCTCTGGAAAACCTTTCATTCAAAGACCTGGCAGAGTGGGATATAAGTACAGAAATAAAGTTGTCGCTTCTAACAATCCACGAAGCCACAGGACACAGTGGTGTAGTGGTTATCCGCTCAAACCTAGGATTAATATCCTTATCTCCTGGCTGAGCCGTCCCCCCTCAGCCATTCTTCTTTTGCAGGTTGTGAGTTCGAGTTGGATAAAACTCCTTTTGTCGGTACTTTTCTGACATGCAAAATTTTCATTTCTATATGACGTACTGCCTGTTACCGTGGTAGTAACTTCTTAGTCGATTCGTCCCAGAGCATCTGATTATTGTTCCGTATTACTCTTTATTGTCCTCTAAATCTTACTAGTCAAGTCGTTTTTTTCCCCATTGGGTCGACGAGCGCAAAGTACATTAGATCGTCCTCAGTACGTATTGTAACAAGGACATCATCATTTTATCGGAGGACAAATTGCCAAACAAGGGCATGTGTAACGGCTATGGACTCTCAAGAATCTCACTTCCTAGGTGTTGATACTTTAAAATAAGAAAATGCTTTGTTTCCTGAAAACACTGTAAAATATGATAAATGACACCACAAATGATCGAGATGAACAGCCTGGAACGTCTACCTTGATGTAATGGTGGTATGATGAAAACCAATGGAAATAAAAGCCTGGGTAGCGCACTTGCAGACTTGTGGCCTATCAGCTACCCCCTATCGTAGGAGTAATCTTAGCCACTGGAATCTATTGGGCGACCTGCAATTATCAACAGGAACCTTACTAACATGTTACATAATAATATGGGCAGTTCTCATCATGCCGGTGACTATCAGCCTTAATGCAAGCATGCGAACTTGTGCGTTCACTACGTAGGTAGATACATCCATAGCGGAAAGACGATCACTTAAACAACCTATAGAAAATACCAAATATGATTGCTCAGTTGATTGCAACGAGCACACTTCAGCTTTGCAACTTATGCGATGGTATTGTGCGTGGTGTAGTTCAAAAAGAAACGCATAAAAAACATCCGGCAGCACACCTAGCTACAGTTGCAAGCAAGGGCGCGTGGACAACCGTGGACAACGCAGTGCCTGCGCCGGCTGAAAATTATGCACTGGCGAGATCTTGGAAGCTGAGAGAAAGGCATTTCTGAGAAAGAAAAGAAAAGACTTCGGGTCACCATTCGTGTCGGGGGCTCGCAAGTCGGATGCTTAAATAATGTCTGTAGATCTGTCGTACGACAAGCGGTCCGAGTGCTGTTCATACCAAATACAACGTGGAATTATTGGTTAAAAGAAACTTGCTTGGCTCTACGTAACATGTTGTTGCCTATCATGAGATACTTCCCATGTTGTGATCTTGACGAGGCTCCATAATGACAACGATTTAGGTCTTAGACCTGGAGCAGTTTGACGGAGTTTCTGGCTGCCCCCTGTCAAACTTTGGGATCATGGCGACATGATGCACCTTCTGTTAAAACTGATTTGGTTGATCAGAAATCACTTATAAAAGCGGTCGTGTGCAAGTATATCTACATGCCCCGACTGTACTCCTCTGTTATGCACGGCAATGCAAGTAACCACATTGTGTTCGGCTACAACGTGAAAGGTTGCTGGTTGAGTTACACAAAATCCCCACGCATCCTAGTGTTTCCGAGTCACGTATTAACCAACATCCACGATGATCGTATAGCATAGTATTATATCCTCTTGCGCGAGGGCAGCAGGATTTGATCTCGCGTCGAATATGTGTTCTCGACATGCTCTAAATATCTGCTCTTAGACAAGGATTGTCTGTACATAGCTTCACATTCTTTGACATTTCATTGTATAGCCACGGTGGGGCAAGCCTATCCCTGATTACGCTCTGGTACATTCATATAGCTAACAAGCCAACACATCGTCGATTGTAATGGAATGCAACTAGTCGTCGGCCGATGTCAACCTGGACCTGGCATCGTCGTACCATCAAGGCGCGAGACCCAGCCTCACTGAACTTATTCTTGAACCTCCGGGCTCGGTCAATCGACTAGTCGTGCTCCCAGATTTACCTTGCTCTTGCGTTGTGCCCATCCTGGTGGCCTGAGCCCCTGAATGAATGATAGCACTACAACTACCATGTAGAACTTCGTATAGTAACTAATTGCGGCTTACGAAATCACCAGTACATGCTCGTCAAAGTCGATACAAGATAGATATCCCCAGAAATGTTCGATCTGTGGTATCTCACCAAGACCAGAAAGCGTCCAAGATTAAGCCAAGAACATCTGCACAATGTTTAGCGACATAGCAGTTTCTATTGTAATCGCGGTGCCATATTGGCGTTTTTGCACCATCGACCAGGTTGAGAGATAAAAAGTAAAAGCCGCCCTTGTAACAGAAACGATCGGCATTTCTTTTTGCTATGGTCCTTTTTGTGGCGGCTTTTCATTCTGGGCACACATGGGATGTGGACGTGAGCGGTCATTATTACTTTGGGACTCGTGAAATGCCTCGGGCATGTGGGAAGTGGCATTGTGCGACACAATGTGTCACCAAGATTGTCGAGTTTCTCCATATACGATTGTCCTAACGTGTGTAAAAGCTCTTGTATTTCGTCATGAATGCCCTCATACTAACAACGTGAATCCAGTTGATTCTCTTGAGGCCGGCGAAAGCACGGAGTGCCAGTAGTACTTACATATAAACAAAGTGTTTTAGTACGTACTGACGAAGGATTTCTTGCTTTATGTCTGTGAAGAAGTACGTAAAATCCACCGTTTCCATCGGGTATGGGTCTGAGGGACGTCCTGTGAATTGTTCTACCCTAGAGTTTGTGCATAAGCAGGACGTTATTCAAATAAGGTATCTACGCTCGAGGAGCGTCTGCCCAAACTCCTGTCTCCCGGCTGGCCTGGAGGCGTTGCACAGGACAAATCACGGTGAGTGTCCATGGTACGAGATCAATCAGTACTTTCCTTGGGCCGTGGAGCCCACCAACAGATCCGCTCAGGGCTCAGCAGCCATGGCAGTGAAGCAAATTACTTCTTTGAGGAGCTTTCATGTCAGAAGATGCAACGTCATCTCCCGTTCACTCATATCACCCATATCAGCAGGTTATGCAACTGACTTGCTTTTTGCTGAGTTTTTGAACCGCTAGGGACAAGTTACAACGAGACCAGGACTATATTTTCGTCAGAGCTAAGTATGTTTCGGTGAATGGAACCCACTTAACCTAGATAGAAAGCAATATCTGGTTATTACACTTGGTTCGCTCGGCTAGGCGCCTCGAATCCATGCCCCAAAGGAAAATCGACTGCCCATATTCACAACCTTACCTTACGCCAATCCGACAAAAACAAAACTTGAGCAACGCACCCGAAGATCTGTGCTAGTCAATCTTGCATCGGTATGCATAGAGCAGGTAAAAAGAAAAAAAAGAAGAAAAATCTGAAGCTCGGATCTTCGGCGAAGCTTGTATCTAAGGAACCTTTTTTCTTCTCCTTTATCCCCTGGCGCTAAGAATGTAACAATGTGGGCGCCACTGGCCCCCAATGTCAGATTAAGAGTTACTCATGAGAAATTTTGCGAGGGTTCAGCGGGATTCAAAAAGTTGATTCCTGCTGAGTTGTGCTAGGAGCAGACAACCAGTTTTGCATTATGACCAAAGGTTGTGGTGTGCATTGACTTTCTGACAGCCAGCATTCGACCCATGGTTCATCCAGAACAAATAGTGTACAGATCTTTAATGACATACATGTTTCTTGGTCTTGAAATTATTGTTGCATCACGCAATGAGCAACCCAAGCTGTGTTCCTCCACGACTCGTGACAGCAACGGTTCCGCTTCAACTCAAGAAACTAATTAGTGCTCGGCCTATGAACCATGGCGGCCTTGATCGACACATGGTCCCTGCAAGAGAGACAAGGGATCAAGGCAAGATAAAAATTCCGTGATTGAAAAAACAACCTCTCACTTCCACAACGGTGATGTCCTTGATTGAGGCCAGTTGTCAAGGATTGTCTGTCTGCGATCCTCACACTTACGCACATAGTGTAGAGCACCGGGATGTGATTTTCGTACGTCAGATAGCGTCGACGGGTGATCCCTTCGGGGGAGGGTCCGCCGGCCGCAAACTCCACCCAGACCCTATTCTTGCGCAGGTACTTGCAGGTTAACCAGTATCCACTGATAGGGCAGGGCAGGTCCACGTACATAGTAACTGCCAGCCGGCCCCAGCTAACAAGCATAGAAAGACATGTACAAAGTATATTGTTACTAAGTAATCAGCACTTCTTGCGCAACGACAGCCTCTCTCGTAGCTCAAATATAGTATGCGTCTCGTTGCCGTTGAATGTTCATATAATGCGCGAGCTTCATCTTTTCACTGAAGTAACTACGCTCGTGGTGGCAGATGCGTCCGTTCACTTAGCGTCCGTTCACTTAGCGCCGTTGATTTGAGAACGACGATCTTGGAGCCTTGAACAGTTTGATCTTGTTTCCAGAAAAAAACCAAAGAAACACCAGGGATTAGGAAAAGATGGGTGGGAACTTAACGGTAGTACCGTGTCAGAGAAGCTATGCAGCACTACTGGGGTCCCCTAACTCGATGCGAAAGCCTCAAGCTCGCTTGGGAACTTTCTTTCTTACTTCTTTTCCACGTGCCCCGTTGGCAACTTTTCCTTTTTTGCCGAGTGCCCTTAAGGCAACTTTTCATCGTTACATTTCCCCTTTGACCTATTGACCGTTGAAAATTGACCTATGTCCTCTGACCTTGAGAAACTTGTCCTTTCACCGCTTTTCCTTTTGAATGCGCATTTGCCCTCTCGAGTGCCCCTTAGCTCTGTTGCCCCTTGGCTCTCTGGTGTCCCCCTGCTCCCTGGTGTCCCCCTGCTCTCTGTTGCCCCTTGGCCCTCTGGTGTCCCCCTCGGCTCTCTGGTGTCCCCCTGCTCTCTGTTGCCCCTTGGCTCTCTGGTGTCCCCCTGCTCTCTGGTGCCCCCCTTGGCCTTTTGGACCCATGGCTGCTACCACTTGTCAAATAATTTTCATCAATACAATTGTCCGTCACATGGTCTCAGCTGCTCATCTTGCGCAAGAACCCATGCTTGTGGTTAAACTTGGTATAGCTTTAGTGGTGAAGGATTTTTGGCAACAAGGCTTTGCACATTATTCTCTAAAGCTTTCATCACGTTCTCTCTGCAAGTGACAGCCTATCCTATCTCAAGCTTGGCTTTGCTCACGTACTACTACTAAGCTCAGCATATTGATATTTCTATATCTGATGCTCGAAGAATGTATTTATCTTGATCTTGTAAAATTTAATGTCTAGATTTAAATATCACCGTGGAAGAACATGTCGGCCAGAGACTGATATTCTGTGTACTGAATTTTGTGGCTGACTCAAAGCTTGGCTGGCGCTTTGAATGCCGACGCAAGTCAACGGTATTGCAATCTTCATATTGTCTAAGGCAAGGATGCCGAAAGCGGTCAGAGTCCTGGGATCTAGAGTGGGGTGCTCCCGGCACTGGGTGTACAGTCTTCTTTTGTATCCCTAGAGACTTGACAAAATGACGGACTTATGGTTTATGTTATTAAGTTGCGAGCGAATGGTGCTAATGACTTTGCGAAGCAGGATACGTCAGGGTGTAGCATTTTCCGGATATCTTGTAGGGTATCTAGAGATAACATCAGCTAAAGCCGGAACTCGCTTTCCTACTCTAAGTTGTAAGGAAACATTAAGCATGCGAGGAAAATGTGGAAACTGTCCGGATGTACTCCTGCATCCATTCCCTGTGCCGCCCTTGCTCTGGTTACGTGAAGTGTCGCCGACCACCCATGTGTCGGGGTTCCTACCACGCAAGACGACACTTAATCATATTCCACAAATGCGGATGAAGTGATTAGTGGCATGCAGCTCGAAACTCTATTCAATCTGGTCTGGTTTTCCTTGCGTTTGGAGGGTATTGCGTCCTGCAGTATCCAACACTAGCATGCCGGACACAACGGTCCGGCGCCAGATCCATGATGGCCTTTCGTCATCCGACCCTGTCGCTTCTTTACTTGTGCATACGGCAATGCAAGATCTGGAACCCTGAATCTTGTACATAATCCATGAACGGACGTAAGAAGTGAGGCAGCGGGACTATCACTGACATGAGCTGATTTATTTTGGATTGTTTGAAATAGCATGTCGCCTTCTCACTTGCTTTGTTCCATTGGAGGAGAATTAGGTCTGCCCGGTAGATAGCCAAAAGGTATAATTAGACAATTATCCCTTCGTTCTGTATCTCTCAGATATTGCTTGTTCAACCACTATCTCTACTCTTCCATCATTCATTACATTGTGACTTCTAGTCCAGCAAAACTGCTGATCTTCCCTAACCTTCGGCGTGGCATGTGCCATCTTTGATTCCAATTACCGTTCGTCTCGTTGAGAACACTTGATTCCTTGATTGCCTTGTATTGTGGGAATCATGCCACAGACTAGCATCGAGTCTGTCATAGACGGGTACGGGCTATCCTCATGTCTCTCTTCCTTTACAATTTATAATTAGGTTTACTAATCTATTTGTATGTGCAGAGCTCAACCAACGAAAGAGGCTGTGAGACTCACCTCCCGAGTATCATCGAGTACGGACCATGATATTGAGCGACAACCCCTGAGTAGCTACCTCCACGAGCCTTTATCAGCGGGGAATAAACTTGTGAAGCTCCCAGACGGTCCTGACTCTGAACACGCGAGTATTATGGCAGCCCAAGATAAAATATCTTCTGAGATAGAGGATATAATGGAAAAATTTGACGAGTCATGTGGTGGTGAAATATCTCATCAACTATCCAAGAATATAGCTTAGAGATGCAACACATTCTACTCATGTGCAATCAAACTATACTATATCTACTCATCCTACCTTGTACTGGTAAGCTCTGCAAAACAGTAATCCAGAATCTTTTTGGTTTACTAAGACTGTTATGTAACTTGTATGGATCACTGCGAGGTTGGGTGTATCCATATACCATACATTTTGAGCTCACGGGTCATGGAGCGACCGCTGCCGTTGGGGGAGCGCTCTAGAGGCAATAGTTTTGCTTAGAACAATGAGCATCAACACATACGTTCATCCAAATGCTACGGAAATTGCCTGTTTGTGAATCTTGGTAAAATTTGTACTCGAATACAGTACTTTATTGTTTAAATGACACCCTGTGATACACAGGAATCCGACTTGTTTTAGACTTGATGCAAGAGCAGCGTGCAGACCCCCGGCTCCCACGTTGGCAGCCCAAACGCCAGAATTGCTTGCAAGAAATATTACGATTTATCGGTGTGCTGTGGAATCCGAAGAAGTCAATCGTGAACTTGCATTTTAAGATGAAGATCGAAACAAACTTCGCGTACTAGTGCAGCTATACTCTTGGGATATGATGGCTAGTCATGATTGGTGCACGGTCTCTTAGACCAGTGTCACTTAATATTCATCGCCACACCAGCCTACGGATTATGGCGGGTAGTGACACGCAATTTGTGGACAGTATCATCTACGGTTAGCTAAACTCACTGATTCTTAACCGCAACCTGTGGCCCCCTTTCCCTCTCCCCAGCGCATCCGATATTAACCACATTCCAATATATGAACACCATCACCGATGTCGCAGGTCATGTACCCGACATGAAGAGGGGTCGATCAGCCAACCCCTTCAGCCTCTGCTCAACTCTAATTCCGAAGGCTGTCCATGTTAACGCAGGCATATGAGCAGGTAGTTGCAAACCCTTATCAGATGTTTAGCGAGCTGACAGATGATGGAAACTCGCCTGATCACATAGCAAGACTTCAAAGTGAGATCACCTTAAAGTTATGCGCCCAGTGGTCACCACATCGCCATTTTTGATATCGTAGGCAAAACTGGATCACGAATCGCCCATACAATCGGTAATGATAGCAGAACTTCATTAAAGAAAAGACTCTCGCCAAGTATTTGCAGATCACTTGATATAAGTCGAGACTCCAGTCTATCACGATCATGCCGCCAAATAATAACAGCAAGTAGACTGCTCACACATATATAAGAAATACCGTTCACAAGTTGGGCGGACTCTTCATCTCCCTGTTGCTCTCATTCATGTGCTAATATCGTTGTATAACTTTATGTTAGACTATACAGACAGAGTATAAAGAACTTCACTCCATCACGTGTATTTTCGTAAGTCAAACGAATATTACCACTATTAACGCGCGCTCTAGCCTCTCAACGAGGCTACTCTTTCAAATCTGGCATTGTTCTCAAATGCCGAACGAAGAATCGCAGTCACGAAAGGTCTGAGCATAGTTCACACTTCATCGCCGACTTCGACTGGGCTTGTTTCGAGATCACATTCCAAAAGGAGATTATGATGAAACCGGACCGAATCTTGGGGTTGAATGACACATCTACACGTCTTGCGATATTTTATACCTTCGACTGATGTATATTGAACGAACGGCGGTAACGGTGATTTGGAGAGCTACCTTGACATGGCTAGGACTTGTGTCGAACTTCTGAGCATGCATTTTAATTACAACTCTACTGCACCAATGCATTAGACTATTATCTTCTTGCTGCGAATTAATCGAAGAGATGTGAGCAAGACATCCTCTGCTAGTTGCACAGACTAATTCTTACTTATATATTTGTGAAATTTTTATTCTGGCTGATTCGTTGTGTTGGCAGACTACGATGCCGTTGATAGTAGAACCAATTGATGACACTCAGCAACTGGACACATGAACTGGCGTTGACGCATCGAGTCTTACTATTACCGGAAACCAGAACCACCCATGCCATTATGTATTATGCTAGTAAGGTTCACTTACATAACTTTTGATCACCCCTTAGAACCCAGCGAGTTATTGGTCTTAAGTCCGTGCCATTACTGTGGGTAAATGACAAGGTTAGTGCCCATTGCTTGGCTGTATTATACAGTAGCAATATATTAGCTGCTCCTCTACATCTGACCCGCCGTAATCGTGAAGGATTGGTGCTACATTACTCGTTCGGCAATGGTGATTCTTGGCAGTTAGAATGATAATCAAAAGGCGACATTCAAAACGAGTATATTGAAGTCGTTGTCTGAAGTAAGATTACCATTAATCGATACTCACGCATTCAAGTAGTTGATGTCATTTAGTCAGCCTCGAGGAAAGTTCCGTGGCGGATAGGGCCGAGCCCGACAAGAGTTTCAAATATAATAGCCATGTTTGTTTCAGAACAAAACTAAAGAATACTTGGGCAATATGAAGGCTAATCGCTGACAGCGATGATTGTCGCTTGAGACGAAGCAGCTCCTGTGTTTAAGGAAGCTATTGAGATTGGACTTTTACGAACCCGACCCTCGTGACGATCGCTTTCAGGATTAGTAGAAACCGTTGTGAGCGTACCGGTTTCTGGTGATCTGTGCGACTTGCGAGGCCTGGAAATGGTAATATGATATTTGAAATCTCCATAATGACCACAGCCTAATTATCTGTAGTGACACGAATGTCCGAAGCCTCTTGCATGAATTTGGCATTTGTTGTATATGGCAAAGTAATGGTGAGCATCACTAGCTGTTGTCTGCGGCTGCGGATTCGATCCGTCGCTGATTTCCTGGCCAGTTTACATAATGTTGTTTTCAAGTAGATAAATCGCAGTTATGGGTTATATTGTATTGAACCTTTTCTTGGAGAACATTATTTGTCACCATATTGCTGTCTTCTGATCTTAAACCCAAGGTTCTCAATAGGAATTAATTGATCGTTGCCCTGTAGTCAGCCGTATCTAAGTGGCCAATTACTGGAATTCAGCTATATTGCTACTTTTAGAGATATCGTAAGTGTCTTTAGTGTCTTTCTTCCTATTGGTTCTTGATCGAGGACTACCATGGCACAATACAAGACCAACACTATCATGGCTCATGTTAGTGCATTCATGACATTTGCATCGGTTCTGCCATCGGAAGCAAAACCTCAGTATGACCTTTGGACTTATCGTTTAATGACATATTCGAGCCTGGGGAAAGGGCTCAGTGCACTACTAGATCTATCTTCCTCCGATGCCCAAGAAGCTGCGACGACCTTGGACGGAGTGTGTGATAATGCCAAACACTTCGTGTGTAAAACGCACTAAAGTAATCTTACTACAAATAGACATGATGAAACCAGATATAAGAACTAACTCAGACAATGCACACTGATAAAATATACTTCTTGACTGGGCTGTTCAGCATGAAAGTTGCAAGATGAGTACAATAATCGTGCAGACCTCGGACGATGAAGGTTTACCATAATTATAGAAAAATATATGTAAACAATATCCAAACTTCTAAGAACGAAAGACAAGACAACATCCGGTTTCAAACACACGTGAACCCAAGGTGATAGTTGATGTATTTCTTGGCTTAAGAACATTGATAAAACTCAATGCCTCATGCTTAAGTACTATAAGGGAACTATCTATATCTCTACAAAGTCAACGATTGCGACCGAGTATCGTTTGGGATAAGAAGAACGAAACTTTCTCAAGGAAGGTAAAGCGCAGAGTTCTACACAGATTGCAAGGAAGGACCACGAAGGTGAACATATTTCGAGTATTGGAACTGGTCGAAAATTGCGAGAATCGTTCAAGTTCTAATCTTGAAAGAGGCAAAACGTAACAGGTGCATGACTTCCAAATGCATAGCAATTGATTCTTGAATGTTGTTAGTCTAGACTAGTCGGGATTTCAGATGAAAAGATAGCATTAGACTAGTTCAGAAAGGTCGGAAAACCAGTCATTGAGTTGCGAAAGAACGGATTGCGCATTGGGGTATAGTTTCATGAGTCAACAGGAAACATGAATGCCGAACTATATCCTTGCTTGGAGGCCATAGCTGCCACGTCGATTGTAATTCTCCCAAGTGGGCGGCGTTTCGCAAGCAGGTTGAGGAAGCTTGTGCTGTAAAAGCTACTCATCTTGCGCAGTGATCTTACAGAACACGCCGACAATGCGATAAGGATTGGGGCCGAAAGCTGACACGATTGGCCATATGTTAATTGTTGCAAGACGTAAGTAGCATTTGTTAGTATTACGTGACAAAAGTGGCAGTTACCTGCATCCTTGAAAACTATGACCTCGCAGTAGGGAAGACTAAGCAGAATCTCACCTGAACTCGTACTAACAATGGCAGTTAGGAGATTGCTTTTTGGGGATAGCTATAGGCCTCTGAAAGAAGCTGCCAGATCCCGTGGTTCCTTCCCGGCTACTTGCATACAAGGGCAGCATGACAGCCGCCTTTGCATGTTCAGACACGAGCAAGTTCTCGGGGCCACCGATACATAGTTTGCCAGAACCGATGGAGAGGCACACATCAACGAAAAGGCTTGACATCAAACTCTGGGCGGATGTATATTAGCACAGCGCAACGACCTATGCGGCTATTGCAACAGCGAACACATCCAAGTCGCTGACAAACCGAAGGTTTCTGGGACTGCGTGCATGCAAGTTTCAGCACAGCTTACCGAACGCTGGTAAAGTTGAAGCTCCACGTCATGCACATGGCGAGCACGCCTACGCGGGCGGGAGAAAGCGAGGCGCGAATTGTTCGCGCGGTCTCCCTCCTGCCAGAGGGGTCGGATTAGCAGACAGGACAGGAGCGCCGACATGGGAGGTGCAGACAGGACAGGGGGCCAACATAGGAGCTGTCCAGTTGCTCTATTCCGAATTCTGTGGCCACATCCATGTCGGAGGGGGCAGACAAAACTCTCCTCGAAGTTTTCCTTTCAGTCACCTGGTCCACATGGCTACAAGAGTTACACAGAGACCGACGCAGGTTCCAAGCGGTCGGCTGGGCTGGGGTTGGCAACAAAACCGC